AGTGTGCAATATAAAAAGGATCAATTATTTCATAGCAGCAGAGTTCTTTTAGTCTATTTTTACCGATAATAAAAATATACTTTTATCTCATTACTTTTCTATGTAATATTTTGTCAAATACCACAAATAGACCCCAAATTATCATCTTAACATCTTGGTCAATAAATTTTTAAAGGAATTCTAAACGTACTTATGTACTTTGTTTTATTTTTTATTTTATTTTTTATTTTATTAAATGACACTACCAATTTATTACACGAGGGAGTAAACAAATGTGTAGATAAATACTAAAAGGAGACTGTAAAGACTTAAAGATTTAAATACACAGACAGTTGTAGGAGATATTTGCACTAGTTGTGGAAAAACGGTTTGTTTGACACGGAAAAATAAAAGATAAAAAAACAGGAAGAATAAGATTAATATTGCTTGTAGGCTTTTTTATTCTTATTAAAAGTGAATCCTCCTTTCATCTCTGAAAAAAAGGGGGGTATTTATAGTTATTTAAAGCGTGGGTAAAATTATGGGCTAGTTTGTGTTCACTTGGTATTATTGGCTGTATTTACTAATGACTGATGAGCCTTATCAGTGTAGCCAATCTATTATTCGAAATGGGATCTTCTATTGGAATATCTAGTAACCCTGAGTTGTAAATGTATAACTCAGGATATTTTTTATGCTATTATTTTTTATGAGTGTTATAATATTATGTACCTGTCGATCAAGGATCGATGGAATGATTTTATATGCGATTTTATATGTTAAATAGTGCGATTTTAGTACACTAGTAAGCTAAGGAAATCTGCCAAAGTAGTTATCTCGAGGAAATATGAAGAACTTCCAAAAATAAGACTAAGAATAAGATTATTTCTTATTGATTTACAATTTTAATGCTATTTTTATAGCTGTCAAATTTAATCCAAAATCATCCAAGAATACCAAACCATAACTATTTACAGAATCAATTATCCGGATATCATCCTGAGATATAAAATTAACGGATAAATCATACGCGTTCCCAGATAGACCAAAAATAGACTTAACATACAGCAGACGGGGTACTCGAACGGTAATAACGGTATTTACCAAAGATATCATAACACAAGAATGTAAGAATAAAATATTTACTCTCAGAAAAAAAAGAAACAATCCCCACCAGGATTCGAATTCAGAACACCTTAGAATTTCCAGCCAATAATATATCTTGCACGTGGATATCACGTGACTAACCAAAGTAACGTTTAAAGCAAGATAACAAAAACACAAAAGTACCAAAAATATATGGTTTCTTGGTTTAGTGGTATAATTCTCGCTTAGGGTGCGAGAGGTCCCGGGTTCGATTCCCGGAGAAGCCCTTTTTAATTTTTTATTTCGTTGGTGTGGTGTGTATAGTCTTTCGCTTGTGGGGTCTGATGTAAGTGTTAAGCTTAGTTATGGATACTTAAGTAGAGTAGTAGAAGAGTTATCGTTTAATTGAAGGATTGATCTGACACATTCATAATTATCTAAACGCAGTTACGACAGCTTGACTTTTTCTAAAAAAATTAAGTTTAACTTCGTCAGGGTTCTTTGTCAATTGAGTTTCGTGACGCAGTTGGACGGTGTGGCCAATATTATTTTATGCGAAAAAAAAAAACCATGCCCTTTATTAATACCATGTGAAACTAAAAAATACAGAATGCAATTTGAGCAAGAATACTCTGAGGTAGCATCCTTCTTCACCCGCTTTAACCTTTTAGGTATAGTCGGCTTAACTCTTCTTGCGGGCTTAGTCCATCGATTCCACCTCTGTATAAACAGTGTTACCGGCCCGACATTTTCTAATTAATAGAATCCTGTAAAGTTAAATAAGGTAAATGCAACTTTATGATACAATCTAGTTGGTGTTTTATTGATTAAGACAAAAGGAGAGAATAAAAATAATAGAGTAACTGATAGACTATTCAGTTCCTCGTAAGCACCGCCTTGTTTTATTTAAATAATTGATAAATATATATGGTAACGAGCAAGCTAAGTGAAAATGATAAAAAGAGGTTTTAATAAAACATTCACAGAAAGGATTGGTAAGGATGTCCTTGATCAAACAGATGAACGATAAATAATAGTATAATTGCTAAAAGGTTGTAAGTTATTGCAGCACACAATAAGGATGCTCAAATAAATTCTAACTTCCAGTAATTTTTTTTTTCGTCCGATGTCGAATAAACGTTTTAATAAAAAACTATTAACTTGGAGGCCTTTTTATTGAAATCGGCTTTTATACTCCAGGTTTCCGGCCAGAATAAGATATATGCAGAGGAGGAACTAGACATGATGTAGTGTATTATTGAGGTGCCTATATTGAAGGACAGTAGAAGTATTATTGGACACGAAATAACAAACCGGAAATGAGTTTAGTTCCTGGAGTACTTTTCGCTCAAGCAAAATTAAGAAATTAACAAAAATAATCAGCCAATTGAATTTATCTACAAATCGAAGGAAGTTTGAAGCTAGAAATTATTTGAGCGTCCCTAATGCTAAAATTTAACATTATAGAAAACAAGTTGGTTCGAGTGTACAATTTAAATTTTTAAATTTAAGAGATATTGGTGTATCACAAGACTGTCTCACCATAGTAACAACTACTCTAATGTAAATACGGAGTATATAAGAATCACCAATACAACAAATACGAATGACTGACTTAACAAACATGAACATATAAGATATATACAAGAGCAAATTAAGCATTTAATAAAGGATTATCTTATATTTGATTGAAATTATTGTCTCTTAGGCATCGGATATTACAGATATATATAAAAAATCCGCACTGTAACAATGAATAGGTTTTATCTAAATTAAAGTTCTAAAGAGTTTAGTCTGATATTTTATATGTAATATCTTGAGAATCAATATTCGTACATAAAATAACCCAATGTACTGTAGCTATTTTATCTTAGTGTAATGTTTGATAAGATAGTACGGAAAAGTGAGGATATAGAAATACTTCTCTATTTAAGGTAAAATATAAACTAAACAACTCTGCTGCTATAATATATATTTCTGATACTGGATAAATGCCCTTGGTATCAATTTAGTGTTCGGAATAGAGACCGAAACAATTGAGCGAACTCCATCGTGTTTTAGTTTAAACTCACTCAAATGCTTTTTTTGGAGATTGAGCTTGCCCCAGTTTCTGTAAGCTCAGCTGGATTGTTCAAACAAATGCTCAAGATCGGCCGAGTTTATGGTACATAAACGACACGTCAAAGTAGATTCAAAGACAAAGATTTAAGATTATCGGAATAGGAATATTTGTAAAATACAAAATAACAAGAGTAAATTTAAGAGGTAGTCAACGGTATACAATAAAAAAAAAATTATGGGGCAAATTATAATACTTAGAGCATAGTATAAACGAGTTGGCTTTTACATAAATAAGAATGCTTATCAATAGTTTCTACTAGATATAACTAGTAAAAATGTTTTGGCTTAATCAGTTTTATCTCAAATTTTGTATCATTTTTTGAGAAGTCTAAATTTTTTAAATGCAATTGTTGATCTACACCTGAACTAGTAAAATTAGCAATTAAAGCGAAAAAAGAATAATGATGTTAAAAGCATTATTATGAGGAAATGCCATTACCCGTCTTTCTACAGCCTTGAAATTTAGAGTGACTACTTTCAATTTTATATACGAGCGAGCTACGTTCGATGCCCACTCGACGCTCGCTCGAATCCAAAAAATACTGGCGCATGCTCGAGTAAGAAAACTCGGCACGAGCTTTGTTCGCACCAGTGCAAAATTGGAAAATTCGAACACTAATCTATATTCACTTTTATATATTTCATTTCATGAAGTATACTCGCTAGAAATGATTTCAAAAAAAAAAAAGTTATCTTATACGTATCCATTGTTTTATCCTTTGCTACTGGCAAATTTTGGTGAAAAGCGGAAACGTGAAATCAAGATAATGATTAGGCTAAAAGTTAGTAATAAGTGCGTATCATATCATAAGCTGACAATTAAAAAGTATTATATTTAAAAAAGAAACTGTAGAGGAATCAGATATAAGTATCCTCGAAGGAGTACAGTGAAATATGACCGGAAAAACTATTTAAGGCTAATCTGAAAAAAGGGGATTAATATAACTGTAGTAATTGTATACAATCAAGACTAAATCAGATGATGTAAAGAGCCGAATATAGATTTTATTGTAAGTAGTGGGAACAGTTTACAAGCCGTACTCTAGCTTACCCGTAATTCTCCAGGAAGTTGAGTAAAATGCTTCACTTAACATTGTTACAACAAGTCAGAATTTGGTATGTTTCATCTAAAGCTCTTAAACCCGGGTATTTTTTTTTTTTTTTTTTTTATTTGATCAATAGTGATATAACCAAACTTACGCTATCCTTTTTCCCTCTTTTGTTTTCCCCTAAACTCTCCTCCCTTTCAATTCTTTGATTGTCTTTTGATCCCTTTTTTGTAATAAAAAAAAACTCCAAAAATTAATAGAATTCCTTTAGTTAACCCTTACTATGCTTTAAGTCGACTTTGAGTTCTATATTACTTCATATTTTTTGTTGCTGAACATATTAATTAATAATATATGTATTATACTTGAGTATGACATCTTTCATAAATCATCCAATAATAGATTTAGTTGTATGTTACTACTCTTTAGAATTCTTCATTAAAATGATTCCGTCACTAATATCATTTAAAGCTATAATATATTTTTATTATTATAGATAGAATCTATAATCTTCCAATATAGTACTCACTGCACGCTCATATATTATCTTTCATTCTATTCTTTATTTTAAATCCCATACCAGATAATCTCTAGCGCTATAAATGAGTCTGCAGACCACATACCAAAAGTATTTGGGTAAAGATGTCATCACTTATGTTGTCTGTCATATAGAGACTATCAAGTCCTGAGTCATGTAGATGGTCTCTATATGGTCTCACAAGGATAATATGACAGAGATATTATTTTTGTTTCTTGCTATTTACAATAAATATTCCTAGGGTGATTAAAGCAGTATAACGCTGATGATCATGTCGTAAATAAATATGATTTACTTCAGCATAAATAGATAACATTATAAATCTTTTGACAGCAACTGTTACACGCTTTTTACTGGTTTTCTGTGGTATTTGACAAAAAATAATACACTTCAGAAATAATGAAATAAAAATAGACTACAATAACTCTGCTGATGTGCAACATCAAGGATGTTTTAACTTCATAATTTATTTATTGAAATGATTTGCTTATTTAGTCTCAAGTGAATCGTACCCAAATACGACATTTTCTGTAATTTAAAACACAACGATAAGAATTTTTTTAGATCTATTGATCCAGGGAGACACGAATTGAAATCAATTCTAATGAGTATATTTCATTTAATTTGAAGGCTGGAAACTGAATATAGATTTATTAAAAGACCAGAAAGGTTGACTCAATACAACTATCAGGGGAAGTTGCTCAATATAAAGATGATCAATTGTTTTATCGCAGCAGACTTCCTTTATTCTATTTAATTTAAAATAAAGATATAATTTTATTTCAATAATTTCCTGCGGTATTTTGTCAAATACCACATCTCACCTGAATTCGTCACTGCAGTAATTCCTTAACGTTGTTACACCACCTTTTTCTCCTTCTGTTGGTCCCTTTGACTTCAGATCCCTATATCTGACAGCTTTTCTGTCCTTTCCTAATAAAAGGACCATAAAATTATTTAATAAAATCTTTAGTTTGTTCTTTACTATAATCTGATTTAGTCTTATTCATATAAGCCTGGTTTCGTTATAAATATATAACAACTAAATAATTGTACAAAATCCCTTCTTATAAATCAGCACTGAATAGTCTTACCAGTTGTATTTTACTATACTCCTTCGAAGACACTTATATCTGATTCGTCGTAGCATTTCCCTTTTATATCTTAATATTTTATTTATCTTAGTTGACAACTTATAGTCTGGTGCTCACTTTTTTAAGAACTATTATCTTACTCTTTATCTTTATTTCACGTTACCACTTTTCACTTAAACAAGCCAGTAACAACGTAAAACAGGATTCCTGCAACCCAGGTTTCTTTTACTCGTACTGCCCTTTTTACCCCATGTGGAGAATTTGTCTTCGTTCGACTTATCAAATTTTTTCCCCTCCTTCTTCTTGCTCATTCCTTTTCCTTAATTACTTTTATCGGATCTCTTGGTTTACCTCCTAACCGGAGAATTTAAAACCAAAATAAATAGTATGTGCTATTAAAACTGATACTCTTTTTCTAATGTTGCACTATAGATAAAAAACTCTTCTCTCAGCAGAATACAGAACAGGGTTTATCAAAAGTCTATTTGAATGAAATAAAAGCAAGAGAAGTTTACAAAAAGTTGTCCTCACAAAAAGTTAAAGCCAGTCAATTAAAACTTATGTTGGACAAGGCATAGATTCTGATGTATACATTTCTGAAGAATAAAGATTAGACCAGATGTATTCTTTAAAAAAAGGCAACCATTACAGTCTGGAAGTTTACAGACCACGTTCAAATTTTAAATCTCTAAGAATAAATGGCAAGTATTTGAGCTAGAAAAGCAAGTACTTTTTTTGGGAGATAACGGGCTAAGATTATATACACATCTATATAATGCTCAATACACTGCGAATTTGATTAAAAACAGAGTTTTCAAGTCTCCATAATTTTTATTTGAGTAGTTCAGGTCAACGATATACATAAAAAAAAAAACGACATAATAAGATAGAGCGATCTCCCGTCAATACCTTCACGCTCAGAATTAATGTCGTATCAGGTCCATTGGAATAGATCCTTAAAAATTTTAGTCTGGACTTTTTTTTATTAACCTGTCTGTTGCTGTCTGAAAACATTTTTCAATTATAGGTGCCATAATGCAGTACTGACTGTATATCATATCCATCTAAGTAACAAGTAAATCATTACATTTAGACACGAGAAAAACGCACAACAAAATAACTAATCTTGCATTTTCGGCTTTTATTTATATTCAAATTTACAACATGTCAGCAACGTCTTCAAAGAGACACTTTATGGTACCCGGAAGTTCACGCTCAACCGAAACAAGTGATTTTTGTAGAGACTCCACTGCAGCCAAACTCTTATGATTTTTACAATTTTTTTGAAGCTTTGAGAAAAAAAAAAAAAAGAAAATATTAAAAAGAAAGAAGAAATAGATCATGCCTGTTTTACTTACTTTATCAATCATGGGTAAAATCATCTCTAAAAATGCCGTATCGTTGTTGCTAAAATTTTTAGATGCTACTGTACTGATACTTCTGGATGATGGTGATTTGTTTGGTAAAGGAGGAAGTGGGTTTGCTACCACGGGTTGTTGAATCATACTGCTTCGCTTATTGGACCGAGGGTATGCACCAATTTCAGTAGCTCGGACAGTACTTTGACCGACGTCTTCGTACTCACTGGTACTATGCCGAAATCCTGTACTTTGCATCTTTGTCTATAATAAGGTGTCAACACACAGATAAATGATAAATATACACACATGTAAAATTATTAAGACACTCACAGTCACTTCGTTAACTCTAGAATTAGGAGGAGATGGGTGCGATTGTGGATTAACTTGGTTTCTGCTAACTGATCTTGGTAATTGTTGAGAGGTAGGTGATGGAGTTTGTTGAAATTTTTCTGTTGTGAAGCTGTTAACTGAATATTGACTGGCAGAACTTTGCATTTGAACGACAGGTTTTGGCTGTGGCGAAGCTGCCTGTTTAATAGTACCAAAGTCCCATGTATCTTCATCGTCTGATTCGACACTTTTTTTTTTGTCAGTTATTATATATACCCAGACTTTTTTCTTATACGTACTTGTTCTCCTCGTCGGAAGAATCGTTGTCACGTCCATTTATATTCACCCAACGTTCATGTCCTTCAATCAATTCGGTCAAATAGGCGACCTTCTTACTACTCTTGACAAATTTGTGCTTTAACAGATCTTTGGCTGTAGGTCTCTGTTGGATATATTTAGGATGCAAAAACGAGAAAGAATCGAGGCGTTAACAATACTTACGTTGGCAGGACTCGTTTGTAAGCACATGCTAACAAAATCACGGAATGCTTTACTGTGAGGAGGACCAAGAGTTGGAGGCTCATTTTTGGGTATATGGAATAATACTTTCATTGGGTGCATTTTAGCATAGGGTGGTTCCCCATTGGCGAGTTCTATAGCGGTGATACCAAGAGACCAAATATCAGCCTTATAATCGTATCCAGATTGTTTAATAACTTCGGGAGCCATCCAAAACTATGAAGAAAGTGTTATGCTTAAGAGTTTATTTCCCCATATACATTAAAAACTTACTGGTGTGCCGACAAATGTATTTTTTTTGGTCAATGTGGCAGTGATCTGAGAATTGAAAAGAAAAAATTAAAATGTTGTTTTTAGATTACCATATATGTATTTTTTTTTACTTGTCCCGACACACCAAAATCCGCCAATTTGACTTCACCGGAGGCGCTTAATAAAATATTGGCAGCTATTTAAATACGTATAAGATATTCGCTGTATTATGATAGAGTGGAAGGTGTGCTTTACCTTTAATGTCTACGTAATGAATTAGGGTTAAGTATAAATATTTATAAGTAAAAATAATGGGATTTACCTCTGTGCAGTTTTCCTTCATTATGAAGATAATCCAAGCCCTTTAATAATTCTTTAATGATAATTGCTATATACTCTTCTCGGATAGTCCCCATTTTCATCTGTCATTATGTTAGTAAAACAAACAATAATTGTAAAAGAAGAATACATACTAAATCACTACATGATCCTCCTGAACAGTATTCCATGATGATCCATAAACCTGTTCCCTTAAGATATGATCCATGGTACCTGTAATTTAAGGAGACAAAAATGAAAAAAAAAGGTTACCTTTAAAGGGGAATTCCATTATTGACTTTTTTTTTAAGTGCTTACTTGGTAACAAAGGGTGAGTCTAATTGGGAAAGAATAGCAATTTCTTGTTGAATATCATCAATTTCATCCTCAGCACTTTCCAGGTCAATAATTTTGATGGCAACTGGTTTATTTGTTCTTCGATCGAGTCTTTGTATTGCAGTAGACGCGTTAGAATAGATATATAGAGGGAGTTTTATAATTCCTTACCCTTTAAATACTTCACCGAATGAACCCTTACCTATAATAAAAAGCTTGTTAAGTAGAGTATTTTAAGACAAAAGACAAGATCTAGTTACCAATACGCTCTTGCTTGGTATAATAGACCTCTGGATCTGTTGAATGACTAGCAGTATTCTATACATAAAACAACATAAAATTTTTGTTTATAAATTTAGAAATAAGTGTTTACCATTTTATATTTGCCAAATAAATAAAAAAAAAACAGAAAGAGAGAAAAAGAAAAGGGAGAAATGAAACAAAAAAAGCTTTTTTTATGTGGGAGCAAAAAAAGACCAAATATGGGACACAAGTAAACAGTATTCGGCGTTTGGGGTCGCACGTGCACTAAGTTTAGAATAGTAAACTGGCTGCTAAATCTGGATTACCTCCAGCCATTTCTAAGGCATGTAATGCCTCCTAAACGAAAAAACTTAAGTATTATGCTTTCTTACTTTCTTTGATTTATCCTTATTTTACCTCACGACTAACACCCATATCCGTAAGTAACTTGACGTCCTTTTCGGGATAACCTACTTAAAAAGATGAGTCTATATTTTGATTAAATGGTTGCATAATTCCTTTTACCCTGTGGTTGTGTTGTGCTATTTTGCTGTTGACTTGCAGATGATTCTGCAACTTGAGGTACAATAGTTTTGGTCTCGTTTGTTATTTCCACTTCGTCACTACCATGAATCTAATAAAATTCTTAGCATTTTTTTTTTATAATAATGAAAACACAATGAATTCCTGTGCTTACTTCCATCCTCCTTTGCTTCTCAGGTAATTCATGCTCTGCTAAAAACGGGATATCTTCACTATCAAAAGTCAATGCATTTTTACGTAGATCAATGCACGCTCTATGTTTCTTCAGCATATCGAGACCAAAGAGCAATTCCGACCCTTTTCCTTCAACAACAATGAATGAACAAGACAAGAAAAAGTTTTTGGAAAGTCGCATTTGGGCACTGTGGATTCGACCAAGGATTTTTGCGGTACCAACCCCCCTGGCAACACCGTTAAAACGTGTATCTAAAAGTCTCATCAGACCACACGACTCAGCTGTTTCGGGACTGACTATTATATGTATAAAAAAAAAAAAAAAAGGAGTTCATTAGTACACACATAAAAAATAAATAAAAATAAAGATACTTACTAACGGTGCTTTGTGCTCCAGAATCAACAAGTGCCACAAGGTTCTTGTTATTAATTTCGACGTTTATATACAAACGCGTAACCTATTATCATCAAGATATCAGTAAATGAATATATATATCAATCCATTGATATATAATTACTCTTGCAAACGATTCAGGGTTATATTCCATTGCTGCTTCCAAGTTTGCAGCAATATTTTCTTGTTTAATGGCATCTTCAATTCTCTTTTGCGCCTCCACGTCAAACGGATCATCATTTGCGGCCTATCACATAACAAAGTTAATAATTATTTTCTGACAGAGAAAGCAGGTCTACATTTACAATTTGGGCTTTTTGCATCTCAGCAGACCGTCTTGTCTGTTCGATTTGTTGAACCATCGCCGTAAATTTTGCAGGATCATGAAGGGCTGCACGAGCCAATTCTGGGTTGGTCTATCAAAAAAAAAAAAAAAAAAAAAAAGTGAGAACAAAGAAAAACAAAAAATTTGCTGCGTACATACACTTTCCAACTGCTGAAGAAGACGGGGATCATTCACAACATGTTGACGCATAACATCTAGATCAGGATGACCAGCACTATATTACATGTTATCAGTCTCACTTGACAATCATACATATATATCATGATATTACCTTGAGGCACCTGGTTGTTGTTGGCGTTGCTGTTGCATGTGGATAATCTCGTTTGAACCAACTTGGTATTCTTCCAAAGTCTTTTTCAACTCTTTTAATTCCTGACCGTGATAAAAAAGATGTTGCGATTGAGGAGAAACGCCAGACTAGAAAAGAGAAAAAATAAGTACTCGCACGTCAATATTCCTTTTTCGTTCCTTGTCGAACCTCTGCTTCCAAAAGAGCCTTCAAGTCCTCAATAGCCATTTGATTATCGATATCTAAATTGTAGATTTCTTCACCATCGGTTGTCACAGTAACAAGCATGTTATATTTTTTTGTATGGAAAAAAAAAGAAAGAAAAGGAAAAAACGCGCCAGATATATATGGACGGCGGAGACAAACAAAACGAACGAGAGTGAGAGAAAGATCAAAATCACGTGTATGGATGGGTTATATGTATATATGTGGGGTTTTTTATTTAAAAAGGATCAAGCATGAAATTATAAACTTGTCCAGCGGAATGAACGACTCTTTGAGCACGTTTGGTAGTAGAGGTAAATGTGTAAAGAATGGACAGTGCATTTGATATCCTTCTTGGTAATAGCGAGGTTGCTAAACTTACAACATCGGTTGGAATGAAATCAGTCAGTGGTATCCGAACATTTTTACTGGTGATGGGTCGATGTGTCTTTCTAAAAAGCTGCACAATAGATTTATGTCCTGCTTCTATAGCTAATCTCTCTGCTGTCTTTCCCGCACGGTTTGTAATCTTTAAATTGCTGCGTGTAATCAATAATTGTACAATCTCATATTTGCCAGTCCAGCTTGCAAAATGAAGTGCTGTAAATCCATTTTTATCCACCTGATCTACATCACAATTCAATTTCACGAGTGTCTCAACTAGTCCACTATATCCACAAATCGTTGCCAAGTGTAATAAATCATGCCCATTTCGATTATGAACAGATAAGTAATCATGATCGTTTATGTCTTGTATTGCAATCATGGATGTCATAATAAGTTCCTCAAGATGAGATAGGAATAATTTACGTGCATTGTCATAAACTGCCGTGGCTGCTAATGTTGAAAGCTTATATCGATACCCATTATTCGTATTGCTGTATCCGCCATTATCTTTACGGTCCGAATTATCCCCTTGAACAATACGCATCGCGATCTGCCTGGCATCTTCTACTTTTCCCATCGTCTTTAATCCAACTACTTGAAGTGCAAGTTCCATTAAGGCTCTGTCACTCTCATCGAAATACGTAAATAATACCACATCCTGTCCTTCCAACATTAGTGGATGTTCCTTAAACGAAACAACTACAGGACCGGCAGTGACAGCAGGTGGAAGTATACATAGTAATGTGTTTGTACTCCAGCAATGTGTGGGAATAGCTGGATTTTCACCAAATAAACAAGTCAAACCTTCATAAAAATTTGAGCCTAATACAGTTACCTCGGATCCACCATAAATAGGTCCTTCCGATGGTATGAGTCGATGTAGTCTAGGTAAATTGGGTGTTTTATCCATGGCATTTCTTTCTTGCAATTTAGTGTATACGTTCGTTTGTTGCTGTTGAGCACAAGACATGTTATTTCTTCTCATTGGGTTTTGGGTGAATTGTGACAATATCTGTTGTTGTTGATGATCAGGATGTACTAATGATAAAGGTTGATGCTGTTGTTGTTGGTGTAATGCTTGTGATGGTTGTTGTTGCTGTTGCTGCTGCTGCTGTTGTTGTTGTTGCTGTTGTTGCTGTTGTTGTTGTTGTTGCTGTTGTTGTTGCTGTTGCTGCTGTTGTTGTTGTTGCTGTTGTTGTTGCTGTTGCTGTTGTTGTTGCTGTTGCTGTTGTTGTTGTTGTTGTTGCTGCTGCTGTAGTTGTTGTAGCTGCTGTAGTTGTTGTAGCTGCTGCTGTTGTTGCTGCTGTAGCGGCTGTTCCGTCTGTGGTGTCAGCATGAGATCGGTAGAGTTTAAAAAGTCAAAAAGCTCCCCTTGCGAAACAAAGGAACTTTGATGCTGCTGTAACTGTGATATAAAATGATCGTTATTGTCGGATGCCAATGGGTGCTGCTTCTCCACTGTCGTGCTATTTGTAATATTAGATGTAGTAGTAATTTCAGTCTTTGGGGGACTTTCTGGTATATCATCGATTTGGGAAGAAGGTGTTGCTGGTGTAGATGCAATAGGACTAGATACACCGGAATCGGTTTCCATCTCTATATTAACGGCTTTTCGTCTGGAGGTGGATGGTGCATCACTTTCAGTTGCTGATACATCAAAATCTGCACGTGACCTTTTTCTAGCCGCGGTTTGTTGCATCTTGGAACTCTTATGATCGTCTGTTATCATAATGGGTGGTGAACGTCCTGTAGCAATCACATGATTCATATTATCTCTAACTGTAAATACAACCCTATAAAAGTGGTGTTTAGACTGAGTAAGCATGAATATGTGACCAAAAAATAAAAGTTTTTTTTTACCGGAAGCCGGTTTTTTCGCTATGATGACGGCAATAACATGTTACTCTCGTAGGCAGCGTCGCTTCACCATTATTGAATTCGATATATTCATTACAGTTGAAAAGCAAGATTCTTCTACGTTCCTCCGCCATAATGTTTTCATTGCTAAGGTCGGGTAAATCATTAGCGAATAATGCAGCTAGTTTAGCTGCCCCGCCTTCCTTATTAGCTGCTCTAGCCACCTTGTTGTCCCTTTTTCTTTTTAAGCGCTTACGCTACAAAATAAAAAAAAGAGAATGAGAATTCTTGTCTCATGTCAGATATAGAATGCACATTACCTCTCGATGAACACAACTTGTGCACATGATGATTTCATTATCTTGCTGACCATCACAGACGACAGTTGCTTCCAAAGTCAACACTTGGGCATCTGTAAGTGAAGCCTTTTCATCTGAACCATACTTTTGGTTTTTACGCTTTAATTTATCTTTCGCAACAAGATGTTCGGGAAGCTTTAAATGTGACCAAGTAGTTGCCATATCCCCTGCAACATCGACCAATTGCAAGCATATCTTTATCTGCGTTTCTACTCGGGATTTGGCACCTGTATGTGGTAAGCCCAATACTCGGATGTGCCATGGGCTGTCACTCTTTGAACTTTTTTTTTTTTTTTTTTTTGGATAGATTAACAATTGTAAACTTTAAACGTATAAATAAATTCTTACATTGGCGGAGACATGAATTCCGATTCTTGTTCAAGTTCCACTTCTCCAGGTCCCAATAAACTTTGACTACAGTACAGAACTATTAGTAATCAAGACAACTTTGTCGATTGTACATAGTCTTACCCAGGAAGTGATGTTTGGGCCAAGAAATCCTCAAAGTTCAAGAAATTTCTAGCCAAGATAGGAATAGCATGTAACAATGGATTGGTGAAAACCTACAAACAGAAAAAAAAAAAAAAAGCTTAATACCGAAGCTAGTGTCTATTTCTACAAACAAAAAAAAAATCTTACATGAAGTAAGGAATGACCATTGTCTTTTGACTTTTGTTTGCCCTTCTTTTGTTCATCCTTGGGGACTTCAAGAGAAACGGGTTCTTCCTTCACTTTCTGTTGTGCTGCTAATACTTGCGCTGGGTCCATACCTATTTACATTACTTAATAAAATGATGATAAAAGTTGTTTCATAATTACCCATGGTTGAACTACTGGCTTCTTGTTGCTGTTGTTGTTGCTGTTGTTGCTGTTGATCAAAAGAGAGTTGCTGTGCATTGTATTCTGCTACATGATTTAAAAAGAGATCCATGGCTTGGTCATTTTGAGGTTTCGGTGAGGATAATAACGAAAGCTCATTATCCACCCCAATAGACCCTGTCTTTTGATGCGTTTCCAATGGTGGAGACATTATGATTCACAAAAGTTAATAGGGCTAAATTTATTCCTATGTATAAAAAAAACACACACACAGAAAGAAAGAGAAGAAATAGAGTTTAACCGAGATTCTACTGGTTCCGGTCTTAAATGACTTTTTTTTTTTTATGGGCTTTGAAAAGAACCTTCTTTTGATCGCTCTTTTTTTCTAAATTTTAGTCACTGACATCCAGGAAAGATTTTCTCAAGCCAAAATTTTTACATATCCTTAAGCTGATAACTAATATTGCCTTAGCACTCGTGCGTGCTTAGCAGCAGAGATCCAAGAATAAATGATCTCAAGCATGTCACCTTGTAACTTTGCCCCGCTCAAAAGAAAGAAAGATTTTTATCTTTTACAAACCACTGTTATTTTGAGAATCGTTATTGGAATAGACCAAAGGTTTCTTCAACGATGACAAGAAGTTCGGCTTCGATGAATTAAAGGGTTACAAAAAAAATAAAAAAATAAAAAACGCGAACTTGTAACTATTGTGCAGGTCAAAATCGTCAAGTGCAATTATCTTTTTCACCTTGATTTTTTTTACTTGGCTTTGATGGTTTTCGTTGTAAAACTATCTATCCCAGTTGATTGCTGTATCATTTTTGTGTCTTGCCTCTAAATGTAGACAAACTTGTAAAATTATCAGCATACTCGAGAACAGTGAAACAACAGACATTCTTTTCTTTCTCAAAGGCGATGATTTTAAAATGGGGTTTTGATCTGTAATCATTGGTAAAGAATCGTCAATGATAGTGTCCTTAGTAACCAACTTTGAAACTCTTACTGTTGGTTGCAGATCAGTTTGATTTTGCCGTCGTATTCTCTAAATGGTTACATCAGGGAATCCATCGACTGTTAAAGCCGCCAGATTTAAAGATTTGCAGTGTCACCTGAATGACCGTTTCGTCTAAAATATTTCAAGCGCTTGCATAATCCGACTTGTATCTGACAATTACAAAAAAAAAGGGATATTTTATTTGCCAGCACATCTTCAGCCAGGGTTTTTCAAGTAACTGCAGTAGTCGAACTAATGCAGAATTTGTTTGCAGCAAAAGAGGTTTCGGCAGAAATTTTAATCAGGTTACTTGAATCGAGTTTTATTATACAACGTCTCACATGTGTTTTGTAATAACAAATCTTCTATCTACTATATAAAGATATTTTCCTTGTGCTTTGCAAAGTTTACGATAAGAAGTTTCTCCTATTGATACATCCGTATTCTGTAATTTATGCATCACCATATGTAACGGAAAACTGCACAGGAAAACAGTTAGGAATAAATAAATGTTTTAATATAATCATGTACTGCCAATCACAATCTTGAGGAATAAATCATATGCATTTCACATCATATGTTCCTGACAACATGAAAAAATGGCCAAATATATAAGAAAGAGAGATAGTTACATAAGTCATCATAAAAAGACGAATGATCATTGCGTTTTGCCGCAGCGATTTCTTTTGTAAATCTTACAAATGACGTACAATTTCAACAATAGCAGCTGTTAATTGAACGTGTTTCCCGTGAATTGATGTTCCAGCGATATTATTGTACCTAAATGTTATTGTATAAATAAGGAGTCAATATGACTTAATATAGTACACTTTCTCGAATAACAACGGATTGGCTTCAAGATAATGTTTGTGTAACATAACGGAGGAAACAATGAATCCCAAAACCAAAGCGTAAAAAAAAAAGCCAATTGACAAGTGTTTACATAGTAAGCATTAAAAATCTATCAGCCATGGATGAAATCGTAATTGCACAGTAAAAAAAAAAGGGATCTTTGCTAGAAAAACAAACAAAAACTAAAGTAAACTATAAACCCCTAACTCAAAGCCTCTGACGTCTTTTGTGGTACTCATCAAATTTGATCCCTTTTTATTTTTGGTTTTGTGTGCGAAAGATTGTCGTTTAAAAAGCCGACCAATTGGACCTACATCTTTTTTTTTTCCCTTTCCTTTAATTTTTCTTTCTTTTTTTACGATACCTTATTTACAATACCGATTAAAGGACAACCGTTATACATGTCAAGGAATCTAGTCATTAATACCACCGATCGTGTGCAAAGAAAGTGGTCACCTTCACCAGAGATGGCAATTAGAGAAGAAGATGGCGACGAGGAGAGCCAGATATCAAAGCAGAGACTTATTGAGGAAGAGGACGAGGAGGAAGAAGAAGAGGAGGAAGAGGAGGAGGAAGGATCGGATTTTACGTCTTCACCCAGTATTCCTGATGAAAATATCAATTTTGACCTTGTTTACACACTTCATACATTCGAAGCAACAGTCGATGGCCAAGCCTCGGTAAAGAAAGGTGACGCGCTCACTCTACTAGACGACTCCAATTCATATTGGTGGTTAATTAGAGACCTAAAGACCTCAGAGGTTGGATATATACCGGCAGAAAACATCGAAACACCTTTCGAACGACTCGCAAGATTAAATAAGCATCGTAACGTCGAGGTTAGTCTAATAGTGTTTATAGTAAATATTTATTGAATGATTATTATGTTATATATAAATAGCTTACCTCAATTGAACAAGCTACACATTATATAAACAAGTCAGAGATTACAAAAGCATCACATTCAAGAAAAGTAAACTTATCAACTTCATTGAACGTACAACTCCATGTTTTATTGATGGGGGAAAACGAAGAAGATATCGAAGATGAGGCGTATGAGGTTTGGGATGAAGAAATGTTGGAAGATGAAGAGGAAGAGAAAGTGCTCAGCCCTAGCGTCAATATCAATGATGAGAATGATGACGATGATGATAAACCTTTGCAAGACAATCAAATTAAATCAATTGAAATTATTGAATCTAAAAATAATGAATGTGAAGTTCAACAAAAGGAGAACATCAACAATACTGCAGAACAATCACGTGCTGCTGTTCAAGATGTACCTGACATTAATTCAAAGGTATTACGTGTATTTGCTGGTAATGTAGACGTCGGTGCTTCATATCATTCATTACGTGTCAATGAATCCACCAGTGTGGCTGAATTGTTATTAAATGCCATGGAGAAATTTCATATTACCCAAATTGAAACTAAGAACGGTCGTCACCATGGTCACCATAGCTGTGTTGAATATTATTTAACTGTAAAAACAAGAGACGGTGATGAAATTACCTTGGACCCGCAAGATAAACCCTTTGCTATATATGAATCTTTAACCGCTCATCTCACTACACCCATGCCTTCATTAACTCAATTCAGACAATTGGCAAATAATAATGGTGATTACGTTTCTAGAAAGAAAAAGAGAAGATCTTCATCCATTTCTTCCATTGGTGATTCCTCACTTCAATTTTTTATGCATAAGCGTATCAAACGTGTCAACGATAGAAGCGGACAAGTTCATATTAAAGTGTCTCTCATGACCCAAACAACCAATAACAATACGGTACCTGAAAAAATGAACGCCATCAAAAAAATGACGGCATTGAGATTTAGCAAAAAGAAGTCTAAAAAGGAATCAGGCGCAGAATTAGAAAGGATCGACAAGTTGATTGCAATTCCCGCTAGCATTACGATCTCCGAGCTTACATCCATTGCTCTTGTTAAATTTCACATCATATCTGATAAGGATCAACCGCATCAATACAGATTAATATTGAATGCAAATGGGAAAGGTAAAAAAAAAAAAAAGTCTACCGCCGCCCTTTTAATCATGTTGAGTGTAAAATTTACCAAATTTCCTATAATAGATAAACTATTAAATGCAACTCAATTATTATCAGAAGTTCTATCAGACTTGGGCAAAGATAAATCCAGTGATAAATATTTTGTACTGCATAATTTTAATAACAGTTTAGACGACCCACCCCAAAGATCTCTTTCTCTATCATCATCTACATCATCTTCATCTTCATCTTCTGCAAATAGACAAACGTCAAGTAAGGTTTTCCCTGAAAAATTCCCCCCTCGCAATCCTTACTCACATAGTAATCATCCAGTTATGACACGCCTGGATAGTAATACCGAAGCTATCTTGAAACGAGTTGATGCAGCTTTGGAATCATTCGAAAAAACAAAACGTCCCTCGACAACCTAAAAGGTCTCTTTCCAATTTTCCATCACCCATGTCAGTTTCTCGGAATGAATGTGGTGTAGACATCCATCTACCACACGGATTGCTTCGGAGTACTGCCCTTTCAGACAAAAAGACTCAATATTCATTGATGACCGCACCAAACACATTGGTGCTTCAGAAAGTTTTGCCCTCTGATAACAAAGCAAAGAACAATACCAATAGTATCTCAGGAGAAGAAATGGCCACCCTGATCAAATATGGATCACAGTACTTGGATACGTACGATACAGCAAACAAACCATCCCTGCTTTCATCCACGAATAGACTTACAGTTGAAAAGGACAGTGAAAAAAGTCTTTCCAGTTTAGAAGATCTGGAAAAGGTAAGAGAAATTCTCATTTCGGCTTGTTACTTTTGGAGTTAACCTTTCGATACTTAGGAACTTCACCGTATTATTACATCTCATTCCTCCTAAGAAAAATACATACCTTTTTTTATGTCAATATATTACTGTTCATTACCAATCTTTTAACCCCCCAAAGTACTCTCCCTTACAGAAAATACAATCATTTTATTTCATTATTCATTATAACCCTCCCCCTTCACAACATTATTGATTGCTTCATTCTACTATTATTTATACTACAGCCTCCTATTATCTATTATCATTAAAACATTTCTTTTCTACCTTTTTCCTATTATCATACAATATTTTTGTTCAAATAATTCATTATTTTAATTTTGACAAGAAGGACAATCAATGATGCGATACCTTTTCACAAATCTGCTACTAATAGGATGCGTTAAAAGTATTGCGAATAGCTTCAGTGAAGGAGGGAGATCCCCTGAACAGGATAATGGACATCTTGCAAATAAATAGTATCCTGTATCCAAGGTAAAATTATTGCAAAGTCGAGTTACTAAGCAACATATTGGGAATCACAAAAGATGAAACAAGGGAGAGTGACAGCTCGATATAAATTTTCCGTATGATGAATGAGCTTATTTTTATAAGATCAATCAATGATACCTTAAATATCAATTAAGCACTGAAGTACAGGGGTAATGGAACGGGGTATTACTGCTTGCTCAAACATGAGTGCGATTTTATCACTGAAAAAAAAAATAGGACACAACGGCGCCCATGTAAGCCCCCGATGAGCTCTTTGTTATGGATCGTAATGATACAAACAAAAACAATGTCTATGTTAACCTGTCAATCACCACATTGATTCCAGACAATGGCCGGATACAATATAAAAAAATACCCGGAAGCGGAAGTAGATGCTGATAACTCGATAGTTTTGACTGTGGAAGCAGTTTAAAAAAGAAAATACAACATGTGCAAAGGCGAAAAGAAAAGAAAAAAAAGAAAGGGCTGTCATTTTCATTACCACGTCTTACTTAATTAGGCATATGAGCTTTTTTTAAACCGTTAAATTTATCAGGTTTTTCAAGTTTTCTGCTTATATTAGCACCAACCTTTTTTAATTCCTTTACCTGAAGATCATAGCCACAGTCTCTCAATTCCACATTATTACAGCTAATTTAGAATTCTTGTTTTAATAATTTCCATTTTTTACTTGTTGCAGGTGCAAATCAGCGGTGCAAGGTCGTGCGGCAGGTGGACCAATTGGGTCAACCAATAGAATTTAAGATAAAGTTGATTGGACAAAGTACTAGTGATTTCCCAAATAGCTGTTTAACCTGAAACAGTTACTCGAATACATCCTTTGGGTTTGATAAATTACCTTATTGTATACACTATAGAAATGTAACAAAAAAAGTAAAAAAAAAAGGACCGTAAGTCTGGGCACGGAAAAACATCCAGTCTTAAAATAGATATAAAAGCACGCAGTTTCTATCTCAATTTATAAGGACTCTGAACAAGAGCTATATTTATCTTTAAAGGAGTAAAATAGATTTTTTTTATTTTTATTTTTGCCAATGCAACGTTACCCATAACGTACAGTGAATCCGAAGCAAGGAATGAGTAAGAAAATAAATGTTGAATTGTTTCCTTCGTTTTTGTAATCTACAGTAAGATGTCTTTAGATTGTGTGAAGATGAATATGATTTTAAAAAGTCCTTGTGCTTTTCAATCATCGTATATTTGCTTTCAATTTTTTTTCCAGCTTTGCTTTTTAGATTCACCAGATAAAACATCATCTTTGGTGTAACTGTCCTGGATAATGATGGTTCTGCTTGATTCAGCTGTATTCGTAGGCTCTATCAGAAGTTTGCTTCGTTTGTTTATTAGCACAAAGCTTTTTGCAAATATAGACTTTAATTCTTTTCACAAACCCCAATTTAACCGTAAAGAGAACGGCCCTAAATTGAAGCTGCAGTTAGAAGTCCACTTGAATTGATCTCTCAATACCTGAAGGGCAGAGACTGTCAATTCCCGGCCAACTTTGCAGTAATTCAATCAAGATTGGCGGTTTTCTCTTGGTTGGTTTGCCTTCAGTTGCGTTAACAACGTCAGGCCTTGTCCCATGCGCCCATTCATTTAAAACTACAGCTGGAAAGTCTGTGCCTATAATATATTATGCATAGCCTAATTCACAGCCGTTGGATCGTTGAATAACAACTTGTACATTCATTCAGAATCAGGTCACCAGCTCCATGGTAAAGTGAATGTGTATATTTAGTGAAATGAGAAAATAAGATAGCATGTCGAGTTTAGTATTTAAACGAGGTTGACCGTGGAAATAAGGCAAATGATGAACTTGAACACTTATTTGGAAAAAAAAAAATCAGGTGCAACCAGACTTTGGGAACGAAATGAATAAAGACAGTTAGTCGAATAAGTGTAGATTATAGGATTTTCTTTTTTATCGCTTACACATACGTTTAGCTACTATGAGTAATCCGGGCTCCACTTGAAAGCGTGCCTCGGCCTGCCACTTGACACGGAAAGCTGGCTCCGATGATGGGTTCCAGTAAGGTATAATTATAAATACTTTTCTTTTTTTTCTCCTTTCTTCCCTTTCTTTACTCCCCTTTTTATTTTTTATTTTATTTTTTTTTGAATAAAAAAAAACTTAATTCTTGTTCTTTATAATATGTCTAGTATACCGAAACCATCATTACCGCATAACTTGGTAAATATTAAAAAAAAAAAAAGATTCGTATCACATAAACAATCTTGTGAGTGCTAAAATGTTTTTATTGTTAAGGGTAAACGACAAGCACCACAAGAAACGAATATTGTTCACGTAACCGTCACAGCGGCCGACACCGTTATATATACCCATACCGCCACATCCTATTCATACATACCGTCCTATTCAACAATTACCAATGCACCAACATCGTCATCATCAACCTTATCTAACAATGGACCCTCCCAAAATAAGAATCCTGCTGGAATCAACAAAGGTGCAATTATTGGTGGAGTCGTCGGTGGAGTTGTTTTGATTGCTTTAATAGGTAAGATGACTTACCCAAAAAAAAAAAAAAAAAAGAACGAGAAATAATGACAATACAAATAGCATTGGTGTTTTTATTAAGGCGTAGATCTAGAAGGAAGAAGGGAGTGGCACGACAACCACAATGTGGCTATATTGACGATACAGATCCATATTATCAAGGTGCAGGCGGCGGTGGTGTTGGTGGCATGACATCATCTTCAGTTCCCGCTCCACGACATTTAGTAGCTCCTCCTCTGGAAGACGGGCAAAAATACTATCACCATGAAGGAGGTTATTATGACGATATCGCTACACCAAACAACGTATTTCCGAAAGCCGCATATTATTCGGCAGACAATAGTGTGGATACACTCACTTCAGGTGAAGTGCCTCCAAATTATGCACAATTTAGACAAGTGCCCAACCAAGTGGATAATCCTGTTACTACTGTAACCCCAGTTATGTCAGAAAGGCACGTACCCCATTTAAAAGAGACAATTGAAGAACCGCCTCATTCAAGGGATTAAAAGAAATATATACAAACATGCATTAAATTAGAGTCTATGTAAATAAATAAAAAGTTTTTATTATTTTTTTTTTAAAAAAAAAATATATATTGTAAACCGAATCATCGTCTAAACACAAACCACGATACTAAAAATAGCGTTATTAATAGACACAATTGATCGTGGCCTGATTTAGTTCCGATGGAGGCCACTTCTTCAAATACACCGATCAGTCCTAATCCTCCAAATTCATCTTCCGCATGGCCTGCTGCTATACCGTAACCTTCAAAAAACGAGGTAGTAGCGGCGTTAAAGACTTGACTTGTGGGGGTTTCAGCATCAGTAATGACAGCTTCTATTTGCTCCGTAATACTGGTGTAGGCTACCGTACTTGTCGTTGCTGACTTGGTATGGCCACTGGAATGTTTTTTGGTATCGTCTTCATGATCTTCATGGTCTTTGTCTTTGTGGTCCTTGTCTTCATGGTCTTCATGTCCGCTCTTACCATCTTCCTTCTTTTTATGATCATTTTCCGACTGATGATGATCCGAGTCCTTTTCTACTGACTGTTTATGCAAGTCTTTTTCCATGCTATCCTCATGATGTGGGTTCTTTCCTTCTAGTTGGTGGGTATCCTTTCCGTCTGGTTGATGGGCATCCTTTCCTTGTGGTTGTTGGGGATCCTTTCCTTGTGGTTGTTGGGGATCCTTTCCTTGTGGTTCTTGGGGATCCTTTCCTTGTGGTTGGTGAGCATCCTTTCCTTCTAGTTGGTGAGCATCCTTCACTTGTGGTTGTTGGGCATCCTTTCCTTCTGGTTGGTGAACATCCTTTCCTTCTGGTTGGTGGGTATCCTTTCCTTGCGGAGGTAAATCCTTGGCTTCTTGCTGGTGAGCATCTTTCTCTTGATGATGAGCCTCCTTTGCTTCCTGCGCGTGATCATCTTTTCCTTGCTGGTGCAAGCTCTTATCTTCTTGATGCTGTGCATCCTTTCCTTCTTGCTGATGAGGGTCTTTATTTTCTTGCTTGGGTATATCCTTTACTTGGTCTTGCTTAGGCTCTTCCAGAGACTGTTGATGTAAGTCTTTTTCATTCACTTTAGGCTGCTCACCCAGGGGTGGTACTGAGACCGCATCTTGTGAAGATGCACTGGCTGCCGCTATTGGTTTCTCAACGTCAGGAACAGGATGTGCTTCAGGAGCTGTCTCTACACACTTTCATCAGACATGTTGCTAACCAGGAGAATTTTTTTTTGTTACTAACCTTTCTTTAAATCGGTCTCTGATGCACGCTTTTGAAGATGGGGTTTACCTGGTCCCTTTGTTCGTGCTTTCCGTGCTTTATTTCTAGCAGCTCTTTCCCCCTTTTTTTGTTTAATTAAATCAATGATTTGAGCAACTTTTGGATTCATGTTTTTACGGAAAGAAAAATGAAAATGTTAAGAAAGAAACTATGAGAAAACTTCCGTCCTTTATTGTCATTTGGGTATCGATATTTTTTTTTTTCCTTTCATTCCCCTTGGGAATTCCCGTCTTAATTTTAATATGTTACCAGTCCAATGGAGCGGTATCTTCTTCTTTCTTGAAATAAATAGACTCGGTTAAAATCTTGTTTTTCATTTTTTTGATTACAGCCGAGGGACAATATTGACTCACGGGACATGCATTACAAAGTGGACCTCTTGGAAGACAAACAATCTGGCCATAACCTACCATAATCGGATTGATCTTTTTCCACTTGTCTTTGGGTAACCAAGATTGAAGACTCTAATATACCTTTTTTTTAGACGACAGGAGATTTAATTATACAAAAACTTACCAGTCTAGTTTCTTCGGGTGTCTTTGTCTTTACCCAGCCTAACCTATTTGATATTCTATGAACATGCACATCAACCCCAATACCGAGGTTTTATTCCAAGCTACTTGTAATGTCAAATAACCCATTTTTGGCCCTACACCTGGTAAGCTTGTTAATCCTTCAATTGTATCAGGAATATCACCGTTATATTGATCCCGTAATATTTCCGCAGTCCTTTTGATATACGAGGCCTTTTTGGTGTGAAATCCAACGGATCGAATCATATCATCCAATACAGCTTCATCTAATGACAGAATGCTTTCCAGGCACAAACCACCTTTCAGTTCATTTTGCAATTTGATGACTGCAGCACTTGTGACGGTGTCCTTTGTTTGTGCTGATAGCATGAGCGAAACAAGTGTCTGAAACCTTTGTACATGTGCTGGTGCCTTACTATCGGCTAATCTTTCGCAGCCCATAGTATCCACGGCTGCTTTGTTTATTTCACGATAAGCTTCCAGTGTATCATATACGATTTCCCAATTTTTGGGTGCTTTTTGTTGTTCTTGAGGCTGCTGATGCAGGGGTTCGTCTTCTATTTTAATTTCTTTTTTAACCTTCTTGACTTTTGTCGTAATGGTCTTTTGTAATTCGGTTTTGATAACAATGTCGTCATGAGATCGCTTGAGTTCTGATTTGACTATTTCGGTTGTCTTCCGAGTACTACGACGTAGAGACATTTTCAACCACAAAATATTGACACGATAAAGAGTGTGAAGTTTTGGTTGGACAAAGGGGGTATGCAATTGGGGAAAACAAAAAAAAAAAACTTGAATACTCTGGCTTTCAAATATTTCGTATAAAAAACGGCCTAATTTGAACAACGTAGTTTGCTTTTCTGCTTTCTTCCAAGATAATATGTCTCCCACTAATATTGCTGTTTTTGATTTCGATTGGTAAGTCTCATCATCAACGCCAAATTTACTCATTATTGATGCGGATAAAAGGTCTCTTATTGAAGAGGATAGTGATTACTGGACAATCCACTCTCTCTCTCCAGAGGTTTGGGAAGAAGTCCGTGAAAAAAGACGACAGGATTGGCAATGGACGGATTTAATGTAAGCAAGAAGAATTAGATATTATGTTCAAAGTCTTATGTAATATACCAGGGATTTCGCTCTGTGTAGACTTCAAGATAAGGGTTTTACTAGAGACGATATTGTTGCTGTTTTAAAGGACATTCCATTTGTAAGTTGCATATAAGAATGAACGAGACCTGCAATCTAATGGTCAAATCAAGTCCTTTGAAATGCGAAATGTTTTGTTAGATTTAAAGCGAAAGAATGTTCATGTGATTCTCATGTCAGACGCCAACACCTTTTATATAGACACAATTTTAAAAGTAACGTCAAATTCGCCTCTATTTTTCTCAGGCATTATTTTTAACGTACGTTTTAGGCTTATGGTGTTCAAGATTGTGTAACAGAAATTATCACCAATCCAAGCTATACAGATGAGCAAGGTAGACTTCGAATCCGTCGTCATGTTTTGGCAACAGAGACGCCTCATAATTGTACGAATCCATGCTCAGTCAATATCTGCAAAGGACAAGAGATGGATGCCCTGTTAAAGCGATACAAACAACAGGGCCATGATATCCAAAAAATAGCTTACACGGGTGATGGTAAAAATGATTTTTGTCCTGCCACAAGATTACGACACACAGATACCTTTTTTATGCGTAAGGAAAAGGGTCTCGATAGATATTTAAGTCAAGTGCCCGAAGAGAAAAATAGAATCCAGAGTCAATTCGTATACTGGTTGAAACCTGAATCCGTTTGGGAATCTATGCCCAAATATTTTTCTTCTGTCAGCGCTTAATAAAGAGTGATTGTCTTTTTGAGTAATATATCTCGGGGGCCATACTACATTATATTATCGATGTGGGCCGAACCTACCCACATTATTAAAGTAAAGACATAAATCCAGTTTTATCCTATCTAAACTCAACTTGAAAAAAGCCGGTTGAGTAAATCTAACTACAAGCGTTAACGTATCATCATGGCTTTGCTATTGTCAGATCATTCTATACTTCTTCCAAAATATGCGGCTCTTCTCATACTGCATCATACAGGTCACTATCGCAAAAGCAAGATGGTATTGTACTTAAAAATAATCTGTTTGGATGCGAATCTATTGATAGCAGACACCATGGGCATACTGTGTACAAACAAGTCATGCAAAAAGTCCTACAAAATTGCCTACACCCCAAAAGAGGTACCAAAAACATTTTGAGTTGTCTAAAATTCTGTCCAAAATAAAAACCAAAGTGCCTAAAAAAAGCCTGAAAAACTGTATTTTACTGATTGCATGGATTGAATAAACGATTGACACTTTTTCCTTGATAAATGCGACACAGTTTTTTTTAAAAGCGTGTCATCTTTTATTTTATTTTATGCGGCATCTTTTCTCTCTGAAGTGCGATACTCTTTTCCAAATTTATACGGCATTATTATATAAAAAATGTGCGACAGCTTGAGTGCGATATCGTTTTGGCGAAAGGTGTATACTATGGAAATCGATAAGGATTTATAAAATAAAAATAAGAAAATTATTAATCTTTCAAAAATTAACTAAGGCTTATCATTAAGGAAATAAAAGGGGGTCTTTATATACACATTAATGCAGACATAAGTAACAGACAGGCTGATGACGATTGCATGTAGATTCATCCAGTTGGTACTCGGAAGTAATGATCCCGTACAGAGAGGCCCTAATCAGATGTCAATAACAGTCATCCTCAAACTGTGTATGACTTGTAGCCCAATATTCAGAGTCAATTATATTTCTTAATAAAGATAGCTGTGGCACATGTGGCTAATGTAACCTTCATATGTTTTCATATTAATGTTATTATTTAAATGTATGTCTTATACTTGTATGAAGGATGATATGAGATCAAGCCTGTACCTAAAGTGAATGATCAGTGTTTAATATAAAGTATTGGTAAGAATTATATTTAGAATTATCAAATGGAAGATTTAAGTAGTGTGGATAGAGTTATATAGCCTCGATCACGACATATACAGCACTTGATAGAAATGCAATACTCATAAGAATGGAATCAATTTTCAGCTTGAAAATCTGCTCATGTTTTTTTTGTATAATACGGTCAGTGACTCGGAAATATTAAGTAGTGTGTGCTACAAATAATTGCTTTCGCGTGAATAGTTATTCTTCGGCTTCTGTGATACTTGAATATTGCTTAGCATTTTTGAAAAGCGGACAATAACAAACACGTAAAATTCTATATGCTGTATTGTGTTAACAAATGCAAATGATAGAGTTAAGCTTATTTTGTTAAATTTTCTTCTCCTCTACTTTAAAGCATGTTAAGAATAAGCTTTTAGATAATGCTATGTCATATTATGCAGAAATATTCATCACGTAATACCTTACACAATGTTTAGTGCGACAGAGACATCAGACTATACACAATCTCACACTTTTTAAAAGCTCCTAGTACAATCCCAAATACATCGGTTATTTCTATATTAGCAATAAGATACCCAAGCTAAGTTTTGCGGTTACATCTCGTCATCTTATGTGCGCGGTACGACCAAAAGGACAGGCTACCTACTTTCAATGTTAATATAAAAAGACGCCTTTTTTTGAAAGAAAAGAGGATATCTTTATTTTATTTTATATTAATATGCTTAAGGGAACTCTTATCTTGGTCTTGGCCTACGTAGCTGCTGTCTCTTGTGCAATCATTCCTGAAGTTAAGCCTGGTTCTGAAGTAGAGTTTATTGGCTGCCCTACCAATGTTATTATCCACTGTTAAATTATTCTGTCTTGATCTATGTCAATGTTTACAGGCAGTTAATACCAATGTATTACTCTCTGTAATAATCGAATAAATAAACACGAAGTTACTTTTAAAAGCCTTATTCATAGTATTATGACTAAAGGCTTTGTCAATATAAAATAGTTTTTTTTAAAAAAAAGTTTGGGCAAACGTGTAGTCTAATGATCTTTTTTTAATGTCTTTGAGAAATGAGGATCATTTTAAGGTGCATAGATATGTACTTGCATGAAAAAGGCATGCTTTAATTTTTGTCATAATAATAAGGACAGAGGGTGTTTGTTGATTATGGTGAAAATATTGATTTTGGACCAATGTTATTTTAAGACTTTATCCAATTCTTTTGCTGGAAATGTTATGGATTCCGCACCTTTTGCCATTTATAGCCTTTTATTCGAGCAATTTTCTCCTGCTGCTGACAGAATGAGGTAAATCCTGTATCTTTCAGGTCAAAACTTGTCTTTTATCCTTCTGCTTATCCTACTTCGACTCTTTCTGTTATAAGTAAAAAGTAACATCCTATCTGGCGGCAGTGATTTGCTTCCGAATTGATGTAAAAAAATAGAGATGGCGATAAACATCTTGTTCGTTTACAGATGATTATACATTTGTTTTCTATATAAAGGAACTGATGCTGAATGATTACATTTTGCATGTTTACTGATTGCTGTGCTATTATTAAAAGCCTGTTTTTACCGACTTTTTTATTTTCAGCTTCTGTACCAGTGTCTGATCTTTGGTTTGACGTTACACATTTGGGAATAACCAAAATTGTAAAAACATGCATTGAGTTTTTTTGTTGTTGTAAACTTTCTCATTACTACTTTAAGATATAATGTTCAACATGATAATTTAATGACAATATGTATAAACGTATACATGTAAAACCTTACACAATATTATAGTCCCACAAAGATATCGAGAGAACCACATTAGCATGTTTGTCACATGTACAGTCTCTATGTCCAATTATGTCAGATATTTCCATAAAAAAAAACGGTTACCCTCTCTAAAATTTTTCAGCTATCACCATCATTATTTCAATAAGAGGTTATCAAATGCTATACTTAACACTTTTTAACTATATATTATAACACAGTCATTTTTTTCCATTAAGACAAATATAATCTTATAAAAAGAAATCATCTCTCATCTTACTTTTTTACAAAAAATAACAATGTTATGAGAATAGTTTTCAGTTCTCCTCATATTCTACTAGCTAATTTTCTGGAATGTATATAAACTGATCAAAAATGTTACTCTTAACATACGCCCCACATATAATATGTCAAAGTCCATTTACTTGCTGATAATCCGTTTATTGAAGTTCTCAAACTTTGTTCCAGGTGCTGCAAACACAAGAGACGGTTTATTAGCACATAAAAACCACTTTTATCAATAGGTCTTTCAGATCAATGATCCAAATTGTGAAACCCGGATTTTAAAACAACGCTTTTCAGAACGACCGTGACAAAAGCAATGAATGTAGCACATCTTGGCAGACAGTTAGTGTATTCTTACAAATGAGAGCTATAATAACTATACTCATTGCACGTAACATATGAAAATAGGTGAGATTCGGCAACACCTACGATATAATATGTCTCTATTCATGCAACTGGTTACACCGTCCTACTGCTAAAAAAAAGAGTCAGCTAATATTTTTAAACCCAAGCGGACGTTATTGGAATCATGGGCATGTTACGATCGCAAGTGACAAAACCTAAGATCAATGAAAAAAAGCAGCCTTTAAGCTCAAGTCAATAATAAGCATGTTGTTACCTATAAGCTTCTCATTTCAATTTTCTTTAATCCCAATTTACATGAATTAAAAAAGCAATAAGTGAAACCGGAGATATTTTTTATTATGCGATAAGAGTATCCTGATAACATTAGTGAAAGTGGTTATACTGATCAAATATGGCCACCTATTTTTAAGTCTCTATTTGCGATTAATGTTAATCTAATTCGAGTGAAGAAAAGAGAGACTGAGCGACAGAGAGACTGAGCGACAGACTCTATAATTGATAAATCAAGTTTATACAGTTCAAACAAGCATGTAATAGGCTTCAAGACTGACATCCGATTCATTTTTGACTACAAGGAATCAGAGTTTGGCATTGGTGGTGCTGAAGTCTACCTTCCCAATGCTGATATTACCAAGCTTACAGACAATGAGGCAAAGTTGTTGAGAGAAGGAAAGAGGATTACCAATCCCTTGAACAACGTTAGTTCTGACCTTTCGTGGATTGTTCAAATTTCAGGCTTAAGGGCTTATTTCTCAACAGTGGCCTATGTTGGTCACGATTTGCATGTTGGCATCTTACAAAACCAAAGTCTGTTCCCAAGTTGCATCGGGGAGTTAAATGACGCCACCAAATCATTGGCATTCTTCAAAACACTCTTCCAATTTGGAAATGGTATTGAAGACTCTGCCCATATTATTCAATCAAATATTTCCCAGACAAATAAATGGAACAATGCAACCAGCGACAGATTTAGTGATCCAGGGCTGGCATCTCTGCCTCGCACCATGAAACAGCCTTTGTCTCAAACGTGGTAACTATGCTCCTACAAGAAAACTACAGAAAAATAGTATATTTCCACACTACAATCTTTAACTGTTGGAAACCGGTTCAGATACTTTAATTGAAGATAGTATCCTTGATTCCCCCCTTCCCTTCAGTTACTGATAATAACGAGCTTACCACAGAAGATTCCTTTGGGTTTGTAAATTAGGAAATGGATGGTATCATCCTGCTCTTCGAAACTACTTTGATACCATCCTATAGAATGATTGCGTCTATTGCTATTATAATTTTTTATTTTTATTTTCGATCATCATCATTCTATCATCATTCCACATATCATTATTGTAAATAGATATAAGTTTTTAGCTCGAATAAAACTATCTTTGAAGAAAGACAAAAATATATTAGTAAGTGGTTGTTGTACCATACCCCGAAGAAGTGTGGACTATTCAGTTATATCATAGAGATTTGATATTAGGTCAAAGTGAATAAGAAATAAATTAGGTCCTTTTATTAGAAGTTAATTGAAGAGTATTAGAATGTACAAGTTTCAAAGTCTGCTTCTGAAGGTATCATCGGGTATCCTATTTACAGGATTTATGGGATTTTCTTTTTCCAAAAATGCAGCCTAATCATCACATGAGGAACAATATTGTTTGTGACGATTAAAAAGCCTCCATTTGAACCCGATAACGATGTGGATGTTATTGGCGCTCAGCTACTGCTAGATGATACACTTATGGTACTTACTGAGACTCAAGTTATTGTTATTGAATTGATAGAATAAAATATTTCTTGTTTAAGTCATATGAATAATAAGCGTCTTTTTTTTATTATCACTGATTTTTAATGATTAAAATAAAGGTATTGAGAAGAAAAAAAGTTAAAACTTCTAGGATTACTATATTTGGAATAAATATTTTCTTCTCCCCTGTCCCTGAATCAGGTCACTCATCAGCATGAGAGGAATTATGCATGCCGCTGTTTTTCAAGATGGGAGAAGCTATTACGCATAAGATTTGACTTCACTTACTGTTGTGGTTCAATCTTGCCACGAATTCACCTTCAAGTAGATTTCAAAATGAAGTAAGGCTGCAATAGATTAACTTTGCATATCCACCCATTCATGGGAATGCAATTTTTGGACGAAATCGTTTCAATGGCTCTAAGTGGCAGCTATAACTGATCTCTAAAACCAGTTTTTCTCAATCTTTAATACATATGCAACAGTGAAAGAATGTATAATTAACAAGAAAAAAAAAACCGTAAAAAACTTAACTTCAAATTAAGCGGTGATACACACAATCAACGTAGTAAATACATCCATTATTATTACTGAAATGATCCCCTTTTAAAATAAGCTTAGATACTCGAGTATACAAACGAGTATACAAAAAGCAGTGTATATTCGCGATAAAAAAATACCTGAAATCATATAGAGCGATTTATGTAATATAAGGTTTATTTCTGACAGGCTGACATTTAATTTAACCTAATCAAGCAGTAGATCTTTTTTCGCAGTAAAAAGTAGTAGTGGATGTTTCTAGAACGATCATGCACATGAACGGTATCCCACTATTTATTACAAAATATACAGTAAAAACAATGATGTCTTCAGAACACATTCTTTAACGCGTTTTTTTGTAAGAGCTTTGGTTTGAAAAAAGGCGCATAAACAGACAATATAAACGGGTAGAGGTGGGAGCATTGTTCACTACATTGATTGGTAAGGAAAAAGTAAAAGTTATCACTATGACGTTAATGATTATACCAAAAAATATATCTTATCAAAGCCACATCTATAGATTGGCGCAAAAAAATAGATGTTGATCATCAAAAGTGAACAAATTCATTTAGGAAAGATCTTGTTCACAAGTGTCCAAATGAATGCTACTTATGAATTTTATATTGATCCATATGAATTATTAAGGGATACATTCAAGTTTAGTGAAGGATGGATATATTTTATGACCTGGACTATGCATCCAGACGATGATTTATTTAAGCAATTAAAGCATTATGCATGATTTTCCCATACAAAAAAAAAAAAAAAAAAAAAAAAAAAAAAAAAAGTTTGTGACGTAGCCATTTTTTTTACTTGTGATATATTGACGCCTTCCCTTTTTTTTTCTTTTTCTTCTTCTTCACGCAGCTTTATTGTGGATAAAGAACAAGTATGTCTACTCCTATTAGAAACTTGAAAGGTATAGTTTTTTTTTTCTTTTTTTACATTCCCATGCAAAAACCAGGCGCGGTTGATTAAGTCTTCATTTCATATAATAGACTTTGGTCGTAATGACATTACCGATCATTCAAGCACAGATCAACGATCTGTTGTTACAACCAATGCTGACACCAAACACAACTCAGCTGTAAATACCCCACAGTGTCAACCTGACTTAAATGCGTCTGTTGATCTCGACTCAACTGCGACAACAACTGCGCACGGAGGAGGTTTAAATATTGCCAGTACCACAAGCAGCAGTTTTTCTGACATTTTACAAAAAGAATCTGCCACTTTACCACCACATGGCAGATGTTACTCAGAAATACCCGGCCAAACTCAAATCACTGATGAGGTCCTAAATACCCCAATTGAATCACACGTTCCATGCGAATCCGAAGCTTTCAATGAACCACAGGATCCAGTTATTCAAGTCAAACTCGAGCCTGAATCAACCATCCAACCTGAACCAGCAGCATCAGCTCAACCAAGCCGCATTCAGCCTTTAGATTCGCCTCCTCCAGTAATAAAAGTGGAACCTGAATCGCCAATTCAAAATGAACATCAAACACACTTGGAGCCAGATTCATGCAGCCAAAGATTTTATTCGCCTGTGCACAGAACCGATACTGGGCTTCAATCTCCCGAGGATGATCATATCAAATTTGCATACCCCACTTTGGATCGTAGTGTTCTATCTCCAACTACAGGAACGGAACGCACATCCTATAATCAACTGGAACATCCAGCACATAGCCAAATGGATCTTTCATCGCATAATCGACTGGTAAATCCACCTCTTGATCTCCCATTATTTTCTCAATTGGGTTCATCCACATTTATGCCTGCACGAGTAGGATTTACACCGCTTGGTCTTCTTCCTCGTCCACCCCTAATTAATCGTAAGCCTGGGCTTTTCGCTCATCTTCAACCTAATTTGGTTTCTCGCTCTGAGCCCGGTTTGGTTCCTAAGTTTGGAATCCCATTCAGTTCCCAATCTGAATTGAATGCATCTTCTCACAATGAACAACATGTTCAAAAGGTATTGGAACCTGTGTCATGTACCGAACCTTCTCAAACTCATGAACCTCAAGCTCTTGGTCAGGTTAATGTCAAACCAGCTCTTCGCGGATCTCCACAGCCGGTAATACACAGTGGTTATGAGCCACCTGCTGAGCCAGATCCAGCCTCTCATTCTGAGCCAGATCCAGCCTCTCATTCTGAGCTTCCCGCACCTACCAAATCGACAAAAAAGAAGGTTTCATCTGGCCGTTCTGCATCTCTTCTTATGAACATGGATTTTAGTATCCCAGGAGAAACTACTTTAACTGAGCCTGTTAAACAGGTTGCTGAAGCGTCTCTCGATCTGGCTGATGGTGTGTCTGTCGAACTGCCTTCCAAAAAGTATGTTGATATTGTTACCGATAAGATCTATGCCGAGTCTGCTGCTGGTGATATTGATGCTAAGTCTGCTGCCGAAAAGATTACCGGTCATCCTACTGCCGAAAGCCTTGCCATCAAACAGGTCACTGGAATGTCTTCTGAAAAACCTGTGTACAACCCGGACCAATCACCTGGTGAAGCATCCACTGTAGCACCCAATGTAGCACCCACTGTAGCACCCACTGTAGCACCCACTGTAGCACCCACTGTAGAACCCACTGTAGCACCCACTGTAGAACCCACTGCAGAACCCACTGTAGAACCCACTGTAGAACCTATTGCCGAAGTACCTGTGGAAGGACCCGTGGAAGTACCCGTGCAAGTACCTGTGGAAGTACCTGTGGAAGTACCTGTGGAAGTACCGGTGGAAGTACCTGTTGAAGTACCGGTGGAAGTACCTTTACGAGAGAAGGGCCGCAGGGGTAGAAAACCCAAGGCGAAACCCAACCCTGAAGGCGTGGCAGAGGCATCAAAATCAGTACTGAAAAAGAAGGTATACAAGGCTACTGGATCTGGGGAGTCATCTAATACTCCCACGATCAAAAAGTCAAAACGTCTAGCAGATAAGCAAGCTTTTGGCAAGGACGTTTCTGTTGGTCATTCTCGATGCGATGCTAATGATGAGTTTGTACCTGATAAGGATGATCAGCCCGCCCATAAGACTTTGGCTAGTGGTAGGAAGAAAAGAGCCGCTACAACCTCTGTCTCCTACAAGGACTACGATTTGGATGAAATTGAGGAGGATGCGCCAAGAAAGAAGCGTGGGAAGAAGACTAAAGAAGTATTGTCGAGTTCCTCAAAATCAGCAAAGGCTGTCATTACAAGAGCCAAGCGATCTCCTGGTAAAACCAAAGAAGTAGAAAAAAACGGTCCGAAAAATGCAATTTACATTGACACGGATGATGAAGTTGAAGAGACGGAGATTGCACAAGTCGAAACTACCAAGCCTGTCCAAACTCAAAAGGCATCTGATAATCAAGATAATAAGCTTAAGCGATTATTGCAAAGCAAGGACAGCCAATTGGTCCAAGTAAACTTCAGGGTAAGTTTAATTTATATCCAAAGAAAAAGAAAAAGTTCGAATCGTAACAAACCTTTTTAATTGTAGCAATTGATCCCGGAATGGCTGGCTGCTTTTTCAGAAAAGGATAAGCAAGAGCTTGCCTTGCTCCTTCCCGAGGCTGATCAAGTCCTTAAGAAAAACAACGTTACGATTAGGTCTGACTTTGGACAAGTGTCTACCAATCATTGCTTTGAAGCTGCAGAAAGATGGCAGGATATTTTGTTCTTGGGTGGCTTCGATCAAGAGTACAAGTCTGCAACTGTAAATGCTGAGGATGACAGCTTTAAAGACGACAATTACGAACAGCATTGGGGCGATCGTATAAAAGAATTCAATGAGGAAAAGCGTAAGCGTGAGGAGATCGATATTGGCCGCCCGAACGTAAAAAAAGCCAAAGGAAAGGGCAAGTCCTCGTGGTAACCCACACCCACACACACCCACACACACACACATACACACACCACTCACGTTAACTGTTTGGGGTTATTAATAAAATAAAAATATCATTATTGCTTCAAATGTATTGCTTTATGGTTGGACGGGATTAATATGTATCTCTTTCTTAATTTTTGTTAAGTAAGTATTCAATGAGAGAAGTAGTATTGTGTTCAAAAATTTGAAGTGTTCTAGCAATATCTTGTCCATTACCAAATTATTTATCAGAGTATAAACAGCCCCTTGTTCTCACTTTGAGTATCTGAGTATACGACTGTCAGCTACGATAGGCGAAATAGATGTTAAAACAAAGAGATTTATTCCATATATATTTATATAATGTGACACGAAGATGATAGAAATAAGAACTTTACCAAACTATTATATTCGTTCCTAAACAAAAAGGCGCTCGCGAAAAGTTAGTCGAATATACGCAATGTAATAAACATTATTTATACAAGGCATCATGTGCATCAAGAAAGGAGAAAAGGTTGATATCTGCTCAGAGAACCTACAACTCCATAACTAACAAGCCTATAAAAAGACTTGAGAATTAGAGCAAGATACAAACTAACTCAAGAGCTATTGAATGATCCTTGGCCCCATCTCGACCACTGGCAATAAAGCAAAAGTCAAAGTAGGCTTCATATCAGGGCTAGTCAAATGCTACTCAAGAGGAAGCGTAACGTAAATTAAGAATCGTTCTTTGGAAGAAAAAAAAAAAAAAAAAAAAAAAAGAGCAGACCAAAACCACAGCTCTCAAAATAAAATAATTTTGACATAAATACGTTTTCTACCTTTTCATTCCAAATGTAAAAATGAGGCCAACTACCACTGAAAAAATCAAAAAAAATTATACTATATCTGATAGCCAAGCAAGAGATTTGAAGTTGGGAATTACTTTAGTTGCCTAGATATCGAAAAACGTAAATACCCATATTGATCATACAAGAGTTTGATGATCTCTTGCTTTATCATTAGAAATTGAATTTAGATCACCGTCACCACGATTTTAATGGATGCGGTTGATACGCTGAAGTTGACATTCCAGGAGGTAATTGTCTCTTTAATTACTCAAGCCAAAGTATCCATCCCTTTATTTTTGACTGGCGCCTGTTAACGCATCCATGCATCCATGCATGAAAAAAATAATTTTTTTTTTGAACTGAGCTGGATGGACCGAATGCTCTACGATCATTAAATGCTAGTAATAAGAAGATTTTATTAAATATACATGGTAAATATATAAAAAACACACTGTTTTTGGCATCATTACTTCTAGAAAAGCGATCACTGAATCTTTATAAAGAATGTTACACATCACCCATTTATTCTTGCAAATAGTACCACAGTAGTAGTAGATAATCCCCTATTTACTCTTTATAATCACCTGCCACTCTATATTAAAAAATCTCTAGTATTGCACGATATGAATTTGACCGGAAATTGACAGCCTTTGATTGTAAGTTGTTAATGGGAGATTATATACTTTTTTTTTTTTTTTTGAACAAAATACAGACAGCGTCCATAAGCCTTCGATCCATTTTTGGTGAAATAGACCTAGATTCTGCGATGATGACCCTTCCAGACTAATAGCAAGTCTCTGTCAATTGCCTCGCAATGACTATGATAAATCCATCTTTTGGTGGTCAAGGTCTGTGTTGGATTTATGATCACCACAGTTGTCCACGCGCATGATAATGTAAGTGACGTGATTCTCTCATACTCTTGATCAAGTGGGTGAAATTTCCTGGGTATCTTCGACATCCTGTTTTTGAGCCACTTATCCATTGACTCGTCAACACACATATAGCGTCCAGGGCGTACTGATTCAGCCAGTCGGTTTTTGAAAGCCTTCAGATAGGATCGAATTTGGTATTTAGAGGATCTGTATTTGCTTTATAGCAGAAAATTTAGTCGTTTGTTATGTATAATCAATGTATGCCACATATTTACCAACATAATATGTTGCTTTTTGACGAATTACAGTTCCTCATTACGGGCAACAAACACATGAAATCTGGATGTATCATTAGAACCAGTCCTTTTCATCAAATCAATAAAATCAACGTGAAAGGACTACTACTCTTTCTCCAGCACGTTCTCTTGTCCTGGAAGTAAACGACCATCATAATAATCAAACACATAATCCAAGTACCATACTCAGGCCAATCCAAGTCGATCCAAGAATTTAATTGTCTTGCACAGTGATTGATAACCGGGAATTACTACACTTTGAAGGCGACCGTAATGCAAAAAATGACCGAAGATCTCAATGGAGTTTTCTCACCAAGAGAAGGGTTTATGTACTGATAGCTTGTGTCAAGGTGAGTAAAGGCGCTGGTCAATACTGATGCTTCATTCTTCTCAGTTAAGATCCAACGTTTCCTCATTGCTTTCATTCTCACTTTCAATCTGTGAAGCTAATTGAATGGCGTCGTCCAAAAGGTCAGGGGATTCGTCTGTGTTGCTTTTGTTGTAGTTGTTGTCGTTGCTGTTGATTCTGACATCATTTTTGAGGAGGAGTATACCTATAACAAAGACAAGTTATCGGAAGAGCAATGAACGTTGAGGAGCATCAAAGGTCACTTTGCAGTCATTAACGCCATCTTTCTACATTCTCGTGATATTACCCTCAAAGTGTGTTCCTATGGGGCGCTGGTGACGACAAGAAGATTAGCAGAGACAAGGCTGTTTTACGTAAATAGTTCATTTTAGCAAATATAAGACTACCTACAACGATGTTAGGATGAACGCGAGGTATTTGTATGGAGCTAAAAAAAAAAAAAAGACAATTGGGTAAGAAATGTAAAAGTAAAAAAAAAAAAAAAAAATCAAGTTATAAAATTGTTTGGGCGTGTTTCAAAATAAAAAATCGTAACTGAGTGCATAAAAGGGCCCACAGGACAGGTTACACACCACGTCAAAAAGAGACTCAATAACCTTAAATTTAGCAAGCAGATGGACCACATCATATCATGTCATTGTGTCTCTTTGGCTCTTTCTTCTCTGACTTGACACAGGTAAAACCGAAGACACGACTAAAGCGTGTCTTTAATCAGTATCATATAAAAAAACTGGAAGGCGCAATTCTGTGTCTTATGGATGTCAAGTCCTTGAAGGTTCATTTAAACCTGAGCACATAATTTGTAAGTCCCGCTCTTCTGGGAGTAAAAATTCATAAAACTATGTTATGCTTTCTGCAACGTAGCTGCTGATTGTAACTTTATAATCGACCAACATTATTAGCAGAAGTGGTAGAAGCAGAACAAAAATTCCTCCCATAAAGACCCTTTAGAAAATAAAGTCTCAATTAGTGCAAGAAATGTAACAATGGTTGACAATATATATAAGGTTGCTGAGTTGTACAAGTGTCGGAGGTGGTCTTTTTATTCTTTTAGTGTTTCCTAAATGTCAATGTCGACATAAGGCCTTTAATGTTCTCTCTCACTTTTGTTTACCCTTTCTTCCCTTTATTTACTGCGCGTGTTTGCTTTATTTGTCCGTGACTTTTGAAATTTTTGAAGACACTGCGCAGTAAGACCAGTCACAAAACAAAAAAAAAATCGATTTTGTGTGATGGAAAAAAAGGTATATAAAGGGCACAATTTCTGCCAACTCTCGATTTTTTTTTCTTTATCCAGCTTCTGTCTAGCCAGCAAAAGTGCCGTAGTTTTGTCTTGCCAGCAAATCTGCGGTGGGGTCTTTTGGGTGGCGGCGGTTCTAATCTCTTTCCTGCCTCCGGGCGTGTTTGAAACAAGCGAGAGGGTTTTTCATTGGTTGATCATTGGCCAGCAACAGATACGATCAGCAACAGGTACGCACGAGACGATACGAACGAGACGAGTAGATTACCAATGATCAATTAGTGGCGGATTCTCTCCAGAGTTTTAGCACCGGAAGGGTAGACTCATTAGACCAATGCCCCCTTTAATTTTATATTTTAAACTTTTTTTTTCTTTTTTTTTTTTTTTTTTTTTTTGCATAAATAAAACTGAATTTAAAAAATTAAATATTTCTTGAGAGGGGTTTTTTTTTGTATGCGGGATATTAAAGTGATTCTTAAGCATTATGACTGGTATAAAACGTCGTAACGTCTATAATAAAGTCGACAAAGTGACATTCATTCCTTTTACTTGAAAGAATCCTAGGAAGACAAAACAATCTAATTGACTACCCAGTTCAAACCTCCAAAGTATTTAATAAACCCATTTCAAACTGTCGACCAACTTTTTAGAAAAAGCTCCATCAATTGAACAACACACTCACGTAACAACAACAAGAGTGCGGTGTCAGGTAAAAAAAAAACCTGGTCTCGAACACTACATTACTCCTCCAGAAACAACTCTTACACAACAGCCAAAAGGACATGCGTCTCATTATGCAAAAGAATGCGTCCATTGAACAGAAGATTTCGACGGGTTGTTACACCTTCTCAGAAAGCAAAGAGAACAGTATCAGAGTTACAAAGTGATGACTATGTCTGGTTTGTGGTCCGACGTGATCAAGTTATTCAAGGTAAATACTCACCTGTGTTAAAAGAGAGCTTACCAATGCACTTTTAGCGTAGAGACACACCCTTTTTTTTGTGTCCATTCAGAAAACTGGGGAATCAAGGGAAGAGTGTATGCATTAAAAGAATGTTGAAAAGTGAGCTCAAGTAGCGTTACAAGACATGACGGATCAAAAGCAGTTCGCGAGCTAAGAAACGGTCATAAATCAAACAACATCCAATCAAAGAATATACTGGACATAGCGAGTCTGCCTGTGTAGGATTAAACTAACTTTTTCTTGACATAACTCGGGATGACATAGTAGTAATTCTTTATGCAATAACTGAGTGTCACTGTACGATATACTCCAAAATTCAAACTGGTCTTCGGTACACCCTCATTTTGAACAGGTGCTAATCTGATCACGTTCAGCTCAACATCTTTTGGATAAACCAAACCGAAAAATACAACTGTATGACTGATCTAATAGACCAAACATTATCGTAAATAGCACAATAAGTATTCATCCTTCGTTTACTTTAACACTAGCTCTAGGTAGCAAAAAAAAAAAAAAAAAAAAAAAACTGGGAAGAAGAAAATACAAATGCCTGCTCGAGCTCACAAGGTTCTAATGAACAAGATGAAAGAGTGATTGGAGATCTAGTTTATATAAAGAACGTGTTTACAATAGGAGGATTATATGATATGGATGAGTGAATTGCGATATTTGATAAAAAAGGTATGGTAAGGGAGAAAAGGTCTGAAGCTTCAACTACGAACTTATTTGTCAAAATTAAAAAGATCATTGTCTCAATCGTTCACATGCTTTTCCAATAAAGCTCTTTGGAAAGGCGAAGAAGGGGGGGGGGTAGTCCTGCAACTCGCTGTCCCAAGTGTCAGAGGTGGCATTAAAACAATAAGGTGTGATGTATGTGTGTGCTTGGACGTCATTGTTTGTGTGTCAATTTGACCCATTTATGGATCACACACATATACTCTCAGGACAAGTGCAGACTGAACGGGGTGGGTAATAAGCGGATATTAAAATGGGAGGGTGTGGCGTGCTACTAAAAATATGATGGCGATATTGAGGGGAATTTGGTCAGGGGAAGGAAGACTAGAGGGTTTAAAATTAAAGAAAGTTGATCGATAAGCTCAATACATTCTGTCCAAAGAAGTAAACAACTTGTGTGAAAATCAAAAATTGCAACTAATTGTGTAGCCCTCATTCGACCGTTAAAATAAAATATGCATTATAAATAACGCCACACAATATTTTTTTTTTCATCCACTGGATGCCATAACTTGGGTACAGGCTTAAAAAAAAGAGGATGATAATAGACAAGTAAATAGTGTGAACTGATCCCATTGCTAGTCTATATAGCTTCGCCAGGGCCAAAAAAGTTTCTTATCTGTACAATTGTTATTTGCTTTTTTTATTTTTATTTTCAAATGACCGTAAACTTTGTACACATTCAAAGTCCCGCTCCTCCTCTGGAAAAAAGTAACGTGTTGGTTTTTTTCTTTGGTTTTTTTTGCATAACAACGTACACACGGACTAAAATCTTGCTTCGACAGATAATAAGTAATACAAGTATTCTTTCCGAAGGGAGGGAGGGAATAAATATTATTATATCCAGCTGTAAACATGCCGATGCTCGTTTTGGTAGTGCAGCACGAATGCATGAAAAAATAAATTGTGTCACGCCACAATGTCGTACTTTCGCTGCAGCACGAGTTGGCGTAAGAACCAAGTTGCCGCAGTAACTGCGGCTTTATCACCCAAACCATATAAATACATGCATCTTCTTCATCGTTCATAAACTATATTACAACAATGCCCAATATCTCCACTACTCACTCAAACTTAGATCATGCTCCTGCTCAAATGGTTGGTGGTATGAGAGTCAAACAAGCTGCTCATCGTACTAGTCACGCTAATGACAAGAAAGAAGACGCCACTTCAAATAAGGAGGATAATGAAAAGAAGGACGAAGAAGAGAAAGAACGTATTCGTCAATACGACCTTCATGCCCATACTGCCTCTCGTCAACCAGATGTTTCCAAAAATGCTGGCTCCAACGTCAAGCAACATATCCATCCCGTCCAACCCAGATCCGTAAACCATTAATTTTTTTCGTTTACCGTGCAGCTGTTGCGGCTGAATGATTATAACAAGTAAATAAATTACACAAGTATTTTGCCTTTAAAGAAGACACTTCATATTTTGACAGTAGCGGATGTACAAAAGCTACCGCCCAAGATAACGTTTTTAATGAGGATGTCGATGACTTTCTTTTTTTTTAAAAGAAACGATAAGCAACTTTAACCGTGATATTTAAAAACAATTATGCAGCTCTCTAAACTCAGTGTTACATTGACAAAAACGCCTATTTCTTTCTTCAAAATGCTCACAAACCAACGATTCAGTAGTTTCAGCAGAACAACGAACGTTGACATTGTCTCTGATTATGAAAATGAGATCGATCCCGCGTTAAAAGACTACAGCAACGCCAAGATTAGTAGTCTAGAGCAAAAGATGGCAGAAAGAACTCATGATATGCAATTACAAAATCAGTTTGTAGATTCTATTGAATAATTTCTGAAATGACCTCCAAGTAGCTGTTGATGAGTACAAGAAAAAACTGGTTGGTGTCTCCACACCGTTTTCTTTCATCGCCTAACAACCGGACCAATACATGGAAAACACGGAAGAAGCGACACAAAATACAGAAGAGATAACACATGATACAGACAATCAACAAATAACTGTACGAGACCCACCAGTTTATGAGGATCAAACTTGTAAAGCTTCTAGTTGTTGTGGTCGTAAGAGACATGCAAAAAGAAAGAAATACGTTAGTAATATGATTCTCTAAATTGTTAATCTGTATCTTAAACGCTTCCTTTTTCTTTCTCACTTTTTCAAATAGAAGTAGTAGCACAAAAAGTATTTGATCACGATGTTGACATAATTAGAGGAAATATTGGATACACGCATCCATAGGATGAATTAAGAGAAGTCATCTAAAAGGAATTCATGTCAGAAGACGAAACAGATTATGAGGATAGTAGTTGTCCAAAAGTATTCAAGGTTGGAATACCCAAGTACCGAAGTGTCATGGTGGGAGTCGTCACCAAACCCCCATCATTTTTAATAGTTGTAACTAATTTCATTGATTGAAAAATTAAAATATATATTCGAACATCTGGATAAGGATTGTAGTTAAAGCAGATAGAAGAACCGCAGAGGTTAGTGACTTAGCTATTTTACAATCAGCTTTACCATGGATGCTGGAGGAATTCGACCCGGTGAATCTGGAAGATGATATCTAAAAGAAAAGTTGTACTGTACAAAGACATCATGTATAAAAATACAACAGATGTGTTACTACTAGTGCTGTAATACTCGTGTAAGGTATATCCTCTAGTTAAGCTTATAGTGTTTGAGGTTTTACTTGTAGCATGAACAAAGTGAATTGCGAGAGCTATTATAAAACATGTATGGCTCGCGATATTTTATATGGCACTCAAGAGGCTATAATTAGAGCCTTATTTTCCTTGCTGAGCTTTCATAAATGTCACGACATGTTAAAAAGCTTATACCCATATCAGTAATACAATTGTCATGTCGCTTTCGTATTGAAAAGGGTCACTAAGACTAAAAGCAGTAGTTGGTAAGTATTACTTTGTAACTTAATCGGTAAAGTTACCGACTTTTAATCGGTATTAATTATTAGGGTTAGAATCTCTACAACCTCAGTTTTTTATATAAAGTATAAGTAAAGCCCGTTACTCTAGTTGACTCGTTCATTTACTACTACATTATTTTCAGAAAATACTAGACCATGCTTGACCTGCGATAGTAGGCTTAAATAATTCTAGTTACAACGTTGACGAACATTCCTAATGTTTGCTTGGTCATTTTGGGTCCTTGCTCTCCTCCGTTTGTCCTGGGAAGCCTCTCCACGTCGAAATCTTAAAGAGAATGTCATTTCCAGCACGAAGTGAACGAACAATATCAACCATGTTCAAGCAAGCAACTATTTCACAATTCCATAGACGAGGAACAATCTTATTTGTGTTATTAGTCATGGCTCTACAATTTTGATTTGTACATCTGTCATAATAACAAAAAAAAATTATTGGATAAAAAAGCTATCAACTTGTAGACAGCCGGGACATGACACTAGGCAATGTTCCCAAAGAGTCAGGTCGTAAGCTACTGGCTTATCTCAACAATCTCAGCAACAGCAACAATCACCATGAGCGTCTATTTTTTCTGTCACATAAAACTCTCAAAACATCAATTGCCGAAAAAAAAAAATTATCGATGGGGTTTATTGCATTGTACATTATTTAAAACCCAATCCGGCCCAATAACAGAATTTATAAAATTTCCTTCGCCTTTTCAACTTACCTTCCCTGTTATTTGTATAAAAAGTCAATGAACATCTCACTTTGTTGTGCTATTCCTAATACTTTAACAGCTACTACCGAGACCTACGCGACTGTGATTCAAGAATATGTTTCCAAACATGGTGTAAAATGGAATTTCAACAAGCATCAAGATGCTCCTACTGGAAACTTAAATGGTAGACAAAGACATCCAACCTATGTCTTCAGAGAATACTATGTATGCCATCGTCCAGGATCTAAAAGAGTACATGTTGGTGTTGTCCGAGGTGGTGCTTCCGGTCAGATACGCGGCTTGCAAAAGAGAAGCAAGAAGATCAACTGCCCAGCCACTTCAAAGGTCGTCTGTTCGCCAAGTGATCCTTCAATGGTTACAATTACTCATTCTGATAACCACAACCACGAAATTGGAAGTAGCGAATTGCCATTTTTGCCTGTATCAGTCTCCGTAAGGGCTTTGGTCGAGGAGCGTCTCCGGGAAGGCTATAGTCAAAGAGAAACCAGAGTGAACATTCAAAGAAATTTAATGTCTCACATTAGAAATAATGTTCTTGCTGGTGATAGCACCCACCGTGATACTTTGATCCATGCTGATGAAGTCTACAACATCTACAAAAGAATTCAAGAAGCAAGCTATCAAAGACATCAAAATCAACACCAGTCTGTCCGTGCTTGGTTAAGCGAGCTTCAACAAGAGAATTTCGAGACTTTTGAAGGCCGCGATTTCATGGATTCGTTTTCTTTCGGTTTTATTTCCCCTTTCCAGAAGAATCTCCTATTTCAAGCTCGTAGTGTATGTCTTGACGCCACCCACAGCACTACCAGTTTTTCAAACGGAATCCTCTATACGATTGTCACGCGCCATCCCTTGACTGGCACTGGTTGTCCTGTTGCGTTCTTTTTCACCATCGATCAGTCCATGGGTCCATTGGCTAACTTCTTGAGGTTCCTGAGAAATCAAGTTGGGATCTTGAACATCGAGAAGATCACAATCGATGTCAGTAGTACTGAGTTGGGTGCGATTCAAGCAGTATACCCTTCGGCAAGTGTGCAATGGTGTTTGTTTCATGTGGCAAGAGCTTGGACAGGGAAAATCCGACAATTGGTCAAGCCTGGTGATACCCATCACAACAACACCGTTCAGAACAAGATCATTGCGGATCTGAAGGCAATGATGTGGGAACGTGACAGACCTGTCTTCACAAGAAAACTCACAGCATTCATCACCGTATACTCCGAGTATCGCGATTTTTTGCAGTACTTCAAAAGTCGGTACCTGGAAGACGATGCGTTCATGCGATGGTCCGCCGCATACCAACCGGCCATGTACACTAATATGGAGACGAACAACTATGTGGAGAGTTGGCACAACCAATTGAAGACGAATTATCTTGGCAGAAAAAGAAACCGTAGAGTTGATCGACTGGTGTTTGTTTTGGTGAAGGACGTTCTGCCCGAGTATGCTAACAACATCAGTCGTATCTTCTCGAAAGTTGGAAGAATGGGTCCTGAAGAAAGACGACATCGAACAAGAGAGATGCAGGCAGAGGCTATCAGTGCTGATGCTTTGGAACAAATGATCGAAACTGCGAGAGCTGATTCTGATGGTAGAAGTGTTTATGTTGTTTCTTCTTTCTCGACTTCTGGTGTAAGTTATGATGTTGTGGTGGAAGATCTACAAATGATCACTTGCAGTTGCCCTGACTTCCGCTTTAACAATATCGCATGCAAACACATGTATTTGTTGAAGCGTGATATGTCCATGTTCTCTGTATTTGAAGGTAAACATAAATACTATTGAAATCTTTACGGCTTCAAGTTTTTACTAACCTTAAATTGAATAGTTTCTTTCGACCCCACCTTCTCAACCATTCCCCAGAACTCGCCTGATAGCTCAGCTCTTCTTACTCCAACTGAACAAGCTTCCCCCATCTCCTCAAGCAATTCTTCAACAGAATTTGACACTCTGCTTTCGAGCATTCATAAACTTAAACGCCAACAATATACTTTGACCGAAACTGAGCTTGAAGAATTAAACAGCTTCAATCAATGGTTTCTCTCTCGTATCCACTCTTCAAACATTCCTCCTAATTCTAATTTTACTACACAAAGATAACCAGAAAAAATTAATAAACAACAAAAGCAAAGCAGTCTTCTACTTTAAAAACCCTCAAAAACGACGGCTAGGGAGTCCCGTCATCAAGCATATGAAAATTTTGATTATGAAGCTTTTTTTTTTGCATTTTCCATCCTCACACTCTCTGGTACGTAACTAAGGTGTTGCTGTACATCAGGGTTACTCGATGAGCATGAGTGTATCTTCACGACTAGATCGTATTGCTCTCCTCTTGTTTGTTTGCTCTATAAAGACCTAATGGGTGGCCAGAAACTCTTTGTATGATAAAGTAACATCCCTTGCTTATTGGCTCTGCAAAGACTTGATGGGCTGGATCAGATAAATTCTTTGTATGATTGAGTAACGCCCCTGCCGTTATGCTCAAGTGTATCTTTACGACTTGATCGTATCGCACTCCTTGAGTATATTCCTACTAAATGCCGAATAAGCTGGTGTATGAAATTTTTTTTGTGCATCTGACGATAACCCGTTTAAGTAGAGGCTGCCTGATGTATTGCACATTATATATTATGCTGATTTTAAAATATCACATTACTAACTAGTTCATCATCGTCTATTTATTTTATTATTATTTTTTTACTTTCGTGGTTACTGAGAAATTTGGAAGTATTATATCACTACAGCAAGACAATATCTCGCAACATTCACTAAAGACTGATACTTACAAGTGTTTACGGTAGTTACTACTTGGCAACTTATTAGAAACATGTCAAGCACAAGCATTTCCTTATTGTGTGAAGCAAGTATGTCGACCACCAAACGATTCAATTTACTTCTAATATTTTCTATTCCAAAGGTGAAGATGAGTTGTCCACATGAAAACTACTTCAAAATCCCGCACGTCAAATCATGGAAAGTATTAGACTTGTTTCGATCATTGCTGGCTGGTTATACACCAACTTCATACGATTGCATGTCATATTACGCACATGGATGGAATCAGCATTTGACACAGAGTTGAATGGTGGTATTCTTTAAGTAAAGGGATGAAATCTATCCGTATTCAGTGCACACCTTCCATAGTTGAAGTATTTTTTACTAGACTTTTAATTCCAGAAGACTTTTTTTTTTCCAAAAGGATTTCTTTTATGATTTAATAAAATGAAAAAGTCTGTGGTATATTGTTCCTGGTGCGTCCTCATCTACTGATGTCGATTCATCGATTGAGGAAAAATTGAATTCATATATCAATTGAGTTACGCAAATATTTTATTAGCTAGATTCAAATTCTTCACAACATCGTGTTCTACCCACAGAAGAAATAATGCAACTGGCAAAAATTTTGTCCATCGACGCACCTAAAGAAATTAGCCAAATTGAGTGTCTTTTACCAATTGATACAATCAATCCCAAATGTTGCAAACAGAAAATCCTCCGGTTCTCTTTGGCGTAAGCTTTCTCGCTCCCATCTCTCCCTCCTCTCATATTTTATTCTCTTGTATTCCAATATCATGTATGACTTTTAAACAAAGCATAGCCAAGTCATTCATTTCTATATAAAGGTTTTTAAACTAATTTCATTTATAAAGTTATTGAGATTTATCAAATAGTTAATGCGGCAGTACGACTTTTAAATTTCTGATTTTTGTGAAAAGAAAAGAATCTACGACAAATGCGATTTTGCCTGGTCAAAAAGCGTCAACTGACACTGGAGGCACTATAAGTGACCAAATGAGGGTCAAAAAAGTGACCGGTTGACGGCAATTTAACATTTGTACCATTTTAACTAAAATAGGTTGTATTTAATCTATTGGTGCAACTATAAACTTTTTTTATTTCAAATCGATCATTTACATAAGTGTCGAAAATAAGTGGTGTCTATACTAAAGCAAAAAAATTCAGAAAGCTTCTGGTACAAAATAATGGCTTAAATTATTCTTCTATTGAAAAAACATTCAACTAATGCCCCAACAAGAATATTTAATACCTATAAGGGTGCGTGACCTAAATTGTATGCATAGTTGATGACTGTGCGCTTTTTTTTTTGGAAAAAAATATGACAAATTTCCTTACACCCCTGCATGATTGGGGGAAGTCAATTATTTGTACCTGAAAAAAATTTCCTGGTAACAAAATACGAATTACAGCTCCATTTAAAAAAAGTTTTAATATATGTACAAAAGAAAAAAAAAAGATGTATATTTCTAATAGGGTAATTGTATAGTGATATTCTCTGCGACAGCAATACCTTTGGTCACTACGGATTCAGCACTGGCAACACAACCCTCTAGTAATGGGATGCCTTTCCAACAATAAGAACCTACAAACCAGATACCGTTTTTGCCTTGACATGGACCTAAGGTAGGCTCTGATTCGTCCTTTGTGGTTTGAAATAAGTCTTGCAGTGCTCGTTTGGATTGTAAAGTGACTGTGGCACGCTCAAACCAGGTGACAGACAGGATTTTCTTTGGGTCTACAGCCAGACAAGGATTGGTTGTTTGCATGTATACACTGCCTTTACTGATACTGCTGTGAGTCATGTTTAAAATGTGGGTTGCCATGGTAGTATCATGAGGAAAGGGTACAATTAAATGGCTCTCTCCAGGATCGACCGATTTATCCACGATGGCCAAATTCAGGGCCCTCCAGTTACTCGGGTCAGTAGGGAGCAATCTGGTGTCAGTATGATTGATGACGAGGGCGGAATCATAGTGGAATTTTTTGAGCATGTCCATCTGAAGCTGAACAGATTGGACTGATTCTGTGTACGCTTGAAGTGAATTTGATTGTTCTTTCAAAGCATTGGTATAAGCTTGTAGCATGGAAATAGCTTGGTTTCCCTGAGTTGCAAAAATAATATGATCGACATCGTAATTTTCACCATGTTCATCGATCAATCGAAATTTTGTTGTTTTGTTGGGTTGAATGCTCATAATTTGTGTGTTCAGGTGAACGTGCTTGAGCGGAGCAGATATGGTTTGTACCACACGTTGCACGCCGCACGCAACAATGTAAGATTCCTGGAATAAACCAACTGCCATGTACTCTATAAAAATAGATATTAGTGTTTTATAACAATGAATTGTATACAATTTTTTTACCGAGAATATCAGAGGCTGGATACTTTAGCATGGAATCATATGAATTTGTACATACAGCAGCAAACAAAGGCACAAATATCTCATGAACAAAAAACGGGTGAAATTTATATGTTTTAAAAAAATCGCCCAAGGTCATGTTACAAATGGAATGGTCGGGATCTGTTAAATGACCGGCATGGTGAAAGTAAAGAGAGATGGCCATTATCCAAACATAAGACATGGCAACAACAAAAGCTCTCCAGAGAAAATTACCTATCTCTGTTAGGTAGTCCCAAAAGGTTGTAATGGTATTGGATGTGACCATATCTAAATAACCCACAGTACGTGCACCACTGTACACTAGGTAGGAATTATGGTCGGTGTATGAAGCTACTTGGGATGGATCTATCGAAGATTGTCTCTTCTTTGCCGATTGCATGATTCTGTACCAACCAAAACTGAAATTGGCTTTTTTAGCTGGAATATCGAGATGCTCGTATAACTTTGATAAATGAGAGTAATAACCTAATCCTTTTGTGTTTAGTATTATGAAAAATAGGGTGGATTTCCTAGGTCACTTTACCAGACATGTAGGAACGCATAGGTACCTGTTATTTTTATGATAAATTAGGAAAGTGGGGGACTAACAGGTATTTATTGTCTTGTTTGCTTACATCAATTCTGAAATCTTTCTCGGGTCCAACGGAAATAGAAGCAGCATCCATGCCTAATTCTGTATTCTTTTCAAACACATGGACTTCAAACTTTTTATCTCCCTCGATATGGCCTTGGGTTAACAAGTAGGCTGCTGAAAGTCCTGCTAAACCAGACCCAATCACAGCTACCTTGACTGTATCACTCATAATAAAAAGTATAAAGAAAAAAAAAATAATAAAAAAGGGGAGGGAAAGAAAAGACAATGGGATTTTTGCTTTTTAATTTGATCCCCCAACCGCGAATTATCCTTTTTTAAAACAAAAAAAAATAAGGGTAAAATAGCAGTCACGTACTTTTTGCACTCTCAGTGACGTTTTTGTCCATTTTAAGGATTTTGGCTCAGTAGGAAGAAAGAAAAATATTCTTTTTAAGACCATTTTAACTTTTAAATATGCTAGAATCACCCATTTTTAATGTAAACCATGCAGGGCTTACATTTGATTTTGAAGAATTCATTAAGAACGAACTTGGTTTAAAACTCGATAATCAGACCAAACGAGAAGGTAAGAGATACAGAAACACACAGAACAAAAAATGGGACAACTAACAACAGACATTAGATGAACCCATTTGTAAATACTATCTAAAAGGAACTTGCACAAAAGGCTCCAACTGTCAATTTAGACACAAGGGATACGATCGTGACAAGTCTGTTGTCTGTAAACATTGGCTGCGTGGACTGTGTAAGAAGGGCGATGGGTGTGAGTTTTTGCATGTGTTCAACATGAAGAAGATGCCGGAATGTTGGTTTTATTCAAAGTATGGTGAATGTTGTAATGGAGACGAGTGCATGTACCTTCATATTGATCCCGAGAGTAAGCAAAAGGAATGCCCCTGGTATGCGCGTGGATTTTGTAAACATGGTAAGTTGTGTTATAGGATCAGATATTTTGTATAAAATGCTGACTAAATTATGCGGGTGTAGGGCCTAATTGCCGTAATAAACATGTCCGAAAGCTTGTGTGTCAGAATTACCTGACAGGCTTCTGTCCTGATGGTCTCAACTGTCCTAATGGCCATCCTAAATATGAATTACCAGTCATGTATAATAATCAAAACGAAGGATCTGGAGATCAACCATCGCAACAGCCTTACCAGCATATCAACCATAATACCCAAGATGAGGATCATCATACAAAATCGTTTAGCAGACAACCTCATTTCCAACAAGGCACACAACAGCAACAGCAGCAACAAGGGGGACAACCAGGTAGTTTTAGAAAATTAGAGGATGTTACTTGTTACAAGTGTGGACAGCAAGGTCATTACGCCAATAGATGTCAACAGGGACGACCTGGCCCACCTAAATAAAACTCGATGCTTGTTTCCTAATTTCTGTATGCAGAGACACATCCAATGAATTATTTGAAACATTTTTTTTTTTTGTGGTGCATATGAGATGCTGAAATAAATATTTTTACGACAACAAATAGTGTTTTAATTTAACCTTTGTAGAATTCCATAATAGAAATAACAGAATTTTTTTTGATGTGGAAGAGACACATGCGAAACAAAGAAAAGAGGTCTGACATTAAAAATGTTTAGTCTGTTCTCGACCCACTTGCCTTTTGTGATTTAGCCAAGCTTCTTATCCATAAAAAAATTGAGACATGTTTGTTTCCCGTTTTGTCCGACCCGAAAACATTGATCTACACACTTATAAAAAGGACCTTGGTTTCTTATATTTTTTTATTTTTCATTGTTTTATATCGCATTAAATAACTCATACACATATGGACTCTGTACCTTCTTATAACCGCATTATTTTTGATAAAATTTCAAAGGGTCCCATCACTAGCTACTTATTAGGTACATAACATTTAAAGAATACACATTTTGTTATCATATAATTAACAATTGGTACCAAATAGATTATGTGACTAGAGAGTATGAAGCCATTATATCGTGTCCGACAAGTAATAAAAGACACCGCAGTGACAGTGTAGAAGACTGTTATAACCATAGCAAATCATCTCGATTACAAATGTCAAATAGCGGGTTACCATCACCACCGTTGTCATCACCCGAAAGCAAATACGAATATAATACCAATCATATTTCGCGACCTCCGACACCACCTTATAGTAATAGTGTGCCGCTGCGGTCCTATATCGAATCTGTGGTTGAAAAATCGCGCATTGATACTGGCACGCTGTTAACATCGCTGTCGTATGCCCGCCGCTTAAAATCCAAATTAGCCAGCACATCCAAGGGCATGGAATGTACCCATCACCGGATTTTCTTGGCAACCCTTATTATCGCATCCAAATATATCCACGACACTGCTCTTAAAAATAAATATTGGGTGACTTATGCTCAAATGTTTTCTGCCTCTGAAATCAATTTGATGGAGAAGCAATTACTACAACTCTTGGTAAGTTACTTGTGTGTCATTTAAAGTCAAATAAAGCATGCTAAACTCTTTCTTTCTGTTTTTTTTAGGACTATAACCTAGAAATCAAATGGGCCGAATACAACGTCATTGTGAATGATACCGTTCAAGTCTATTTCCAAAATAATTACTCGAAAGAGTCTGTACCTCCCCTTCCTCCTCCTTCATCTCAAAAATTTCACACTCATAATCTATTAAATCGCTTAAATCCTTTACCTACGTAATATATCACAAGCTTTCTCTTTCCGGAAATAATAAAACTTTCATTCTTTTTTTTTTATACGTCATCTCGCACAATTTTCATTGATTTATTCGTGATACATCGTTTTTTAAAAGGCCGGACCCCTCCACGCATGAAGCCATACATGCATATTTTACTTCACTGGCACAAAAAAAAAAAAAAAAAAAAAAAAATGCCCATGTTCATTATCAACGGGATTGGGGACATGTTTTCAACATCCGTGAGATCCTTAAAAAAAAAGCTTAAATAAGACTATCGGGCACAAAAAAAGCAAGCTAAAACAGGGAACCTTCTAAAAAAGTGATTGTCTTTCCGCGAATAAACCAGATCCGAATTACATCCAAGAAGAAAGGAAGGAACACCGTTAGCAAACGATATGCACATATATGACTTTAAAGATGAGCTCATCTTCCCACCCAGGACGTTTCATTCAAATGTATAGATGAAAAAAAAAAGTCAAGTAGCTGGGGTTAAACCAAATCAGCTAGGACTAATTAAATCGTTGACGCTAATTAATCACCTGGGGTTTTGCTTAAAAAAAAAGGGATTAGCACCCATTTGAAAAAGGGTTCCACTTTACGGCAGGTCCGAGAGCATGCCATCCATAGATGGTCCAAATAGTAGATCAATAGTAAATGATCTCCCGCGTTCTGTCAGTGCTTTCGTTTTGCTCTAGGTCTAGGCATCTTTTTTTGTTTGTTTTCCCACAAACATGAGTAAAAAACGTTCAAATGGTCTTTTTTTTTTCACAAATATTGATACATGAAAGATTTTCAATGTACGATGCAAAATTTTAATAGATACGCACTGAAAGTACACCAATAATGCACATACCCGACATACAAAAAAAAAAAGATCTTCAATAAACAGTTTTTGGGTAGTACTCCATGTCTCACGTTAGTTCTCTTTTAGTCCTGATTGGCTAATTACGATTTGTTTAGGATTAGACAACAAGTAAGTTTGTAAACACTTGATTTCAACAGGTGAAAATCAATCATATTCCCCCCATTGAATCACATGGGTATTTCAAGCAAATATGATTATAAAGGAGTGTTTGGTGCAACCTTTTCAGAAACTATCCATACGCTTGAGAGAAAAAAATCACACACTTTAGGGATCAATCATAAGCAACCGTAGAGAACTGTGTTAAGCCTCATGTGGCTGTGAAATGTTAAGAACCATAGCTTTGATAATGATCCAGAGAAGGATATCTCCGTAATTTAAGTTACGAAATTGAAAACCAAAAACTCAACCACAATTATGTTCTGAATTGGCATATTAGCATTTCTGCTTAACCAAATAGCATACTCAACAAAGTTCATTTCTCGATTGGTGGCATTCAACGTTTCGTTTAACAGGGCTTCTTGGGACATTTGATTTCACAGAACTATCACGTATATGTACAAATTAACTGACCATTTGTACATTTAAGGGATGAGTCACTATTTCCTAAAACCGTTTTCTTTGATTTTCTTCTATCATGAAAAAATCATCTTACTAAGTCTGCCCAATTAAGGATGGCACAAGCTCTTTGTATGACTCAGCAAAACGGTTCATTGATAGGCGAATGGACCCGCAGGTCTTTCGTGTCAATCTAAGCCTTGTTGAAATTTAATGTTCCTTGACACTAGAAATTGACGAGTTACAGATTCCTTTTTATGTATAGATGAAGTTGTATTTACTACACAAGTATATGATCTGTGCCTTCTCTTCCTGTTATTTAACTTGATTCTCGACATAAATCAAATATGCCCATACAAATTATCAAGGGAATATAATTCTTATTAAATAAATCTATATCTGATTGTTAAATCATTGATAAAATGAATATAAGATAAAGTTGTCTTCATTTTTGTAAGGAGGACCCTCCAAAAAGTTTGGTCTAAGTTTATATTAGATTATTAGAATATTTTGTAACCAAACTTCCATTTGGTAAAAAAAACAAAAAAAACGGTACCTGTGAGGTAGACGATTACAATCAATGGGGTGATAGTAACAATGATAATAACAACTCAAAAGTCCTCTGGCAACAACAGGAAGAAGTAAACCGAGTCAGCACTGACATTTCTATTTCCTAACAAAATTACATTTGCAGTCCCTTAGCAACCACCACTACAGTAGAAGGCATTGGAAAAATAAGTTTAGCAAATGTAGCTGAAACCATGACACTTTCTGATTACGAATCTAGCAACCATAGATATTCGAGTTCTTTCTCACCATTCAAGCTCAATACCTTTGGATCGAAAGAGTTTCTCCTCACATATACCCACTTGCGCTCTCCGATATCATGTTCATAGGAAAGAATCCATGCGATCCTAAATCACATAAATTAACTATTTTGAAGAAGCCATTAGAAGAATTTTCTTTACTACGTATGGTTCTTTCGGCTTCTACCAGTTAGATCATAAATTTCAGCTAATGTTACAACCACTGATAATATCAGCTGTTGTTCGTTGTCCAAACTCAACACCGAAAACAAAATTTATCAGCATCAATCAGTGACAGCACGGATAAGGCTATGATAACATTATCACAATCCATTAAATTTTGGTGTAGAGGCATTACCTTTCAATTGAAGCTATGTTTCCAAATCTTGGCTTGCCTTTTGTGGACGTGTAAGGTCTCCAGCCCTTTCCCTATCCATAAAGCTGGTATACCTCTTAGCATAATTTTGTTAAACTGAACAAAGCGGTTAAAAACGACAGTAGTTATGTGATAAACATGTGCAGATAGCATTCTGTTGTACTCAGTGACTCAAAAAATTTGAACAGTGTTCATATTATATATTTCCCTAAACTCACAGACTCTAAAATTCTTACGTCGCTAGTTTAAGTTCTTGATTAACAACTGATCTTTAATATTAGTAATTTGACCTAAAGATAATGGGTGAAATATAAGGACCTTCTAAGTTCAAAGTAAATGTAAAACTTAATTTAATATTACAACAGAAGATTACTTCGAAACCTGTCCACTGCATAATTAACTATGTATTAAGTCAATTTAACTTGGCTCAATTATGTAACTGATACTTTATACTCAAATTATGTTCAACAATACATAGAATTTCGATAACAGATGGCTTACACGTTATCATCAGTATCATTTCTCTTGTATATAGACAACAAGGTTAATGTTGATCATACTAAATCTTGAGAGCTGGAAATAGATTCTATAGCAATGGTATTGGTTTACGTAACGCACATCAGTGATTTCGTTGCAAAAATATTCCTCTCGCGCGAGCAAATCGTATGTGATTAAATTATTTGTATAAACATTCATATCGAATGTCTGTAATGGCAATGTGTGTTAAAAAGTTATTCAACTAGCCAGTAATTGTTACAAAGTCATATCATGATTGCAACCATCGGGAATTTTTACATGGTTAATTTGTGAAGATCCATATATAGACCACTACAGTCAGGAGGGTATCCTATAAAACATTTATAGGTATTCGAAAGCTTTTCCATAAAACAGTTCAATCTAATATCGCTATTATAACTCTTAACATGACAGAGACACTTACTTTCTGAGTACTTTGTTCTCGCTCGATTAGTTCTAACATCTGTTGTTATTTATTCTAAAATATAAAACGATATCGAGAGCAACGGCAGTGCAGCAAAAACCACAAGAGTTTAAAATCGGAGAGTCTCTCTTACAAATACACATATGGTTACACGTGTTTTTTATTCTTTGCAGGAATGATACATTTGACAATTTCACCCAGCATAGATGTTTTTTTTATTTTTTTTACAGTTTTATTTGTTTTTTTTTTCAATAAATTACAAATATTTATAGACAAGGAAAGGGATTGCTGTGTATTATATTTAATCTGAGAAAGTGGGAGAAGCGACAACAGCAGCAGCTTCAGGTTGACGTTGTTGTTGTTGTTGGGCAACTGGTGAGTTGACGTTCAATAACAAGGTGTCGGAATCAAGCATGACCTTGTTACCGGAACGAGCAATGACACTGGCGATTTCACGAGCAGCTTCGATTCTCTTTAACTCAAGGAAACCGGGCTTGTTCTCGATGGCTTGACCAATCAATTCAGCAGACTTGGCCTCACCTTGAGCGCGCACAATAATCGATTGCTTCTCTTGGATAGCTTTGTCGACAATGAAGGCAGCACGTTGAGCATCTTGTTGAGAAATTTGCTTGGCTTCAACAGCAGCTTCGAATACAGGTGAAAATCCAACATGTGTAATAGAGACATCATCTAAAATAATGTTGAAACGCAAGGCACGACGCACCAAGTTCTCACGAACAAGACGAGAGACGCGCTCACGTTGTGTAATCAATTGAGAGGCAGTGAATTGAGCAACAACTGACTTTAAGACTTCGTTCACAATCGAAGGCAAGATACGTTCATCATAATCTTGTCCAAGTGTACGATACACAGTAGCAAGCTCATCCACGCGAGGCTTGGAAAGTACACGACAGGTAATGTTGACCATTTGTAAATCTGTCATATATTCATCAATCAAACTATTCCCCACTAACATTAAATAAAATCTCCTCTTATATATTCTTACCCTTGGTACCGGTCAAAGAAGCAACATTACGAGGCTTTGCACGGACATCGTAAGTAATGGGTGTTTCGAACCAGGGGATCATGAAGTGAGTACCTTCGTTATAAACAGTGTTTTGGACACCAAATAAACGAGTATACTTGATAGCTCTGTGACCACCATCAACTAAACAAAGAATATCAATATGGGATAAGGAAAAATTTATTTCAAAGAAAGAAAATTACCGTTGAAAAGAGAGGCATTGACACCATAACCTAAAGCACCCAAAATGACAAGAGCACCAGTGGCGGCACCAGCACCTTTACCGGCACCTTGAGGGAAAAGACCTCCTAATCTTTGTGCTGCTTGCTTTGCTTGTTGAGCCATTTTTATATTAAATTGAGTTAAAAAGAAGAAAGGAAATTTTAAACCCTGCCAAAAAGTTAACATCGTCCCTTGACGTTGCGCTTATCCAATTAAAATCTATTCCTGGGTTTGAAACAGGTTTTTGTTTGTGTGTGTGTGTGTGTTTGAAATGGGTGTAGTTTTTTTTTTATGCGTATTATTTTTCATTAATCAAATAGAATCATGGATCTCAACTTTTTTACTGATTTGCAGAACTCGCTTGAACAAGAAACGAATAGAAAAGATGTACATTAGGTTGAAATAACAATTAATAGAATGATATTAATCGTTTGAAACAATGCATAGGAAATTCGTTCAACTGTCAAGGAACTTGATCGTGCCTGCAGAAAACAAAACGCGACATTGAATCAAATTCACGCTGATCCTACAGGACCAGGTAAGAATACACTTTTATAAAAAGACTCCCGGAGCTCACTGTAAGATTCTTTTAGTTCCTGCTGTTGATTTCAACGAGATCAAGCAAACTTTACATTCATTGGCAGCATTGATTCCTGACAATGAGTTTTACAAGTATAACGATTTGTGGTCCAGATCCACACAACAGGCTGTATTTTTGATTATTTTCCAATCTTATTTAACAAGAGGTGAAATCATAAACATCATTCCTGTTGTCGAAGAAACCTTGGGTGGTAAAGATGTCTCTCTTTTAAACTATCACTCGTTTTAAATTTTTTATTTCTTATTCGCAGTCAAGGTGGATATTCATAATAATTTGAACGAATTTCATATTCAGCTTGAAGATATCCTCCATGCCTACATCTCCTTAATTAGTGAATTGGTATGACACTCATTAAGGTTTATACGTAATCTCGCTAATCTATCTTATAAATACACAGTCTAGATTATCAGTCAATGCTGTTACAGTGGGAGATTATGAAAGACCTCTTATTATTTCTAAGCACGTCAAAGATCTCAGTGCTGGATTTCAAGTATTGAACTTGAAGAACGACATGTTGCGTAAAAGGTAGTTTTTTTTAAAAATAAGAGTAGATTGGATATTAAAAGGGAATATGGGAATAGATTTGATGGTATCAAATACGACGTAAAGAAAATTGAAGAGGTTGTGTATGACATTACATTGCGCGGATTACATCAATCAAGCAAGAAGAGAGCCTTGGATACCGGAGAGGACGATGTAGATCAATCAAAGATTAAAAAAACTGAATAAACCTTTTCGGGGGTCAAATTTGGTTTTAAAAAACCGACCTTTAAACCAAATCCAAACACAAGGTTGGGGGTGGGTGGGTGGGTGGGGCGAGAGAGAGAGAGTGCCAAGCAAAAGGGAAAAAAATAAAGAGGTAAAGGCAAAATGTATTGGTCTACATGGTCATTTACATTATTACCTGTTATAGGCTCGAGCTAATTTTTGACAGCGCATTCATCCTCGAAATCGAACATTTTTAAACATAGCAGGGCACTAGTTTAAAATAAAATGTCTCAAATTTTAAGGTATCCGTAATGTTGTACCTTTCAGCACTTCAGTGTTACTTGACGCGGTTTGTATGATAAAAGTTTCTTGTTTTTATCAGAAATAAACCGATAGATGAGGAGATTACTCATCTAAATATGCACTGTGAACAAAAACTTTCGAATCAAGTTTACTGCTCTAACTATGTTACATAATACTTGTATCTGTGATATTTAAATAAGTCGCTCATTTGGTTGTGCGATTAATGATCTGTTCAAATGTATTAACAGAAAGTAAATTGATAAGCAAGGCATATAACAGTTGTCTCAATTTTCATTTGTAGTAGGGTGTGTATTTCTTGGATGACAGCTTTTGGCGATCATCAGTTAAATGCCGGGCACACGGAGATGAGAAGAAACATTTAAAATCGAGAGTATAAGTGGAGAGAAGGCCGCTTCTGTAGACGACACCATACTGTTGATGCCTCTTTCCAGCTACGACATGTTGACACGACATTTAGGCATAGTTCTGAAATAGGCTGGATAGGGAAGAATTGTTGATCACCGGTCTTGTTTCTAGGATACACGCCCTTTTAGAGCTAGCTCGAAATTATTCACGAATGCTACAGATAGTATTCAAGTCTACTGTTCGACGTGTTACGATACCTTTCAATTCATTCCTGTAATACCACCATGATACAGAGACATCAATGATACAACAAACATGCATCACATTTAAAAAAGTGTAGTTTTGACATGAGAAAATCCCACTTTTAAACAATGAACAATAGCAAAAAGTTTTTTTACAGTTAACTCGGTGAAAAATGACTTTAAAAAAGTGGTTTCCTTTTTGGTGGCAGTTCTCCGGGAGGGTGTGCATGCTATTCTCGCTGTTATCTCTAATTTGTATAGGATTAGTCACTTGGTCGTGTTAAGCATAGTTCTTATCTTTTTTTTCTCTCTCTTTCCTTTTTATGCATATACATATATGCATCGTTTCTTAATTAACACTCGGTATGCCTTTTTATAGATTAAATAATAAAGTTGTGAATGATTACAAACTATTGTTCCATCATTTTGTTTTCTGAATATTAATTTGTTGGCTTTTAAAATCGTGTCAAACAGCGTGAGCCTATATTAAGTAATAAAGTGAGTGACTGTAGACCAATACCAGTAGACAGAATTGTTTGTCGTTCCTAATACAATTCCAGTTGATTCCACTCCGACATCCAATGTGATACATGCTCTCTGAGCCACGCTTTATTTTTCCTTTTTTCAATAAACAAATATGTCCCTTTCTTCCCTATATCTTTCTAAGCCGCGCATCGTGGAGTAACTATGGAGAATATCAATCATCAACAACATGGTGAATCATCGCAACAACAACAACAACAATTATACACGCGAGAAGACGTTGAACGATTATTTAAAGAATTCAGACGTGAAGAGCAGAGAAACGCAGAGGAAGCATCACAAGGAGCACCCCTTCCTTTGGTCATATCATCCGAATTGGAAAGCTATAATACGCAACAATTACGAGACAACTTTAAAAGATACAGAAGACATATACAAAAATATCAAGATGAATACTGGACAATTGGAGAATCAATCGATAAACCACTCATCCCAGAACTTAAGAAGGCTACAATGGACGTATTCCAAACAGTTAGTACCCTATATAAGGGCTCAGAAAATACAAGAATCCAAGCAAGAGCAGCTACAGAAATCTTTGAACAATTATCATACCTGCAGAACAGAGTTCAATTTGCCTCAGAAGAAGACAGAGATATGTTCAAAAATACTATTGAGCAAGTCCAAAAACTATCAGTCTATGGCTGGGGATCAGCTTCTTTGCAAGACCGAGAAACCAAGGCTTTGGCTACCAAATATATACAACTACCAAACACCCTTAAACATTTGGCGTCAGGAGAAGATGAGGGAAAATCAAGAAACGCCTTTGGATCCGAATTCATACAGGAGCTTAACAAAGCAAGATTTGAACAGCAGGTCGTCAGGGGAGCAGCGTACAATGGAACGAGAGGACGCGGTAGTTTTAGAGGACGAAGTTTTGGACGTGGAGGATTCAGAGGATTTGGAGGAACTTATGGACATAGTGGATCCCGTGGAAGAGGTCAACATTTTCAACCAGGAGGACGGGGAAGAGGTGCCCCCTTCTCTCATCAACAAGACAACACCTCACCTCCAGCAACCAGCAACGAAGCCAACCAATAATTCAACAACAAGCTCAAGCTCAACAAAATTTACAACAACAACTACAACAACTCAATCGACAGCATCAACAACTCGCGAAGATACAACAACATCAACAACATCAACAACATCAACTCAATCAGGAACATCAAAAACCGAATCAGCAACATCAACATCAACAATTCAGGCAACAAAATCAAGAGCAAGAACGCCGAAATCAACAAAAAGAACGCCAAAATCAACAAGAAAGCACAAACAACCATTACGTTATTCCGGAAGACGGAATTTACCCAGGAGGTCGACTCAGCAAGTTTCAAGACAGGTGGAAGGAAATCACTCCTCATCCATGGCCATTATCAGTTGTATCCCAAGGTTATCAGCTCCAATTTGCAAAGAAACCAATTCCATGGAAATCTCATCGAATGAGGATGTCGTTGGAGGATCAGCAAGCAGTGGATGTAGCAGTCAAGAAATTTCAAGCCGCAGGAATAATAGAGGTGTCACCAACCCAAAACAAACAATTTCTGTCCAATCTGTTTACGATTCAAGAACCGAACAAGAGAAGACCAATCCTGGACTGTCAGAAGTTGAATCAGTTCATACAATGCAACCACTTCAAGATGGAGGGTGTTCCTGCCTTGCGGGATATAATAGAGAAGAACGATTACATTTGCAAACTGGATCTCAAGGATGCTTATGTAGTGGTCCCAATCCACCCCCAATCCAGGCCATACTTGACATTCGAAAACAAGAATGTAGTGTACCAATACAGATCCCTAGCGTTTGGACTCAGTGTCGCACCGAGAGTATTCTCAAAGTTGATGAGATATGCAATCGAACCATTGAGGAAACAAGGCTTTCGGCTGGTTTATTATCTGGACGACATTTGCCTGTTATCAAAATCAAAGATGGAAGCAGAGAATCTATGCAAGGTAGTAATCAAACATTTGGAATCGTTAGGATTTATGATAAATCGAGAGAAGAGTATACTGACCCCATCGCAATCACAGGAGTTTCTGGGGTTCCAATTCGACACAAAAAGGATGACCCTTTCAGTACCGCAGCAGAAGATAAAGAAGTTGATACAACGGGTGAGACAAGCTCAGAATTCGAAAGTTCCTCGGTCGTGCAGGTGGATAGCAAGCTTGCTTGGCAAGATGACTTCAGTAATACCGGCAATTGGAGAGGCTTTGCTTCACATACGGTATCTCCAGCGAGACCTGTCGAAGAGTCTGAAGGGGAATCGCCAGAGATGGGACAGCATATGCAACTTGTCAAAATTAAGCCAAGAAGAACTGAAATGGTGGCAGGAGTTCATGGTGTTAAAGAATGGCCTACCAATCCACAAGATTCAGATGAAGGATGCAAAGGTGACAATCTATGTCGATGCCTCAGACACAGGGTTTGGAGTGAGTTCACCTATGGTAACAACAGCTGGATTTTGGACTCAGGAGGAAAAAGAAAAATCAATCAATGTCAGAGAGTTGAAGACAATATATTTTGCCTTAAAGCTCCATGCCGTAAGATGCCAAAACTCTACAATAAGGATATTTTCGGACAGCATGACTGCATTGAAGTATACAACAAAAGCAGGGGGGACTACTTCTGTTTTTCTCCAGGATCTAGCACTGAAGATTCAGGAACTTTGCAACAAGTACAAGTTGGAAGTTCAATATCAACATATCCCGGGGGTTCTAAATGTAGCAGCGGACAAGTTGAGTCGGCTGAAGATGCCGTTATACGAGTCGACAATTCCAAGGAAAATGTTTCAACAAATTCAGCAGCAATGGGGACCACTAAAGATCGATGCCTTTGCTTCACACCACAATCACCAAGTAAAGAGATATTGGAGCTTAATTCCGGATCCAACTGCAGAAGCAACCGATGCCTTTCATCAAAGGTGGATGAAGAAGGGAATGTATTTGAATCCGCCATGGAAGTTGATTCCAAAGGTGATCCAGAAAATGAAGAAAGAGAAGATAACAAGAGCAGTACTAGTAACTCCGTATTGGCCAACCCAATTTTGGTTTCCTATGATCCTGAACCTGAGACACCTAGCTCCTCCTATAATCATGCAGAAGAACAAGAAATGGAAATTAGCCGCTTGGCTACTATCAACAAAGTGAGACAGAAAATAGGAATGAAGAAGAGAACAGCAAGGTTTTTGGAGAAGGCGATTAGACCAGCAACTCACAAGGCATATGACAATGGTTGGAAACGGTGGAAGAATTGGTGCAAGACTGAAGACAAAGATCCTGAAGATTACAATGTCAATAGCGTATTGGAATTTTTGGTACAGAACAACCAACTTTCCTACACATACTTAAATGGGTTAAGATCGTCAATTGCTTCGGTGTTCAAGGAGCTTCATCCCGAAAAAGATCCTATTGCAAAACAGCCTATTATACAAGATTTTTTTGCAGCAAAACGAAGGTCAGAAATAAGAATACCATCGCAACAAGATCTGGAAACATGGGACATGACAGTTTTAACGGATTACATAAAGCTGACGTATTTCAATACTACTAGTTTGGGGCTACAAAATTTACAACAAAAATCAGTGCTTTTGCTTTGTCTGGCGACAATGTGGCGACCTCGATCTGATATTGGACGTCTTCAATATAGGGATGTTACCCTGAGGTTCAGAGGAGACGGCTCGATAAAGACGCTATCAACTCTGGAGAGTGCGATTATACATGTAAGAACTCCAAAAGAAAGTCAAGTCAAATCCATACAACTTGGAAGATTGGAGATGGAGGATGTGTGTCCAGTGGCAACACTTTTTTGGTTCTTGGAAAAAACAGCTCATTTGAGGTCAGGCCTGTCAAAGGCGCACACTCTGTATCTGGCTTACATTGACAAGGAAAAATCCAAGGTATCATCGATTTGTCCTTCAACACTGGCAAACTGGGTTAAGGTAGCTATGCAAGAAGCGGGGATCGACACCAAGGTATACAAGCCTCATTCTATTCGGGCCGCATCAAGTACGAAAGCAGTTCAAGTGGGTAACAGTATTCAGGATGTTAAGACACATGCAAACTGGAGCTTAAATAGCAATACATTCGAGAAATATTACTATAAGCCTACGGCTCAAGAATCATCAAGTACCAAGATTACCAATTCAATTTTTTCAACGGAGAACAGTATCACATTGGATGTCGGAGTGGAATCAACTGGAATTGTATTAGGAACGACAAACAATACTATAGTTGATGAAACGAAGACAGAAAATGTGATACATGCCCGCCCTTGGTATAGACGTTTGTTTGGAAAAGACCAATAATTTAGTATCCCACCCAGGAAAAAAAAAAAAAAAAAATTGAATAGGTTTAGCTTAGCTAGAAAGATATAGGGAAGAAAGGGACATATTTGTTTATTGAAAAAAGGAAAAATAAAGCGTGGCTCAGAGAGCATGTATCACATTTTCTGTCTTCGTTTCATCAACTATAGTATCAGAAAAAAATGTCTCAAATTCTTTCTAGAATACACTAAACACAAGAATTACACTTGCTTTTATTTTTGGTATTCGGATAAACCTTCCCTTTCTTCTCATCACCCCCACCTTGTGTTTAACTTTGGTTTAGGGTCGGTTGTTTAAACAAAATAAAGTCCCGAGTGCACTCCCTTAGTCAGTCTTCTTTGGCCGTTGAATGATCCACATTAGCAATCCCTGTATGTCAAGATACCAGGCTAAAATTTAGTCGCAAAATTAGAGAGAAGGATAAGCAATTTTTTTTTAATTGCTGGATAAAAAGCCTAAAATTTCGGTGTGTATAAAGAACGAGGAACATTCTCCCTCTGGTACAGAATTTTTTTTTTGGCATGTTTCCAATTTTGTCAATAGGGAATGTAACACTATGATTCCATAGAATAATGACTTCATGGTGGTACATGGTCAGCCTAAACTATTGCCATGCGATTTGACAAACACATTTTAATAATCAAAACCTGTTTATTTTTGTAAAAAAAAGAAGAAAATTCTGGTTTTTACTGGATACTTTATTTAGGTGAAGGCATCATTTTTTACATTTGTGGCCCAAGAAACAAAGATTATGTGCTTTCTTAGTAAAATACATATACCTTTCACGAGGATCGTTATCGCAATTCTACTGGCTATATTTTTTTTTCCCTCCGTGCAGTGGAAAGTTTTCTCCCCCCCCCCCCTTTTTTTTTACACGATAATATAAAATTTAAAGCGCCCTCAGTGGGAATAAAAAGAAAGTTTGATTAATTTAATTTTGGAGTGTTACCAAGTTATTTGATCGGTATTAAAATCTACCCTTGTTTTTGAGAGCTGGGCTTCAATTGGCCCGTGTTTTGTATCACAACCTATTCAGACACAGCACTTTTAGCTATAAACAATTGGAAGCCTAATTGTTTAATATTCCCCCCTCTCTCTCTCTCTTCTTTTTTTTTTTTTTTTTTTTTTTTCTTTCATTTTTTTTTTCATCTTGTACGCCTATACCCCAGCATCACACACCAGCATTTCGATTAAACGATAGAAAAAAGATGGAATACGTAGCAGTGGAAGCAATAAAACATTATAACGGCGGCATCATGTTCGTCAGTTACCTAGTAGCAGTTGCTGGAGCACAAACAACATTAGAGTTATTAAATAGAAGGACACACATTAGTGGTATCTATAATTGGTATGACACTATTTTAATGTCAACATTTTTTCATGTCAGATCAACAAAAAAAGACTTACAAATAAGATAGGTTTTTACTATCGGCTGCAGCATTTTCAATGGGAGCTGTTAGTGTATGGGCAATGCATTTCATTGGCAATAATAGTCTCATGTTGCAAGTTCGAGGCGATAAATACCAATTAAATTATAGCGCAGGATATACATTTGGTAGTCTGATTGTGGCTATCGCTTGTATGTTCATTGCATTTGCCTTTGTCGGTATCACCGAAGAAGCACGTTTCGCTAGAATCCTTCCAAGCGGAATCTTTGCCGGGGTAAACTTTATTTTTTACAAACAAAAAAAAAAACTTTCCATTAAACATGAATCTCTTTTTAGTTGGGCATTGTTTGTATGCATTATATGGGTAATAATTACTGCTACCATCATCACATGCTCATTCTGACCAATTAAGCTTTTTTTTTTTTTTTTTTTTTTTTTTTTTATTCAGGTCAATTCGCCATCGATTACTTTGTACTCGTTTACCTTAATTCATATATTGTCGGCGCAGCATTTATTGCAATGACCGCTGTCACCGTCGCGTTGTATATATTTTTCAAGTTACGTGAACGTTGGATGGACACTTGGTATAAAAGATTTGGTTGCGCCCTTATCATGGGATTGGCCGTATGTGGTAAAACTATAACCCTTTCTCCATTGATTCTTTTGTATTGTTTATTTATCATATAATATTTAGGCATGCATTACACAGCTTTAGTGGGTACCATCTTTTATAAACCTAATTACTCCAGCGGTCCACCCGTTCCTAAATTACAAACACCTGCTTTAATCGGTATCATTTCTGCTGTAACAGTATCTGCCTGTATTGGTTTAATCTATTTCAGTATTAAAACCGGCATCAAAAATCTCCCGTTGTACATAAAAAACACAAACAAACGCCTCATATTGGATTCCGTCATTTTCGATCCCATGGGACGAATTCTCGTCAAGATTGATGGTACTTTGCCCATGACTGAAATCGTACACAACCTTGAGTTAAATGTAAACATCACAAATATTCCCCACATATATAAAATCAATACATAATCTAAATTTTTTTTTTTTTCTTATAGGAAACAAAACAATCATTTACCACAAAACATCCTTTATTTATTCGTCTATACGAAGCTGCCGTCATGAAAGCCTCCCTCAAATATAATTCAGATAAGAGACCATCGGGCATTTCCAGTACTTCATCTATAGAGGCTTACGAAGCCATCGAAAGACAGTTCCTGAACGCCACTCACGAATTAAGAGACGAACTCCGCTTTGATCATTTTGACGATCTCGGCATTCTCAGTGATATTGTCGTCACCACAGATACGATTTCCAAAGCAACCATGTTCAACAAGAGTCAAGTCTTTCGAAATTCATCAGGTACCTCATTGGCTAACCTGGAAGTCACGTCAGGTACACTCCACCAGCGATCCGAAGAGGAAGATGAAGAAGACATGTGTTCCCACCCTACCACGAAAAAGAAAAAACCTCGTCATAAAGACGGCAAGAAAAAATCTTCATCAAAAACAGTAGCAACAACGACAACAGATGGATCAGCTCGTAAATCTACTTCTTGGAGCGTTATGAAATCGTTTGCAGATGATGAAGAAACCGTGATTGAAGGTCTAGGCAAAAGATCGTCTGGTAGCACCACTATTGTCACAAATGGCGTTCGATCTTCATCTGACGAAGATGGCAAGTCTGTCAATGATCGATTATCAGTAGAAGACTCCGATGGTGAAGATAAGCATATCTTTTTGGTACGCAAGTTGGTTGACGATCGTGATGTATCAAAATTACTCTCTCAAGGTTATCGATTTGCTGAACCCATCTTTATTGCCAAAACCATGGCTACCAAATTACGTATTCCTACCGATTGGATGCGACAACACTTTTTAGATATGCAGCAAATGTCGGATTCCGTCTGTGCCTTAACCCAGCACGACTGGTTACCTTCTACTGTTGAACCTGCTCCTAACCCCACTGAATTCAAGGCTTCCACCAAAAGCTCGGTCTATCTTGGTGCATTTGTCTTGCTAGATGAAACACCAGAATTGACAAATACTCAGATTGTCATTGATAAAACAAAACGATTTGCTTTCCCCATGGAGGAAATCGTATTGCATGATCAATCGGATGCTCCTACATGCTTGAACGAAGATGAAATTTATTTTGTGAATAATCTTCAAGGTCACTCATTATGTGATTTTGCTGCACTTTCCCAACTTGTCGCTACCGAATATAGTCACGGCGATCGTAAATTGCCCAGTGTGCAATTTATTCGATCTTTGGAAAATGCTGCCAGAAAGATACTCGAGGCTACTGCTTATACCAAGGCTCTGTATCTAACCTCTAAGTTACATACAGCTGTACTTGACATTCCTGCTTTCTCCTTAACAACTGGACCTTGCCAATTGATCGTGTTCAAATCATTTATCACCAGCAAAGGTGCAGTAGCCGCTATCAACCATACGTTTACAGAGCCCTTGAAATGTGTCCCACTCAAGATTTATAAATTGCTCGCTGGCTATATCACGGATGAAGCTGCTCGTATCTATCAAGCCAGTACAAGTATGCAATCAATGCCTACATATTTACTTCAACAACAAATGTATCGACAACAAGCGGGTAATTATGATTCAAAACGACTTTATAGCAGTAGCGGTGAAGATGATATTCCGATGGGACCCATGTTTGCAGAACGTATTGATACAAGTCATAGTTCAAGCAGTGCTCCTTCTCCGGTAGATCCTTTCTCTTTACCTCCACCACCTAGAGCTAAACGCAACCGATTCAAATTAAGTCATGTTATGTCCAGTAATTCGCCATTTGATCTTTTAACACCGTTGCAGGATCACCAACCGAGATCTCCGACTAAAACTTTACAGTCAGCACCCTTAACCGTATTGGCGACTCAGGACCGGTTCTGGTGGATTAATTCGTTTGTTGAAGAAACCATTCACAATTAAGAAAAAAAAATGTGTGATTTGCGTATATACCCCCTCTATGTTATTATTTCATTTGTAAACAAGTATACTTTTATGTTTCTATAAATAAAAAACAAATTAAAATTACTCATCATAATCAGGGTTTTTTGTGTATGTTACCATAGGCAATTTGAAAAGGTATATTTCTGTGTAGCCGACTAATCTTTTGTGTGTAATTTTTGTTTCATCTATTTTTACTTTTTTTTTTTTTTTTTTTTTTTTTTTTTTTTTTTTTACCCGTATTTTTTATTTATTTATTGCCACATGTTTGTAATTTATACAACTTTTAATAACGCTTTGATGCATTAGCCCTCAAAATTAAATCGCGAAAATCATCATCGATCGAGAAATGAGTCGATCCCTGTTGCTTTGAGCTTTTAAAAACAGAAATGGAGTTTCATTGCGCAATTCAAATTTATGAAAATATGTAACTAAAAACGCTTAAACGTGTGCTTTTCTTGTAAACCAATCAAACTCATAATGTAACTGTGTGGGGGTGAGACTGCAAATCGGATGAATTAGTGTCACATTTTACAAAATTGGGAATTTTAGTTTCCCGTACGTTTGCAGAATTTGTTCATGGTTTTTGTTAATTTTCTCAAGAAAAAAAAATAATGGCGCTCATCTACATACTGGGGAGTCCAAACATACTCGGTTTAATAGTTCAGTCTAAGCAACAAGAAATGTCCTCTATCCCCATCATCATTTTTGCTGCTGATCTAAATCGGAGCACCAATTTAGGATAAGGGCCCTTTTGAACTCCTTTTTGATCCTTCACATCTAGAATGTAAGCTCCAAAAAAAGGAATAATTTGTAATTCTGGTTTAAGTTCAAATGCAGCAGTCTGCACATTAGTAATGTGCCTCTACAAACCTATACTTTTCGCATCGTAAATAGATTTTTCCCGATGCAAACAGAAAAAACTGATCTGACTAATACCTGTCAAATAACAGAATTCGATCGAAAGATGAGGTCTAGATTTTCCTCCAGTGGGATGGAGTTGAAATCTAGAGTCCAGTAATTCGGTTCTATTGTATGAGGCCTGTTGTAGGAGGCATAAAGACATAGACAAAGACGTTTAATTTAGGTTAATATATCCCTTATTGCTACTGTTCTCCGACCTTATCACAATTAGTAATGTCACCAGTATTGAAATGACGTGATCAGCTTTTACTTGTCAAGTAAGCTGTAATAGGACTTGGTGCATGTGCCAATATACACCTGGAGAAATTTAAATCAAAATTTATTTTGTTTTTGGCTTTCTTTTTGTAACTAGACTGCATCTTTAAGTATTACATTGTGTTTAAAAAGGCTTCTTATCGGACTCCCTTAGAAATTATAAGGTTACCTTAAACAATTATTACATGCTTATATATCTTAAAAAGTCATCTAGTTCTTCAATATAAAATATATAAAAAGAAATTACTTATTGACTTTGGTATTTTTTATTGGTGCACAAGTGCCTCGTTTTCGGGTATTAGGATCAAGCTGTTGCATGATCCAGTGATCGGCTTGCTCTCTCTTTTTTTTATGTTGTGTGACGTGAACCTTTAAACCCATTTATCAAATAATGGACTGTACAATGTACGTTGATATACAACTTGCTTTCTGTTTCTTTTAGTGGCAAATTAGGTCAGAAAAATCCAGACTTGCCTAAAGTAATTCAAATTTGAACATTTCAGTTTGGGCAATACCGGATACCGGGAAGCAATTTTTTAGACTCAAAGGTGAGGAGGAGCCTGAGATGACCGAAGAAGGGGTTTTTTTTTTTAAGTATCGTATAGAGATCCAAGTGGAAACACGCCGTTTATTGTCGCGTCGTCAAAAACGTTTGGAATTTAGTTGTGTTCCACAACTGTTAATTGACACACATCACATGAAGCACCACACAATAGGATAGTAGTAACGGCTATAAGAAATTCAAAAGTATGACAGCTAAAAACTAGTAGGTTTTTGGTGGATTTTAACACCAATATTTATCATACATGCCATAGAAACATTAGAAGCTGTGACATTAATACATTTGGAAGAATAAGTAAATTTGCATTTTCCTTCACGACAAAAACATTATTTGCTGACAAGTCAAATACGTGTAACAATGTTTCAATCAAAGAGATAAACGAAGCAATGATTCCTCAATTTAGCCATTTTCAACAAAAAGTTGTGTCACGAAAAGCTACTTGAAGAAGCTAATCGTTTTTTATTGTCGCCAAGACAAACACTCATTCCCTGTTACCGGATAGCTGGTATGCTGGTATGCTGTTATTTACTATAATACGGGAAGCCACGTTAAGCTCAAGACGGATACAGTATTCTGCTGTTCCTGATGGGGATAAATAAGGTAAAATATATTCCTATTAAATTTGAAACGGTGTCTAGGTCTACTGCTCTTAGAGTTGCTCCTCGTATTCGGATTAGCTTTACCTCACCTGGTGGAGGATATGGTGAATATCGTGCCGATTAAGACGGAAGCTGACCTCAGATCGGCTACTAATGTCCTCTTAATTTAACCGGTCATACCTCTTCTACTGTTGCAGAAAAGACAGAATCCTCATCAAGCGATGTCGTTCTCCCTCTTATCTATAACAAAAATTGACATACACATAATAGATGGAAGCAACCGAAACTTGGAATCACCTACTATACATAACGTCTGTTATTCATGCATTTGCCAAACGATGCTGGTTACACTGTACTACTGATAAAATAAAGCCAGCTTAATGTTTTAAAACCCAACATAATGTATTGAAATCATAGACAAGTTACAATCGCAAGCAACGAGAAGCCATGATCAGCGAAACAGGATGATTTCGATCTCAAGCTTATAATAATCATGTTGTTAACTATAAGCTTCTCATTTTAAGTTTCTTTAATCCCAATTTACATGAATTAAAAATGCAATAAGTGAAACCGGAGATATTTTTTATTATGCGACAAGAGTATCCTGATAACATTATTGAAAGTGATTATACTGATCAAATATGGCCACCTATTTTTAAGTCTCTATTTGCAATTAATGTTAATCTAATTCGAGTGAAGAAAAGAGAGACTGTAGCGACAGACTCTATAATTGATAAATCAAGTTTATACAGTTCAAACAAGCATGTAATAGGCTTCAAGACTGACATCCGATTCATTTTCGACTACAAGGAATCAGAGTTTGGCATTGGTGGTGCTGAAGTCTACCTTCCCAATGCTGATATTACCAAGCTTACAGACAATAAGGCAAAGTTGTTGAGAGAAGGAAAGAGTATTACCAATCCCTTGAACAACGTTAGTTCTGGCCTTTCGTGGATTGTTCAAATCTCGGGCTTAAGGGCTTATTTTTCAACAGTGGACTATGTTAGTCACGATTTGCATGTTGGCATCTTACAAAACCAAATTTTGTTCCCAAGTTGCATCGGGAAGTTAAATAACGCCACCAAATCATTGGCATTCTTCAAAACACTCTTCCAATTTGGAAATGGTATTGAGGACTCTGCCCATATTATTCAATCAATTATTTCCCAGACAAATAAATGGAACAATGCAACCAGCGACAGATTTAGTGATCCAGAGCTGGCATCTCTGCCTCGCACCATGAAACAGCCTTTGTCTCAAACGTGGTAACTATACTCCTACAAGAAAACTACAGAAAAATAGTATACTTCCACACTACAATCTTTAACTGTTGGAAACCGGTTCAGATACTTTAATTGAAGATAGTATCCTTAATTCCCCCCTCCCTTCAGATACTGATAATAACGAGCTTACCACAGAAGATTCCTTTGGGTTTGTAAATTAGGAAATGGATGGTATCATCCTGCTCTTCGAAACTACCTTGATACCCATCCTATAGAATGATTGCGTCTATTGCTATTATGATTTTTTTTTTTATTTTCTATCATCATCATTCTATCATCATTCCACATATCATTATTGTAAATAGATATGAGTTTTTAACTCGAATAAAACTATCTTTTAAGAAAGACAAAAATATATCAGTAAGTGGTTGCTGTACCATACCCCGAAGAAGTGTGGACTACTCAGTTATATCATAAATATTTGATATTAGGTCAAAGTGAATAAGAAACAAATTAGGTCCTTTTATTAGAAGTTAATTGAAGAGTATTAGAATGTACAAGTTTCAACGTCTTCTTCTGAAGGTATTATCGGGTGTCCTATTTACAGGATTTATGGGATTTTCTATTTCCAAAAATGCAGCCTAATCATCACATGAGGAACAATATTGTTTGTGACGATTAAAAAGCCTACATTTGAACCCGATAACGATGTGGATGTTATTGGCGCTAAGCTACTGCTAGATGATACACTTATGGTACTTACTGAGGCTCAAGTTATTGTTATTGAATTGACAGAATAAAATATTTCTTGTTTGAATCATATGAATAATAAGCTTCTTTTTTTATTATTATTGATTTTTAATGATTAAAATAAAGGTATTGAGAAGAAAAAAAGTTAAAAGTTCTTTAGGATTACTATATTTGGAATAAATATTTTCTTCTCCCCTGTCCCTGAATCAGGTCACTCATAGGCATTAGAGGAATTATGCATGCCGCTGTTTTTTAAGATGGGAGAAACTATTGCGCATAAGATTTGACTTCACTTACTGTGGCGGTTCAATCTTACCACGAATTCATCTTCAAGTAGATTCCTAAATGAAGTAAGGCTGTAACAGATTAACTTTGCATATCCACCCATTCATGGGGATGCAATTTTTTGACGAAATCGTTGCATTGGCTCTAAGTGGCAGCTTTAACTGACCTCTCAAACCAGTTTTTTTCTCAATCTTGAATACATATGCAACAGTGAAAGAATGTAAATTAACAGGGAAAAAAAACCCTAAAAAACTTAACTTCAAATTAAGCGGAGATACACACAATCAACGTAGTAAAAAGATCCATTACTATTAATGAAATGATCCCCTTTTAAAATAAGCTTAGCTACTCGAGTATACAAACAAGTATACAAAAAGCAGTGTATATTCGCGATAAAAAAATACCTGAAATCATATAGAGCGATTTATGTAATATAAGGTTTATTTCTGACAAGCTGACATTTAATTTAACCTAATCAAGCAGTAGATCTTTTTTCGCAGTAAAAAGCAGTAGTTGATGTTTCTAGAACGATCATGCACATGAACGGTCTCCCACTATTTATTACAAAATATACCGTAAAAACAATGATGTCTTCAGAACACATTCTTTAACGCGTTTTTTTGTAAGAGCTTTGGCTTGAAAAAAGGCGCATAAACAGACAATATAAACAGGTAGAGGTGGCGGCATTGTTCACTACATTGATTGGTAAGGAAAAAGCAAAAGTTATCACTATGACGTTAATGCTTATACCAAAAATATATCTTACCAAAGTCACATCTTGAGATTGGCGTAAAAAAATAGATGTTGATCATCAAAAGTAAACAATTTCATCTAGGAAAGAGTTTGTTCACAAGTGTCCAAATGAATGCTACTTATGAATTTTCTATTGATCCATATGAATTATTAAGGGATACATTCAAGTTTAGTGAAGGATGGGTACATTTTATGACCTGCAACATGCATCCAGACGATGCTTGATTTAAGCAATTAAAGCATTATGCATGATTTTCCCATACAAAAAAAAAAAAAAAAAAAAAAAAGTTTGTGACGTAGCCATTTTTTTTACTTGTGATTTATTGACGCCTTCCCTTTTTTTTTATTCTTCTTCTTCTTCACGCAGCTTTATTGTGGATAAAGAACAAGTATGTCTACTCCTATTAGAAACTTGAAAGGTATAGTTTTTTTTTCTTTTTTTACATTCCCATGCAAAAACCAGGCGCGGTTGATTAAGTCTTCATTTCATATAATAGACTTTGGTCGTAATGACATTACCGATCATTCAAGCACAGATCAACGATCTGTTGTTAGAACCAATGCTGACACCAAACACAACTCAGCTGTAAATACCCCGCAGTGTCAACCTGACTTAAATGCGTCTGTTGATCTCGACTCAACTGCGACAACAACTGCGCACGGAAGGGGTTTAAATATTGCCAGTACCACGAGCAGCAGTTTTTCTGACAATTTACAAAAAGAATCTGCCACTTTACCACCACATGGCATCCGTTACTCAGAAGCACCCGGCCAAACTCAAATCACTGATGAAGTCCTTGATACCCCAATTGAATCACACGTTCCATGCGAATCCGAAGCTTTCAATGAACCACAGGATCCAGTTATTCAAGTCAAACTCGAGCCTGAATCAACCATCCAACCTGAACCAGCAGCATCAGCTCAACCAAGCCGCATTCAGCCTTTAGATTCGCCTCCTCCAGTAATAAAAGTGGAGCCTGAATCACCAATTCAAACACATATGGAACCAGATTCATGTAGCCAAAGATTTTATTCGCCTGTGCACAGAACCGATACTGGGCTTCAATCTCCTATCGAGGATGATCATGTCAAATTTGTATACCCCACTTTGGATCAGAATGTTATATCTCCAACTACAGGAACGGAACGTTCATCCTATAATCAACTGGCAGCACATAGACAAATGGATCTTTCATCACGTAATCAACTGGTACATTCACCTCTTGATCTCCCGTCATTTTCTCAATTGGCTTCACCCACATTTATGCCTGCACGAGTAGGATTACCACCGCTAGGTCTTTTTCCTCGTCCAACTCTCATCAGTCCTAAACCTGGGCTGTTTACTCATCGTCAACCTGATATGGATTCTCGCTCTAAACCCGGTTTGGCTCCTATGTTTGGAATCCCATTCAGTTCCCAATCTGAATTAAATGCATCTTCTCACAATGAACAACATGTTCAAAAGGTATTGGAACCTGTGTCATGTACCGAACCTTCTCAAACGCATGGACCTCAAGCTCTTAGCCAGGGTAATGTCAAACCAGCTCTTCACGGATCCCCACAACCGGTAACACACAGTGGTTATGAGCCACCTGCTGAGCCAGATCCAGTCGCTCATTCTGAGCCAGATCCAGCTGCTCATTCTGAGCCTAGAGCATCCGCTCATCATACTGCTGATGCAGAAGTTGACTCCATGATGTCCGGCTTATTTTCATCTGGGGGTCTAAATGTCTTTGGCGCTGCTACTCCAACTCCAGGCAGAAATCCTTTTGAGCTTCCTGCACCTGCCAAATCAAAAAAAAAGAAGGTTTCATCTGGCCGTGCTGCATCTCTTCTTATGGACATGGATTTTAGTATCCCAGGAAAAACAACTTTAACTGAGCCTGTTGAACAGGTTGCTGAAGCGTGTCTCGATCTGGATGATGGTGTGTCTACCGAATCGCCTTCAAAAAAGAATGTTGAGATCGGTGTTGATAAGATCTATGCCAAGTCTGCTGCTGGTGATATTGATGCTAAGTCTGCTGCCGAAAAGATTACCGGTCATCCTACTGCCGAAAGCCTTGCCGTCAAACAGGTCACTGGAATTTCTTCTGAAAAACCTGTGTACAACCCAGGCCAATCATCTGGTAAAGCACCCACTGTAGAACCCACTATAGCACCCACTGTAGAACCCACTATAGCACCCACTGTAGAACCCACTGTAGCACCCACTGTAGCACCCACTGTAGAACCCGCTGTAGAACCCGCTGTAGAACCCACTGTAGAACCCACTGTAGCACCTTTTACCGAAGTACCTGTGGAATTACCTGTGGAAGTACCCGTGGAAGTACCCGTGGAAGTACCTGTTGAAGTACATGTTGAAGTACCTGTGGAAGTACCTGTAGAAGTACCTGTAGAAGTACCTGTAGAAGTACCGGTGGAAGTACCTTTACGAGAGAAGGGCCGCAGGGGTAGAAAACCCAAGGCGAAATCCAACCCTGAAGGCGTGGCAAAGGGATATAAATCAGTATTAAAAAAGAAGGTATACAAGGCTACTGGATCTAATACTCCCACGATCAAAAAGTCAAAACGTCTAGCAGATAAGCAAGCTTTTGGCAAGGACGTTTCTGTTGGTCATTCTCGATGCGATGCTAATGATGAGTTTGTACCTGATAAGGATGATCAGCCCGCCCATAAGACTTTGGCTAGTGGTAGGAAGAAAAGAGCCGCTTCAACCTCTGTCTCCTACAAGGACTACGATTTGGATGAAATTGAGGAAGATGCGCCAAGAAAAAAGCGTGGGAAGACATTAACTCCGAAGACTATAGAAGCATCGGCAAGCTCTTCAAAACCAACAAAGGCTGTCATTACAAGAGCCAAGCGATCTCCTGGTAAGACAAAAGAAGTAGAAAAAAACGGTCCGATGAATGCAATTTACATTGACACGGATGATGAAGTTGAAGAGACGGAGATTGCACAAGTCGAAACTACCAAGCCTGTCCAAACTCAAAAGGCATCTGATAATCAAGATAATAAGCTTAAGCGATTATTGCAAAGCAAGGACAGCCAATTGGTCCAAGTAAACTTCAGGGTAAGTTTAATTTATATCCAAAGAAAAAGAAAAAGTTCGAATCGTAACAAACCTTTTTAATTGTAGCAATTAATCCCGGAATGGCTGGCTGCTTTTTCAGAAAAGGATAAGCAAGAGCTTGCCTTGCTCCTTCCCGAGGCTGATCAAGTCATTAAGAATAAGAAGATTACGATTAGGCCAGACTTTGGAAAAGTGGCTACCAATCATTGTTACGAAGCTGCCGAAAAGTGGCAGGATATTTTGTTCTTGGGTGGCTTCGATCCAGACAACAAGCCTGAAACTGTAAATGCTGAGGACGACAGCTTTAAAGATGAAAATTATGAACAGCATTGGGGCGATCGTATCAAAGAATTTAATGAGGAAAAAAGAAAGCGTGAGGAGACCGATGTTGGCCGCTCAAACGTAAAGAAAGCCAAAGGAAAGGGCAAGTCCTCGTGGTAACCCACATATGTAAAACCACACACACACATACACATACACATACATACACACACACACACACACACACACACACACACACACACACACACACACACACTCAAGTTAACTGTTTCGGGTTATTGAAATAAATAAAAAAATCATTATTGCTTCAAATGTTTTGCTTTATGGTTGGACGGGGGTAATATGTTATATCTCTTTCTTAATTTTTGTTATGTAAGTATTCAATGAGAGAAGTAGTATTGTGTCCAAAATTTTGAAGTGTTCTAGCAATATCTTGTCCATACCCAAATTATTTATCAGAGTATAAACAGACCCTTGTTTTCACTTTGAGTATCTGAGTATACGACTGTCAGCTGCGATAGGCGAAATAGATGTCAAAACAAAGAGATTTATTTTATATATATTTATATAATGTGACATGAAGATGATAGAAATAAGAACTTTACCAAACTATTATATTCGCTCCTAAACAAAAAGGCGCTCGCGAAAAGTTAGTCGAATATAAGCAATGTGATAAACATTATGTATACAAGGATATTACCAAGACATCAATGTGCCTCAAAAAAGAAAAAAAGGGTTGGTATCTGCTCAGAGAACCTACGACTCCATAACTAACAAGCCTATAAAGACTTGAGAATTAGAGCAAGATACAAACTAACTTAAGAGCTATTAAATGATCCTTGACCCCATATCGACAATTGGCAATTAAGCAAAAGTTAAAGTAGGCTTCATATCAGGGCTAGTCAAATGCTACTCAAGAGGAAGCGTAATGTAAATTAAGAATCGTACTTTGGAAGAAAAAAAAAGAGCAGACCAAAACCACAGCTCTCAAAATAAAATAATTTTGACATAAACGTTTTCTACCTTTTCATTCTAAATGTAAAAATGAAACCAACAACCACTGAAAAAATAAAAAAAATAAAAAAAAAAAAGAACTATACTATATCTGATAGTCAAGCAAGAGATTTGAAGATGGGAATTGCTTTAGTTGCCTAGATATCGTAAAACCTAATTACCCATATTGATCATACAAGAGTTTGATGATCTCTTGCTTTATCATTAGAAATTGAATTTAGATCACCGTCACCACGATTTTAATGGATGCGGTTGATACGCTGAACTTGACCTTCCGGGAGGTAATTGTCTCTTTCATTACTCAAGCCAAAGTATCCATCCCTTTTTTTTTTGACTGATGCCTGTTAACGCATCCATGAATCCATGCATGAAAAAAATAAAATAATTTTTTTTGAACTGAGCTGAATGGACCGAATGCTTTACGATCATTAAATGATAGCAATAAGAAGATTTTTTTAAATATACATGGTAAATATATAAAAAACACACTGTTTTTGGCATCGTTACTTCTAGGAAAACGATCACTGAATCCTTATAAATAATGTTACACATCACCCTTTTATTCTTGCAAATAATACTACAGTAATAGTAGATAATCCCCTATTTACTCTTTATAATCACCTGCGACTTTTTATTAAAAAATATCTACTATTGCACAATGTGATTTTGACCAGAAATTGACAGCCTTTGATTGTAAGTTGTTAATGGGAGATTATTTACTTTTTTTGAACAAAATACAGACAACGTCCATAAGCCTTCGATCCATTTCTGGTGAAATTAGACCTGGAATCTGCGATGATGACCCTTCCAAACTGATAGTAAGTCTCAGTCAATTGCCTCGCAATGACTATAATGAATCCATCTTTTGTTGGTCAAGGTCTGTGTTGGATTTATGATGACCACAGTTGTCCACGCGCATGATAATGTAAGTGACGTGATTCTCTCATACTCTTGATCAAGTGGGTGAAATTTCCTGGGTATCTTCGACATCCTGTTTTTGAGCCACTTATTCATTGAATCGTCAACGCACATATAGCGTCCAGGGCGCATTGTTTCAGCCAGTCGGTTTTTGAAAGCCTTCAGATAGGATCGAATTTGGTATTTAGAGGATCTGTATTTGCTCTATAGCAGAAAATTTAGTCGTTTGTTATATATAATCAATGTATATCACATGTTTACCAACAGAATATGTTGCTTTTTGACGAATTACAGTTCCTCATTACGGACATCAAACACATGAAATCTGGATATATCATTAGAACCAGTCCTTTCTATCAAGTCAATAAAATCAACGTGAAAGGACTACTACTCTTTCTCCAGCACGTTCTCTTATCCTGGAAGTTGACGACCGTCATAATAATCAAACACATAATCCAAGTCGATCCAAGAGGAATTTAATTGTCTTGCACAGTGATTGATAGCCGGGAATTACTACACTTTAAAGGGGATCGTAAGGCAAAAAATAATCAAAGATCTCAATGGAGTTTTCTCACCAAGAGAAGGGTTTATGTACTGATAGCTTGTGCCAAGGTGAGTAAAGGCGCTGGTCAATACTGATGCTTCATTCTTCTCAGTTAAGATCCATCGTTTCCTCATTGCTTTCATTCTCGCTTTCAATTTGTGAAGCTGATTGAATGGTGTCGTCCAAAAGGTCAGGGGATTCGTCTGTGTTGCTTTGTTGTAATTGTTGTTGTCGTTGCTGTTGGTTCTGACATCTGTAGAAGTATACCTATAACAAAGACAAGTTAACCGAAGAGCAATGGACGTTGAGGAGAGCATCAAAGGTCACTTTGCAGTCATTAACGCCATCTTTGTACATTCTCGTGATATTACCCTCAAAGTGTGTTCCTATGGGGCGCTGGTAAACGACAAGAAGATTAGCAGAGGCAAGACTGTTTTACGTAAATAGTTCATTTTAGCAAATACAAGACTACCTACAACGATGTTAGGATGAACGCGAGTTATTTGTATGGAGCTAAAAAAAAAAGGCAATAGGGTAAGATGAATAGCAATTGTGATGAACAAGAAATGTAAAAGTAAAAAAAAAAAAAAAAATCAAGTTATAAAATTCTTTGGGCGTGTTCAAAATAAAAAATCGTAACTGAGTGCATAAAAGGGCCCACAGGACAGGTTACACACCACGTCAAAAAGAGACTCAATAACCTTAAATTTAGCAAGCAGATGGACCAGGTCATATCATGACATTGTGTCTCTCTGGCTCTTTCTTCTCTGACTTGACACAGATCAAACCGAAGACACAGCTTAAACGTGTCTTTAATCAGTATCATATAAAAAAACTGGAAGGCACAATTCTGTGTCTTATGGATGTCAAGTCCTTGAATGTTCATTTAAACCTGGGCACATAATTTGTAAGTCCCGCTCTTCTGGGAGTAAAAATTCATAAAACTATGTTTTGACTTCTGCAACGTAGCTGCTTATTGTAACTTTATAATCAACCAATATTAATAGTAGAAGTAGCAGCAGCAGAACAAAAATCCCTCCCATAAAAACCCTTTAGAAAATAAAGTCTCAATTAGTGCAAGAAATGTAACCATGGTTGACAATATACATAATGTTGCTGAGTTGTACAAGTGTCGGAGGTGGTCTTTTTTATTCTTTTAGTGTTTCCTAAATGTCAATGTCGACATAAGGCCTTTAATGTTCTCTCTCACTTTTGTTTACCCTTTCTTCCCTTTATTTACTGCGCATGTTTGCTTTATTTGTCCGTGACTTTTGAAATTTTTGAAGGCACTGCGCAGCAAGACCAGTCACAAAACAAAAAAATCGATTTTGTGTGATGGAAAAAAAGGTATATAAAGGGCACATTTTCTGCCAACTCTCAATTTTTTTTCTTTATCCAGCTTCTGTCTAGCCAGCAAAAGTGCCGTAGTTTTGTCTTGCCAGCAAATCTGCGGTGGGGTCTTTTGGGTGGCGGCGGTTCTAATCTCTTTCCTGCCTCCGGGCGTGTTTGAAACAAGCGAGAGGGTTTTTCATTGGTTGATCATTGGCCAGCAACAGATACGATCAGCAACAGGTACGCACGAGACGATACGAACGAGACGAGTAGATTACCAATGATCAATTAGTGGCGGATTCTCTCCAGAGTTTTAGCACTGGAAGGGTAGACTCATTAGACCAATGCCCCCTTTAATTTTATATTTTAAACTTTTTTTTCTTTTTTTTTTTTTTTTTTTTTGCATAAATAAAACTGAATTTAAAAAATTAAATATTTTTTTTTTTGTATGCGGGATTTTCAAGTGATTCTTAAGCATTATGACTGGTATAAAACGTCGTAAGTCTATAATAAAGTCGACAAAGTGACATTCATTCCTTTTACTTGAAAGAATCCTAGGAAGACAAAACAATCTAATTGACTACCCAGTTCAAACCTCCAAAGTATTTAATAAACCCATTTCAAACTGTTGACCAACTTTTAGAAAGAGCTCTATCAATTAAACAACACACTCACGTAACAACAACAAGAGTGCGGTGTCAGGTAGAAAAACCTCGTCTCAAACACTACATTACTCCTCCAAAAGCAACTCTTAAACAACAGTCTACAGGACATGCGTCTCATTAGGCAAACGAACGCGTCAATTAAACAGAAGATTTCGACGGGTTGTCACACCTTCTCAGAAAGCAAAAAGAACAGTGTCAGAGTTACAATGTGATGACTACGTCTTGTTTGTGGTCCGACGTGATCAAGTTATTCAAGGTAAATAATCCATTCCCTTTCACCCTGTGTTAAAATAGAGCTTACCAATTCACTTTTAGCGTACAGACATGCCCTTTTTTATTGTGTCCATTTAGAAAACTGGGGAATCAAGGGAAGAGTGTATGCATTAAAAGAATGTTGAAAAGTGAGCTCAAGTAGCGTTACAAGACATGACGGATCAAAATCACTTTGCGAGCTAAGAAACGGTCATATATCAACCACCATTTACTCAAAGAATATACTGGACTCAGCGAGTCTGCCTGTGTAGGATGAAACTAACTTTTTTTTGACATAAATCGGGATGGCATAGTAGTGTATCTTTATGCGATAACTGAGTGTCATTGTACTATCTACTCCAAGATTCAAACTGGACTTTTATACACCCTCAGCTCAACATCTTTTGGATAAATCAAACCGAAAAATACAACTGTATGACTGATCTTATAGACTAAACATTATCGTAAATAACGCAATAAGTATTCATCCTTCGTTTACTCTAACACTAGCTCTAGGTAGCAAGAAAAAAAAACTGGGAAGAAGAAAATAAGGATGTCTGCTCGAGCTCACAAAGTACTAGTGAACAAGAATATGAAAGAGTGATTGGAGGTTTAGTTTACATTAAGAACGTGTTATTATAACAGGAGGAATATATGATATGTATGAGTGAATTGTGATATTTGATAAAAAAAAAAAGTATGGTAAAGTAAGAAGATTCATGCATACCTTCTATATTCATGTACCACCCACCGAAAAGATATTGATGTTCGAGTGATTTGTGAGTGTTTCCAACCATTCCTTTTTAGTTGCTTATTATAAGGCGGTGTTAAAATAGGTGGATCATTTTTATCATTTTTTCGGTAAGAGGTGTCAAAATAAGTTATTTTCATCACTCACGACGTAGATACGCCTTATCGTGATGAAGGACTTGTTGCTCAGGCACGTAAAAAAACCCTGAGCATGGGCACTGATTTATTTTATGGAGTGACGGTTTTTTTGTGGAGAAAACGCGGGTTGAAATCAATACAAAAATTAAAAAAAATAACCCAAACGCGCCATTCTTTTTTTTTTTTTTGATACAACTACCTCTAATGAGTTTCTTTGCACCTCGATCAGCTACAGCCAAAGTCGTTAATAACGAAAAAACCGAATTATTCAATAAACGACAACCATGGGTTGAGAAATAGTAGGTTCCTCCCCTTTCACATGTCAACCAAAAGGGGGGTGGAAGACTAAAAACTTTTTTTTTTTGTAGTCGACCAAAGACCATGGATGACATTGCGTCTCAAGAGCAAGCAGTACTTGTATTAAAAAGGCTCTTCAATCAGACAATGTAAGAACTCTTTTTTTTTTCGCCTTAGAAGTGAAGGAGTGGGTGTCTAATGGTTTTTTTTATGACATAGTTGCCACATTTACTCTTTTATGGACCTCCTGGTACGGGTAAAACGTCTTCAATTTTAGCTTTAGCCAACGAACTGTATGGACCCGAGTTGATCAAGTCACGTGTATTGGAACTGAATGCTTCCGATGAACGTGGTATTCAAATCGTACGTGAAAAGGTCAAGAATTTTTCGCGAAATATTGTGACAAACAAGGTGGCAGGTTATCCTTGTCCTCCTTATAAGATTGTTATCTTGGATGAAGCGGATTCTATGACGAAGGATGCACAATCTGCATTACGTCGTACTATGGAAACCTATTCAAAGACAACACGTTTCTGTATCGTATGTAATTATGTCAGTCGGTAAAGTGGTTGGTTTTTTATTTTTATATGTGTGGAGGGAAAGAAGGAAAATCATGCTTTTTCTTTTTACTAACAAAGTATTGTTAATGTAGTATCATTGAGCCCATTACATCACGTTGTGCTAAATTTCGATTTAAATCATTACCTCTTCAAGATTTAGAGGATCGTATCCAGTTGATTTGTGCCAAGGAAGGTGTGAATTTAGCTCCAAACACACTCCAGACATTGATTGAATGTTCGGGTGGTGATCTTCGAAAGGCCATTACATTTTTACAGAGTGGATATAACCTTCAAGGGAGCGAACCTATTACACCCAGGATGATTGAGGAAATGGCGGGTGTGATTCCTCATGAGATGATGCAAGTGTTGATTGATTCATGGTCGGGTAATATTCAAACCATTGAAAAGGAAGTGCAGAATATCATGAACGAAGGTTATTCAGGCGAGAATATCATTCAACAAATTCATAAAGAAATCATTCTAGACGATAACCTAAGTACATTACAAAAGACAAGGATTTATGAATACATGTCTGTGGCTGATATCGATCTTGTTCAAGGTGCGGATGAACATTTACAGATTTTGAATTTAATGGCTCATATTGCCTTTATTGCTTCAAATTAAAATAAAAAACATGTATTTTACTATTCCATCATGGGTTCAACTTGAGGCATCTTTTTCTTTTTGGGCCCTCTTTTTCGTGGATGTGAATAGACTTTGACCTCTGGTTTGACAGTGTCCTTTTCTATAGATGCTTTGACAGAAGGTCTATGAGGACGATGCTGTGGAATACCTAGACCTGCTTTATGTCCAAAGGAGATGGATTTAGGTATCCGTAATTTGGACATGCCCGTCACAAGTTCATCCATATCCACATCCTTTTCTACTTCCTCCTCTGTTGATCGATGCTCTTCATCCATGTTGGTATCTCTAATTTTATCCTTGTGTCCATGCATGCTTAATCTTTTCAGTCTTTCCTTGTTTTTTTGATCTCTAATCTTTCTTTGCTCAAAGGATAATGTACCGGTATACACTAAATCAAAAGGAAAGTATCTGGGATAGTTATGCTTGTCAATCAAATGCAATCTACGTTGACGAGGTCCCGAACATACTTTTTTACAGCCATGCACATAACACTTGTACTATAACAAAAGAGAGAGAGAGTTTTAGTTTTTAAATTCGTGCGGTTATAGAAAGGAGTGAACTTTACAATCTTTTCACCTCGCTCCTTCTTGATTTGAAGCAAGACATTGTGAAATTCATCAATATGCAACTGAAGCCAATCGAAAGAAGGGAATATTTTATGACATTCTAAGCAGACGTTGCGGTGAACCGCTTCATAATGAGACTCAAATGTGACAACAGAAGGAAATCGAATACGACAATGATCACAGTAAATGTCAATATGGTGTTGACTAACAAAAGCATGGTTCAGTAAGAAGAAGAAGAAGAAGAAGAAGAAAATATGAAATATATATATACTCGAGTAGTTCTTGTTGTTCTTGTTGAATCATGTGGACTTCAGCATCGGATGCAGCTTGTCTTTTAAGCCACAAGGCACGTAATGCAATATTGCCTTCTTCGAAAAAGGGATCGTTTGGTGCATAAATACGTTTCTGAGGAATGTAGATAGTGGACATAGTTGCAGAAAGCCAAAATAATAATAATAACAAAAAAAAAGGGTTGCTTTAATAATTTTCTAAAACCAGCTCTCTTTTTTATTGTTGTTTCTCTCTTTCTTTTCTTTTTTTTATTTTATATATTTTAACAAAGGAGCCTAATCCAATGGCAAGTTGCAAAGAAAGGGTGTAAAAATGGTCTTGTAGACTAATGTTTTTTTTTAATAGTCTCGTAAAGGTGTATCTGCCGATGAGAAACGCAAGCGTATTGAAAGTATATTTCATGAAACAGGTGAATTTTATCAGCTCAAAGATATCGAGAAATTAGGACCTAAACGAGGTGTTGGTACGAGGGAGATTAAGAGACAAAAAAAAAAAAAAAAATGATGTCAGGCTTTTTAACTTTATGATTTTAGTGTCACAATCCGTCAAGGAAGTATTGATGAGTCTTGTGGATGATGGACTGGTGACAATGGATAAAATTGGTACATCCAATTATTTCTGGTCATATCCTTCTGCCGCAGCACAAACAGTAAGCATCCTTTTCAGGCCAGGCATGTTGTGTGATGACTTATATGGATATCATCATAGAAAAAGAACAAGTTGAATGAAGCAGAGAACAAGTACAAGAAGGAAATGGAGAGAAAGGCACGCTTAGAGGCATTAATGGAAGAAGCTCAAGTGGGAAGAGAGCCTTCTGATGAACGTACACAAGTATTAAATGCGCTTGAGGAACAACAAGAGACAACAAAGGCACTTCATGCCGAATTAAAAAAGTATCAAGACAATGATCCCGTCTTGTTTGAAGCAAAAGGTAAATAGTATAAAAGAGGCAAGGTAAACACATTTGTTTTTAAAACTTTTTTGGGGGGGTGGGAATGGTAGAAAAAGGGGCACGTATTGCAAAAGAAGCAGCCAATCGATGGACAGAGAATATATGGGAAATGAAATCTTACTGTGTTAATAACTTTGGTATGGAACGCAGTATGTTTGATCAACAATTTGGGCTTAAAGATGATTTTGACACCATCCCTTAAAAAAAAAAAAATCATGTGATACAGTGCAATTCATCACCCCACGCCTTTTTTTTTTAATTCTGTACATCATTATTTTCTTTCTTTTATTCACACTAAAAAAAAAAATGCACATGAATAAAAGACCTTCGTTTGTAAACTTTCCTATACCATTTGATCATCCATACACGATTCCAACACTTGTGGCAACGGTGGGAGCTTCTGCTTTACTCTATTATTCTTTACAAGCGTCTCACAAGGCCGATTTGAAGGAAGCCATTCGACAACAAGTGGTACAAAAAAGACGTCATTTGAAGCGAAAGGAAGATAAATTCGCCAGTTTGAAAATTGAACATCAATTCGTGAATCCTTTCAAGGAATGGAAACAAACGCATTCGGTTATGGAGTCTGTTCTATTCTGGTTGGGTTTGTATAATAATCACCAAGTACCCACATCCGAAAAGGTTTTTTTAAAAAAAGACGAACTTTTTTTACGCATGGGGTACTAATAGAGACAAGTTTATGTAGGAGTTAAGAGAGGCTTTACCTGTTATTCAACCTCGTTGGGATTTAATCAAGAGTGTCAATACATTTACTTGGTTGGGTCAGTCAACCTGTCTCTTTTCGTTAGAAGGCTTAAGGATATTAACAGATCCAGTGTTTGATCATGAGAAAAGGCTTCGTCCGTCTCCCTGTCAGGTCAATGACCTTAAATCCATGCTGGATATCGTCCTTGTCTCTCATCAGCATTTTGACCATTTAGGTACCTCTTCTTTACAAAAAAAAAAAAAAGAAATAGTGGAGGAAGCTGACCCAAAAAAAAATAGATGAAAGGGTTGTGATACAACTTGGAAATGATGTGACTTGGTATATACCTTTAGGACTTCGTGAGTGGTTTGTGGAAAGAGGAATTGAAAATGTCATTGAACTGGATTGGTGGCAAGAGATTCATCACAAGGGAAGACCTGATATTTTAATTGCCTGTGTCCCATCCATGGTAACAGCATACGAGAGAGAGAGAGAGCACATGACATGTAGAAACTCACTACTTTTTTTTTAAGCATACAAGTGAGTCTAGCACGTTTCACAAGGATGAATCACTCTGGTGTAGCTTTGTATTAAAATCCAAAACAGACCGCATCTTTTTCTGGTAAAGAGAGCTTGTAAAAAAAAAGAATTCAATATATGTAGGGCTAACGAGACATAGTGGAGATACAGGGTATGTGAGTGAATTATTTCAGACAATCCGAGATTTATATGCGCCTTTTACATTGGCAGCTATTCCTATTGGAACATTTGAACCCGCCTCACTTTTCAACTCACTGTACATGACACCTTCCGAATCGGTACAAGCGCATGCCGATTTAGGCAACCCTACATTGTCTGTGGGTATTCATTGGGGTACATTTATGACCTCGAGTGAACCTTATTTATCGCCCTCTCAACAATTAAATGAGGAATCAACAAGTCGATTTATTACAAGTTCATTTGGCGAAACACTTTTGATTTAAACATAATTTAATAATTGACAATCACCACCTTCGTAGACATCGACCGAATTCTTCTTGTGTTTTCCGTTTAATGTATCGTAATTCTTTTCGCGGTACACGTAGAAATCAATATGATTGTCATCAAAACTCCAGCTTCGATCTTTTTTTTAATAAATAAACAGATTAATTTTTAGGAGGGGGTGGAACGTAACACACATTTTTTATTGTATATTATCTTACCTTCAACAAGCAAACATCCATTGTGCTTCTTGGAACTACCGGGAATCTCCCATCCTTCCATTTCAGGCACAAAGATCTTGGTATTACGATCAATATCATTAGCAGCAATCGTGATATAAGGACGAAGAGCAGTACCAAACGCTGTGTTATATATATATAAAAAAAAAAAAATTATGAGTATATTCTGTCACTATGTAAGATATATAGTACGATCCCAACTTACAGGTTAAGCCAAAGGGATCTTCTTTCTTGTCTACTTCCATAAAGCATTCATAGTTTTTACAGGTACAACCACCAAGATTAATCACCTTGTTGCCAACAATACCAGTGCCTTCCATCACCAATGCATCAGCATATTCTTCAGAGACAGTGCCCAACGATTTACCATCACAGGTCTTGACAGTGATTTGTTTGCCACCACTCTTGTAGTCTTCAGGATGAGCAATCCAGTAATAGGTAAGCGCAGAGTTCTTTTGGAGCAATTTACGTTGATTGGGCTTCTTACTGGCAGCAGCGAGCTTGACAACTTTGGTAGCAGTTGACTTGGCCGCTGTAGTGGTGGTGGTGGTCGTGGTGGTGGTAGTGGTGGTAGTCTTTTTAGTGGTAGTAGTCTTTCTGGTAGTAGTAGTGGTGGCCTTTTTGGTGGTAGTGGTCTTTTTGGTAGATTTAGCAGAGGACTTTTTCTTTGTGGTAGTCTTGGCTTTTCTTGTGACACGGGAGCTTTTGGTACGACGAAGGGTTTTGGTAGCCTTCTTAAGGGTAGTAGTAGTAGAAGAAGAAGGACGAGCAATCTTATTGAGAACAGCCTTGGTCTCTGTCTTGACACAAACATTACCACCTGTCAAGAGATTGTTACAAGCAGGATTGTTGACAGTAGGGTTCATGCTATAGAAATCGGATTTCTTGATATCATACTTGTTGGAAACCGAAGTACAGGTATCGGAATCCGTTACTGTTGTAACCAAAAATAGTTAGGTGTCAATTTTTTTTTTTTTTTTTTTTCATATGGAAGAAGCTATTTTATATATATATATATTTTACCATGATGGGTTTTAACACATGTGGTGACAAAAATATAGTCGTTTTCTTTCAGGACACAATAGTTTTTACCATTGTACATGTTGGTACACTTGGCATTGACTTGAGGGTTCCATAACAAGATACTTTCCATCTCGACATTGTACAAGAGGGACAATGTGTAGCAGTTATCCGCACCAGAGACTTTAATAAAGAAGAAAAAAAAAAAGAGGTTAATGCGAGAATAATAAGGCTATAAATAGAACAATTAGATTACTTTTATGGTATTTTTGACAGTCATCAGCGCGCTTGCGAATAGACGAAGAAATGACACCTCGTTTTTCAATTAGGTCTTCATGTACATCGACCAATTCATAAGGTGTTTCCACGGTTTCGGAAGCAAAAGGGGCTAAATAACTGTCGGCATAGATACCAGTAGAGAGATTTCCATGAACAATGGCAATATCGTTACGAATACCGCCAAAAGCAGCCACTGTAGTCACAGCCAATGCAATGGATACAAGTTGTTTCAACATGTATTTTTAAAAAAAAAGGAAGGGAAAGGGTGGGTGGGTGAAGAAGAGGTTATGAAAAAGAAAGAGAGAGAGAGAGAGAGAGAGAGAAAAATTAATTTCTAATTTATAGATCTCGCGTAATACAATTAAATTTATATAACTTTATTAAAAACCGCTCTGATATTTCTATGAATTCTCTTCGTGCACTTTTCCGCTGCTTCCTAAAATCAATTAAAAATCCAGAAAAATAATATAAAACAGAATATTTTGGCTTGTGCTACTTCAAAATACCTTTTTTTTTTACCCGTGAAATAAATGAGAACCCCAAAACCTTAATGGGGCATGATTTCTTATAACAAACATTTTATTATATAGTAATTCACCTCCATTGTACATAAAATAGATCTTTTTTATTTGATCCGTAAAAAGAGAAAACATACAACAACAACAAAAAAAGTAGAGAGAGAAAGAGAGATTACCAAATATATAACACAAATATTCGAAATAGAACGACGGACAAATCCGAGTTTGCATAAGTTCCTTTCTTTTACTTTGTGTCTATCTATTTTATCTAAATTGCTATACGTCTTATTTATCTGCATCTCTGTTAATTTATATATTACAAGCCTTATTTTTATTTTTAAAAAAAAAAAAGCCATGGCTGGATTTTCTGCTTCTTGTTAGTAGTCCCTCCCCCCTTCCCTGACAACCTTCTTTCATAAAAGTACACTGACTATAAGAAAACAGGGGAAGCCTCTCTTTTTTCAATTTTGATCACGTGTTTTATAAATTTTCAACCAACAACGCGCACTACGTAGTTGTTGTTTGGGTGGGCCCTCTCTTTTAAGGGAGGGGGGGGGGAGATTTAATTGGAGAAAAACTTCTTTTTTCTCTCTCTGTTTAAATTATAAAAAATACGACAAAAAAAAAAGATGAACCCTGAATAGTAGGTAGATGAAGAAAAGGAGCCATGGTGCTATAGGTGAATTAACTTTATAATAGCGATTATTTGTTCAAGCTTTTGCTTATCGGAGACTCTGGTGTAGGAAAGTCTTGTCTTTTATTGCGTTTTGCCGACGATACTTACACCGAAAGCTATATCTCCACCATTGGTGTTGATTTCGTAAGTATATATAAAAAAGTCATGGGCTACAAGAGAGAGAGAAAGAGACATGCTCATCCCCCTTTTTATATATATATATATATATGCTGTGTAGAAAATCAGAACCATTGAACTTGAAGGAAAGACAGTTAAATTACAAATTGTAAGTAACAGATGGGACATAATAGATAAAAAAAAAATGGGTAAATAACCTTATTAATAAACAAAACTAGTGGGATACTGCAGGACAAGAGCGTTTCCGTACCATTACGTCTTCTTATTACCGTGGTGCTCATGGTATTATTGTTGTCTATGATGTGACTGATGCGGATAGTTTCAATAATGTCAAGCAATGGTTACAAGAGATTGATCGTTATGCAGCCGAAGGTGTAAATAAATTATTGGTGGGTAACAAGAGTGATTTGGTTGATAAGAAGGTCGTTGATACAGAACAAGCCAAGGAATTGGCTGACAGTCTTACTATCCCTCTTTTGGAGACTTCCGCTAAAGATGCTACAAATGTTGAACAAGCCTTTTTAACCATGGCTAAGCATATTAAGGATAGAATGGGTTCCACCATGCAACAACAACAACAACAGGCTAAATCCACTGTGAAAGTAGGTCAAGGTGCTGCTGTTCAACCTCAACAATCCGGTGGTTGTTGTTAAATAGGATTATTATTAGTATATATACTTTTTTTTTTTTTTTGGCTGACAAAAACCCCCCCTTATAACTATTTTAAATAAACAAGAGACGAGAAAGAGAGAAAGAACAGAGAAAGAACTTCCCGATCATTACACCGAACCTGATTTTAATAACAAAAGGTTTTTTTTCTTATATATATTATCATACTTCTTTTCTCTCTCTTTTTTTTTATTATTATTATTATCATGTATTGGAATTTAGCGCATTTAAATCCGGCCACAGCGAGTCAATTTCAATGGGTTTATGGCATAACGCCCATGTCGGATTTAACGGTAAAAAAAAAAAGAAGCTCTCTTTAGTTTTTTAACCTTCCCAGCCATTTTTTTTTTAATAAAAAAAAAAACAAATAGGTCATCTATACAAGCTGGATAGTGTATTTTGTATCGATTGTATCCATACGTTGGTACATGGCTGAAAGAACTCGTATTGATCGATCACATACGGTGCTTGTATTTTACAATGGATCCATGATTCTGTGTAGCGTGTATATTTGTATGACCGCCTCCTACTCACTCTGGCAAACAGTGGTATATACATAAAAAAAAAAAGGGTCACAATGATATGAACAAAACGTGCTAATATGAAAAAAACCAATATTGTATAGAACAAGGAAGGCCAGTTTTTCACATTCTGTCATGCTGTACAGTACGCTCGATACCCACAATATGGAGGCTACATGTTTTACTCCATGTATCAGTATTACCTCATTCGTTATTATGTGTTTTTGGATACGGTGATTTTAGCTCTAAGAAAGGCAAGTGTGTGTGGAGGTGTGTGTGTGTGTGTGTGTGTGTGTGTGTGTGTGATTAAAAAAAAAAAAAAAAAAAAGTTGTTGTTGTTGTTTTTACTCACGCATGAAAAGGGTTTTTTGTCTCCAATAGAAATCCATTCCCTTCTTACATTGGTACCAACATATGTTTATTATCCTCATGATGTGGTCTTGGTTACAAGACCAAAGCATTTTTGGAAGGTACAGAATGAATAGGGTGTTGCCCACCCTTTGTTTCTAATGCCCTCTGTTTTAGCATAGCAACGAGCATCATTAGTTTTGTTCAAGTATTTAAATACTTGTATTACTTTTGTAACTGTACCAACATCAAGTCAAAATGGATCAAGGTAATATATACAATATAAAAAAAAAAAGGGATCCCCCAAAAAAAAAAAAAAAGTTTTTAATGGTGTGACTAATCCTAAAAGTGATACAGAATGCCGCTGTCCTTTTTCAAGTCATACAATTTATCGTGGCTATTGCATTAACTGCCTATCAAATGAGCCTATGTCCTCAATCCAACTGTGTTTTATTAAGTGCCAGTATTAACATTACAATGGTTTACATGGTAGTCAAATACTATGAAAACAGTGAAGGTGCAGTGGCCACCACACGTGAACATTATAAGCGAAGGAACAGTAATAAAAATATACACACGACAGCAACCGTGTAACCCTTTATTTTATTTTACATTCATATTCCACTCCCCCATTTTTTTTTTTTTTTTTAAACAAGAAGAAAAAAACTTTTTTTTTTTTTACTTTTTTTTTTTTCTTTCACTTTATTACTCAACAAAATGTACGAACGTGATGTATTTATTGCTGGTTCAGGTAATAAAATCATGGCCCTTAAGTGTAGTTTAGTGTTGTTTTTTTAAAAAAAATAAAAAATAAAAATCAGGGGTATCTGGATTATATGCAGCTATTGTTCTTTCCAAAATTGGTGTGTCTGTTCATATTGCAACAACAACAAAAGGTAAATAAAATGTCAGAATATACAAAAAAAAAAAAAAAACAAAAACAAAAAGTAGGACTTTTAAATACATTAAAAAAAGAAAAAAAAGCAAGGCCCTGATATACATTTATTTATTTTTTTTAGATGAGGAAGGAAGTGATGAAGTGTTGGTGTTTTCACCTCGTAGCCTGCAATTACTATCTCAACTAGATTTATTAAGTGCAATGACACAACACGGTATCCGTCATTACAAATTCGAAGTATATCAGAATAAGGGTATCGGCAATCATGCGGTGACCCAACTCGAAAGTTTACGACTCTGGGAAAACGATGTTACCGAATACAACTATGCTCTTTCCTGTCCTAAATCCATCGTACTTCAAATCCTCAAGGAGTATCTGGAAAAGGTACAGGGTATCCCCATCGACCAGGATGAGGAACTTATTCATATTGAAGAACAATCAAACCCTTCATCGCTTTCCAATGCGGAATTATCGCTTTATTATCAATACCGTCCTTTACCCGTCATTCATCACGCATTACACGACAGGACTATGAAATCAATTCATCTTCGTCATAGAAAGACAAAGGAAGTAAAGGTTCATAAGGCCCTGACAATCATTGGCGCTGATGGTCAGACAAGTCTTGTAAGACAAAAATTAGGTATGATCATCATCGTACATTTCAATCCCCTCCGCTCTACCTCTCATCATTTTAAAAAAAAAAAACTCACCTATGTAGGTTTATCACTTGTCAGTTACCAGTCATCACAACAAAATACACGATGGTTTTATACATTAGTGATTGATATTATATCCACCACATATCCAGGTGTACGTCAAATAGCCACCATGAGTAAAAACAAGAATATTCTGTTTATTCTAGGTAAGCATTTATAATAAATGTGTGTGGGGAAAAAAAGGGGGGGGGGCAGAGTGAGAACTTTTTTTTATTATTATTGATACACAAAAGGTCACCAAACACATTTGTACATTACTTTTGAACATAAATCCAGTTGGTCTAAAGTATCCATTGATGATGAAATACCCCTTTCCTTGGCCCTAAGACATATCAAAACCATGATGGAACCTTACCTTGTCGAATTTGGTAAACCCAGGAGTTATAAGAAATGGAACGGTAAACGAGCTTTTCTAAAAACAAAAAAAGTGCTACACATGTACATCTGTATTTAACTTTCTTTTCTCTCTTTTTTTTTTTTTGGTCTGTGTGTGTGTGTGTGGGGTGTTATCCAGGCAATAATATAAGCTCATGTGAAAACCACACAATGGACTCGAGCTATTTTTTAATTGGTAGTGCATCGCAACGCATGACACCACCGGGTCTAGTTGATATCAATACGAATCTCGAGCAAGTACAAAACCTCTGTTGGAAACTAGCACTGGGATTACAACATTGTGCCTCACCCAAGTTACTCGAGACCTTTGAACAAGAAAGTCGATACAAGGTAACTGAAGCCTTACATTTCTCTACTGTCATTACCAATTTGATGGGTGATTACTATTTACACCAAAAGCATGATCCGCTTCATGCCCGTGATATTGTCTATGAATTAACTCGATTTAAATCTTGCATCATTGGTACCACACCACTTTTACCTAATATTCTAAACCATGCGAGCGAAGAAGACGATGATACAAGTAGTATCTTGGCTCCTTCCTTTGAATTCATGGCACCTAATACAACAGTCAGCATGGTAGATCATGGAGGATGTTTAGCTCCCAACGCTAAATTAAAACCTTACACATTGTTTCAATTACTCTTGACAACATCACAAACAAATAAACAACAACAGGTGACCCAAATAGATCCATCCAATTCCACCACCAGCACCACCACCACTAATATAAAACCCCGAAGAAGATCTAATTCTGTCACATCGAGTACAAGTATTTGGTCCTCCATTCCACTATTTCAAAAGAGTCCAAAGAAACGCAGTCCACTCACACCAACAACACCAACAACACCAACGGCAGTGGTAGCAGTGGATCGCTGGAAGAGCATCAAAGCCAACCATCTACAATTATTGGATCGTATTCAAAGCTTTAACAAGACAGGCTGTACATTTACCATTCTATTATTTTGCGGTTCAATGGAAGAAACACAAGCCAAGGTAGGAACCTTTGTGAGGCTGATGGAATCACCTGGATCCTTTATATACCGATACGAACGAGGTGGACACCTTACCACGATAGGGGAGAATAATAATAATAATAATAATAACCGAAATAGTGTGATATCATTTGATGGTGTAAGACGATCTGTAGATCAACCACGCCGAGAATCCTTTGAATCATTTCTGGACCACACACGATTTTCGACTTCTAGCATGTCATCTTCCTCTGCAGGATCATCTTTGGGTGTGATATCGAACCGCTTATTTAATGTGATTTTTATTAGTAGCTCTGGAAGAAATGATGCGGTCAAATATTTGAATAATACACCACCTGCTACAGTGCATTCGACATTTCCTTGTGGATTATCGCAGGTGTTTTTGGATCATGATGGACAATGCTATAAGGCATATCATGTGGGTAAAGAAAACCATGCGGTGGTGATTCGACCGGATGGATATATTGGAACACGTGTTTCGATAGAGAATAAGGAGGAGGAGGCGTTTGAGCGTATCAACCGTTACTTTGATTCATTTTTACGACCCCCCGTTGATATGAACACGGCTGCTGCTGTCGTTGCAGCGGATTACGAATGATAATAATAATAAAAAAAAAGGTTTTATTTTTATTTTATTTTTTTATCTATGCCTGATATAAAAGTTGATCTCGCAAAAGTTGCTGTTGTTGATATTGATCATCGGAGGTACAAGACTCTCTCCAATTTCTTATACCTTTTAAATAATTTTCATGCAAATCTGATTTATAGACATCTAATTTCTCCATGTTTTCAATCGCCATATCACGACCGATCCGTTGAATGTCCTGACCTCGCTGCGTCATCTTTTCGGCTTGTTGTAGTGCAGCATCTAATAAATCGCCCGTCGTCGTGACGAGTTTCCCCATAATTAATCGGAGAACATGGTCATACCAAAAAGAGATGAGTGGTACAGATTGAAGCAACCCTTTTTTTTATTGTTTTTTTAGCATATGAAAATTTGTTTATATTTAGATTGGGTTTTACCTTCTAATGTCCAACTATCTTCTTGACTGTATATCTTTAATAGACCACTATCAGGATCTGTTTCTTTAAAATGAAGAGTGGTGATAGCGGGAACTTGAAGGCTAATAAAGGATGGAAAAATGCATGGTGAGATATGCTGTGTCAAGTGAATCACAGCAGTATGGCTAATAATATAATAAAAGAGAGATATAAGACATCATGTGAAAATCAAGTTTTTTTTTTTTCTTCTTTTTTACCCATCAAAGACGATATTGTTAATAGTTGGTTCTGTTCGATTCATGGCTTGCCAAACTGTATACACACTTGAGAACGTAAAATTCAGTTTCAACAGATAAATACTTAAAAAAGGGGGGGTTTATGCTTACTATTGAATGTTCAGGACACCGTCTGTGCTCATAACGGGAGACGATAAACTGGCATTTTCAAAAAAATAATATTCTAGTATTCTTCTACGTTTAATTGTATTGTATGAAAATAAATCTTCCACTATATCTATTTCATATTTTCTTTTTTTATCAGTCCCCCTTTTTTTTTTTCGTGATGCTTCCACTAGAGAAATTACTCACTTTTAATGAGTGCAGAAGGTGATATTTGAGCATCACTTCCTGTATCAGACATCTTTTGCTTGTATATTTATTGAATTTATATATATATAAAAAAAAAATAAAGGAAAAAAAAAAAGGGAAAAGAGGGAGTAACGAAATAAAAAGGGCGTTGTCCCCTCCCCCCCCCCCAAATACACATCATGCAACCCTTCCATTTTAATCTCCGCTTATCCCCCAACCCCGTTCAGTTTGCACTTGTCCTGAGAGTATATGTGTGTGTGATCCATAAATGGGTCAAATTGACAAACAAACAATGACGTTTTAAATTGGGTCCAAGCACACACATACATCACACCTTATTGTTTTAATGCTTGGGACAGCGAGTTGCAGGACTACCCCCCCCCCTTCTTCACCTTTTCAAAGAGCTTTATAGGAAAAGCATGTGAACGATTGAGACAATGATCTTTTTAATCTTGGCAAATAAGTTCGTAGTTGAAGCTTCAGACCTTTTCTTCCTTCCCATACCTTTTTTATCAAATATCGCAATTCACTCATCCATATCATATAATCCTCCTATTGTAAACACGTTCTTTATATAAACTAAATCTCCAATCACTCTTTCATCTTCTTGTTCATTAGTACCTTGTGAGCTCGAGCAGGCATTTGTATTTTCTTCTTCCCAGTTTTTTTTTTGCTAGCTAGAGCTAGTGTTAAAGTAAACGAAGGATGAATACTTATTGTGCTATTTACGATAATGTTTAGTCTATAAGATCGGTCATACAGTTGTATTTTTCGGTTTGGTTTATCCAAAAGATGTTGAGCTGAACGTGATCATATTACTACCTGCTCAAAATGAGGATGTACCGAAGACCAGTTTGAATTTTGGAGTATATCGTACAGTGACACTCAGTTATCGCATAAAGAATTACTACTATGTCATCCCGAGTTATGTCAAAAAAAAGTAAGTTTCATCCTACACAGGCAGACTCGCTATGTCCAGTATATTCTTTGATTGGATGTTGTTTGATTTATGATCATGTCTTAGCTCGCAAACTGCTTTTGATCCGTCATGTCTTGTAACGCTACTTGAGTTCACTTTTCAACATTCTTTTAATGCATACACTCTTCCCTTGATTCCCCAGTTTTCTGAATGGACACAATAAAAAAGGGTGTGTCTCTACGCTAAAAGTGCATTGGTAAGCTCTCTTTTAACACAGGTGAAAGGGAATGGAGTATTTACCTTGAATAACATGATCACGTCGGACCACAAACCAGACATAATCATCACATTCTAACTCTGATACTGTTCTCTTTGCTTTCTGAGAAGGTGTAACAACCCGTCAAAATCTTCTGTTCAATTGACGCGTTCTTTTGCCTAATGAGACGCATGTCCTTTTGACTGTTGTTTAAGAGTTTTTTTTGGAGGAGGAATGTAGTGTTTGACACGAGTTTTTTCTACCTGACACCGCACTCTTGTTGTTTTTACGTGAGTGTGTTGTTTAATTGACGGAGCTCTTTCTAAAAGTAGGTCGACAGTTTGAAATGGGTTTATTAAATACTTTGGAGGTTTGAACTGGGTAGTCAATTAGACTGTTTTGTCTTCCTAGGATTCTTTCAAGTAAAAGGAATGAATGTCACTTTGTCGACTTTATTATAGACGTTGCGACGTTTTATATCAGTCATAATGCTTAAGAATCACTTGAAAATCCCGCATACAAAAAAAAAAAAAACCCACAAGAAATATTTAATTTTTTAAATTCAGTTTTATTTATGCAAAAAAAAAAAAAAAAAAAAAAAGAAAAAAAAGTTTAAAATATAAAATTAAAGGGGGCATTGGTCTAATGAGTCTACCCTTCCAGTGCTAAAACTCTGGAGAGAATCCGCCACTAATTGATCATTGGTAATCTACTCGTCTCGTGCGTATCGTCTCGTGCGTACCTGTTGCTGATCGTATCTGTTGCTGGCCAATGATCAACCAATGAAAAACCCTCTCGCTTGTTTCAAACACGCCCGGAGGCAGGAAAGAGATTAGAACCGCCGCCACCCAAAAGACCCCACCGCAGATTTGCTGGCAAGACAAAACTACGGCACTTTTGCTGGCTAGACAGAAGCTGGATAAAGAAAAAAAAATCGAGAGTTGGCAGAAAATGTGCCCTTTATATACCTTTTTTTTCCATCACACAAAATCGATTTTTTTGTTTTGTGACTGGTCTTGCTGCGCAGTGCCTTCAAAAATTTCAAAAGTCACGGACAAATAAAGCAAACATGCGCAGTAAATAAAGGGAAGAAAGGGTAAACAAAAGTGGGAAAGAACATTAAAGGCCTTATGTCGACATTGACATTTAGGAAACACTAAAAGAATAAAAAGACCACCTCCGACACTTGTACAACTCAGCAACATTATGTATAATGTCAACCATTGTTACATTTCTTGCACTAATTGAGACTTTATTTTCTAAAGGGTTTCTTTGGGAAGGATTTTTGTTCTGCTGCTGCTACTTCTGCTAATAATATTGGTCGATTATAATGTTACAATAAGCAGCTACGTTGCAGAATTCAAAACATAGTTTTATGAATTTTTACTCCCAGAAGAGCGGGACTTACAAATTATATGCTCAGGTTTAAATAAACATTCAAGGACTTGACATCCATAAGACACAGAATTGCGCCTTCCAGTTTTTTTATATGATACTGATTAAAGACACGCTTTAGTCGTGTCTTCGGTTTGACCTGTGTCAAGTCAGAGAAGAAAGAGCCAAAGAGGCACAATGACATGATATGATGTGGTCCATCTGCTTGCTAAATTTAAGGTTATTGGGTCGCTTTTTGACGTGGTGTGTAACCTGTCCTGTGGGCCCTTTTATGCACTCAGTTACGCTTTTTTATTTTGAAACACGCCCAAAGAATTTTATAACTTGATTTTTTTTTTTTTTTTACTTTTACATTTCTTGTTCATCACATTTGCTATTCATCTTACCCAATTGCCTTTTTTTTTAGCTCCATAAAAATACCTCGCGTTCATCCTAACATCGTTGTCGGTAGTCTTGTATTTGCTAAAATGAACTATTTACGTAAAGCAGCCTTGTCTCTACTAATCTTCTTGTCGTTTACCAGTGCCCCATAGGAACACACTTTGAAGGTAATATCACGAGAATGTACAAAGATGGCATTGATGACTGCAAAGTGACCTTCGATGCTCTTCTCAACGTCCATTGCTCTTCGGTTAACTTGTCTTTGTTATAGGTATACTCCTCCTCAAAAATGATGTCAGAATCAACAGCAACGACAACAACAATTACAACAAAAGCAACACAGACGAATCCCCTGAACTTTAGGACGACACCATTCATTTAGCTTCACAAATTGAAAACGAGAATGAAAGCAATGAGGAAACGATGGATCTTAACTGAGAAGAATGAAGCATCAGTATTGACCAACGTCTTTACTCACCTTGACACAAGCTATCAGTACATAAAACCTTCTCTTGGTGAGAAAATCCCATTGAGATATTTGGTCATTTTTTGCCTTACGATCACCTCCAAAGTGTAGTAATTCCCGGCTATCAATCACTATGCAAGACAATTAAATTCTTCGTGGATTGACTTGGACTGGCCTGAGTATGGTACTTGGATTATGTGTTTGATTATTATGACGGTTGTCAACTTCCAGGACAAGAGAACGTGCTGGAGAAGGAGTAGTAGTCCTTTCACGTTGATTTTATTGACTTGATGGAAAGGACTGATTCCAATGATACATCCAGATTTCATTTGTTTGTTGTCCGTAATGAGGAACTGTAATTCGTCAAAAAGCAACATATTCTGTTGGTAAATATGTGGCATACATTGATTATACATAAAAAACGACTAAATTTTCTGCTCTAGAGCAAATACAGATCCTCTAAATACCGACCTCGATCCTATCTGAACGCTTTCAACAACCGGATGACTGAATCAGTACGCCCTGGACGCTATATGTGTGTTGACGAGTCAATGGATAAGTGGCTTAAAAACAAGATGCCGAAGGTACCCAGGAAGTTTCACCCACTTGGTCAAGAGTATGAGAGAATCACGTCACTTACATTATCATGCGCGTGGACAACTGTGGTCATCATAAATCCAACACAGACCTTGACCAACAAAAGATGGATTTATTATAGTCATTGCGAGGCAATTGACTGAGACTTACTATCAGTTTGGAAGGGTCATCATCGCAGAATCTAGGTCTATTTCACCAAAAATGGATCGAAGGCTTATGGACGTTGCCTGTATTTTTTTCAAAAAAAAAAAAAGTAAATAATCTCCCATTAACAACTTACAATCAAAGGCTGTCAATTTCTGGTCAAAATCACATTGTGCAATAGTAGAGATTTTTTAATCTAGAGTGACAGGTGATTATAAAGAGTAAATAGGGGATTATCTACTATTACTGTAGTATTATTTGCAAGAATAAAAGGGTGATGTGTAACATTCTTTATAAGGATTCAGTGATCGTTTTCCTAGAAGTAACGATGCCAAAAACAGTGTGTTTTTTAATATATTTACCATGTATATTTAAAAAAATCTTCTTATTGCTAGCATTTAATGATTGAAGAGGCATTCGGTCCATCCAGCTCAGTTCAAAAAAAAAAAAAAAAAATTCATGCATGGATGCATGGATGCATTGACAGGCGCCAGTCAAAAATAAAGGGATGGATACTTTGGCTTGAGTAATGAAAGGGACAATTATTTCCCGGAAGGTTAACTTCAGCGTATCAACCGCATCCATTAAAATCGTGGTGACGGTGATCTAAATTCAATTTATAATGATAAAGCAAGAGATCATCAAACTCTTGTATGATCAATATGGGTAATTAGGTTTTACGATATCTAGGCAACTAAAGCAATTCCCAACTTCAAATCTCTTGCTTGGCTATCAGATATAGTATAGTTTTTCTTTTTTTTTTCAGTGGTAGGCAGTTTCATTTTTACATTTGGAATGAAAAGGTAGAAAATGTATTTATGTCAAAATTATTTTATTTTGAGAGCTGTGGTTTTGGTATGCTCTCTCTTTTTTTTTTTTTTTTTTTTTTTTCCAGAGAACGATTCTTATTTTTCATTACGCTTCCTCTTGAGTAACATTTGATTAGCCCCGATATGAAGCCTACTTTGACTTTTGCTTTATTGCCAGTGGTCGAGATGGGGCCAAGGATCATTCAATAGCTCTTGAGTTAGTTTGTATCTTGCTCTAATTCTCAAGTCTTTTTATAGGCTTGTTAGTTATGGAGTTGTAGGTTCTCTGAGCAGATATCAACCTTTTCTCCTTTCTTGATGCACATGATGCCTTGTATAAATAATGTTTATTACATTGCGTATATTCGACTAACTTTTCGCTAGCGCCTTTTTGTTGAGGAACAAATATAATAGTTTGGTAAAGTTCTTATTTCTATCATCTTCATGTCACATTATATAACTATATATGGAATAAATCTCTTTGTTTTAACATCTATTTCACCTATCGCAGCTGACAGTCGTATACTCAGATACTCAAAGTGAAAACAAGGGTCTGTTTATACCCTGATAAATAATTTGGGTATGGACAAGATATTGCTAGAACACTTCAAATTTTTGAACACAATACTACTTCTTTCATTGAATACTTACATAACAAAAATTAAGAAAGAGATACAACATATTACTCCCGTCCAACCATAAAGCAAAACATTTGAAGCAATAATAATTTTTTTATTTATATCAACAACCCGAAACAGTTAACTTGAGTGGGTGTGTGTTAACTTGAGTGGGTGTGTGTGTGTGTGTGTGTGTGTGGGTGGGTGTGTGTGTGTGTGTGTGTGTGTGTGTGTGTGTGTGTGTGTATGTGTATGTGTATGTGTGTGTGTGGTTTTACATATGTGGGTTACCACGAGGACTTGCCCTTTCCTTTGGCTTTCTTTACGTTTGAGCGGCCAACATCGGTCTCCTCACGCTTTCTTTTTTCCTCATTAAATTCTTTGATACGATCGCCCCAATGCTGTTCATAATTTTCATCTTTAAAGCTGTCGTCCTCAGCATTTACAGTTTCAGGCTTGTTGTCTGGATCGAAGCCACCCAAGAACAAAATATCCTGCCACTTTTCTGCAGCTTCGTAACAATGATTGGTAGCCACTTTTCCAAAGTCTGGCCTAATCGTAATCTTCTTATTCTTAATGACTTGATCAGCCTCGGGAAGGAGCAAGGCAAGCTCTTGCTTATCCTTTTCTGAAAAAGCAGCCAGCCATTCCGGGATTAATTGCTACAATTAAAAAAGGTTTGTTACGATTCGAACTTTTTCTTTTTCTTTGGATATAAATTAAACTTACCCTGAAGTTTACTTGGACCAATTGGCTGTCCTTGCTTTGCAATAATCGCTTAAGCTTATTATCTTGATTATCAGATGCCTTTTGAGTTTGGACAGGCTTGGTAGTTTCGACTTGTGCAATCTCCGTCTCTTCAACTTCATCATCCGTGTCAATGTAAATTGCATTCATCGGACCATTTTTTTCTACCTCTTTTGTCTTACCAGGAGATCGCTTGGCTCTTGTAATGACAGCCTTTGTTGGTTTTGAAGAGCATGCCGATGCTTCTTTAGTCTTCGGAGTTAATGTCTTCCCACGCTTCTTTCTTGGCGCATCTTCCTCAATTTCATCCAAATCGTAGTCCTTGTAGGAGACAGAGGTTGAAGCGGCTCTTTTCTTCCTACCACTAGCCAAAGTCTTATGGGCGGGCTGATCATCCTTATCAGGTACAAACTCATCATTAGCATCGCATCGAGAATGACCAACAGAAACGTCGTTGCCAAAAGCTTGCTTATCTGCTAGACGTTTTGACTTTTTGATCGTGGGAGTATCAGATCCAGTAGCCTTGTATACCTTCTTTTTTAATACTGATTTAGATCCCTTTGCCACGCCTTCAGGGTTGGATTTCGCCTTGGGTTTTCTACCCCTGCGGCCCTTCTCTCGTAAAGGTACTTCCACCGGTACTTCTACAGGTACTTCCACCGGTACTTCCACGGGTACTTCCACAGGTACTTCCACGGGTACTTCCACAGGTACTTCAACATGTACTTCAACAGGTACTTTAACAGGTACTTTCACAGGTACTTTTACAGGTACTTCCACAGGTACTTCCACGGGTACTTCTATGGGTACTTTGGCAATAGGTGCTACAGTGGGTTCTACAGTGGGTTCTACAGTGGGTTCTACAGTGGGCTCTACAGTGGGTGCTACAGTGGGTGCTACAGTGGGTACTACAATGGGTGCTACAGTGGGTACTACAGTGGGTGCTACAGTGGGTGCTACAGTGGGTGCTTCACCAGGTGATTGGCCAGGGTTGTACACAGGTTTTTCAGAAGAAATTCCAGTGACCTGTTTGACGGCAAGGCTTTCGGCAGTAGGATGACCGGTAATCTTTTCGGCAGCAGACTTAGCATCAATATCACCAGCAGCAGACTTAGCATCAATATCACCAGCAGCAGACTTGGCATAGATCTTATCAACACCGATCTCAACATTCTTTTTTGAAGGCGATTCGGTAGACACACCATCAGCCAGATCGAGACACGCTTCAGCAACCTGTTCAACAGGCTCAGTTAAAGTTGTATTTCCTGGGATACTAAAATCCATGTCCATAAGAAGAGATGCAGCACGGCCAGATGAAACCTTCTTTTTTCTTGATTTGGCAGGTGTAGGCAGCTCAAAAGGATTTCTGCTTGGAGTCGGAGTAGCAGCGCCAAAGACATTTAGACCCCCAGATGAAAATAAGCCGGACATCATGGAGTCAACTTCTGCATCAGTAGTATGAACAGCAGATGGACTAGGCTCAGAATGAGCGGCTTGATCTGGCTCAGAATGAGAGGCTTGATCTGGCTCAGAATGAGAGGCTTGATCTGGCTCAGAATGAGCGGCTGGATCTGGCTCAGCAGGTGGCTCATAACCACTATGTGTTACCGGTTGTGGGGATCCGCGAAGAGCTGGTTTGACATTAGCCTGGCTAAGAGCTTGAGGTCCATGCGTTTGAGAAGGTTCGGTACATGACACAGGTTCCAATACCTTTTGAACATGTTGTTCATTGTGAGAAGATGCATTCAATTCAGATTGGGAACTGAATGGGATTCCAAACTTAGGAACCAAACCGGGATTGGAGCGAGAAACCAAATTAGGTTGAAGATGAGCAAAAAGCCCAGGCTTAGGATTAATTAGGGGTGGGCGAGGAAGAAGACCAAGCGGTGTAAATCCTACTCGTGCAGGCATAAATGTGGATGAAGCCAATTGAGAAAATGATGGGAGATCAAGAGGTGGATGTTCCAGTTGATTACGTGATGAAAGATCCATTTGGCTATGTGCTGGATGTGCCAGTTGATTATGGGATGCGCGTTCCGTTCCTGTAGTTGGAGATAGAACATTACGATCCAAAGTAGGGTATACAAATTTGATATGATCATCCTCGGGAGATTGAAGCCCAGTATCGGTTCTGTGCACAGGCGAATAAAATCTTTGGCTACATGAATCTGGTTCCATATGTGTTTGATATTCATTTTGAATTGGCGATTCAGGTTCCACTTTTATTACTGGAGGAGGCGAATCTAAAGGCTGAATGCGGCTTGGTTGAGCTGATGCTGCTGGTTCAGGTCGGATGGTTGATTCAGGCTCGAGTTTGACTTGAACAACTGGATCCTGTGGTTCATTGAAAGCCTCGGATTCGCATGGAACGTGTGATTCAATTGGGGTATCAAGGACTTCATCAGTGATTTGAGTTTGGCCGGGTGCTTCTGAGTAACGGCTGCCATGTGGTGGTAAAGTGGCAGATTCTTTTTGTAAATTGTCAGAAAAACTGCTGCTCGTGGTACTGGCAATATTTAAACCCCTTCCGTGCGCAGTTGTTGTCGCAGTTGAGTCGAGATCAACAGACGCATTTAAGTCAGGTTGACACTGTGGGGTATTTACAGCTGAGTTGTGTTTGGTGTCAGCATTGGTTGTAACAACAGATCGTTGATCTGTGCTTGAATGATCGGCAATGTCATTACGACCAAAGTCTATTATATGAAATGAAGACTTAATCAACCGCGCCTGGTTTTTGCATGGGAATGTAAAAAAAGAAAAAAAAAAAAACTATACCTTTCAAGTTTCTAATAGGAGTAGACATACTTGTTTTTTATCCACAATAAAGCTGCGTGAAGAAGAAGAAGAAAAAAAAAAGGGAAGGCGTCAATAAATCACAAGTAAAAAAAATGGCTACGTCACAAACTTTTTTTTTTTTTTTGTATGGGAAAATCATGCATAATGCTTTAATTGCTTAAATAAATCATCGTCTGGATGCATAGTCCAGGTCATAAAATATATCCATCCTTCACTAAACTTATATGTATCCCTTAATAATTCATATGGATCAATAGAAAATTCATAAGTAGCATTCATTTGGACACTTGTGAACAAGATCTTTCCTTAATGAATTTGTTTACTTTTGATGATCAACATCTATTTTTTTGCGCCAATCTATAGATGTGGCTTTGATAAGATATATTTTTTGGTATAAGCATTAACGTCCTAGTGATAACTTTTACTTTTTCCTTACCAATCAATGTAGTGAACAATGCTCCCACCTCTACTCGTTTATATTGTCTGTTTATGCGCCTTTTTTCAAACCAAAGCTCTTACAAAAAAACGCGTTAAATAATGTGTTCTGAAGACATCATTGTTTTTACTGTATATTTTGTAATAAATAGTGGGATACCGTTCATGTGCATGATCGTTCTAGAAACATCCACTACTACTTTTTACTGCGAAAAAAGATCTACTGCTTGATTAGGTTAAATTAAATGTCAGCCTGTCAGAAATAAACCTTATATTACATAAATCGCTCTATATGATTTCAGGTATTTTTTTATCGCGAATATACACTGCTTTTTGTATACTCGTTTGTATACTCGAGTATCTAAGCTTATTTTAAAAGGGGATCATTTCATTAATAGTAATGGATGTATTTACTACGTTGATTGTGTGTATCTCCGCTTAATTTAAAGTTAAGTTTTTAGGGTTTTTTTTTTCTGTTAATTATACATTCTTTCACTGTTGCATATGTATTAAAGATTGAGAAAAACTGGTTTGAGAGATCAGTTATAGCTGCCACTTAGAGCCAATGAAACGATTTCGTCCAAAAATTGCATTCCCCTGAATGGGTGGGTATGCAAAGTTAATCTGTTACAGCCTTACTTCATTTTGAAATCTACTTGAAGATGAATTCGTGGCAAGATTGAGCCGCCACAGTAAGTGAAGTCAAATCTTATGCTCAATAGCTTCTCCCATCTTAAAGAATAGCGGCATGCATAATTCCTCTCATGCTGATGAGTGACCTGATTCAGGGACAGGGGAGAAGAAAATATTTATTCCAAATATAGTAATCCTAAAGAACTTTTAACTTTTTTTCTTCTCAATGCCTTTATTTTAATCATTAAAAACCAATGATAATAAAAAAAAGAAGCTTATTATTCATATGATTCAAACAAGAAATATTTTATTCTGTCAATTCAATAACAATAACTTGAGTCTCAGTAAGTACCATAAGTGTATCATCTAGCAGTAGCTGAGCGTCAATAAGATCCATATCGTTATCGGGTTCAGATCTAAGCTTTTTAATCATCGCAAACAATATCGTTCCTCATGTGATGATTAGGCTGCGTTTTTGGAAATAGAAAAGCCCATAAATTCTTTAAGTAGGACACCGATAATACCTTCAGAAGAAGACGTTGAAACTTCTACATTCTAATACTCTTCAATTAACTTCTAATAAGAGGACCTAATTTGTTTCTTCTGCAAGATGCTGAGAAAAAATGAATACAAAAGATGACAGACAGAAACAGAAAGAGGAAATACTACTTGGTAACCATTACATGATAATTTGTATAATTTATAGGAACGATCCTTATCCTGTGAAACACCAAGCGATCTGTTGGTATATATGGGCCACTTGAAGCGCTTATATGAAACACTATGAAAGATTATTATTTTTCAACTGTCCAGCTTAAATTGTGTGATTGTTAGCAGGCTCCAGCTAATACATGGTGGCAAAAATCGTATTTACACAAAGATACGCAACATCATAGGTGGATATGATCAATATACAGGCAAAAACCCACACAAAATCGAGACATTTACAATGAGGTAAACATAAAAGGTTAAAAAAAGACAATGTGGTTTTTATTATTATATAAAAAATGGAGACTCGCTAGCCAGTTTCAGTAAAGAAAACTGCCGAAGTGCAACTGCGAGGAAGTCAGTCTCCGTGTGCACTCACCCTCCATTTTTTTTTGTTTTTGATGGCTATAAAACGGGGCTCTAGTAAATCACTACCACGAGGTCGAAACACCATGTTCTCAGCGTTGCAACGTGCACTCACTACTGAGATTACACCATATACAAGCTGATTACCAACTAATCCGACGAGGGACCCATTAATTTTCTGGCTGCGTGTGACCATAGCCTATCAACATACATAAATAAAGTGATGCAAAGATATCATGTTACGCACATGGATAGAATCAGCATTTGACACAGAGTTGAATGGTAGCATTTTTATAAAATAAATAGGTGCCCTTTTTAATATGTTCTTTTCCTATTAGCTGTACTTTACCCACTTCTTCTTTAACTCTCTCGGAACATCCATTTTATTATACCTGCTAATTATCTATCAGCGTTTCAGTAGTAGCATGAAAATAAGATCGATCATCCTATGAAGTTTACAAAAAAAAAAACTAAGATGATAGGAACGTAAGCTTTTTTTTAAGACGTAGGTGTAGACTCTGTCAAAAAGAGCAATTCCATGCGTCTTTTTAAATTAGACTTCAGGCTCATTGCTTCTTAGTTAGGTCTTTCTAAAACAAAAACTGCAATCACCGGCATAGATCAAGTAGAACCTATTTTAACACCCTATAATAAGCACTAGAAATAAACACTAGTAAATGTCACCTTGTTAAAATTAAAGGGATGGTAGAAAACACTCACAACATTGGAGAAGAGCACATGGGAATAGCTCTCAAGATGTATTTTGGTACATTTCTTCACTCAAAGGTTCACTTTAGACCTACATGCCAGACAAAATATTCATGAAGAATACTTTGATGGGCCGTTTTCCTTTGCTCTTTTATTTTAGTTCGCACAAGAGTAACAAATTCGGTGTGACTTTGTTGCACAGGTGCTGGCATTGGTTGTTTTAATAAGAACATTGTTTGCGGCTGCGTTTTGTTGAAAGACGAACAAGATGTGTATAACATTACGTAAGCTATTGGGTGAATATTACATATTTGAGAGTGGGGAAAGACACTGTATCTCATTTAGGGCAATCCATTACGATTTAAAAGCCAGGCTTTAATTTTTTTATTTTTTCAATTAAAAAAGTTTTCTTTGACAAAAGACCTAATGACTTCTAAAGCAACACAAGAATACCGACTTGCATTTATTCAACTTATTTCACAATTGTCTGAAATTGAACAAAAGGGACAAGAGTTCTTTGACAAAATGTTAGATGAACAATCATTACATTAAAAAAAAAGAGAAGGAAAAAAAAAACTAACAAACGATTGATAGTGAGAAATCAGTATTTACCCCTTATGAACCTTCAACAGCTCAAGGTAAAAATTAGAAATTCCGAGCAAAAAAAAAAAAAAAGGTTTTAAAACAAAAAGAACTGTCTTTTTTCTTTCTTTCTTTGTAGCCGATTACGAGCAGTTGATGTCCTTGTTACAGACTTTAGAAACCCATGCAAGAAGTTGTGGATTATTAAGTATTTCTGGACAAACCAACATTGAAACCACTCGCAATTTAGCAACACGTAACGCCGAAACTTTACAATCTGTCGATTCCTTCTTTCAGGAAAAGAACCGATTGTTAATGAATATTAGAGCTGCTGCCAATGCAGTGTCTTTAAAGTAACAACAACAACAACAAAAAGAAAAGAGGAGGATTATTTTTCTTTTTTAATTAAAAAGTTGGTTTTACAGCTCACTCAGGCTTGGATCACGAGTAAAAAGGGATTGGTTACTCGGACGTTTCCTTCGTAACATGATAATGGGCCATGGAGATCATATCCTCTGCAATCCAATTATCTTCACAGTGCGAAAGATGGATACCCAGAGTTTGCGCGTTCTTGTTCAAATATTTCATGAGATCCTGTTTATAATTCTCTGGGACCTTATTCTTGTTCCGTCTGGTAATATGATACAGTCTTCCTTGACATCTTTGATAAAGAAACCTATATATAACGTAGTTGTCGGCGTTAGGGTGAGGGTTAAGTTTGGCAAGTGCAGATACAATATTTTTGTGAATTGTGAATTTAAGACTACTGTCATCTTGATCATGAGAAGGTTTGGGGACGTTATTATCCAGACTAGCCAAAGTATGCACCTGCTTTTTGGTTTGATGTCGGATATGACCAATTTCAATGGATTTGCGGATCTGGTCGATTTGAATGGCATGTCTTTTCAAAGCTTTGCTCAATTCTGCATTTTTTATAGTCGGGTCAATGCCGTTTAGCAAAACAGAGTTCTTTTCAGCAAGTATAGGCCTAATAGAATTCATGTTCGCAAGAACTAGCTTTTCAAATCGTTTCAGGCTCTTGATAAACATTTTTTTTTGGTGAAAAGAGAAAAAAAAAGTAACAAGAGCAACAATTTGCTCTCTTTTGTATTTATATATATATATCTAAGTATCAACAAGTGGATACCTGCTTATTGACAACTATAGTCTACATGTGATGTATTGCATATATTATAAAGACATCAACAAGGAATAAGCAAGATTGTGTGTGTGTGTGTGGTACACAAAAGAGTTGTCAATACATATGGCATTATGTTGATAATTTTGCTTTAAATAAAAGGAAATTATTTCGCCTATCAATGCATCAATTATCACTTCAGCCATTGCTAAAAACATAATGATGAGAATTAAAAATAAGGTGTATATGTAGTTGCGACAATACAAGTCGTCTTACGCTAAACCATATAAAAGGCCAATGCGCCTCGTTAACTAAAAGCCATCCTCTTTTTTTTTTTTTTCGTAGGTGGTGAAAATATAATCTTCCACCTTCTACTACGATTTAAAAATGGGACACACTTAGACGGTTTTTTTATAGGTTTCCTTTTTAACAAGGTTGGTTACGATCAATTGATTCGCTCTTTTTTCAAGTAAAATATCAAACTCAAATCCATCATTGAACTCCATGACCTCAAAAGCATGATCAAATACAATACCATTAGAATATTTACATTTCAAAAGGTTAGTTTTGCCAATGCGAGCTGCTCCACTATTAGGAGTCAAAAAATTATAGGAACCATTTAACTTATTTATTTTGTTTATTTAACAGTGTACTCTTTTTAATAAATGTGGTACTACTACCCGTGTCAATAGCCCCGACCAGGTGTTGGTTCTCTATGATTATAGGAGTCAAAAGATTAAATGCATTAGCTTTACTTTCTGAATCTCTCTTTATCTCGTAATTCGGATACTTACAATTGTCGTACGACAATCCCTCCATCATCGTACTGACCTCTGTAGTGGCCTGCTCCTCAATGGACGCGGCTGGTTGGGCCTGATTCTCGGCTGAACCGGAAACGGCAAGGACAGGACGACTCTCTTGACACTGATGGCCAGGAGCCCAAGGAAGCTGACACCTGTAACACTTACGGTTGCCACTTGTGATCGCACTCTTCTTCTTGCCACTGAAACAGTCCTTCGTCTCGTGAGTACCGTTCTTGCCATGTTGGGAGCAGAATAAGGTCTTGACCACTCGATTGGAAGCCTTGTTCTTGAAAGGATATTTCTTACGTCGGACCTCGACCTCGCGACCAGACGAGAGCTCCTCTCTCTTACCACCAGAGGGAATTACGGCAGCAGCACCAGCATAGACAGAATTGTCATCCCCGAGCACGTCACGACCAACTTGAGTAATGTACTCAACCGTCCAACCCTTGTCCTTGTTGGCGAATATTTCGGTTCGAGCCAGCGTCATACGTAAAATGGTTTGCACCGGCAAGACCAAAGAAGAAAGGAACCGATCACTAATACGAGGGTCCGTTTGGGATAGACCAGCATTGAACACTGTCTGCAAAAATCTTTTAGAATAGTCAGTGATCGACTCTTGTACGGTCTTCTTCATGGTGAAGACCATATCGGTGTAATGGCTCGTAATTTTGGCCGAACCATGGTACTCTTTAAAGGCGGCACGAGCAGCGTTGAATATTTTCTAAAGCAATGTCTGAAGCACCATAATCCCCCGGTGGAACGGGCTTGACTTAAATGCCCTCCTTTTCATCCCGTCCCTGAGGTGTCAAACAATGTTGATAAGCGTTTCTTTCTCATCCAAGATGGGGATCCGCTTCCGGAAGGTAAAGAAGAGTCGTCAAACTTGCTTGACTCGACATGGGAATGAGGCGATGCAATTACGTGAGATGGATTCATGCGTTCATTGCGGTCGGCACTACCACCAGTAGCGTTGAACTCATTTATTTTTTTAAAAGAAAGGGGGGGGGAGGAAGAGTTACCCCAGCGGGAACCTTTAAAGGTCCCACTGGAAAGTCTTGACTAACTTGACTAGCAAAAAAGAAGAAAGTAATCAGTACCCAGTAAATATCAACGGAGTAATTAACAGTAAAAAATGTTTGGGATGGAGAGTAAATATGTAGGGGATAAAATATTCCGCCTATAGGATTGTTATACAGTATTTTACTTAAGATACGGTGAATAACCCTTGTGCACAGACATCAACGGCTCTGCTAAAAACTAATAAGATGATTGTGTGGATATTATGGATGTCATTTTTTCAAACAGTGAAAGGCTTACCCATGTTCCTGGGACATTGAAAAGTAAACCAAGCGCGTTGGAGTTCAATCGTCAGTCTGATAAAAGAAAGTACGTGGAATTAGAGGACACTGACTCATTAATCACGAGAAATTTGTATGTAAGTCGAAAAACACGAGCGCTAAATGCAGATATAAAAGAAAATTATATCTCTGACGGCTGTAGGTCTTTCATGAAATTACGAACTGTATTGCTAGCAGAAACGAATTACTGACTGATGCTAACGCAAATTTGGAGCTATTTTCAATCACGAAACTTGGCAGAATTCCAGCTGTAAGAAAAGCGAATCTCAGTCTGGTCAATTAGAAAACGAACTTTGGGGGTGGGAGTCGCTGTATGATTATGCAATTAAAAATCCATATATTACGGGTAATGTATTATCCGGTGTTAGCATTTTTTTTTTTTTTTGCGACAGTGAAATTGTAAAAAGAGAAACTCAGGGGGTCAATTGTTAGAGGGTCAAGTGTCATGGTATTGTAGTTGTATAGTCAATAAAATATCTATAAATAGTGGTACTATTCATTTACTAATAAACCTATAGCAGACATTACCTATATTATCCCGAGAAGAGAATTGGTCATTTCACTATTTCAAGTCAAAATTTAAAGCAAGCAATACAATGTTATTTTGGAAGGAGGTTGTGGGACAGGAGAGACTACATGACTATCAAGTACACGATTGTAATTTGTTTAAATTCCTGGCTAGTTACTTGTAAGGATGTATTATTCAATCAATTCAGTAAGCGGGATAGAATTTGCCTTATTATCTGATAACGATCCACAAAATTAAGTTTTTGTGTGTCATTACTTTACGTGTTTACCATTGGTTTAGTGTCTTCTGTTTGACAAATCGGCTGAATCTTTCAAAAAACGCTGCGACAACAAATTACTCATTGTATAATAAAAAAGTTAAGATCATTCACGAGTCTAGACGGGTCTGGATGCGCCTAAGCTTTTGGTTTGGAGGCTAAAAGAAATTGTTTGGCTAGGCTAAGAAGGTCAAAGAACCTTACGATGAATTGAGATTAAACATTTTTTAAAAGCCTACCAAGCAGAGGAAGGACAAATAAATTTTGTTTAAAATAAACATCAGTTTTTGATGTGAGCTCACCCTGATCGAGTCAGCACATTTTTTCCCCCCGTGATCATGAATGCCTCCGCCAATCCAACATCATCTTCAAGTCAAACTGACTGAACAAGATGGTAAATAACAATGGATCCAGGTATTATATTTTAAGGGCATTGCAACTTGATATGAAATGCGGATAAAAAAAAAATGTATCTTCACTCAAATACAGTATATTTGAAGGACCCCCATTAATGGCAATGACCCAGACCTACTTTTTTTTTTTTTTTCTGTGTGGTTTTTTTTTTTTTTGGGTAACATGTCCCTGTTTTTCTTTTTTTTGCCTTTATCTCTCTTTCGCTTTTTTTTTTCTCTGTTTCGTTTGAAATGAATAACCATCCAGCAAATAACAATGGACCATTAGAAGATAATAATGCCAGACTTTTACACCTTTACAATAACAAGCGGAATGAAGGTGGTTTACCAACTTTGAAAAAGAGTATTTCTCGAAGCACATTATTAAATAACAGTCTATCACCGACCAGACCACTATTTAATAATACGAAAGCGGATGGTCGACAACTCACAGTTGAAACAGCAGTTTTCCCAGAAAATACACAGCCATTGTTTCAAAATGATTTGACCGTAACAAAACGGTCAAGTAGTACACCTGTAGCAACAGTAAAGTTTCGTATACATTTTTGATTTTTTTTTTTTTTTTTTTTTTTTTGTAACAAAATAAACAAATATTTTCTTTATATTTATTGTTAGGGTGATACACGTAGTGTCATTTCTGGAAGCGAATCAACAAGGTCCAACAAAAGGCAACAGAAAAAAAAAGCTTCCACCACCAATGTCGCCTCAAGTTTTGTCAATCCAACAGATATATTTGCTCAAAATTTAAGTGACGCTGTAATGGATGCTGATGGTAATATCAAGGTATTGGGGGGTGGGGATGAATTCATCGTACTGAACTTAATTTTTTATTTCTTACAGATTCGGACGATTTAGAATGCTATGTTTACAGAGACAAACCCAATAACAATAACAACACTGCATCTTATACCATTGCACCTTGGTCTTATAACGAGCAAGAACCTACACCTTATTATTATGATAGACATTATTCTTCAACAGGGACCGAAAGTAACACGGATGGTTGCGAATCAGCCGCGGCTTATAACAAAGAGAAATATTCAAATAGAAGACCCGTCCTGAGATCAACTGTATCAGAAATACCTCATTCTGGCGCTATGCGATCTCATAATTCCCCAAAGAAATTCACCAGTAGACCCTTTACAAAACATCATACATCCATTAATTATTACACGAATCCAAGCGAAGACGAAGAATTCACACCACTCGTAAGAAGTAGACCTTTACGAAGAAGAAAAGGAACTAGCAGTCATGGAAGTAATGCAGCGAAAAGGTAACATCGATTGTCCCTCTTTCCCTTCCCCCCCCCACGCACACACACATAGATATACTTTTATTTAACACCAACATCCCTCTCGTAGTAATGGGAGAAAAACATGTTGCAGATTCGTGTGTGTTGTTGCCGGTTGCTTATTTTCCCTTTGTTTGCTATGGATACTGATTGTAATTTATGCAAGTCCTTTGGCTGATGTGGAGGTAGTTGGAATAAGTAATGTTCTGGGCACCCAAAAAGAATTGATATTTAATCTGCAAGTAAGAGCAAGGTAAAAAAAAAAAATATATATAATCTCAAGCATATATTTACTTGGATGAAGCATTCTAAACTGGTTTGTTTATTGTTATGGATTTATAGAAATAGCAATTGGTGGACAATTCGAATGACCAACACCGCTTTCAGTGTGTTTGCCTCAAGTCATTATGTGCCTACAGCCATGCTCATGGCAGTTAATAATAGTACAACAAACATGACAATGGTTACAATGGGTGCTGATCCAGCAGAATTTTTGGGAACCATTTATCATCTGGAAGATCCATTGATCTATCAATCAGGCGGACTTTTCCAATCCGTAACAAGTACCGCCACCAGTCAAATCCAAATTAAAAATCCAGGTTCCACCAAGGATGACAATAGTGGCAACGAAAGATGGTAACTTGATTATATATATATATATTTGAAAATCAGACAAAGCATATATGCTGACTATTTTTTTTTTTTAGGTCTTTATTGATTCGATACCCTTATGAGTTGACTGTAAGAGGTGTTCTGAAATATCAAATCTTGCCTTATTTACCTACTTTAACCCAATTGCATTCAGTGAGAGTATGCAAAATGTCACGCATTGATCCCGCTACAGGAAAAATTTCTGATAACGTACCCATGCCCGAAAAATCAATATGCGATGACCCATCACCTGTAGAAGGATCTATAAATTAACCCCAAGCATATACTAAAATATATACCCTCATTTCTCATTTTTTTTTATACCTACCTATACCATCCTTATTTCTTTTTATTTGTAATGTGTGATAAATTTGGGAAGGGGAGTTTGCTTCATATTGTTTGGTTACTGCGCTGAATCATATGTCATGTTTTCTTTTGTTTCGAAAGTAGGATCACGTAATAAACACATAAAAGACATGATCGCGATCGCACTATGATCGAAAAATAGTGGAGACTCTATAAAAATTAAAGTGGTCCATGCACTTTGTGTAACGACAAATGGCACTCATTTGCCCACTAAAGTATGGAATGTCGATCAGCGACAATTTTTTTTTTTTTTTTTGAATATGCTATTTATTTTTCTTAACATAATTTGCTATTTATACATAATTGCGGTGTCGATAAAATTGGTATCAAGACAGAGACAGTTTTTTTGTTGTTGTTTTTTTTATATATATATCACGTCCCGAAGCCTTAGATCTTTGACAATCTTTGGATCTTGACGACCTTAACTTGAGTGTACTCATGGAGAGCATATTTACCAAGTTCCTTACCAAAACCAGATTGCTTGTAACCACCGAAAGGAGTGGATTGATCAAAAACATCATAACAGTTAACCCAGACGGTACCAGCTTGTAACTCGTTAGTAACCTTAATAGAAGTATCCAAGTCAGAGGTATAAACACCACCAGCCAAACCATACTCGGAATCATTGGCAAGATCAATAGCTTCTTCAATTGTCTTGAAGGTACCGATAGAGACAAAGGGACCAAAGATTTCTTCTCTCATGATTCTGTTACTGTTCTTACAGTGAGTGAAAATAGTGGGCTCAATATAGTAACCCTTGTCACCCCAACGCTTACCACCGTAAGCCAAGACGGCGCCTTCTTCTTGACCAATCTTGACATAATTTAAGATCTTGTCGAATTGAGACTTGTTGATTTGAGGACCTTGGAAAGTGTCTTCGTTGAATGGGTCACCAATCACGATTTTCTTGGTTTCAGCAATGAAAAGTTCGAGGAACTTATCATGAACCTTTTCATCAACAAAGATACGAGAACCTGCGTTACAACTTTGACCGTGGTTGTTAAAGATACCACCACATGCCCAAACAGCAGCACTCTCAAGATCAGCATCGGCACAAACAATTTGAGCGGATTTACCACCTAATTCAAGTTGAAGCTTCTTCAAGTTGGAATGAGCACTGGATTCCATAATCTTACGACCGGTGACGGTAGAACCAGTGAAAGCCATCTTGCTGATCTTGGGGTGACCAGACAAATAGTTACCAGTAGTATGACCATAACCAGTAATAATATTGACACAACCCTAAATTCATGTATTAGCTCAAACCGTTCCCACTTTTTTTTTTCTTTCTACTCGTTATGACATAATTTTTACTTACGGCGGGGAAACCAGCTTCCTTAACAAGTTCACCAAACTTGAGTGTGGACAAAGGAGTAACTTCGGAAGACTTCATGACGACTATTAAAAAAATAGGGGTGAAGACCAGTTAATAAACCATTTAAACCTCAGATCATATATGCACTTACTTGTGTTACCAGTGGCCAAGGCAGGAGCGAATTTCCAAGCAGCCATCATGGTAGGATAGTTCCAAGGGATAACAGCACCAACAACACCGAGAGCTTCATGACGGGTGTAACAAACCTTGTCAAAGGTAGTATCGATGGTCTTTCCGTGGATCTTATCAGCCCAACCAGCAAAATAACGATAACAGCCGATAGATTCGGTGACATCTACATCACGAGCTACAGCAAATGCTTTACCATTATCGACAGCATCCAACATGGCAAGTTCATCCTTATCACGTTCCATCAAATCAGCAAGCTTATGAATAAGACGACCACGCTCAGCGGGGGCAACCTTACGCCAGGTTTCATAGTAACACTTGTAGGCGGACTCAACAGCGAGGTTGACATCGTTCTCATCAGCAGAATGAACCTTACAGATAACTTCTTCATTAGCAGGGTTGATGGTTTCGATCAAAGGTCCGTGACCAGCAACGAACTCGTTATTGATGAAAAGTTGAGTATGGACTACATTTTTAAAAAAAGCGTTAGGATCTACTACTTTTTTTTTTTTTTTATTGAAAATAAGAAAAATGACAGGATTTACCTTTAGCATCTTTGCCGTTTGACAGACGAATGGTTTGGATATCAGCTTGAGACATGATTTTTTTTTTATTATTCAAAAGATAATAAGAATATATAAAAAAAAAGAAAACGAAATATTAAATTATAAAGCATCCTTTTTATACATGATTTGTTTGGGCGCTAGTCACACCTTTTAAAAGTCCTTGATAATTTGTTTTTCTCTCTAAAGAGTCCAATGACCCTTTTAGGGGATTCTACTTTTTATTTTGTATATTTGTCTTCAAATCACTGCTCCACACGTATACATAAAACCAATCTTGTATTCGCTCATTTTCTTTATAAAAAAAAATGGGATATGGTTTAACTATCATGTAAAACATGAATGCAAAAAAGGGATTTTCATCTCCGAAATAATTTTTCTATATTTTATACGTGGGAACCCTCAAGTATGTGACAAATACATGTTACACGGATGACAATTATCCAAACCTAAATTTGGCAAAAGCTTCGTGGACATTAGCATTTTTTGTGAGATAAGGAACCATTAACAATAAGGTTGTAATTACTATTCCTAATTTGTCAGGGCGCATTTGCCTCCGGATGATTCATCACTTTCTTCTGACTGGATAGAAATCAAATGAATTGGTTACGCCACAATGCAAACCGTATCTAATCAAAAGTTTATACTATATCTTCAGAAAAAAAAAAGAGATGTGTATATATTTGGATTGATAAATTTTCTGGAATGGATCAACCTAGGGCAAGATCGATTTTTTTTTTTGCCTTTTCATGCCTTTTTTGGACGCATTACTTTTCTTTTGATTTATCACTTGTCTAACTATAGGCCCATGAAATATTTGTTTTTGGTAATAATTTTATTTAGCTCACAAAAGAAGCACTATGGTAGGAACGTGAGAATTATTTTAGGTAGAATTAGAACCATCTATGAAATCAAAAGCCTTTTACACAAAGAGTCGATTTTAGTATTTCCATTTTTTAGCCTTCCAACTACACGTCAAGCCGTTGTTTTTAAAAAACATTAAGTCAAATCCATAAAGCAATTGTAGAATGTAATAGGCAGAATGAACCTGTACTTTAAAAATACCAAGATTCGATGTCCTTTTAAAACGCAAGTAGAAAAAAAGGAAGGAAGCACGGTAATAAGCAATACAGATGGGATGTAAGAGTTTTTATTAGCATTTAATTGTGTAGGCGGTCTCTGAGACCCGCAAGAAGGTATGTCTTAAATTATTGTCGAATATACACTTTAGATTAATATTCTGTTCAACATTTAGAATAAAACAATTAAGGAAGTTTATTTCCAAGGAGGACAAGGTCCTTATGTTTTTACGGAGAATTCAATTATTGTACGCACTTATAAATGCTTGCTCTCCTCATTATGTCTGATATTTTTTTGTTTCATAGTGGTCTTTCAAGTCGACAGATATATCTTTCGAGTTACATACCTTTAGAAACAAATGCTTAAATGCTGCTGTCGATAAAAATTTCTCTTTTGTTGAAGAAATGTAAGCAATACAGTGTGTCTTTGTAAATCGAATGTCATAATATGTTTTTGACAGCGCTCTTAATGGGGTTTTCTATATTGACAAAGCTGCTAATCAGAATTTCTGTGGAATTGACGAAGGTATTTGCTCGGAGTTAGTTGAATAATCTATGGCAGTCGCTTGGAGGTGTACATGTCTGTGATGGTATTGGTGAAGCTCTATGTGGTGGAATATGTGAAGCTCTGTGTGGTGGATATCATCCACGTTTGACCATATTATTAAGGTGAGCCAAATATCAACGGTATAATTTCATACTAATTTATCAAGTTAAAATATAGTCGTTTAAAAAGAATCCCCAAAATTCCATCGCTGAAGCTTCTGTTTGGTTCTCACAATGCAAAGAACAAACTAATGGCTATTATGTTGCAAAAGCCTTGATTGATATGTAAGTTCTTGGTCTGGCAAAGTACTACTATTTTTCATAATAACAGCTCTCCTTTTGTATAAATAATTTAGATAAACATAATACGTATAGTTTAAAAGAACCATTATTTCAAAGTCTTTTTGTTGAACCTCTTTTGATACCCTTTGTTGTAAGAAGTAAAAAGCACAAATTGAAAGGGTAGGTTATACTTGGATTATATGATGAATTCGCTTTTTTTTAATTATTTTCTTCTAAAAACAGTGAAGTCTGAAGGGTCAAAAGATAGAAAAAAAGATCTTTGGCTGCTGGTGTTCCTTTGGCTGGCAATCCTTTGACTACTGGTAATCCTTTGAATGCTTGGCCTTTGTCTGCTAAACCTGTGTCTACCGAGCGTTCTTCCTCTATCCAATCAGTGCTTTTGAGGCACTCAAATTGAATTCGTGCTTTTACCTTTTTTAATAAATTGTTTTTTACTTTAAAATGCATCGAACTCAGTGGTAGTTTTATAAACTTAATTTGGAACACGCCTCTAACCTCAATTGGAACAAACTGTAATGACCTTACGAACTTGAGAAAACATTTTTTGAAAAGAAGTTGATATTCCTATCATACTTGTGCAAATTTCAACGGGTACCAATACAACACACTCAAAACCCTTGCTAGTATAACTTCTATGATATTTCTCTATGGTTTATTCTTACCTTTATTTTTTTTATTAAATTACTAAATGGTTAGCTGGATGCTCTGCAAAAAAAAATCCTGGAAGTAGACAAGAGATTATTTCTGCTTTAAGAACCGAATAAGTAAAAAGCTCAACTGCTTTTATAAATTTAGTGGCACAAAATGATAAATTATTTGACAATCGTTGCTTCTTTAACGAACAAAGCCGGTAAAATAATGAACAATGCGCCTGTACATATTACGGATGAATTTAAAAAAGATAGACAAGCGTACCCAGAATATGAGAGCCAGCTATTTATCAAACAATATTCAACTTTAAATTTTTTACGTTTGCTTAAGAAATATTGTTGGATCATCAACAGACTTTCGGTCACATCGCCTTCAAGATACTTTGGAGTCGATGGCTCTCGTACCTAGCAATATCTGCCATATTTATCTCTGGAACATTCTATAGCGTGATCAATTTACAACGTGAGCATAGACGCTGTGATAAAGGTGATAATTCAAATGAATTTAATACTTAAAAAAAAAGTAATGCAGCTCGACTGGTGGTATACGAAAATGATAAAAAAAAAATGACCAATTATAGCTCTCGATGGCGAACTCATTTCACCCTTAAGCTCAAAAAGAGCAATTAAAGAAATGAAGGGGGGAAAAAATGTTTGGTATACTTCAATGCACAAAATATTATTATGAATATTAACTTGCTGTAATACATATGATTCTGCAGAAAGTGCATTCTATTATTCAATCATCTTTTTATTCTCTGTATCAGTAATAAATATGCAACTTTCCTAAATAAATAAGAATACATATACAATGCATATAGATGTGTTTTATGATGGCAAAATAGCACTAGCGTTGGTAGTACAATTGTGGTAACGCTTCCCGAGAAATCAAACAAAGAAAGTTGTGACCTGAGGTTTAAGAAGAAAGGTCATTGTTCATGGTATTTCTTATATTTGTTAAAAATGACGATAGGCTGGGGGTGGTGTACTCTTTATTTAGAGTTCATGTGTACATGTTCTATCGAAAAAAGTAGTATAACCGCCCCAGGTTGGTTTCCAAATAAGAAATTTAAGGTGGTCTAATGACATTTCCTTATAAAAAGTGAGCCATGTATAATTTTATTGCGGGAAAGAAGGAGTTTTAAAAAAAAAGATTATCCTGAATAGGAAAAGGTATAAGGTGGCTGAATTTGTTGTTGTTGTTGTTGTTGTTGCAAGAACAGATTGGTGTGTTGGAACAACATATTTGAGATGACGACATGATGTCGAAGTGGTCTCGGTTGATCCAGACGTAGATGGGATATACGATAGATGGCTTTTTCGACAGCGAGTGGATACCGAGCAGGTAAGTCCTTTTCGATGATTGGATGAATCTTGTTCTTTTTGGCGTCTAATCTGGCCAGGATACACGTTGGGATGATGGATCGAATCTAATGTCTTTTTGTTTTCTTCTTTTTGGGTGGTGAAGGTGGCGGCGAAGGTAGTGGAGCTAAGGGTAAGAATGGATTTATGTAAATATCTTTGCAGGATTCTTTATAATTGACGTTGGATAGAATTGATCTTCTTCGGCGACTGGATTTCATGAATAATTTCAGGTTTTCTTCTCCACCGTGCCAATCAATCCATTCTTGTAATTCGCTAGAAAATCAGCATTAATAAATCTTTTATTTTTTATTTTTTTATTTATAACCTTGTGTATAATGTCATATTAGGGTAGGATGTAAAGTAAAAAAAAAAGAAACAAAAAAAAAGGTACTTGAGTCCCCCTTTTTCTCTCTTTTAATTTATCAAACTCCCCTTTAATTTTAGTTGACACTTTAACGACTTGTATGAATCCAGTATTTTGCTGATCCCACTGGCATCATATCGAAAACTGAACCAATTACGTGTTTCCTATGTAAATACGAAAGGTCTGTTTTTTCTTGACTCTTTGTCTCTTTGACATGTAAAATCCATCAAGGGAAAAAAAGTAGACAGCGTGGTAACGAAGTTGAATGGAAAGTGACGACATGTCAAAAAGGGTAAAATTCCATAAAAGGAAAATACCAGGCGGAAATCATGCAAAACAAAGAGGTGTGCGTGTATGAGGAAGGGGTTAAAGTTTACCTTGCGAGATCAGCTCGGGAAAAGTTTGATTTTTTCACATCCCCGAGGATTCAATTTTTTTGTTTACTGTTTCTTTGATAACAATGACGAAAGTTTCGTTTGATCAATAATCTCGTTCTTTAATTAAAAAAAGTATGTGAATAAAAAAACAAGTTACACAGTGACTCTCCTTTTTCTTGTGGCCTGTTTTTATTTATTTTTTTTAAAGTGTATAATTCCCCTTGCCCCCTCCCTCTTTTTCTTCTTTTCTTTGCACTATTTCCCCTCATTGACAACAAACAACCATTACAGAGAATGAATGCGGAAGTGTATAAAAAGGTACAGATAGAGAAAAGAAAAAAGGTCATCTTTAGGGATTAAAAAAAGATTGTGAATGTATAGCAGGTTCATCATCGACCTATTCCTTTTGCAGTATTAAAGCTTCAGTTTAAACGCCTTGTAGCTCAACAAGATAACGCAACGAGTATTTACACCAAAGATTTACTAAGTCTGATTGATCAATACGAGCATACAGAAAATGTCATGTTATTGACCGACCTTCAAAAAAAGGCAATATTGCCCTATACAAGGACCAACCCGGACCTGGAGATGACGGCGGATGATATCTTGAATTTATTGAGACTCGTCTGTCCCAACCCTGTAACCTCATTATCCGCTCCAACACAGAGACAGCCATTGAACCTCGAGACAATCAGACCAAGAACATCCCCTCCCTTAAAAACAAACAAATCCACTCCTTGGAAACGAAGACCCTCAGCAGTCGCTTCTTCCATAGGCCACCGCAACGATCTCAACCAGATATTGTCACAGCAGCAACAACAACCAGAAGAGGAACATCAGCAGTTAATCGAGAATGTAATATTACTTCATTTATTATTATTTGTGTCTCACATGACTTTTTTTTTTTTTTTTAGATATCCACATCCTTGACCAACATGAGCCATTCCATCGACACACCCGCACGAAAAGACGACGAACCCAAATCCCCCATAGAACAAGAAGTATGTCCGTATTTCTATCTAATTCTTATCTAACAGCCAACACATTGTAGTACTCAAATCAGGATCTGGCAAGATATTACCGCAGATCACTTTTACTTACACAAAGATTAAAGTCATCAGAAAAAAGCTTAGCCTCTATGGCACGTGATAATGAAGACCGTATCGTGCAACTGCAGAATCGTGTGGATGATATGAATCTGGAGGTTGGGAAGCAGCGACGAGAGATCCAAGAATACAAGGGCAAAGAAAAGAACAGTCTCGATCAGATTGGAGCCGTAAGTTTTAGTTGCTTAGCAACAATCAGATAGTAGTAAACTGATCAAAATAATTTAAATTTAGCTGGAGTCACACATCTCTCACATTCAACGATCTGAAACGGATCAGAAGCAAGTGTATCAATCCATAAAAATGTTGTTTGATGACAAATGTCGTAAGATTAAATATTTTTTTTTTCATAAAAGTCATCTGCTGGTACTGACCTACAAATGAAAGAGGAAACACAGAAACTGCAAGAGATGCTAAGACAAAAGGAATCTGATTTACAGAAAACCGAAGCATTATTAAACAATTTTCATCATGAAGTCCAATTACTCAGTCAGGAACGAGCTCGTTTAATTGGATTACAGAACAATTTGGAGCAGGAAATGAAGACTTCAGCTCAAGCACATCAACAATTGGCAGAACAAAAGACAGAGAATGAGAAACTCAAAGACATCATCGATACGTTGAAAGTGGATCTGGATGAAGCCCTATTTCACCATCATACCTTGGATACCGTGCAAGAGGATGAAGCACTGGAAGAATCACATGCTTTTAAAGTAAGCTCTTTATTCATTATCATGCTCCACCCAATCCTGTACCACCCTAAACGAAATTACTATTTTTTTTTTAGACGTTGGAAAATGAATTGATAACGGATGAAAAGGACGGTGTGCTGAAATCCGTGCAAGACGAAAAGGATTATTACAAAACTCGAGCCACAGAGGCAAAAGAGGATTTGGATCGTGTCAAGAGTGAATTGGATTATTTGCGTCGTGCACTGGATTCCGAAAATCGTTCGTTGGTAAATGAATTGGCCGAATTGCGAATAAAAGCATCCACCACAACGACAGATATACCACAAATCGAAATGAATATACCAGTGCCCTTGGCCGTCATGAATGATTTCTGGTCTCAGTCACGTGCACGTCCACGTAATACAGGTTCTAATAAGAAGAAGGGCAGAACAGTGCAAGATCTGCATGAGGTAAACTTATCAAAGGTTTTACATAGCATATCATGCTAACCTTTTCTATTTACATAGTCCTCATCATCCACATCCTTTGTGATTACATCCACCAACAAGGACCTGAAAATTATGAATAGAAAAGATGATAAGATCATCAATAACACGGTCACCTTTGCATTATATACGGTGGCTATCTACTTTTTTGGTATTGTCACTTCCACATTTTTGATGGAAGGTGGTGTTTCTACAGCTCCACCATGGGAACAAGCGCTTGCTGCTGCTTCTACGGGTCAAATACCCAAAAGCAAATTATTGGAAATCATTCTTTATTGGCTAGAAAAATTATTAATTGAACCTCAGGGATTACCTGTTTCTTAAAAACATCGTGGGAAATATTAATTCATCTTACAAAGAGTCTATACTTATTTTTTTTTTCTTGCAAGCTATTTTTTTTTTTCTTACCCCGGATTTTTTTTTTCTTTTTTCTTTTTTCTTTTTTTTTCTTCTTTTACCTTTATTAAACTTCTTTTTTCTTTGTAAACTATGCTTGCTTCTACTCGTCGTTCCGTTGGACCTACTCGCGCCGTAAGTTTTTAATTTTGTTCCTGCAAAATAATTTAAGCGGACCTATATGGCTTACCAACCCCCTTCTTGTTTAGTTTATCCGTACCTTTGCTTCTGCCACCAAGAGTCCCAATGTAAAGCATTAAAGCCCCCCCCCCCTCCCTTATTTTCATTTTGCCATGACAACCTTACTCACACTTTTACACAGGATGTTCTCATTGTCAGTGCTGTCAGAACCCCTGTGGGTTGTTTCAACGGTAGCTTAAAGTCTGTCCCTGCTGTTCAATTAGGCGCCATTGCTGCTAAATCCGCTATTGAAAGAGCCGGACTTAAGCCCGAGGATATCGAAGAAGCTTATTTCGGAAACGTCTTACAAGCCAATTTGGGTCAATCCCCTGCACGTCAAGCCATCTTGGGTGCAGGTTGTCCTGACACCACTGAAGCCACTGCCATCAACAAGGTCTGTGCTTCCGGTATGAAGGCCGTCATGTTGGCTGCTCAATCCATCAAGAATGGTGACCGTGATATCATGGTTGCTGGTGGTATGGAAAGCATGTCCAATGCTCCGTAAGTTTAATGACCATTGGAGAGAGAGTTTATAAAAATTAAAATGTACTTTTTTTTTTCGCTCTTTGAATAGTTTTTATGCTCCCCGTAATGCCGCTTATGGTCATCAACAATTGTCAGATGCTATTATCAAGGATGGTCTCTGGGATGCTTATAACAACATCCACATGGTAATTATTCTATAGTTGTTTGAAAGTAAGATGAAGTGTATTTAAAAGGGTTTTATGTACAATAGGGTAGCTGCGCTGAGAACACCGCTGTCAATTACAACATCTCTCGTGAAGATCAAGATGACCATGCTATTGAATCCTACAAGCGTGCTGCTCAAGCCTGGGAATCCGGTCAATTTGATGCTGAAATTGCTCCTGTTACACTCAAGTCCAAGAAGGGAGAGACCGTGATCAAGGTAGATGAAGAATTCAAGAATGTCAAGTTTGATAAGGTCAAGTCACTTCGTACTGTTTTCAAGAAGGATGGTACTGTCACTGCCGCTAATGCTAGTACATTAAACGATGGTGCCTCTGCTTTAGTCTTGATGTCTCGTGCCAAGGCTGAAAGTATGGGTGTCAAGCCTTTGGCTCGTATCATCTCTTATGCCGATGCTGCTACTGCTCCTATTGATTTCACCATTGCTCCCTCCAAGGCACTTCCTATTGCTCTTGAAAAGGCTGGTTTGACTACAGATGATATTAGTAAGTTTGAATTAAATGAAGCTTTCAGTGTTGTTGCTCGTGTCAATGAAAAGGTAAAAAATGAATATGTATGTCCATTGGGAGGTCTCTTTTAATTAATCACTCCTTTTTATTAGATCATGAACCTTGATCCTAAGAAGGTGAATGTCTTGGGTGGTGCCGTGGCTCTTGGTCATCCCATCGGTTCTTCAGGTTCTCGTATTCTTGTCACTTTAACTCATCTCTTAAAGTCTGGTGAATTTGGTGCTGCTTCTATCTGTAACGGTGGTGGTTGTGCTTCTGCCATTGTCATTCAAAAGGAATAATTTTTTTTTTTTTTACTTGTGTTTGATAAAAATTAGATTTTTTTTTTCTATTTGAGATGATGCTTCAATTTGACCAGGATAGTATAAACATGGAGGCCTGAGGTTTATGTGTGTGTTGGGAAGGGGTGAATATTAATGATTCTGTTGAGGAAGTCATAGATTATCCATTAGGGATGGATAATTACCATACTACTAAAGGCTGTTCATAGAGCGAAACCTTTTGGCGAGTAAATTCGGAATAGCATATATATATTCTATGGGGGTGGTATAGGGCCGTTCTAACCTCGCAAAGTGATTTTGGTCCGTCCTGTCTTTTAGGGCTACTTGAGTTCGTTTTCTAACATTCTTTTGATATATACACTCGTCCCTTAATTGCCAGTTGTCCGAATGGATACAATAAAAAAGGGTGTGTCTCTACGCTAAAAGTGAATTGGTAAGCTCTATTTTAACACAGGTGAAAGGGAATGGAGTATTTACCTTGAATAACTTCATCACGTTGACTCTTTTTGTTAAGTGGGGTGTGTGCTTTTTTCAGCACTGGGTACGTCCTTGTACATGACAGGAGTCATTGTCCTCCTGATAGGTGTAGTTATTCTCTGTCGTTTATGGTTGTTCCTTGATAAATGAAATATGCCCTCATTACAGGCACGTATACATCCTAATCGATATTCCCAACGACTCTAGTAAAGAACCACAGCCCTCGGACCACAAACAAGACATAGTCATCACAATGTAACTCTGATAACGTTCTTCCTTACTTTCTGAGAAGGTGTAACAACCCGTCGAAATCTTCTGTTCAATGGACGCATTCTTTTGCATAATGAGACGCATGTCCTTTTGGCTGTTGTGTAAGAGTTGTTTCTGGAGGAGTAATGTAGTGTTCGAGACCAGGTTTTTTTTTTACCTGACACCGCACTCTTGTTGTTGTTACGTGAGTGTGTTGTTCAATTGATGGAGCTTTTTCTAAAAAGTTGGTCGACAGTTTGAAATGGGTTTATTAAATACTTTGGAGGTTTGAACTGGGTAGTCAATTAGACTGTTTTGTCTTCCTAGGATTCTTTCAAGTAAAAGGAATGAATGTCACTTTGTCGACTTTATTATAGACGTTGCGACGTTTTATACCAGTCATAATGCTTAAGAATCACTTTAATATCCCGCATACAAAAAAAAAACCCCTCTCAAGAAATATTTAATTTTTTAAATTCAGTTTTATTTATGCAAAAAAAAAAAAAAAAAAAAAAAAAAAAAAAGTTTAAAATATAAAATTTAAGGGGGCATTGGTCTAATGAGTCTACCCTTCCAGTGCTAAAACTCTGGAGAGAATCCGCCACTAATTGATCATTGGTAATCTACTCGTCTCGTTCGTATCGTCTCGTGCGTACCTGTTGCTGATCGTATCTGTTGCTGGCCAATGATCAACCAATGAAAAACCCTCTCACTTGTTTCAAACACGCCCGGAGGCAGGAAAGAGATTAGAACCGCCGCCACCCAAAAGACCCCACCGCAGATTTGCTGGCAAGACAAAACTACGGCACTTTTGCTGGCTAGACAGAAGCTGGATAAAGAAAAAAAATTGAGAGTTGGCAGAAAATGTGCCCTTTATATACCTTTTTTTCCATCACACAAAATCGATTTTTTTGTTTTGTGACTGGTCTTGCTCCGCAGTGCCTTCAAAAATTTCAAAAGTCACGGACAAATAAAGCAAACATGCGCAGTAAATAAAGGGAAGAAAGGGTAAACAAAAGTGAGAAAGAACTTTAAAGGCCTTATGTCGACATTGACATTTAGGAAACACTAAAAGAATAAAAAGACCACCTCCGACACTTGTACAACTCAGCAACATTATGTATAATGTCAACCATTGTTACATCTCTTGCACTAATTGAGACTTTATTTTCTAAAGGGTCTTTTTGGGAGGGATTTTTTGTTCTGCTGCTGCTACTTCTACTATTAATATTGGTTGATTATAAAGTTGCACTCAGCAGCTACGTTGCAGAAGTCAAAACATAGTTTTATGAATTTTTACTCCCAGAAGAGCGGGACTTACAAATTATGTGCTCAGGTTTAAATGAACATTTAAGGACTTGACATCCATAAGACACAGAATTGCGCCTTCAATTTTTTTATATGATACTAATTAAAGATACGTTTAATATGTGTCTTCGATTCGACCTGTGTCAAGTCAGAGAAGAAAGAGCCAAAGAGACACAATGACATGATATGACCTGGTCCATCTGCTTGCTAAATTTAAGGTTATTGAGTCTCTTTTTGACGTGGTGTGTAACTTGTCCTGTGCCCTTTTATGCACTCAGTTACGATTTTTTATTTTGAAACATGCCCAAACAATTTTATAACCTGATTTTTTTTTTTTTTTTACTTTTACATTTCTTACCCAATTGCTTTTTTTAGCTCCATACAAATACCTCGCGTTCATCCTAACATCGTTGTAGGTAGTCTTGCATTTGCTAAAATGAACTATTTACGTAAAACAGCCTTTCCTCTGCTAATCTTCTTGTCGTTTACCAGCGCCCCATAGGAACACACTTTGAGGGTAATTCACGAGAATGTACAAAGATGGCGTTAATGACTGCAAAGTGACCTTTGATGCTCTCCTCAATGTCCATTGCTCTTCGGTTAACTTGTCTTTGTTATAGGTATACTCCTCCTCAAAAATGATGTCAGAATCAACAGCAACGACAACAACTACAACAAAAGCAACACAGACGAATCCCCTGACCTTTTGGACGACGCCATTCAATCAGCTTCACAAATTGAAAACGAAAATGAAAGCAATGAGGAAGCGATGGATCTTAACTGAGAAGAATGAAGCATCAGTATTGACCAGCGCCTTTACTCACCTTGACACAAGCTATCAGTACATAAACCCTTCTCTTGGTGAGAAAATCCCATTGAGATATTTTGGTCATTTTTCGCCTTACGGTCACCTTCAAAGTGTAGTAATTCCCGGCTATCAATTACTGTGCAAGACAATTAAATTCCTCTTGGATTGACTTGGAATGGCCTGAGTATGGTACTTGGATTATGTGTTTGATTATTATGACGGTCGTCAACTTCCAGGACAAGAGAACGTGCTGGATAAAGAGTAGTAGTCTTTTCACGTTGATTTTATTGACTTGATGGAAAGGACTGGTTCTAATGATATATCCAGATTTCATGTGTTTGTTGCCCGTAATGAGGAACTGTAATTCGTCAAAAAGCAACATATTCTGTTGGTAAATATGTGATATACATTGATTGTATATAACAAACGACTAAATTTTCTGCTATAGAGCAAATACAGATCCTCTAAATACCAAATTCGATCCTATCTGAAGGCTTTCAAAAACCGACTGGCTGATACAATGCGCCCTGGACGCTATATGTGCGTTGACGATTCAATGAATAAGTGGCTCAAAAACAGGATGTCGAAGATACCCAGGAAATTTCACCCACTTGATCAAGAGTATGAGAGAATCACGTCACTTACATTATCATGCGCGTGGACAACTGTGGTCATCATAAATCCAACACAGACCTTGACCAACGAAAGATGGATTTATTATAGTCATTGCGAGGCAATTGACTGAGACTTGCTAGATATCAGTTTGGAAGGGTCATCATCGCAGATTCCAGGTCTAATTTCACCAGAAATGGATCGAAGGCTTATGGACGTTGTCTGTATTTTGTTCAAAAAAAAAAGTAAATAATCTCCCATTAACAACTTACAATCAAAGGCTGTCAATTTCCGGTCAAAATCATATCGTGCAATAGTAGAGATTTTTTAATATAGAGTGGCAGGTGATTATAAAGAGTAAATAGGGGATTATCTACTACTGTGGTACTATTTGCAAGAATAAAAGGGTGATGTGTAACATTCTTTATAAAAATTCAGTGATCGTTTTCCTAGAAGTAACGATCCCAAAAACAGTGTGTTTTTTATATATTTACCATGTATATTTAAAAAAAGATTCTTATTGCTACCATTTAATGATCGTAAAGCATTCGGTCCATCCAGCTCAGTTCAAAAAAAATTATTTTATTTTTTTCATGCATGGATTCATGGATGCGTTAACAGGCATCAGTCAAAAAAAAAAGGGATGGATACTTTGGCTTGAGTAATGAAAGAGACAATTACCTCCCGGAAGGTCAAGTTCAGCGTATCAACCGCATCCATTAAAATCGTGGTGACGGTGATCTAAATTCAATTTCTAATGATAAAGTAAGAGATCATCAAACTCTTGTATGATCAATATGGGTAATTAGGTTTTACGATATCTAGGCAACTAAAGCAATTCCCATCTTCAAATCTCTTGCTTGACTATCAGATATAGTATAGTTCTTTTTTTTTTTTTTTTTTACTTTTTTCAGTGGTAGTTGGTTTCATTTTTACATTTAGAATGAAAAGGTAGAAAACGTTTATGTCAAAATTATTTTATTTTGAGAGCTGTGGTTTTGGTCTGCCCTTTTTTTTTTTTTTTTTTTTTTTTTTTTTCTTCCAAAGTACGATTCTTAATTTACATTACGCTTCCTCTTGAGTAGCATTTGACTAGCCCTGATATGAAGCCTACTTTGACTTTTGCTTAATTGCCAATTGTCGAGATGGGGTCAAGGATCATTTAATAGCTCTTAAGTTAGTTTGTATCTTGCTCTAATTCTCAAGTCTTTATAGGCTTGTTAGTTATGGAGTCGTAGGTTCTCTGAGCAGATATCAACCCTTTTTTTCTTTTTTGAGGCACATTGATGTCTTGGTAATATCCTTGTATAAATAATGTTTATCACATTGCGTATATTCGACTAACTTTTCGCGAGCGCCTTTTTGTTTAGAAACAAATATAATAGTTTGGTAAAGTTCTTATTTCTATCATCTTCATGTCACATTATATGAATGTATATGGAATAAATCTCTTTGTTTTGACATCTATTTCGCCTATCGCAGCTGACAGTCGTATACTCAGATACTCAAAGTGAAAACAAGGGTCTGTTTATACTCTGATAAATAATTTGGGTATGGACAAGATATTGCTAGAACACTTCAAATTTTTGAACACAATACTACTTCTCTCATTGAATACTTACATAACAAAAATTAAGAAAGAGATACAACATATTACTCCCGTCCAACCATAAAGCAAAACATTTGAAACAATAATAATTTTTTTATTTATATAAATAACCCGAAACAGTTAACTTGAGTGTGTGTGTGTGTGTGTGTGTGTGTGTGTGTGTATGTGTATGTGTATGTGTGTGTGTGGTTTTACATATGTGGGTTACCACGAGGACTTGCCCTTTCCTTTGGCTTTCTTTACGTTCGAGCGGCCAACATCGGTCTCCTCACGCTTTCTTTTTTCCTCATTAAATTCTTTGATACGATCGCCCCAATGCTGTTCATAATTTTCATCTTTAAAGCTGTCGTCCTCAGCATTTACAGTTTCAGGCTTGTTGTCTGGATCGAAGCCACCCAAGAACAAAATATCCTGCCACTTTTCGGCAGCTTCGTAACAATGATTGGTAGCCACTTTTCCAAAGTCTGGCCTAATCGTAATCTTCTTGTTCTTAAGGACTTGATCAGCCTCGGGAAGGAGCAAGGCAAGCTCTTGCTTATCCTTTTCTGAAAAAGCAGCCAGCCATTCCGGGATTAATTGCTACAATTAAAAAGGTTTGTTACGATTCGAACTTTTTCTTTTTCTTTGGATATAAACTAAACTTACCCTGAAGTTTACTTGGACCAATTGGCTGTCCTTGCTTTGCAATAATCGCTTAAGCTTATTATCTTGATTATCAGATGCCTTTTGAGTTTGGACAGGCTTGGTAGTTTCGACTTGTGCAATCTCCGTCTCTTCAACTTCATCATCCGTGTCAATGTAAATTGCATTCATCGGACCGTTTTTTTCTACTTCTTTTGTCTTACCAGGAGATCGCTTGGCTCTTGTAATGACAGCCTTTGTTGGTTTTGAAGAGCTTGCCGATGCTTCTATAGTCTTCGGAGTTAATGTCTTCCCACGCTTCTTTCTTGGCGCATCTTCCTCAATTTCATCCAAATCGTAGTCCTTGTAGGAGACAGAGGTTGAAGCGGCTCTTTTCTTCCTACCACTAGCCAAAGTCTTATGGGCGGGCTGATCATCCTCATCAGGTACAAACTCATCATTAGCATCGCATCGAGAATGACCAACAGAAACGTCGTTGCCAAAAGCTTGCTTATCTGCTAGACGTTTTGACTTTTTGATCGTGGGAGTATTAGATCCAGTAGCCTTGTATACCTTCTTTTTTGATCCCTTTGCCACGCCTTCAGGGTTGGATTTCGCCTTGGGTTTTCTACCCCTGCGGCCCTTCTCTCGTAAAGGTACTTCCACCGGTACTTCTACAGGTACTTCCACCGGTACTTCTACGGGTACTTCCACCGGTACTTTAACATGTACTTCAACAGGTACTTCTACAGGTACTTCCACCGGTACTTCTACGGGTACTTCCACCGGTACTTTAACATGTACTTCAACAGGTACTTCAACAGGTACTTCAACAGGTACTTCAACAGGTACTTCAACAGGTACTTCAACAGGTACTTCAACAGGTACTTCAACAGGTACTTCAACAGGTACTTCAACAGGTACTTCAACAGGTACTTCAACAGGTACTTCAACAGGTACTTCCACAGGTACTTCAACAGGTACTTCCACAGGTACTTCCACGGGTACTTCCATGGGTACTTCGGCAATAGGTGCTACAGTGGGTTCTACAGTGGGTACTACAGTGGGTTCTACAGTGGGTACTACAGTGGGTGCTACAGTGGGTACTACAATGGATGCTACAGTGGGTACTACAGTGGGTGCTTCATTAGGTGATTGGCCCGGGTTGTACACAGGTTTTTCAGAAGCAATTCCAGTGACCTGTTTGATGGCAAGGCTTTCGGCAGTAGGATTACCGGTAACTTTTTCGGTAGCAGACTTAACATCAATATCACCAGCAGCAGACTTGGCATAGATCTTATCAGCACCAATCTCAACATTCTTTTTGGAAGGCGATTCGGTAGATACACCATCAACCAGATCGAGAGACGCTTCAGCGACCTGTGTAATAGGCTCAGTTAGAGTAGGTTTTGCTGGGATACTAAACTCCATGTCCATAAGAAGAGATGCAGCACGGCTAGATGAGACCTTCTTTTTTGTCGATTCGGCAGGTGCGGGAAGCTCGAAAGGATTTCTGCTTGGAGTTGGAGTAGCAGCGCCAAAGACGTTTAGACCCCCAGATGAAAATAACCCGGACATCATGGAGTCAACTTCTGCATCAGCAGTATGATGAGCGGATGCTCTAGGCTCAGAATGAGCAGCTGGATCTGGCTCAGCAGGTGGCTCATAACCACTGTGTGTTACCGGTTGTGGGGATCCGCGAAGAGCTGGTTTGACATTAGCCTGGCTAAGAGCTTGAGGTCCATGCGTTTGAGAAGGTTCGGTACATGACACAGGTTCCAATACCTTTTGAACATGTTGTTCATTGTGAGAAGATGCATTCAATTCAGATTGGGAACTGAATGGGATTCCAAACTTAGGAACCAAACCGGGTTTAGAGGGAGAAACCAAATCAGGTTGACGATGATTGAACAGCCCAGGTTTAGGATTAATCAGGGGTGGGCGAGGAAGAAGACCAAGCGGTGGAAATCCTAATCGGGCAGGCATAAATGTGGATGAAGCCAATTGAGAAAATAATGGGAGATCAAGAGGTGGATGTACCAGTTGATTACGTGATGAAAGATCCATTTGGCTATGTGCTGGATGTTCCAGTTGATTATGGGATGTGTGTTCCGTTCCGGTAGTTGGAGATAGAACATTCTGATCCAAAGTGGGGTATACAAATTTGACATGATCATCCTCGATAGGAGATTGAAGCCCAGTATCGGTTCTGTGCACAGGCGAATAAAATCTTTGGCTGCATGAATCTGGTTCCATATGTGTTTGATATTCATTTTGAATTGGCGATTCAGGTTCCACTTTTATTACTGGAGGAGGCGAATCTAAAGGCTGAATGCGGCTTGGTTGAGTTGATGCTGCTGGTTCAGGTCGGATGGTTGATTCAGGCTCGAGTTTGACTTGAACAACTGGATCCTGTGGTTCATTGAAAGCTTCGGATTCGCATGGAACGTGTGATTCAATTGGGGTATCAAGGACTTCATCAGTAATTTGAGTTTGGCCGGGTACTTCTGAGTAACGGCTACCATGTGGCGGTAAAGTGGCAGATTCTTTTTGTAAAATGTCAGAAAAACTGCTGCTAGTGGTACTGGCAATATTTAAACCCCCTCCGTGCGCAGTTGTTGTCGCAGTTGAGTCGAGATCAACAGACGCATTTAAGTCAGGTTGACACTGCGGGGTATTTACAGCTGAGTTGTGTTTGGTGTCAGCATTGGTTGTAACAACAGATCGTTGATCTGTGCTTGAATGATCGGTAATGTCATTACGACCAAAGTCTATTATATGAAATGAAGACTTAATCAACCGCGCCTGGTTTTTGCATGGGAATGTAAAAAAAGAAAAAAAAAAAACTATACCTTTCAAGTTTGTAATAGGAGTAGACATACTTGTTCTTTATCCACAATAAAGCTGCGTGAAGAAGAAGAAGAAGAAAAAAAAAAGGGAAGGCGTCAATAAATCACAAGTAAAAAAATGGCTACGTCACAAACTTTTTTTTTTTTTTTTTTTTTTTTTTTGTATGGGAAAATCATGCATAATGCTTTAATTGCTTAAATAAATCATCGTCTGGATGCATAGTCCAGTTCATAAAATATATCCATCCTTCACTATACTTGAATGTATCCCTTAATCATTCATATGGATCAATATAAAATTCATAAGTAGCATTCATTTGGACACTTGTGAACAAGATCTTTCCTTGATGAATTTGTTTACTTTTGATGATCAACATCTATTTTTTTGCGCCAATCTATAGATGTGGCTTTGATAAGATATATTTTTTGGTATAAGCATTAACGTTATAGTGATAACTTTTACTTTTTCCTTACCAATCAATGTAGTGAACAATGCTCCCACCTCTACCCGTTTATATTGTCTGTTTATGCGCCTTTTTTCAAACCAAAGCTCTTACAAAAAAACGCGTTTAAGAATGTGTTCTGAAGACATCATTGTTTTTACTGTATATTTTGTAATAAATAGTGCATGATCGTTCTAGAAACATCCACTACTACTTTTTACTGCGAAAAAAGATCTACTGCTTGATTAGGTTAAATTAAATGTCAGCCTGTCAGAAATAAACCTTATATTACACAAATCGCTCTATATGATTTCAGGTATTTTTTTATCGCGAATATACACTGCTTTTTGTATACTTGTTTGTATACTCGTGTATCTAAGCTTATTTTAAAAGGGGATCATTCCATTAATAGTAATGGATCTTTTTACTACGTTGATTGTGTGTATCTCCGCTTAATTTGAAGTTAAGTTTTTTAGGGTTTTTTTTTCCTGTTAATTTACATTCTTTCACTGTTGCATATGTATTCAAGATTGAGAAAAAACTGGTTTGAGAGGTCAGTTAAAGCTGCCACTTAGAGCCAATGAAACGATTTCGTCAAAAAATTGCATCCCCATGAATGGGTGGATATGCAAAGTTAATCTGTTACAGCCTTACTTCATTTAGGAATCTACTTGAAGATGAATTCGTCATAAGATTGAACCGCCACAGTAAGTGAAGTCAAATCTTATGCGCAATAGTTTCTCCCATCTTAAAAAACAGCGGCATGCATAATTCCTCTAATGCCGATGAGTGACCTGATTCAGGGACAGGGGAGAAGAAAATATTTATTCCAAATATAGTAATCCTAGAACTTTTAACTTTTTTTCTTCTCAATACCTTTATTTTAATCATTAAAAATCAATAATAATAAAACAAAGAAGTTTATTATTCATATGATTCAAACAAGAAATATTTTATTCTGTCAATTCAATAACAATAACTTGGGCCTCAGTAAGTACCATAAGTGTATCATCTAGCAGTAGCTTAGCGCCAATACCATCCACATCGTTATCGGGTTCAAATGTAGGCTTTTTAATCGTCACAAACAATATTGTTCCTCATGTGATGATTAGGCTGCATTTTTGGAAATAGAAAATCCTGTAAATCCTGTAAATAGAACACCCGATAATACCTTCAGAAGAAGACGTTGAAACTTGTACATTCTAATACTCTTCAATTAACTTCTAATAAAAGGACCTAATTTATTTCTTATTCACTTTGACATAATATCAAATCTTTATGATATAACTGAATAGTCCGCACTTCTTCGGGATATGGTACAACAACCACTTCCTAATATATTTTTGTCTTTCTTAAAAGATAGTTTTATTTGAGTTAAAAACTCATATCTATTTACAATAATGATATGTGGAATGATGATGGAATGATTATGATCGAAAATAAAAATAAAAAATCATAATAGCAATAGACATAATCATTCTATAGGATGGGTATCAAAGTAGTTTCGAAGAGCAGGATGATACCATCCATTTCCTAATTTACAAACCCAAAGGAATCTTCTGTGGTAAGCTCGTTATTATCAGTAACTGAAGGGAAGGGGGAATCAAGGATACTATCTTCAATTAAAGTATCTGAACCGGTTTCCAACATTTGAAGATTGTAGTGTGGAGATATACTATTTTTCTGTAGTTTTCTTGGAGGAGTATAGTTACCACGTTTGAGACAAAAGGTGTTGCATGGTGCGAGGCAGAGGTGCCAGCCCTGGATCACTAAATCTGTCGCTGGTTGCGTTGTTCCATTTATTTGTTTGGGAAATATTTGATTGAATAATATGGGCAGAGTCTTCAATACCATTTTCAAATTGGAAGAGTGTTTTGAAGAATGCCAATGATTTGGTGGCGTTATTTAACTCCCCGATGCAACTTGGGAACAAAATTTGGTTTTGTAAGATGCCAACATGCAAACCGTGACCAACATTGGCCACTGTTGAGAAATAAGCCCTTAAGACCGAAATTTGAACAATCCACGAAAAGCAAATGTCGCCATAACTAACACTGTTCAAGGAATTGTCAATACTCTTTCCTTCTCTCAACAACTTTGCCTCATCGTCTGTAAGCTTGGTAATATCAGCATCGGGAAGGTAGACTTCAGCACCACCAATGTCAAACTCTGATTCCTTGCAGTCGAAAATGAATCGGATGCCAGTCTTTGATTGTAGAATCTGTTGGTACAGTCTCTCTTTTCTTCACTCGAATTAGATTAACATTAATTGCAAATAGAGACTTAAAAATAGGTGGCCATATTTGATCAGTATAATCACTTTCACTAATGTTATCAGGATACTCTTGTCGCATAATAAAAAATATCTCCGGTTTCATTTATTGCTTTTTTTAATTCATGTAAATTGGGATTAAAGAAACTTAAAATGAGAAGCTTATAGTTAACAATATGATTATTATAAGCTTGAGATCGAAATCATCCTGTTTTGCTGATCATGGCTTCTTGTTGCTTGCAATTGTAACTTGTCTATGATTTTAATAAATTATGTTGGGTTTTAAAACATTAAGCTGGCTTTATTTTATCAGTAGCACAGTGTAACCAGCATCGTTTGGCAAATGCATGAATAACAGACGTTATGTATAGTAGGTGATTCCAAGTTTCGGTTGCTTCCGTCTATTATGTGTATGTCAATTTTTGTTATATATAAGAGGGAGACCGGCGTCGCTTGATGAGGATTCTGTTTTTTCTGCAACAGTAGAAGAGGTATGACCGCTTAAATTGAAAGGACATTAGTAGCCGACCTGAGATCAGCTCCCATCCTAATTGGCACGACATTTACCATATCCCCCACCAGGTGAGATAAAGCTCGTAAATTGATTTTGATCCGTCATGTCTTGTAACGCTACTTGAGTTCACTTTTCAACATCCTTTTAATGCATACACTCATCCCTTGATTGCCAGTTGTCCGAATGGGCACAATAAAAAAGGGCGTGTCTGTACGCTAAAAGTAAATTGGTAAGCTCTCTTTTAAAACAGGTGAAAGGAAATGAAGTATTTACCTTGAATAACTTGATCACGTCGGACCACAAACCAGACATAGTCATCACATTCTAACTCTGATTCTGTTCTCTTTGCTTTCTGAGAAGGTGTAACAACCCGTCGAAATCTTCTGTTCATTGGACGCGTTCTTTTGTTTAATGAGACGCATGTCCTTTTGACTGTTGTTTAAGAGTTGTTTTTGGAGGAGGAATGAAGTGTTTGAGACGAGGGTTTTCTACTTGACGCCGCACTCTTGTTGTTGTTACGTGAGTGTGCTGTTTAATTGATAGAGCTCTTTCTAAAAGTTGGTCAACAGTTTGAAATGGGTTTATTAAATACTTTGAAGGTTTGAACTGGGTAGTCAATTAGACTGTTCTGTCTTATAAAATTCTTTTTACTAAAAGGAATGAATGCCACTTTGTCGACTTTATTATGGACGTTGCGACGTTTTATACCAGTCATAATGCTTAAGAATCACTTTAAAATCCCGCATACAAAAAAAAAACCCCTCTCAAGAAATATTTAATTTTTTAAATTCAGTTTTATTTATGCAAAAAAAAAAAAAAAAAAAAAAGAAAAAAAAGTTTAAAATATAAAATTAAAGGGGGCATTGGTCTAATGAGTCTACCCTTCCAGTGCTAAAACTCTGGAGAGAATCCGCCACTAATTGATCATTGGTAATCTACTCGTCTCGTGCGTATCGTCTCGTGCGTACCTGTTGCTGATCGTATCTGTTGCTGGCCAATGATCAACCAATGAAAAACCCTCTCGCTTGTTTCAAACACGCCCGGAGGCAGGAAAGAGATTAGAACCGCCGCCACCCAAAAGACCCCACCGCAGATTTGCTGGCAAGACAAAACTACGGCACTTTTGCTGGCTAGACAGAAGCTGGATAAAGAAAAAAAGTCGAGAGTTGGTAGAAAATGTGCCCTTTATATACCTTTTTCATTCAAAAATTATTTTTCTAGAAGTGACTTTCCGTGACTTGGCATGATGTAAAGATGGACACTTTTCCTAAAATGAAAGAGTAAACAAAAGCACATGAAAGAACACAGTAAAAAAATTTCTTGTTTTTGAAGTTTTCAAAATCAATTTTACTTAATTGAGTGATGTAAAAAGTAACAAAAGGAAAGATTCATGCTTTAAACTTTAATCGGGTATGATTTCCATTCATATACAAGGTGAAATGGGTGGCATACTTTGCTGTACACTGCATTGTTTACTACAATATGTACCACACAAATGAATTTCTTTGATTAGTGACTGGTCTTGCTGCACAGTGGCTTCAAAAAATTGAAGTTCACGGAAAAATAAAGCAAAAAAGAGAAGAAAAGGTAAACAAAAGTGAGAGAGGACATTAAAGGCCTTATGTCGACATTGACATTTAGGAAACACTAAAAGAATAAAAAGACCACCTCCAACACTTGTACAACTCAGCAACATTATGTATAATGTCAACCATGGTTACATTTCTTGCACTAATTGAGACTTTATTTTCTAAAGGGTTTCTTTGGGAGGGATTTTTGTCCTGATGCTGCTACTTCTGCTAATAATATTGCAGCTATGTTGCAGAAAGCAAATCATAGTTTTATGAATTTTAACTCCCAGGAGAGCGGGACTTACAAATTATGTGCTCAGGTTTTACGACTTGACATCCGTAAGACACAGAAATGCGCCTCCAGGTTTTTTTTTTTACGGTTCTGATTAACGACACGTTTAGTTGTATTTTCAGTCTGGTTTGTGGTAATTCAAGCGCATAAAAGAGCCAAGGAGACACAATGACGTGACATGGTTAGGTCCATGTGCTTGCTAAATTTAAGGTTATTAGGTCTTTTTGACGTGTGTAACATGTGTCCTTATGCACACTCTGTTAAAATGAATCGTGTGTAATATATAGTAGAAAAGAATAAAGATATTTATTAATAAAGCAAACAAAGAAGAAAAAAAAAGATAAAGAGAGAGTCTTTCGAATAATACTATCCAACGATAAAAAAGGTGAACAGTTACAACCAGCAAAAGAGAAAAGGAGAGAGGTATAAAAGAAGGAAGAAATGCAAAGTGATAGTATGAAAGGTTGTTTGTTGTTGTTGTTGTTTAGAAACCAGAATTTTCCATGGCTTTATCCATCCAATCTTTCAAGATGGAGGTACTATTGATCATTTCGATGATTTCTGTCTCTTGCACGTTCAATTGAATCTTTCTTGTACGATCTTCTTTACTCTTACCCAGTGTAAGAATACTATTTGTCTCTAATACGGATAATAAATCTGTTAATTCAGTTCTAGATACAGCTGTAATGGAAGAGGTCTTTTCAGAGCATAAAGTACTGTATTGTTCACGGAACTAATTTGAAAATAAGATGAGTAAATATCGTCACAATCTTACAAAATACCCACTTACTCTGCCAATGGTTAACAAATCCTTCTTGTTTACTTTTGTGGTGGATGAACGAATCATGACAATAATCACACCCAAGACAATCTTTTGCTGTAAATTCAACTGTTTCAATTTCTGTACATTGGAATTACCAAACACCGAACTCAAGACTCTTGAGACATGAGCGACATTGACCATGGGTGGGGGGACCACGGGAGTAGCTGTATTTGATTTCTGCTCACCCAAGACGGAGGCATTGGCTAACTTCTTTTTTTGATCTGCTTCAGCCAGCTCGATGGCCTGTCGACAGACATCCAAAGCAGTTCTTAAATCACCCATAGAGGAAGCGACTTTTCTTGCACAGAACTCGATGGCCATGGGTTGAATAAGAGGAGGAGCAGCACCTTCTGCGGGTTTAGGAGAAGGGCCAAAAGGGTTTTCGGGGTCTTCGATGAGGGAGAACAAACGATCTCTGATGATACTGGAAATTTCAGAGACTTGGTAAGGGTTAAAGTTTAATAATTGAGGTTGACAATTCTTTGCTCTTAAACGAGGCAGAATACGGTCTGTTAAATCTAAAGCATTGGCAATACCGATCAAGACAAGACGAGAAGTAGGTAAAGAAGCCCATTCAAAGATCTTGTAAAGAACATCTTGATCTCTTGTTATTAATGAATCGATTTCATCCAAGATCACCACACTATCATGAAATAGGAAATAAGCCATTTGTGTGTGTAACAAGAGAGATATTATATACGTACTTTAATACATTTTTTTTAGCATTGATTAACTCTTCTGCTTGTTTTACAACATCAGATTGAATGGGTGTCTTTGCATTGGGTCTTAATTCTTCCACTAATTTAGCATAGATTTGTTTGGGTTCTCTGACACTCATACAATTGACGACAACCGTCTTAACTTTGTGAGTACGTAAAGCAAGAACATCGTCTTCGACAAGACGCATGACTTCTGTTAACATGGCGGTTTTACCAGTACCTGGCATACCTGAAATGTATAAACAACCAGGTTGGTTATCCAATACATGGGTTTTCCAGAAATCCATCATTTGCTTTCGTTCGTCACCTCTGCCGATTAATCGGGAAGGGATGGCTGTACGTCTAAATACTGCTTTGGCTTTTTGGTACAGGTTTTCTGGTGCTTTGGCGTTCGTGTTGGTTTTCGATTTCAAGTAGATGGTGGATTTACTACTAGGAGATTTAACTAATTTAAAAAAATAACGCAATTTATGTTATAAAACACGGAATACAGTCTTATTGTTTTTTTTTTCTTTTACGTTGAGCAAGTTGAAGCTCCTTTGTGATATTTCGAACATTTTGTGGTGTTTCTGGTAACACAGCTTTAATCGCTTTTCTTTTTGGGCTGGTTGATACAGGCTGGTTCTCCAAATCGTCAATATTCTTTCTCTTTGTTCCTAATGTGCTTTTCTTTTTAGTTTGTAGTTCAAAGACACTATTAAAAGTACTGTTCATGTTTACCCCCTAATTCTCTAACGGGTGAAGCAGATTTGTTTGATCTTGTGCGTCTCAACATTGGGGTTTTTTCTTAAATAGTGTGGGATAAAGAAAAAGAATGAAAATTTTTTAGTGTGCGAAGCAGGGCCCGACTGAAACCAAAATGGACAAAAAACTGACTACGCGCCGTTTTGGTGGTGGTAAGTGGGGGGTTGAGGGGGGGGGGGGAGGGGGACACGCACTACATGCACTCATTTTGGGTGTAGTGAGTGTAGAAACGACGTTTAAAAGAGCGATCCAATCATTTTAAATCACGTTCATCGATGGGGTACTAGATATTGATTTCCCGGTTCCGATGTTGTTTATATAAAGCGTGTTGTATTGCCTGTGCGCACACACAGATCTTTTTTATTGTAAAAATCTCATGATAATCCATGCGATCTGAGTCTGATGACTCTCATCTGTTGCTTGTGATTCTCTGAGCTTTCGATTCCATATTAGAGTTTTTGTTGGGTTGTTTTTTTTTAATGTTCAGGTACATTGTTACACTCAAGACAACGCACACACACGTGAAAAAAAAAAATAAAGAGAGCCTTTTACTTTAAAAATCAGAACTTTTTTTTTTCTTCTGTTTGTTTGTTCTTTACACTTTTTTTTTTACCCGCAAAAAAAACCACACTTTTCTTTTATAAATATGACTGTTGCCGCTAGAAAGCCTGTTAGGTAAGATTTTATTTGGATCTCGGTGATAGAATACCAACGATTCCTTTAGAGTTTGGGTAGATGGTTGTTTTGACATGATGCACTATGGTCATGCCAATGCTTTAAGACAGGTAAAGTGGTCAAAATCCATGTTTATTTGAACATAAAATAACTCAACTGTAATCTATCACTAGGCCAAGGAGATGGGTGATATTCTTGTTGTCGGTGTGCATTCCGATGCAGAAATCGAGAAAAATAAGGGTCCAACAGTAATGAAGGAAAAAGAGCGGTAAAATAAAGGGTGCAGTGTAAACAATAGGAAACATAAATAGTGACTCTTTCTTTATTTTACCAGTTATGCTGCTGTCGCTGCTTGTAAATGGGCTGATGAAGTTGTTCCTAACGCACCTTACAATACCACGGTCGAATGTCTCAAGGAATACAATATTGATTTCTGTGTTCATGGTGATGATATCACAACCATGGCTGATGGTACGGATTGTTATCAAGCTGTCAAGGATGCTGGTCTTTACAAAGAGTGTAAGCGTACACAAGGTGTTTCTACCACCGAATTAGTCGGTCGCATGTTACTCATGACAAAGAACCATCATAATCATCGTAAAAACTCCATTGGCAGTGATCTCTCTGGTGTCGATACCCAAGACGTTGGCTCTTTCAGCACACCCGCCAAAGTCTCTCACTTCTTACCCACTTCCAAGCGCATTGTGCAATTCTCCAAGGGTATTGAACCCAAAGAAAACGACAAGGTCATTTATGTCGATGGTACTTTTGATCTCTTCCATGTCGGTCATATTGAATTTTTGAAGCGCGCCAAAGAGTTGGGTGACTTTTTGGTGGTTGGTATCCATGATGATCAAACCGTGAATGCTATCAAGGGTGTGAATTATCCTTTGATGAACTTGCACGAGCGTGCTTTAAGTGTCTTGGCCTGTCGCGTAAGCAGTTTAAAACTGAGTGGTTTTGTGCTTTATATACTCATTTCTATTTTTTTTTTTTTATATATGTAGTATGTTGATGAAGTGATTATTGGCGCTCCTTATAGTGTGACTGAAGATGTCTTGACCAAGGAATATAACGTTAATATGGTTGTTCATGGTAACACCGTGACTGAACCTGATGTCGATGGTAGTGATCCCTATGCCGTAAGTATTAAAGTTTAATTTTTTTGTGGTCCTTACCATAACAGAAAACTAAGAAAATCTCCATAGTTACCAAAACAACGTAAGCTCTATGTGGAGATTGAAAACCCAAACAACACGATTACGACACAGGGTATCATTGAACGCATCATCGAAAACCGATTTATCTTTGAAGAAAGACAAAAGAGAAAGAATGCAAAGGCCCTTTTAGAAGCCGAGAAAGAAGCCGAGGAAAAGAGTCTCCAAAAATAAGAAAAGAACAATGCCTCTTTGTTATAATGTATATAAACCAACCATCCCTTAAATATATAACTTTTTTTTTTTTTTAATACTGTAAAAGCGTTTTTATGTAATTCATACTAGACTAGAATAAAGAGGTGACTAGTTAAAAGAAGGATACAAGCAACAGAAAGTATCCAAGGATCCACTAAACTTTTTGAGCCATGTGAACTGATATTATCCGAACCATCGGTTGCGTTCGGAGTCATCGTCACTAGACTAGTGACGGTTGTATGCGCTACATCATGTAAAATTAAATCATTAAAAATCTCGGTTATGATAAACTAAGTTATTTTTACTCCTTACTCGTCATCAAGGAAGGGCCCAAAGTATTGATAGGAAAATTGGTTAACGGAGGTGTGGAAACACCCGTGGTCTGTACTGAAGGTGCCATGGAAGTTCCTGTAGGTAATGCGGACAGACCATTTGTTAATAGTGAAGAAATAGCTGCACTTGGTAACCCGCTCAGCCCAGTCAAGGGTAGGGTACTCAGCTGGCTTGCAAGAGCACCGAGTTCCGTAGGAATCATACCACCAAAGAAAGAAATCAAGTATGGCAAGATCTCGTCTACAGGAGGTAATCCTGCAGTAGTCGCAACAACAGTATGAGCACCCGTAGCAGTAACAGCAGCAGTGATACTATTATGAGCAGCTGTGGTAGTAGGTGTAGATGGCTTATGGATAGATGGAGTTGGTGTTGGTTTTTTCGTAGTAATAGTAATCCCAGTTTTTTCATCGTCTAGGTCTTCAAAGGTAGCACCCGGCCAATGAACATTAATACATCCTGTGTAGCAGGAATCGCCACTTTTTCCAGAACAATTGTCTATGCAGTCTCTGGCACTGTTCACTAAAATATAAGGGATGTTTTCCAAAAAAGGGTAATTTAACACATGAAGGAAAAAAATGTAATAAATGAAATCTATATTTATATATTATTTTGTGTCACGAACAATTACATACCACAATTATTCAAGCACAAAGTATCTGCAGGGTCACAAACACAACGCGCCCAGGCGACCTGGGAGACCATGATGGAGACCATTGCTGAGACAGCGAAGATTCTTTTGTAATGCATTGTTCTTTTTGGGTTAAAAAAGAAGAAATTATGTTAATAGAAGGAAAACAAGGCATAAACAAAAGAAAATAGAGGCCTTTATATTGAAAGGATTCTAAGGAGGGAGGGGAGCGAACAACGGCATAGTTAAAATAAACACAATATTTATTATGAATAATATAGGTTTTCATTTAAACTAGTAACATTTAAGAAAAAAAGTTTTTTTGGGCCAGAAAAAACCCCCACTCCCTGATTATTTTCTTTTTCTATTTTTCATGTGTACCGAGAATTGGATATAAACGTTACACGAGTAATATCTACAAAGATCGACCAAATGAACGCACTTGGAAAGACTGGTGTAGCCTCTAATGTGTCACCAACTTTATTGCACACTCTCTATTGTTTTAATTGATTTATTTTAAAGAAAAAAAAAAAAAGATTCTTACTTCTTTCTTCTCTGTATAAACATATTTTTTTTTTCTTTAAAGAAACAACCCATCACATTCCCTTTTTTTTTTCTTGAAAGAATCAATTTCCGTTCCTTTTTCACATACAACATGATGTTCAAATCTACAGCTATCTTCTTGACCCTTACTGCCGCATTAGAATTAGTCTTGGCTAGTTCAGTTTCTATTACTTCCCCCGAGGCCAAAGCCATTTGGGAAGCTGGATCAACTGTAGAAATCAAGTGGTAAATTCCCCAAGAATGACAGCACAGTTAAATCATGAATATTCTAACTCTTTTGTCAACGCAGGGATGTCAATGAAGCTGCTAGTGGCCCTATTCGTATTCAATACGCTTCAGGTCCTTCTCAGGAATTAACCGTGAATGGTTTGATTGCCGATAACGTCGTTGCTTCTCGTGGAAAGTATTTATGGAAGATTCCTACCGATATTAAGCCCAAGAAATAGTATGTTTCCTATTCTACACATCTTTTACAATATCCTTATGCTAACCAGTTTATTATCTTAGTGTTATCGAGGCTGGTCCCAGTGATAAAGATCTTTCCTTTGCAGGTAAATACCTCGTTCTTTTTTATTATTATTTTCATTTATATATTAGCAATATATAAAAAAAACGGAACTTGTAACTGATACATAATTAATTTTAGGTTACATTACCATCAAGAACAAGAAGTCGACTACCAAAAAGACTACCACTAAAAAGACCACCACTAAAAAGACCACCAAGAAGACCACCAAGAAGCCTGTTAAAAAGACTACCAAGAAGTCTACCAAAAAGACCACCAAGAAGACCACCAAGAAGACCACCAAGAAGACCACCAAGAAGACCACCAAGAAGACCACCAAGAAGACTACCAAGAAGACTACCAAAAAGTCTGTTACCAAGAAGGAGACCAAGGGAGCTAAGCCCTCTGCTGTCTGTATTGGTTATCCTACCGAAGACGAGACTGCTGAAGAACAAAAGGTCCGTTGTCACTCTATTCCTAAAGTCGAAAGTCAAAACAAGAAGAGTACAAAGGTGAAGAAGACCAGCAAGAAGACTACCAAGAAGTCTACTACCAAGAAGCCCAAGAAGACTACCAAGAAGACTACTAAAGCTGTTACTGCCTAAATAAATAACAGCCTTATTTTTTTGCCCCTCCTCCAAAGAAAAACTAGAAAGTTTACATGAATCTTGTTCCCCCTTCTAAATGAAATTATGCAAAAAAAAAGAAAGACCAAAAAAAAAACCAAAAAAAGCGGGCAAAAAGCATTACACCTGTTTCATTTCTATATTTGTTAAACTTCTCTATTTTGTAACCTAAAATAAACCTCTTGTACAACATTGAACAATAATTAAAAATTTACAACTTTTTTTTTTTTTCATGTATAATAAATGCTTTATTTCTGATGTGAAGGTTTATGCGTCAAAAAAAGAGTGGTGGGGGGAATAACAAAGGAAAGAAAAATTTACAATTCGTCGTGAGTGGCAACAGGTTCCTTTTCTTGGATCTTTTCTTCTTCAGCAGCTTCAGGAGCAATGACGATCTTTGTGTTCTTGGAGCTATGCTTGCTAATGAAGTCGGTAAGATCCTCAACAGAACGATCACCATCATAATCGATCATTTCGTTAGTACCAGCCTTGAAGAACTTGAGGGTAGGGAAGCCAGAGACATCAAAGCCAGCTTCTTCGGGAATATCGTTCTCGGTACCATCTAATTTAGCAATCACGATGGAATCATCTTGAGCAGCCACGGCCTCACCCAATTGGGTCCAGATAGGCTCTAAACGCTTACAGTGACCACACCAGGGAGCATAGACTTCAACAAATACATCCTTGGACTTATCAAGTACAATATCCTTGAACTCGTCAGCCACAACCACCTTGACAGGTCCCTTGTTATCAACGGGAGGTTCGGCAGATTTGATGGTAGCCTTGATCTTACCATGAACATAATCATCAAGGAAAGGTTCCAAGTTTTCAAAGCTGACATCCTTGGTTTGTTCAAGAGGGAACTTGGCTCCGGAGTCTAAATGTTGAATAGCAAAAGCAGGCCATTGTTCCTTAAGACCCAAGTTGGAAGCATGGGAACCAAACTTGTTGGCATCAATATGAACAAAGTTAATCTTTCCCTTGTACTTTTGAGCTAAAGGTGTAGCCATCTCAATCAACTTTTTGGCGACCTCTAAATCATCATGGAAGATATAGGCAAGAGGAAGTCCTGATTCGGCATAGGATTGGAAGTTGGAAGCATCAATGGCGTCCAAGATAGGAACAGAGTTGGTCTTGATGAACTCTTCAATCTCTTCAGCCTTGAATTCACCAGCTAAATCATTACGTCCTTCATCGAATTGCTTGTACACAACAAGGGCAGGGAATTCAGAAACATTTTGTTCCTTGGCTAAAGCTTCATCAGTAACAATACCAAAGAGGTAATCATCACGAAGCTTGTTGGCAACAGCGGTCAAAGCTTCCTTGGATGCTTCATCCTTGGCAAAACCAACGATAACAACACGGTCAGAGGTAGAGAAATCACCAAAGTTGGTGGCATCCAATTGAGTAACGGGAGGGGAAGCTTGCCTAAGATAAATGTATAAGTGATCGGCTCCACACATCTATTACCATATACACACACAGACACACACACACACAAAGAAAAAAAAAACGCGTCTTGGCTCATTATAAAACTTACTTTTGCATATAGCTGACGATACCATCAGCCTTACGAGCACCCTTATAATCAGAGGTCTCACCATTTCTGAAGACCTTGAGGGTAGGGTAACCACGGACATCGTACTTTTGACAAAGGTCTTGGTTTTCGGTACAATCGACCTTGGCAATCTTGATCTCCTTGTCCTTGAGTGTAGTGGCGGCAATTTCGTATTCAGGAGCTACATGAGGAAAGTATGTTTAGTTACAATGAGGTGGTAATAAATAGAGAAATCAAACTCACCAAGGGCTTTACAATGACCACACCAAGGGGCAAAGAATTCAACCAACATCAAGTCTTGGTCAAGTACTTCTTTGTCAAAGTTCTTGTCAGACAAGGTGAGGACATCACTGGCTTCGTCGGCCAAGACAGAGTGTGTAAGTGCAGAGAAAGTGGCGGCGATAGCAGCGAATAAGAATGTCTTTCTAACCATGTTTTTTAGATTGAGGAATAATAATAATAAAAAAAAAAAAGTAAAAACTGAAAAGCGTAAAAATGCGGATTATATATACAAGTTACCAAAGTGACGATTTGTGTTGGAACATGATTGGATGGTTTAAGGTGATTGGGACTTGTCAAATGAAAAAGTAGCGCTAAGATTGAATTATAAATTAAATTTTAAGCTAATAGGTGACACAGTGCCAATGAGATTTATTTTTACACATTTACCTCCAAACCGCCCACATGTAAATCTTTTATGCAGTACAAAAGCATTTGCTTTCTTAAGCTTTTATGAATGTTAAATAAATGTTCCATTGGGATATTTTCGGTTCCTTTAATGACATTAGCCAACTTTGCCTCTCTATTCTACAGAGCTTTATTTGTTTTAACAATGCCCCATAACGGCTGAGCGTACATGTTACACAAGTCATGTATCCGCAGTTGAATAATGACATGATTAATCATACGGCAGATAGAGGTGTTATTATGATACCAATACATTTTCACACCACTCAAATTTCTAGGCTATCATATAGCTTTGGGAGGTCGTCGTGTAAATATTTTTGAATATTAGGATGAAATTTCACATCAGTGATATGTGCTAATGAGTGAAAATATGCCATTAGTAATAATTCTAATTATAAAAAAGGTGTCTTTAAATGTAACATGTCTTTAAATGTAACATAAAGTTCGAATGCGTGATGAACACATATTCATCATATAATGGGCAACGTCGAGAAGTTTGTCTCCCAGCTTCACACACACACACACACACACACACACAGAGAGAGAGAGATTCTTGTAGCAACATCTTCTGTTATTAACGATCCCGCTTTATTGCAACTTCTAGACACGTGGGCATAAGAGAACTAATGTACGTGACTTCAGAAAGATACAATAAAAGGAAAGTTTTCTCTAATAGTTAAATCTTCTCTGGCTATTTACTACCACTGCTGCAAGCTCACACATGAAGTTGTCAAATGGTGTCACTTGTTTGGATTTGCTGCAGTAAGTGATTATCGATATGGTGGCTCAGAACTCTCAAAAACTTAGGGCAGCAAGTAATCGAGGCGTCCATTGACAATCCCTTCTACTCTCGATAGGGTAACTAAACGAAATAAATAAAGCCCCTAAAATTTGAAAATAAAGAAAATTGCACGCTATTTCATCTAATTGGTTAAAAATGAATGATTGATTATGCAAAAAAGAATATATACAAAGAAGAAAGGGGGAGAGATAGATTTTATTGTAAGTCAAAAAGATAATATGTATTTCATTTCTCCTATTCATAAACATATATCCCCTACAACACTCCTTTCTTTTTTTTTTATATGATATAAATTACAAGCAGAAAAATAAAGGGACTTGCCAATGCTCTTCATTCATCTTATTTAATTCTTATGGAACCAAATAACTATCCTTATTTTCCACCTCATTACACTGAATCCTCTCCTCCTAACAATAATAATGAAATGACTAGTTTACGGGTCATACAAAGTGATACAGAACAACGAAACAGTGTCTTATTAATCACAGAACCCAAAGATTTAGAAAAACTATTCGATACCAATCGAACATTGGAACAAGATATCTGTTTCCCACCCAATGGTAGACCTTCATCTAGCAGTATCACATTGGATCCACAAGGAGGAGAAGAAGATATGAAGGCACAACATCGTATGACCAAAAGAGATAGCTGTGGAAGCTCTATGGATGGATTAAACTTGAGCGCACTTTCATTGTTTACTGAAATCACCCAAAGTCCAGCCCATTCGCCGTTACCCAAGCAACATCTTTATTATGGCGGCACACGAGAAAAATTGTTGAGCCTGTATGGAGACAACAGTCGAGATGATTCCCATAATCATCATCACCAACAAAAGAAGTTGTCAATGTTACCGCTGGAAGATCGATTTATTTACTATCATATAGACACTGGGTGTATCAAGGGCAAATACCTTTCAGATTTAAAATTGCCTCATATGTCATTAGAAGATTTGTTACTAAAAGAGAATTATTGGATTGATATTACATGCCCGACAAATGAGGAAATGAAAGCCATCAGCAAAGTAAGGAGGTCATTATCTTTTAAATGAAAAAAAAATATACATGTATATTTATATATAAAAAAAAACTAATATGCTCTATTTACAAATAAAAAGGTATTTAATATCCATCCGTTAACTACAGAAGACATCATGTCACATGAGATTCGGGAGAAGTGTGATGTTTTTCGCCATTACATGTTTGTATGTTATCGCGCATTTTTACACGATGCGCAACAATTGAGACCAGTGACATTTTACAATATTGTGACGAAAAAGCATATTTTGACAGTAAGTGTAATCATAAAACTGCTCCTCCCCATCCCACATTGGCTGACACAAAACTATGTATTTTCAGTTTCACTTCGATCACGTGCCACATGTACGACATGTGCAGCAGCGAGTCAGTCAGTTACAGGATTATATCGAAGTGGTGCCAGACTGGATTAACTATGCTATTATGGATGAAATCACTGATAGTTTTGCACCCATGATTCAACAGATTGAATCCGAGGTTGACTCGATTGATGATTTAGTGTTACTGTATAAGTCCGATCAGTCTGATATGGTGTTACGTATCGGCACATGTCGAAAGAAGGTGATTCAGATGGTGCGTTTACTAGGCACCAAAGTGGAAGTGGTGAGAGGCTTGATGAAGCGTATCGAAGAAAGAACAACGGAAGGCGAGCTCGTGTCGAATGATCCCAATGTCACTAAAATATACCCTGATGTTGGCTTATACTTGGGTGATGTGCAAGATCATATTCTAACCATGCTTCAGAATTTGAACCATTACGAGACGGTATTGGCTAGATCTGAATCGAATTATTTAGCACGTATCTCTATTGAATTAACCCAGACTTCAAATTCCACAAATCATGTCATTGGTAGATTGACCATATTTGCAACCGTACTATTACCAATGAATTTGGTTACTGGTTTATGGGGTGAGTTTTTCTTTTTTGCGTGTCATGTGATGTATTTATTGACTTTTTTCCCGTTGTTAGGTATGAATGTAAAGGTACCAGGAAAAGACTATGATAACTTGATTTATTTCTTTTGGATTGTGCTAAGTTTGGCTGTATTTGCTATTCTATCCTTGACGTTGGCAAAAAGATTAAAACTGATATAAATGCTAAAAACAAATAATAATTACGGAGCCCTAAATATGTCTGCGTCATGAATAAGTTAATTAGAGAGAGAGAGATAGAGAGAGAGAGAAGGAGCAACGAAATGACCCGAAAATATATATAGAGACTTTTTTTTTTATTTTATTTTTTATTTTTTATTCTCATCTTTTTTTTTATTATTATTTACCCATTAATAAAATGCATATTGAAATTGCACAAGCAGTAGAGTTTTTGGGCAGACTGTTACAAAGTAAAGTAGATTTAAATGTTATTTCAACATTTAAAGAAAGACTTGGAGAATTGTTAAAGCAACGGTTCACAGACCATTGGGATTCACAACAACCTTATCGAGGCAATGGTTATAGGGCGATTTCTAATTTCAATGGAGAATTAGATCCGGTTATATTAACAGGTAAAGTTTTTTTTGTGTTTTTTTTCATGCTTTTTTTTTTTATTTGCAAAACCGCCCCCCACAAAGGAATTTGTCTCTCCCTAATAAAAAATTAGCTTGCGATAAAGCTGCATGTTCTTCAAAATTGATTCACACACATTTACCTCGTGACTTTGTATTATGGATTGATCCCTTCTCTGTATCGTACAGGGTAGGTGACCATGGAAACATAATGACATTATATGAAGATCGTTCGCGTGGCCGAGTTTCTTTAAAGATGGATCCTGGAAACACTGGTATCATCAGTCCCTCTCAATCTCCTCGATTGCAATATTTGCAGCCTACCTCCACTCCCATTCGCATTTCTCCTCCCAGTAGTCCTGAAAATAAGAAACTCGTGAAATCCCATATCCATCAACCCTCTCCACTTTCATCCACCGTTACAAAGAAGAAGGATCCTGAAAACAATGATAACCTCGTCATGGCTAATTGAAAAAATCATTTAATAATGCTGTAAATAGTCTTCCTCCTCTTTTTATTATCATTTCAAATAAATTGCACTTACCTTCTCCCTCTCACTCTCTCTATTTCTCTTTTTTGCATATATTGGCGCTAGTTCAATTCGGTGGGTAAAACGTATGACTAACTTGGGAATTTTTCTCACATTTTATAAATGATACAAACCTTACTTCGTCTTTCTATTTCTTGTTCTTCTTCTTTCATACATCATAGCCATGTCACTTACACTCCAATTTCCAAAGACAGAATATGTCCTTCTGACGATGCCAGAACCAAACATTTTATTGGTCACGATCAATAGACCCAAACAATATAATGCCCTGAGTTCAAGCGCCAATTGGGAGTTACATCACGTATTTAACTGGGCTGAACAACAGGATCAGGTTTGGTGCATTGTTGTAAGTGTCCCCCCTCTCTCTTTTTTTTTTTAATATAAGCACACGCCCCGTTTATTCTTAAACCTATATATCCTAGTTGACAGGTACTGGTGATAAATCGTTTTGTGCTGGTATGGATCTTGTTAGTGTAGCCGACGATAAAAAAGAGAATGATGCTACTGTCAGTCTAGCGACCATGCCACCTACGGGTTTTGCCGGTATGGCCAACCGTCGAACATCCCGTAAACCAGTGATTGCAGCAGTAAATGGGTATGCTTTGGGAGGTGGGATGGAAATCCTGGTTGCATGTAATATTGTGGTAGCCACTGAGAAATCAAAATTTGGATTTCCCGAGGTCAAACGAGGCGTGGTGATTGCTGCCGGTGGACTAGCACGTCTTGCTCGGTCTGTCAGTTATCAAATTGCCTCTGAATTAGTCTTGACCGGCCGTATATTTACCACACAAGAAGCCAAAGTATACGGTCTTGTGAATGAAGTGATCCCTAATGATGCGAATGTAGTCGATGCTGCTATGGTTTATGCAAAACAAATTGCCGCAAAGTAAAAAAAAAAAAATCCAGATAGCTACAGTGTCATCTTATGAAAAATACTCATTTCTATATCTAGTTCACCTGACGCTGTTTCATTGACAAAGCAAGGTCTTCTATTGGCGCTTGAACTCGGTTCAGTAACAGATGCTACCGAAAATTGGCTTGAATCATCTGAGGCCACTGCTTGGCGATCAGGCTATAATTTAGCAGAAGGCGTACTTGCCTTCAAAGAAAAGAGACAAGCTGTTTGGAAGAGTCCTTCTAAACTATAATAATAAAGTTTGAGTTGTGCATCACAAAGGGAACTCCGGCATACATTTACTCGTACCAATTTTATTGGCTGTACTTTTTGGCACACACACGTCCCAAACATTTTTTTTTAAAAAAAACATTTACAATTGTGGGCCTTCTTGACTTTATAAAAAATAAACAATACAAATGGATAACTCATTACTGATAAAAGCAATTGTTGCTGTCACTGTTCTTATTTTAGTCACAGGTAGAATGACAGATAGTATGTGTCGTAGACACCCCCATTGACTCAACTTTTTGTTTATAGTTATTGGACTTTCACTCTTTACAAAGAAACAAAATAAAAATACCATATTATTACTAGGTGTCAGCGATGCTGGTAAAACAGCAATGTATATAATGGTAAAGTATCATGGCGTCTTCTTTTTTCACCCATCATCCACTTACTCGAACGAATAGTTAAAATATGGGCAAATGCGTCCTACTGTTTCCTCCATGAAGGAAAATGAAGGTCAAGTTACTATTGCCAACAAGGTGTGTATCCTTCTTATGAGATAAATACAATGTAACTTAACTATGCTCACATGTGACATTTCTTTCTAGTTATTCGAGCTTGTCGACATGCCAGGTCATGATCGTGTTCGCTATCGATTTGCAGACTTCTTACCCGTGACACGATCCATTGTATTTGTTGTAGACAGCACGACCTTGAGCAGACAGATCCGACCTGTTGCAGAATACTTGTATGATGTTTTAGCAAAGCAAGTTGTTCAAAAGCAACGTACACCTGTTTTGATTGCTTGTAATAAGTCGGATATGATTACTGCTTTACCCACTGAAAAGATCAAATTCATGCTTGAAAGTGAACTGTAAGTCATCATGGATTGGGATGGGTTTTTTTTTTTTCCTTTGGAGGGACTAATTTGAAAGATAAATCTGTAGGAATCGTCTTCGTGGTACACGTACTGCTAGAGTTGAACAACAAGAGGGTGATGAACAGGAAGCTTTCTTGGGCTATGAAGGAGAAGATTTTAAGTTTGATCATATTGATAATCATGTGGAGTTTGAATCTTGCTCTGTGGAAAATAAGGATTTGGAAAAGGTCAAGGATTGGATTGTTGTAGCATAGTGTGGCACATACTTAATAAAAACATAGAATGTTTATAAACATTGCACAGTAAAAAGTAAATTAGGATGGAAGGGGGGTGTATTATCGATTTGAGTGACATTTATGAACTGAGGTCTATCACCCGTACCGTTGGGCAAATGGAGATACGGCGCTAATTACGTATGTGAGGAGAGGATCATTTAAAGTTAATTGACTAGAATAAGGGCGCTTATCAAATCTACCAAAAGATTACGTCTAGACCTTCGTAATTTTTAAACGTCTGTTAAGAATCATGTAATGGTCTAGACATGAATCTAATAAAAATGATCACGTGGATTGACATGCCATGTTATCTTTTCCAAAAACACCAAGTTATTAGTTCTTTCTTTTTAAAAATGAAAAAGACATATTGCGATTCTTGCTACGGCTAATCTTACTATATGATGATGACCTCTCAGATTGGGTTTTTGGGTTTTGGGCACTCAGTTGATGAACAGACTGTAAATGGCAGCTAGGACACTGTAAATGTGTGTGACCAAACCGTCTGCCTGGTCTTGACTGGGATTTATGTAAAGTGATATAAAAAAGTACGGAGGTCTTGACATTTCCGCAAGAACTTGGCCGTCATTTACGTACCATGTTAGAGATTGGCCGAGTTACTGTGCTAAACTCATAAGCATCGCTTCATTCCTTTATCACACCTAAGAATCTGAGTATACTGCTGCATGTTATTGAGAACTTTTGGATTTGCTGCGTTTATGACACCAGTACATCACCCTCCAAATTGCAGGACATTACTACTTTGTTATCCATGACAGATAAATCGAGCTCAAAGGTTAGATAATGCGCGATCAAATATGACTGAAAGTCTTTCCCAAAAGACGCCACTTCTTTTTCTATCTCCTTCACTCCTCTCCACTTGTTATACTGCTCCACATCGTTCGTCATGTTCCTTAGATAAACGTTTGTGCAACCAAAGAGCAACGTTTTGTCAAACGTCAATTGTTCAGTTTGTAAATCGCGCACAAGCATTTTATATTTTTTTTTTTCGGTTTTTTAGCGAAATGAAAAACAATTACGCAATTGATCTTTTTAAAGTTTGGATCACTACTAGATGTGAGATAAAATATGGATGTTACATATTAAGATATTCATTTGATGTACCTATAGGCTTTTTGTTTATTTAATAGTCATGGTAGATCCATAGTTCAAAAGGAACTAAAAAATCTCGGACGCAGCTTTATATGCCGCTCTTTACCTGCTGTAAGCAAATGAAATCGAAATTTATTTCTTGCAAGTAACATTGCTTTAAATATGACGTAAAAACAAATGTATTTCTGACGTTGATTAATTAAAAAGAGCGTATAAGACAGCTGTCAGACACAAAGGCTTTTAACTATCTCTATAACACAGAAGGAAGTAAGTGATATAAAATGTTCAGCGATGAGGTAGCCAAAGAAGCTTGGTTGTTTATTTTCGTATCTTCGGAGGGATGGGCATCTCAGTCATTTCCAAATATTCTTGTTTAGCGGTTACAATGATGGCACAAAGAAAACATGTGTTTAAAAGAGGATGTTTTTATCGATTAGCTGCACAGTGCAACTAAATTTGGACTAGGTCATGTAACAGTGACATTGGTCAGCTGCCTTATTTAAACCAGGAACGATATTAATGGCTTACATAAATATAAAAAAATTATACAGTACGGGTGGATATTGTCGGTTACAATAAAAGGTAGCTGCTTTTGGTTATCTCCTGATCAATAAAAGTGTAAAAAAAGTCGCTGGTTACAAGATTTAATCAATCGGTTAATGTACAAACAAATTGTCTGTCAAATATGGTCGAATCATAACTATAGTGTTCTGGTTTTTGCAACATTTCAGCTAATTTGTGACAGATATTCCTTCGAAAGAATACTTAGATTGTAGTTCGTTTAAAGCAATTCATAATTTGGCATTTCGAATGAGGGCAAAGCCAACAAATACCACTAAAACAAACATCATTACATGCACCGTCAAGTATAGAAGACAATATGTCTTCTTTTATCAAGTGATGATGCTTCACTAAAGCATAATAGAACCTCCTATCATATTTTTGGCTCTTGATATAGAAAACTTTGTTTCAATTATACATCGAGAAAGCTGCATTTGCGAATTACATGGATTACTTTAGAATTTTTTTGTAGGAAAAGATGGATTACTTTATAGCCAAATCAGTTGATTTTTTCTTTCGGAGTATGATCTACAAGTCAAAATATAGTTGTAACATATGCTTACGTATTTACAACAAGTATTCTTTACTATTCTATTTAAGTAGGAAGGGTGTGATTCCAAATCCCGACAATATTCACCCGCTGGACTGTCGAAACTACTAGGATGATACATGTTTCGACACGACTCAGAAGATAGTTTATTTTGCCATGTTGGCTCGTGAGTATCCGATGGTTACACATGATTTTTTAAGCTTAGGTCACCGTGCCTTTGTTTGCTATGATGATTATTTAGAGAAAATAAGAAGTATCTCATAGGACAGATGAATTTTCTTCTTTTCCGAAATAGTAAAGAAACTACATCATTACTCTGCCAACATAACAAGCTAAATATCAAAATCAAACAAAGATACGCTATATTGGTATATCCGGGTGCATGTGTGCTTTTTTCGAGTTTGAAAGAAAATAATTCGGATGTTCTCGTTACTATAAATCTAACTTGCTTTTTCCCATACCCATTATGCATACTTCTCAGACTATAAGGACAAAGAAGTTCTTTTCTTTTTGTCAAAACACACAACATTTACTGTTTCAGTGACTGTCGAATCTTTAGAAAGGCTGTTGTTTGGTTTGAAATGTTCACTGTGTCACCAGCATCTAATTTTTTGTTGTTGATTTTTGTCCTTTTTTTTATATTTTTTTCCTTCTTTATTCTTTTCCTTTATTTTTTTCTTTAGATTCTAAACCAAAGATATGAGTCTTTTGGATTTTCCAGAAGACGTTATTATTAGGCTGATATGTCATCTTGGGCTGAAAGACCTGCTTGCATTAGGAGATAGTAACAGCAAGCTACGTGAAATTGTGTATAAAAGTCCGGAAGTGTGGAATAATGGCGATTTATTGTTCCCAATAGCGGACAAAAGTATCACGGATAAATTTATCCAAAGAATCATACCGCGTATCACTAGACATTATGGTATTATGGAATTGAAGATGATTGACTTACCTTTAACGTGGTCGGGATATCTCATGATTTTTGACCAATTTGCACATTCTGTAAATCGTATTGAAATCAAAGCGACAGTTGATGAGCTAATCAAATTAGTTCACCACCTATCAATCTTTGCAGGGAATTTGGCCATGCTTCAACAAAATAACCAGATACCGATTACTTTTAGACAGTACGCATTTGATGACGAAGACGAATACTCGGCAGCGTTGGCTGATTCAAATTATTTGGGTCAAAGGACGTTACACAATCTGAACGATCAATTTGCCTATATGAAACTAGATGATCCACCTTTTGAAAGACTAAATGATTTTCGTGTGGTGACTAATGCAAAGAACTCACCAGACGAATCTATGGCCATGAGACAGCTTGAATTACTGGCCTCATTTTTATCTGGTAGACCAATCAGCATAAATAAACAAAATATTCCAGGATCACCTATGCCTTCAGCAAGGAGCTCAAATAAAAGAACAAGGGAACATGATCAGCAAACTACCTCTAAACATTCAAGACATTATTCGCCACAGCAACATCATCTCCCTTCTTACTCTAGTTTTGCCTAACTAGTATGTATATAATCTAATAAACCAATCTAGGTTCTAGTTCATATATAAAAACAGAAAAACGCCACATACTTTCCTTAGTGCTTATTATCATCACTATTATTTTTAAGGGGAGCTTGGTCTCAAGAGAGAAGGGCATGATTGCAGGATATAAACTTGTTGCTAATTGACAGTTTTTTTTTTAATTACACATAAAAACTTTTTTTTTCTTCTTTGATTCTTGTTCCTCTTCCTTTTACCTTTTATTTTTGCAAACCTCTTCTTGCATGCCACCTATTGCTATAGCTTCATTCGGTATGACAGAGTCAATACCATCTATTGTCTGTTCAATCGATACAACAAAAGATAATAACCCATTATACTCAGTCAAGCCTCTAAATTTGGAGGGTGGACAATGGTAATTATACAACAAAAAACTTAACTATTTGTGATAATAACAAACATACATGATAGCGTTTGGTGTGGAAAATATGGGCATAAAAGACGCGCTTGCCCTTTATTGAAATAGTGTTGCTGACATATCTTTTCTCTCTCTTTCTTTCAACCCCTATGGAACTATGCCTTATTTAAATTACAAACAATACCAGAATATCACATTTAATAAATCAAACTATATGCATTTTTTAAAGTTATGTAAAAAAAAAAAAGAGAAGCTTGACACGTCACTCAGGCAGGAAAAATCAGGCAAATAGTGATTGGCCCAACTTGGGAAAAAAGTACTTGGTAAATTCACATTATAGCTCCGTAACTTATTTTTCGTTTTTCACTTGTTCATCTCTTAAAACTTCATACTTTCCCATTTGAAAGGCTTCCATTTTTGTTGTTCCTTTTTTTTGAAAAAAAAAAGTAAATACACACTTGCCCAACCCAAATGCACAAAAACGACACTAACTAAATGATACTAACTGAACAGATAATATAGAAGGAAAAAAAAAGAACATTATAAACGATACCGTTGGGTAAGTTACCAAACCTAACAGCTTTACACACGCGGTAATAGTGGTGTTAAAAAGTCTTATAGATTAGATTTACTTTTTTGAAAAAAAAGAAACATTGATATTTTAAAATGCAGATGCTTACAAAGGTAACTTACTTGAAAGTTTAATATTATATTTTCATCTGACTTACACCCGGGATGATGATTTATATTAGTTTGAATCTAAAAGCAATCGCGTCAAAGGCGTTGCTTTTCACCCTAAACGTCCTTGGATTTTAGCTTCCTTACATAATGGTTGTATTCAACTCTGGGACTATAGAATGGGAACATTGCTCGAACGCTTTGAAGAACATGATGGTAAGACTTTGACCCCTCCAAAAAAAAAAAAAAGTGCAAGTTGGTAACACTTGATATTAGGACCTGTTAGAGGTATTTCTTTTCATCCTACACAACCTCTATTTGTTTCTGGTGGTGATGATTACAAAATCAAGGTTTGGAACTACAAAACCCGTCGTTGTTTATTCACTTTAAACGGTCATCTCGATTACGTTCGAACCGTATTTTTCCATAACGAATTACCTTGGATTATTTCTGCCTCTGACGATCAAACGATTCGTATTTGGAATTGGCAATCAAGAGCCTGTATTGCTATATTGACAGGCCATAACCATTATGTCATGTGTGCTCAATTCCACCCTAAAACCGATCTTATTGTTTCTGCTTCTATGGATCAAACCGTTCGTGTCTGGGACATCACTGGTAATTTAATTTTTTTAGAAAACAATTTAGAGGTTATCTGTAGTTTTTCTAATATTCGTAAAAGGTTTGCGTAAGAAGTCCCAAGCTCCTTCTGCCATGACTATGGACGATATGGGTAGACCTGGACCTGGCGGCGATATGTTTGGAACAACAGATGTTATGGTTAAGTATGTTTTGGAAGGTCACGATCATGGTGTCAATTGGGCATCTTTCCATCCTACCCTTCCCTTGATCATTTCTGCTGGTGACGACCGTCAAGTTAAACTTTGGAGAATGAATGGTGAGAACTCAATTTGTCGATACATACTACAATAACCGACTAAAAAAAAAATGCATTTATAGACACAAAGGCATGGGAAGTGGATAGTTGTCGCGGCCATTACAACAATGTTTCTAGTGCTATTTTCCACCCTCGTCAAGATTTAATTTTGTCTGACAGTGAAGATAAAACTATTCGTGTTTGGGATCTGACTAAACGTACTGCTGTTGCCACATTTAGAAGAGATCATGATCGTTTCTGGGTATTGACTTCCCATCCCGAACTCAACTTATTTGCTGCTGGTCATGATAGTGGTTTGATTGTTTTCAAGCTTGAGCGTGAGCGTCCTGCATTCCAAGTTCATAACAACGAGCTTTATTATATCAAGCACAGTATTTTGCATATTCATGACTTCCCCAGTACTGCTGATCAAGAAGTCATGTCAGTTCGCAAGTTAGGATCTCAATTCGTTGCACCTCGTACTTTATCTTATAATCCTGCCGAAAGAGCCGTTTTGTTAACCTCTCCCTTTGAAGGTGGCTCTTATGAATTATATCGTCTTCCCAAGAACTTGGGTGGTACTCTTCAAGAACCTTCTGATGAATCCATGAAGGGTACAGGCCATGCTGCTCTTTTCATTGCCCGTAATCGATTTGCTGTATTTGATAAGACAAACCAAGTTATTCAAATTCGCGATCTTTCAAACAAAGAAACCAAGTCCTTCAAGACTCCTGGTCCTGTCACCGATATTTACTTTGCCGGCCCCGGATCCCTTTTGATGGCCACTCCTACCTCTGTCATTCTTTTCGATATCCAACAACGCAGAGTGATTGCTGAATTGGCCGTCGCCTCTGTAAAGTATGTTGTTTGGTCCGCCGATATGTCCATGATTGCTCTTTTAAGTAAACACACTATTACTATTGCCACCAAGGATTTGAAGCAAAGCAGTCAAATCCATGAAACAATTCGTATCAAGAGTGCTACATGGGATGATTCCGGTGTATTGATCTATTGTACTTTGAACCATATCAAGTATGCTTTACCTCAAGGAGATAATGGTATTGTGCGTACGTTGGATCAACCCATCTACTTGACCAGAATTAAGGGAAAGAAGATTTATGCTCTTGATCGTGATGGTAAGGTCCGTGAAATCACTATTGACCCCACTGAGTATCGTTTCAAGTTGGCTCTTGTCAAGAAGCAATACGAAGAAGTGCTGCACATCATCCGTACCTCAAATTTGGTCGGTCAATCCATTATTGCCTATCTTCAAAAGAAGGGATACCCCGAGATTGCCTTGCATTTTGTTAGAGATGATAAGACTCGTTTCGAACTTGCTCTTGAGTGTGGAAACCTGGATGTTGCCCTCGAGACTGCAAAGTCTATGAATAAGCCCGATTACTGGTCCAAGTTGGGTGCCGAAGCTTTGCGCCACGGTAATTACAAGGTAAGCAACATAAACCGATTTTTTACAAATAATAGGAATTCTGATAGTCTCTCTTTTTTTTCCCCTCTAGATTGTCGAATTATCTTATCAACGTACTAAGAAGATGGATAAGCTTTCCTTCTTGTATCTTTTGCAAGGTAACGAAACCAATCTTCGCAAAATGTTGGAAATCTCTCAACTTCAAAAGGATCCTCTCATGAGATTCCAAAATGCTGTTTATCTTGGTGATGTCGAGGAACGTATTCAATTATTAAAGGATGTTGGACAATTGCCTTTAGCATACATGACAGCCAAGACTCATGGTTTGACTGAACAAGCTGAAGCTATCTTGGCAGCTGCTGGAAAGACTGAGGATGAAATTGAAATGCCCGAAATGCCTGATCAATTACCCGCAACTCCTAAACCCAGCAGTCAACTTGAAGATCCCAACTGGCCTCTTTTGACTGTTTCAAAGAGTTTCTTTGAAGGTGCATTTGCTCAACAACAGCAACAACAGCAGCAACAACAAGGTTCTAATGCTAATGTCAGTAGCTTGAATGCTGCTGGATTTAACTATGACGATCAAATTGATAATATTGAAGAAGCCGGTGGTGATTGGGGAGATGATGATGACCTCGGAATCAATCCATCCTCAAAGGCTGCAACTCGTGATATTAATGACGATTTGTTAGGCGGTAACCCTGGCGGTGATGATGAGGATGATTTGAATGGTGACGGTGGATGGGATGATGATGACGATATTAAGGCTGAGTTAGATGCAGAGATGGGACATGTCGCAGCAAAGGAGACCGCTGAATTTGTTGCTCCCTCTGAGGGAGTCAGCGAAAATAGTTTATGGGCTCAAAACTCTGGTGTAGCAGCTGATCATATTGCCGCTGGCGCATTTGATAGCGCTATGCAAATCTTGAACCGTCAAAAGGGTATCATCAAGTTCGAACCTCTTAAATCTCATTTCCTTGCCATTTATCAAGCATCTCATGTATCCGTTTCTGGTATTCCTAACACACCTAGTGTCAATTATAATCTTCGTCGTAACCCTGATACATCTTCGCCCCGTAACACTTTACCTGTTGCCGTTTACAATTTCCAAACAATTGTTACTACTCAATTACAACAAGCTTATCGTCTTTTCACATCTGGTAAACTTGTTGCAGCAGCTCAACATTTCAAACTTCTTCTGCACTCTGTGCTCTTTACTGTAACATCCAATGAAGGTGAGGCCACTGAATTGGTCCAATTGATTGATATCTGTCGCGAGTACCTTTTAGGTCTTTCAATGGAGCAAAAGCGTAGATCTATCACAGGCCAAACACCTGAAGACATGAAGCGTGCTTTAGAATTGGCGGCTTATTTCGCACATTGTCATTTACAAACACCACACATGCAGTTAGCATTACGTCAAGCTACAAAGCAAGCATTTAGAACCAAGAATTTCAGCACAGCATCACAATTCGCGTCTAGATTACTTGAGCTTGCACCACCTCGAACTGTTGCTGATGAGGTAAGATTTATTGAGTTTGTAATTGTTTTATTTGTTATTTATTTGTTTACATAAATATTCAGGCACGTAAAATTCAATCTGTATGTGAGCGTACATTACACGACGAGCTTGCATTTGATTATGATCAATACAATCCCTTTGATGTCTGTGCATCAAGTTTCGAACCCATTTATCGTGGCTCACCCAAGGTTGAATGTTGTTACTGTAAGGCATCCTATAAGCCAGCATTTGAAGGAAAGGCCTGTAACATTTGTGAGGTTGCAAAGATTGGCAACTAAAACACCAATCATAATCTATTTTTTTTTCTCTCTCCCCCCCTCCCCCTATTTAAAAAATAAATTTTTTTTTAAGATCCAGTAACAGTAAGAAATATTCCACCACTTTCTTTTATATTCCAAACTTGTCACAAATTTTTTTTGTGGATTTTTTTTTATAATAGACTTTCCCTGGCTTTCTCAAAGTTTTTCTTTTCTTTAACTTAAAACTTTTTTTTTAAATATGTCTGAAGGAAAATCTGGTAAGTTGTATATCGAGAAAACCAACCGAGAACATGTTACTAATTTAAGCTATTTCTTTTTTTGTTCGTTCGATAAGTTGGTATTGATTTGGGTACTACGTAAGTTGAATACACCTTTAAGCACGCGTCTGAAACCAAAAATATTAATTCGTCTTAAAAATCATAGCTACTCTTGTGTTGCTGTCTGGCAAAACGATCGTGTTGAGATCATTGCTAACGATCAAGGTAACCGTACTACCCCTTCTTATGTTGGTTTCACCGACTCTGAACGTCTCATTGGTGATGCCGCCAAGAACCAAGTCGCCATGAACCCTTACAACACCGTTTTCGATGCTAAGCGTTTGATCGGTCGTCGTTTCGCTGATGCCGAGGTCCAAGCTGATATGAAGCACTGGCCCTTCAAGATTGTTGACAAGGATCTTAAGCCTGTCATCCAAGTCGAATATAAGGGTGAGACCAAGACCTTCACTCCCGAAGAAATCTCTGCCATGATCCTCGTCAAGATGAAGGAAACCGCTGAAGCTTATCTCGGTACTGTTGTCAAGAACGCTGTCATCACCGTCCCTGCCTATTTCAACGATAGTAAGTGTCTATACATTAGTTATAAAAAGGGATTCGGGGATAGTTTTATTATTATTTCTTCCTTCGTTTTCTTTTGAATTCTACTTTGTTTATATTAAGGAGTTTGAATTTTAACCTTAACTTTTTTTTCTTCAAGGTCAACGTCAAGCTACCAAGGATGCTGGTTTGATTTCCGGTATGAACGTTCAACGTATCATCAACGAACCTACTGCCGCTGCCATTGCTTATGGTTTGGACAAGAAGGTTGAAGGTGAACGTAACGTTTTGATCTTCGATTTGGGTGGAGGAACCTTCGATGTTTCTCTCTTGACCATTGAAGATGGTATCTTCGAAGTTAAGGCCACTGCTGGTGATACCCATTTAGGTGGTGAAGATTTCGATAACCGTCTCGTCACCCACTTCATGCAAGAATTCAAGCGTAAGTTCAAGAAGGACATCACTGGTAACGCTCGTGCCATCCGTCGTCTCCGTACCGCATGTGAACGTGCTAAGCGTACTTTGTCTTCTGCTGCTCAAACCACCATCGAAATTGATTCTCTCTTCGAAGGTGTTGATTTCTATACCTCTTTGACTCGTGCTCGTTTCGAGGAATTGAACCAAGATCTTTTCCGTAACACCATGGACCCCGTTGAGAAGGTTCTCCGTGATTCCAAGATCGATAAGGCCTCCGTCCACGATATTGTCCTCGTTGGTGGTTCTACTCGTATCCCCAAGGTCCAAAAGATGGTCTCTGATTTCTTCAACGGTAAGGAACCCAACAAGTCCATCAACCCTGATGAGGCTGTTGCCTATGGTGCCGCTGTCCAAGCTGCCATTCTTTCCGGTGATACCTCCGAGAAGACCCAAGATCTCCTCCTTTTGGATGTTGCTCCTCTCTCTCTCGGTATTGAGACTGCTGGTGGTGTCATGACTGCTCTTATCAAGCGTAACACTACTGTCCCTACCAAGAAGTCCGAGATTTTCTCCACCTATGCTGATAACCAACCTGGTGTCCTCATTCAAGTCTTCGAAGGTGAGCGTGCCCGTACTAAGGATAACAACATTCTCGGTAAGTTCGAGTTGACCGGTATCCCCCCTGCTCCTCGTGGTGTTCCTCAAGTTGAGGTCACTTTCGATGTTGATGCTAACGGTATCTTAAACGTCTCTGCTCTCGATAAGACCACCGGTAAGTCCAACAAGATTACCATCACCAACGATAAGGGTCGTCTTTCCAAGGAAGATATTGAACGTATGGTCAACGATGCTGAGAAGTACAAGGCTGAAGATGAGGAGGCTGCTGCCCGTATCCAAGCCAAGAACGGTCTTGAATCTTATGCCTATAACCTCCGTAACACTCTCCAAGATGAGAAGGTTGGTGGTGCTCTCCCCGCTGAAGATAAGGAGAAGGTTAAGGTTGCTTCTGATGAAGCTATCAAGTGGTTAGATGAATCCCACGAAGCTTCCAAGGAGGAATACGAGTCCAAGCAAAAGGAACTCGAGGAAATCGTTAACCCCATCATGATGAAGTTCTATCAACAAAACGGTGGTGCTGAAGGTGCTCCTGGTGCTGCTCCCGGTGCCGCTCCCGGTGGTTTCCCCGGTGCCCCCGCTGGTTCCACTGATGAGACCGACGGACCTTCTATTGAGGAGGTTGATTAAATCATTTAAAGCCTTTCCAAAGTCTTTAAATTATTTTCTCATATAAACCAATTTAGATTTTTTTTTTTAGATTTTTTTTTTTTCAAAAAAAAAAATCACTTCTCTTTTATCGCAACAAAAATTATTGTATTATAGAGTTAGTTGTAATAGTAAAGATAAAAAAAAAACTTGGAATAACCTCGTTTTTGTTTAAATTAAAATAAATTTAATTACAAATAATACAAGTCTTTTTTATTGTTAATGTTGTAATGGGGATTGTTTGATAGGAGACGAAGAGAATGCATGGAAGCTACTTTGCATGTCATAAGATTCATCCAAAGAACCCCTTTTTCCTGGACTGCCTTGTTGCATAGCCTTGGCAATAGGATGGATGCTCGGTGCAAGAGCAGGTAGATTTGGCATAGACATGGGTGAGGATAATGATTTCTTTCTGACTTGATAATCAGAAAATGGAGATAAGGCATTAAGAGCATGTTGTACCTACAACTTATTATGTTACAAACTATTATATGCATCCATCATAAATCCACTTACTCGTTTTGTCAATCGGCTTACTCTTGTATCGTTTACAATCACTTCCCATGCAAACTCTACACCAAACACTTTCCTGATCACATATACTACCTTCTTTGCAGCAGTTTCATCAAGATAGGTGTAGTTATCAATTGGTGACATTGGCATTTTTTCTGGATCATAATCAAGTGCGCTTTGAACCAACCGCAACAAACATACTTGGATTGCATCTTCGTCGTTTATGTCAGGTGTTGCAGGGACTAAATAAATAAAAAAAATAGCATGAATTAAACGTCATGGTATATCTTTTTTCTTTTTACCTGTTATTTCAAATGGTATGCTCCTTGCCATTACTTTATATTTTCCATCATGATGATACCTAATTTCATAAGTACCTTCTTCCCATGGTAACTTGTTCCCTTCAAAAACTACACATCCCTTTGACCTGATCTCAGTGTTTGGAGGGAAAATGATACCTTCATCATAATCGTCATCGACAACATCCTTTGACGTTGATAGGGTGGGTTCAATAGCATTTGTCCAATACCACCTGCCGCGAGAATTTGCCGAAGTAATTTGTTTGTTTGGATTTGCGGTAACTTTATATATTCCAACCCAATCTTTCGGGCCATGATTCTCGGGAGCCGTCCAGTCAACTTTGATACGCTCTCCTATAATAAAGACATTGTTCGGTTGTACAGGCTGATCGGCGCGATGATGGAAATGGGACAATTTTAAACTATAATGTTGTGTTTCACCATCAGTGTTGTCGACATCAAACAACTTTTTTGTCGCTTGAAGAGCAGTTGCTGATAAATCAGTTTCGGAAATCTTGCTACCGATAGTATCAGCCGTATCAGCAACCACCTTTTCAACTTTCCCAATCGTCTCTTTGATGACGCTTTCTACTTTTGACGAGGAGTCACTCTCGGCAGCAGCTGCTTCTCGTACGAATTTCTCAATTTCGGTAGAAACATTCCTAGGTAGTTTCTTTGGAATATTCTGAGCTGCAGTTCTTAAAGTTTTTGTTAGACCAGCTTCTTTTCGGATTTGATCACCGTATAATTTCTGCATGTGCGGTCTAGAATATTTTATTAGGGCATGTTATTCTTTTTTGTTTATGTTATGATTTTCTTTTTATTTTGTGTTACCTTTCGACAAAATGCAGAAATAATGAGTTTGCCACTTGAGAAAATAAAGCCAAACCAAATACATAATGGTTATTTGTTATCAAGCCTAAACCCCAAAATGCAGCATGACCCATGATTTTTTCTGGATTATTCAGGTACCTTCAAAATATTGTTAAAGATGTGGAACACAAAACAATCCCATATGTTCCTTTTTTTATTACCTGTAAATACCGGAATACAATAATTGCGCCGGGTGGTCATCCGTGAAGAAATCACCGTAAAACCAGCCAAAATCTCCCAAGACTTCATAAATAGAGACAGAGGTCCATATATGCAAGGCTATAAAGATCTAGCATAATGGAAGGTGATTAGTAGTGGCTAGTATCGGCACTGCATGTTTAAAAAAAGACTTACTAGGCCTAATGTATGTCTTAGTAGGGTCATTCCATATGTCCAATCTGATGGCAATGAATAAAGTTTTAAACATAGAGTAATGAATGAAACATAAGTCATACACGATGATAAATTGTAGATACTGTTTTGATTGTTAAACCCCGTTTAACCTTTTCGCATATGTAATGTTTACCTTTTCCAGTTTTGAAATGCCTCATTCACTCCCCCGCCCCATTTAACGAAATGACGAGTGAAAAACTTGGTTTTCGATTGAGCGTATAATAAGAAACCAAGCCCAAAAGAATGAAATATACGCCAAAAGAATACTTGGAATACGGCATAAACAATTCCCAGTTTACCTTGTACAAGGAACGGTGTGATAGATGCATATACCATAACAAGACCTGCAGCCAAGTCACTTGATTGGAAAAGGTCAAAATTTTTAAATACAATCAAATCACGACGAAAATAATTCGTGTTGAAGTTTCCACTGTTGAGGATTGATTTGATAAGTATGGTAGCATCATCATCTAATGATTCGGTGACTATCGGCTGCCTTTTGGGTTTGATAGGTGGGTTGTATGTCTTTTCGATGTCTAGTGTAAAAGAGAAGGAATTAGTATTTTCCACATGTTATTTATTATTTTACTCACGAGGTGTTTCAACAAACACAAGGAATGCCATTTGAAGTACATGTGCGAAAATACTAACAAACAAAACTGTGTAACTTGCACAAATCAACGATATACCATAGTAACCAATGTAACCTACAGAGTACATGGGATGTGGAGCCATTTCAAATACACCATCAAAGGTAAGCGATTGTTCTATCAGGAAGAAAAAGTCCCCCCAATCTTTAATGCCCTTGCTACCGTCAGTAAATGTTTACTTTTGTCACTGTATAATACTCACACCAAGCGAAATCTTTAACAACTCTTTGAGCGTCCAATTTGACCCAGATATTAAAAGCAATCATAAAAATACCGCCCACCCATCTCAATGTATCATCCATGAAAAACGAAGATTGAGGCCGCGTGTTGAACCAAGAGATAGCAAAGCAAACATACGTACCAAAATCATTCATTAAGATTAGATCCACCAATTGTCTGAATAAGAGCCAGGTGTTGTACTCAATCGGTGCAGTCTAGAATGAGGGAAAAAAAAAGGTTAATATTAATATAATCCAAATCTATCAAACCAATTTACATAAAAATTATAATCAGAGCCCATTTTTGTACTCAATTGATTTTTTAGCCATTTGGTTAGCTTCGGATGTGCTTTTTCATCGAATATCTTGTGTTTCTTTGCCAGTCTAACCAGATTCTTTGATTCGCTTTGATTTTTCAACAATATGCCCAGACCAACATTGTAAGCGACTCTCCAAAACAAAAATAAAAAGAGAAAGAAATACTGTGCCGTTTGACGTGGTAGTATAAATAACAAGCTTATCTCAATTGCTAAAGTCAGCAGAGTCAAAATATCAAAAAAACTTTTTTTCTCGTTGAGATCTAAAAGAGATTGCACCATCTCTCTTGTAGGAGGTACTTTGAAGACTAATAACGTGGGTTATGTTTTTATGCATACAGAAAAAAAAAGCAAATATTTATGCAATGTACCTTTTCCGTCAGGTGTCTTTCCTTTAGAACAACAATCATCCTTTCTTAATACATTATCCATTATTTACTCGAAAGGTTGAAAAAAAGAAACAAAAATGAAACAATGCGTGGGGGATCCCATATGAAGCATATAAAAAATGTCAAATGGCTTTATTTCATTGGCTTAAAATCCTGCCCATTCGATCGAATAATATGTCATCATTTCTTGTATTGATCCTGCAACCACAAAGGTCTTTTTAACGTTTGTGGCCAACCGACCCATACTAATGATCTCTACCGGTTTTATGTCTTCTTCCTCTTGTCTTACACCAATGATAAATTCACTGTGGGTACACATCGGGTCGTTTGTATATAATAAATAGTCCCCTCCAAATTTAATGCCGCTGGTAATATAGAATCCTTTTGACCACAAATCATTAAATATTTCATTGGGTGATGGGGACATGGGTTTCTTCTTACTAACCACATTTCCCCATCCGTTATGCGTGATTAAGCTCACTTCTTCCGGTAATAGTAATAAAGGTAGTCCATAAAATGTATTTTGTAACGGATATTGTGGCAAGGTACCACTGAATGCGCCAACAATTCTGTATTCACATCTCAAACGCTCGACATCTTTTTGTCGTTAGGCTCATTAAGGGAGAGTGGTAAATTGAATTTAAATGAGGTGTACCTTTTGCATCAAAGACAAAGAATTTGTCTCCGTAATGGTTTATTGTGATCATGTTGACATTCTTGAAAAGAAGTTTTTTTTTTTTTATTATTTTGCATCCCAGCCCACGTGGTGCAAAGCAGACTGAACCCGCACTAAACGCGAAGACTGACGATAGATTCTGTGATATCATAATCCGGGATTTGAGTTCAGACTAAAAAAAATAAAATGGGCTGAAAACAATTAAAATTCCCTTGTAAAAAGTTCGTTTTTATACAAAGATGCCACCAAGAATTCCAGACATTGCAAAAGTAAGACAGTTGATTCCACCTCTTAGTCAAGAGTTTCATAAAGGCCAAGCAGGTAAAAAAAAAGTCGTGTTCGGACTTTTATGAGGCTAACTTCTTAAAACTTTAGGAAGGGTAGGTATTGTTGGCGGTTCGGAAGAGTAAGCGTGAAACAAGTGACCTTTTGCATTATCAACTAACATTTTGATCATTTAGTTATACAGGTGCACCTTATTTTAGTGGTATCACGGCCATGAAAGTAGTAAGTATAATAAATAAAACATGATTTCATACATGATTATTCAAAACTATAATCCTTAGGGTGTTGACCTCTGTCACATATTTTGTGAACCTGGAGCGGGAACCGTGATTAAGGTAATATATACAAATTTGTCTTTTTTTTTTTGGGTTATTAATTATCGAAATTAGGCATATTCGCCAGGTATTAACGGATCTTTATTTTAATATAATATCCTTTAAAAAAATAACATTTTCAATATATAGACTTAATTGTTCATCCATACTTGAGAACACAAGAGAAGATAGGACATACTTCAATTAAGGAAATTGTTGATAGGGTGTCTAGTGTGTTTAACAGACTTCATGTTCTAGTGGTAGGACCAGGTTTATCAAGAGACGAATGTATGATTGATACTGCAAAAGAGTTAGTATTCAAAGCCAGAGAGCACAACATGGCAGTTGTTGTTGATGCAGATGGATTGTATATGGTTCAGAAATATCCTGAAACTGTTCAAGGCTACAAAAAGGCTGTGCTTACACCCAATATTGTTGAGTTTCAACGCCTATGTGAAAGAATGGTATTATAATAGATAAATGACCTAAAATAATAAATATTTACTTTATATAGGGTATTGAATCGAAAGATCATTCTAAAGATCAAATTGCAAAACAATTAAGCAAGGCTCTCGGCGGAGTAACTGTTGTTCAAAAGGGTGCAGTTGATTATATTACAAATGGGGAAGAAGGTGTGTGTGTGTGTGTTTGTGCAAATATTTGATAAATATTTACTTATTATTATTTAGTTTTGCAATGTGATGTCGAGGGAGGTTTAAAACGTATGGGCGGTCAGGGGGATATACTTTCGGGTGCCATTGCGGCATTTTTGGCATGGGGAAAAGCTTACGAAGAGAATCTCTGGAAGTAAAGTTAAATAATATTATTTTAAACTGCCAAGACATACTTACTTATTTCAATTAGACATTCAAATGAGATCAATAGTAAGGATATTGCAATGTATGCCTCTTGGAGTGCCTGTAGTATATCGAGAACAAGTTCAAATTTAGCTTTTAAAAAACATGGTAGATCCGTTTTAACTACTCACATGCTGGAAGAAATCGGCGCAAGTTATGATCAATTTATGAAACACGAATAAAATTTACTATAAAAACTCCCCATTTTGATTTATTTTATTTCTTTCTTTCTTCCTTATCATAAATAAATAAACAGTTTCAAAATGAAAGTATCAACATATAGACAAGAACCCATTGAAGAAAGAAAAGGTATTCCTGACTCATTCTTGGAGATTGAAGTCAGAGCGCCGCAAACTCATGGTAAGTGTCTTTTTCTTTATTTTGTTCTCATAAATTGACATATACATCAAATGTATGTAGGTTCCGGCTTTAGCATGTACACTGACTATGAAATTGTCTGCAGAGTATGTACAAATCAATATAACAAGTGTACAGTATGCTTATAGTTTAATATAGACAAACATGCCATTATTTAAATTCGAGCAATCAACCGTCAGAAGAAGATATAGTAGATTTGAGTCACTCAAATTCAAATTGGAAGAGAATGACTATGAAATCAAGGTCCCTAATTTACCTGGCAAAGTATTTAAGAATAGATTTTCACACCAAGTCATAGAGGAGAGAAGAAATGGATTAGAAAGATTTTTACAGATTCTCTGCAGCAACATCACTTTAATACAAGACTATGAAGAATCCAAAGCAAATATGATTATCAATTTTGTTCAAGGAAAATATTAATGATCATTTATTCTGCTTATATCATCATTGGTGGCCTGAATTTTATCCAGTAAATTTTGATATTCTTCTTTTAATGTATCAAATTCAGGTCCAATCTCCTTGTATTCTTTCAATTGTTTAGTGGTATATTCTAAAGTTTTTTGCGCATCAATATATCTTTCCGTTAAAAGATCCCTATTATTATCATAATTATTACCCCCACCATCACACATTATTAAAATAAAACTTGTTTATATCAAATATTTGCTTACCTTAAGGATTCAAGTGCATTAAGAAACTGTTCATCATCATATGTGGCAATTAAAACGGATATATGAAGAATTCTATCATTTATATTAAAAAAATATATATATATGTATTCCCAAGGGGGATGGAGGGGGGTTATCGTTATTGCTTACTTGACTTTAAATAACAAAGAATCAACAAACGATGCATAGTACTCATCCAGTTGAATATCTTTATCTTTTTCCATTCTGTATTTTAACTCTTCGATAATTGACCAACTAACATCCAAGATTTTTAATACCGTCTTTACATGGTTAGCCACTTTCTGGCCTAGCAACATTCTTCTCTTCGGTAAATCGGGGTCTACATAGTTCATGGACAATGATGATTTCGCCATAAAAGCTAAAACCCGCTCATACTTTAATTTTAATGCGCCATCCTATTCTTGACCTATTCAGCAATACTACGCCACCCATGTATAAACTTATGTTACCATATTCTCCTAATATAAGTTTAGCACAGTATTTGTCAAAGAATAGATTCAGCTTACTTTTGAACGATGCCATTCATTGGAAAAAAGTTGGTTTTTCAAATTGATCAAATTTGTCTAAAGCTATTATTTCAGCTTGGCTAATTCTGAAAAACTCGGCTCATTTTACCTTTTCTAGTTCTGATTGTAGTTGAGCTGTTATTAGATTCTTGGGAAGCACGTCTTTTATAACTTGATCTCCAATGTTCATTTTCAATAGTGTAATGATCGTGGACAAGTTTTTTTAATAGGAATATAAAAATAAATGAAATTGGATCCCGCTGTTGGCCCCCCTTTTTTACATTTTTTAAACAATCTCTTTGTTGACCACACCAACAACGCATCTGGACTTGCTAATGCCATTACTGTAGCAACAGATAAAAGCGTTACTATGTTCCACTTGTCAAGCTCGACAGGGCTGGAGGCTCTTTTGGAAAAATGATATTTCTTTCAACACTTATTATAAATGATCATACGGTCAAAATAACAGTTTGGTAATAAAGCTGTAATATCTTTGTAATGAACGGATGGAAGAGCTATAAATATATTGGGGGTTCTTTTGGTTATCAACCTGTTAGTAAAACATGAAATCGATCATATTTATGGGCTAACAAAAAAAACGACATATCACATGTCATAGTACAAACAACGGAAAGGAACCAAAAACCCATTAAATGTTCTGTCAGCGATTACAAATTTTATGATTTTCTTTCAACAAAACGAGTCTTTCTCCCCGCTCGACCCCTAGCCATTTTATGATTTTCTTCCTCTAAGTCCAATGAGCAGTACAACTTCTCAAGCACCAACAGAGCCGACAGTTAACTCGTTTACGTCTGTGAGTTTAAACACTATTTTCACCATAATAGTGTGTGATCAAGTGCATAATATAAGTTGGAAATCGCTTTTATCCGATGGGCCTAATAACTTTTTACACGACATTTCTTAAAAGCTAAATCGCGTATAATACACATTGACAGAAGCCCAGAGACATTTGCTTTAATCATTCGACATATGAGAGGGTACTCGATTATCCCAGAAGACGAATGTCAAAATCAAGATCTTTTAAACGATGCTCATTATTTTGGCTTAAAGAAACTAACGAGGTTATTGAAACAATTCGTCTATTTGAATGTTGGGGGCACGACTTTCCGGTTGAGGTGGGAACTATTCAACAAAGGTAGATATATGTATTTGAACGTATGAATCGATACTTATTTTTTAATAAATAGATGGGCCGCATAATTATTTTACTGGGGCGCTTAGACATTTACACTCACCTCATCCAACGTTAGGAGAGTCAGCACCAATTTATATTCAAAGAGACCCCGAAACCTTCAAAGATATTATTCGACATTTACAAGGATATTCGATACACATCCGAGATGAGCAGCATAGGCAGCAATTATTATCTGATTCGCAGTTCTACTTGCTTAGGAAGTTACGTGACAAACTGAACACGTCGATTACAAGAGAACGCCATTCGGAAATATTATTGCATATTGAAGATATTAAGCCATCACAAATAGAGGTCATTGGCAAAGAAGTCTATTACAAGCAGGACATACCCAAGCTGCTATTATTAACAATCCAATTGAACGATTTCAATATTTGTTGTCACCGAGTTATGAATGACTGCACATTTTTGTTGGAGCAGGATATAAAACTCGTCAGAGACCCACAATGGGCAATTTCAAATAAAATTGAATTTGATAAGGATTGCGCGATTGTGATTGGGGAAAAATATTTTGACATTCAACAATATTTATCGCATTTAAGTCAACAAAACCAATGGGAAAGATGCAGTATACATGATCAAAATTGTGATATTCAATGGTTTGGTATAGAAAAAGCGATTGCTACGGTTTATTCAGCAGAACTTAAAATGTTGTTTATTGCATTTCAAAAAATGCAAATCATCGGCTCAAGAATACAAGCCAATATGAAACGCGACTTCTTATCCACATCATACTAATAAAACTACTCACATGATATTATTGTCTTGTGACAGAACAAAAAAAAAGATATAAAAATGGGCAATTATTCCTTCTTTTATTTCTTTCTCTTTTTCTTTTTTAATTTTTCTTTCCAAATACACATGCCTTTCCGTTGTAAATGTGGTAGAACATTTGAAAAATTAGACACTTTCGGTTCACACACATCTGGGTGTGCACCTTTTCATCATAGGAGGCTTTCATCTGCTGAAAGCACTACTCAAAAAAAGCAGCAGCAAGAAACAAATCTTAATAAAAAGAAACTATCAATCCACACTGATCCTACTTTATCTTATTTTAATCAGCGTTTCATTCTACTGTCACCTCTTGGTAATACCAATTTCTTTAGTAAGCAAGATTCCTCTGCCAATAATTCATCTCCTCGTTCTGCTCCCATATTTGATGGATTCATGATGCCAACAGCATTATCAATCCAGAACACATTTGAAGATGTTAAAAGAAGAAGATCGCAGTCATTTTCCACTGCAACATCAGGCTCTGCTGTGTTTGAGTAACGTTTGTGTAAATATATATATATTACGCAGCAGAGGGGCGGGAGCAAGAGCGAGAAATTATACATAACACCATACATCATCACCATTTTTTTAAAATAAATAAAAAGGATTCTCATCATCATCAGACGTTTTATTTATAATTACATTATATACTTGCTTTAAATTACCCAGGCCGTGAAGTTGATACAACACGTGCATAGTCTAGGAGCAAATTGGTCTTTGCTCCGTAGTATAAGCATTCCAAATCCACTTCAAATTCAGGAATACGTTTATGCTCATTTTCGTCTTCCTCTTCTTCGTCATCATCTTTGATACAAGTATTAATGTATTCTATGTGGGCTATAATCTGATCAAACATCGTCTCTAATCTAGCTCTTAATCCACCATAACGGTTCTCAAGAACTTCCCATCCAAAAGGTTTATACGTCTTCATCCACATTTTACGATGATATTTCCATAAACTATCCACTTCCTTCCTTAAAACGGCTAGTCTTCCATGAGCTAGTTCTAACAATTGATTGTAATCCTTCTTTCTGTATGCCTCTACGCATCGTTTACGCAAAAAGCATTTTAAAGAAAGCACTGTAGCTATTCTGCGAGGAAGCTCCAGCCTTTCATTAAAAGGATTAGATCTTGTCTTCTCAGTGATAGCTTTAGATAAAGTCTCTTCAATTGAGATATAATGTGTTTCCAAGTCTTCGTCTGCGTACTGCGGTGAAAGAAAGCTTAAGAACGGATCTATTTGGTATAAGTACTAATTGAAGCTTTTCCATGGTTATATGTATATTACCCTCCCAAAGTAACCATTTACTCATGTTGCTTGTGAATGTAGATCTTGGAGTTATGGGCGTTCCTTCAGGTGTATCGTCAATCTATGTAGTACATTATGCATAAATAAAAAATATACGCCCTCAACCCCTCTTTTTCTCCTATCATTTACCTTGGATGCGGTTACCCAATCATCGAAACTCCCACCACATATTCCCTCTAGTTTACGTATTGAGTATTAGCATTGTGTTGACTGTCTATAAAAATTATGTGTTACCAAAATTTCTTTTCAAAATCTGTATATCCACCTCCGCTTGTTCACAATAGCCATGCTGAGCGTAATACAATAGTGCTGGTAAAGCAGAAAGTCTATGTATGCACGTTTTAGTTTTTAAATCAACATGTTTCACATACAAAAAATAAAAACTCACACATCACATTCATTGCCCTCGTCCCCCCAAGTTGTTATAAATGCATTTCGCACACCGTCTTCTTTGCTTTTGGCAGCCACTGTGCTTGCCCTAACAGCTTCAAATGTGAAAGGCAAAGCAGTCCAAAAGCGACTCCATGTCCATGCAGAAGCTACGACATTATTTGTTAATATTTTATTTACAGATGTGTCCCCTATGTATACTTTACTAGCAACCCAAGGATCAGGACAGCCCATCTCACGGTGTTGCTGGATTTTTTGAGAATAAATGTCAGAACTTGTGTGATAATAATCCCAAAAAATAAGCTTTGCGTTTGAAGGCATATTTGAAACTAGTTCGGGTGTAGCTGGGTTATTGGTTTCGTCATAATAACCTTGTAGCGAATTATTTTTGGCGGCCAAACAGAATAACACTAAAAAAATACAGTTTAGCGCCCGTACAAAAAAAAAAAAAAAAAAAAAAAATGAATATAAATACATACTATCTGACCAGAGTATTGGCTGTAAGTTATTACGCTCGCAAATCTCGTTCACTCTTTGCAAATGCTCCACAAAAATTTGAGATGAGTCCTTATATCCATATAACTGTCGATACCGACCTTCTCCGACACCGTGAGCCTTAACAATCAACAAAAATTACTTTTTCACTTTCTAATGTTTCTGCTCGACTAAAGCAATTACCTCGTCCATGCCAATATGAATACGCTTGGAACGAAACGGCCCTGATGCGGTTAGTATCATCTTCTCAATGAATTCGTAAGTAGTCTCAGACTCAGCCAAGAGCACTTCGGTATTATCGCGAAGATGAGCGTATTGTTGCCATTGTAACACTTGCCCCATGTGACCCAATGTTTGAATACATGGCATCACTTCTATGCCTCTTTCATATGCAGTTAGTTGTCTTTTGATATAAAACTATAGACGGGAGGGATATTTACAAGTCAAATGCATAATCATCAATCAAAGATAATTCTCGAGCGGTATATCTTCCTCTCAAGTAACCAAACAACGGCTCGCCTTCAATTTCATAAGTATCTTCAGTGTAGAGTTGTAACATATTTAGTCCCATTAAAGCCATATTGTTTAGCAGAAAGTAGACCGTTTTGGGCCTTAGTACACCATTTCGACTGCAATCAACCATGACACTATAATAATCTATAAGAGACTATTGCAATGGATACCATATAGTACCACACTTACCCTTGTGTGTCGAATTGGGCTTTCTCTGTAAAATTTACAAGATCCCCATGGATACCTGTTAGGACCATATAATCCCTTGCCCCTCCTAGTAATTTTCCAAGAGCTCTAAATGCTTTATTTATATGTGAGTGGATGAGGCTTGATTAAACCTGATCGATATTACTTTACCATCAATCTTTCTGTTATATCTCACTTGTATTTCGAATCTATCGCCGTCGATGATATCACTATAACTATTGTAATTACTCACAGAGACATATTCACCTTCGCGTAAGCTGATATCCTGAATAAAGCTAGTTTTTTTTTTTAATAACAAAATTATCACACACTTTTCTCGCCGGAACCTGCACCCCATCTGTATGACTTACTTGACGTGCCATTGAAATTCACTGGATTCATCGTCCATGGCGTTTCCACTGACTATGTTTTCATGTGGTGCATAAGAAATAAGTTTTAACACGCCGTCTCGCAATTCCACTGGTTGTTGAGTATGGTCAATCACAATAAGAACGGCACTTTGGCCAGAGTCTATAGAGCTCATGAGGTCGTCGGTTTGCAAATAGTCTTCCGTCATTTCTAGCTGAAAACTTAAAAAAACAAAAGTTAAGCGAAAAAAGGAAAAGTGTGGGTTTTATGAAAAGGGAGCATAAACCACTCCAGCTGTTATTAATTTGATTGGTTGGGTTCAGACACTGTTATTATGTAATATCTTTGTCGATTTGTACAATCTTTTACGATTGTAGCCGGTTTTCACACGGTCTACTTGAATACAATTGTTTTAATCCTTATGATACAACTATTTACTTTGTAAACTGCTTTTCTTTAAGGGTGATTGGTGTGTTCATAGGGATGATAGAAGGTTTGGTCATATGCGACTGGTGATCGCTAAGAATACCGAATCCCGGTCGAAATAAAAAAAGTTTAATTACGGACTTTACTCCAAGGTCAGTCCTAGTAGCTTAACTATCTTGTAATTGCAATTCAACTAATGGGAAATTTCGCACGGAGTACAACACTGCCAGCGCCGAGTTTGTCTACCTTACGCATTAACTGTTATTTCTTATCTAAGTGAGAAAAAACAAGACTGCTACCGATACATAGACAAGCTACATTCAAAAAAAACCTGTGTGTTAATCAAATCTGTTATAATCTGTTTCTTACTATAGATATCTAGTTAAAATTTATTTTTGTATAGCTGCCAAGATCATATCCAACAGTGAGTTTTTAATGTTTGGGAAAAAACAACGGTCATGTAATGAGTAAAAATGTATTTTTTTATTTAATGTTGCTTCATAGTACGAAAAATGTTCTAAAATTAATGTCGGTTCATGCACAAATAATCAAGTCGTTTTCAAAATTGCACGTCGGCATTATTCGATACTTTTAAAATCAGGAACTAAATTTTTTTTTGCAGTAGATGCAAACTTTTTTAGATATTGATTAATTAAAAAAAAAAAAGAAAAAAAGGGTCCACCGATTTTTTATTCAATTCGTTTGGCTGGAAGCCAAGAATTTAAGTATTAGTAGCAGTGGATACCAAATATGTACCGTCACTTCCTAAAGCATAAATCAATTAATGGAATTTATTACACAATCCATTGTCATACCTCGATAAACCATGCTATTGAAGGACCTGCCAAAAATGAGCGTTTGTTTAAATCTAACTATTATCGTTGTTTATAAATTGTATTCGGATGTGCCTATGTAATAAGGCTCCTATTTGGCGAGAAAAGTGATCTTTATAAAAGATGCATTAAGCTAATATGATTTAAAGGGACGGACGATGATATGCATCAGTTTTTATATTACAGTTTAACTTTCTCGCCAACGAAAGTGGCGGCTTATATTTTGAGCACTTGTTTGAAGCCAAGACATTATGTCTATATCTCCTTAAATTAGTATCACTTATCCTGACAGTCCTGAGTCCTAAAGAACTATATGGAAATTACAGGTCAACAGAATCGAGATCAATTGCTCAAACTTCTACAAAATCTATTACCAAACAAACAATATAGCTTAAAACAACGTGTCAGTAGTTTTCTAGGACAATTGTAAGCCTGGCTGTTTCAAAAGCTAAAATTCCCAAGCGAAATTTAAACATGATCATTATTATAAACAGTTGGTAAAAACCCCCATAATGATATTATATCATTTGTTTGTTGTAAAATTATCACAAAAAGTCTGAAATAAAAAATAATAAATCAAAACAAGATGAAAATGTGAAAAGATCGGTAGTGACACTGATTAATACACGGTAGACACATATACGCTTAAATCATTTATCCGAATATAAGCAGCAAAGTAAATATTGATTGAGAAATCAAAAGTTGCCACCTTTCACAAGAATCTCAATAAGAAGCTCCAACAGATGAAATGGTTCTTATGTAGTGCAATTATTAACCTTTTTGTTCATTCAAAACGACAATTTTTAATGAAACGATGACTTTATTTAAATCAGTGACATTTATTTGTCGTACTGTAAATATAGCCGAGAATAAAACAAATTGTTTACATAATCAGCACGTCTTCAGCAATGAATATCCTCGAAAAAGAAATCAGGGGATAACAACAATTGAGGGGGTTCCATATATTTTGTTGTAATATTTTCCTAATTTGGGCATCTGGTATGCCTTACATTTGTTGTCAAAAAGAAATATTAGGAATGCTTCTGGAGTATAAGTCGATAAAGAAATAATCACAAATATATATAAGAGTAGCGATTGAGATACATTTTTTTTTCTTCTCTTTATTAAATTCAAACAGAATGGGATATAATACAACATTTAGAGCCACAAGCGAAAGAGCTGAACAATTGATCGGTTTAGTTCGCTCACCCATCAAGCCTCATCTACCCGCTATTAGTCGATTCTTGATTGTAGCCACATTTTATGAAGATGCAATGCGTATTATATGGCAATGGTCAGACCAAGTCATGTATCTTGAAAAGGCCCGTCATTTCCCCGGTTATACTGCTCCGATGTTCCTAGGTTTCAATGCCACAGTAAGTTACTGAAATATATACTCATGATACCTATTCTGATCAAAAATATAGTCTATGTTGGTCTTTGCTTCTTGCATTATATTAAAGCGATGTGTCGGTCCCTCTGTAGCTATTTTAGCTACTGTCATTATTGGACAAGCAATTGCATATGGTTTAGTGTTTGATTTGGTAAGTAGATATTTGTGTACACTTGCACGGACTTCGACTAACATGTACGACTGTAGATGTTTTTCTTGCGTAACCTATCAGTAACAGGTGGTCTTTTATTGTGCATGTCTGAATCTATTTTACGCAAAAAGAGCAAACACACAGTATTCGCGTCATTACCACAGCTATCAGAAAGTGAGCGACATAAGTATTTCCAGTTGGCCGGACGTGTGTTACTTGTATTATTGTTCCTTGGTTTTATTTTCAACGGCGAGTGGAATTTAGCACGTTTGATTGTATCGGTTATTGGGTTAGGTGCATGCGGTATGATTGTAGTAGGCTTCCGTGCCAAATGGTCAGCTACTTTCTTGGTTTCTTTGCTTTGTATCATCAATATGTTAGTGAACAACTGGTGGTCAGTTCAGCACTCCAACTACAAACGTGACTTTTTACGTTATGATTTCTTTCAGTGTTTGAGTATCATGGGTGGCTTGTTATTGTTAGTATCGATTGGTCCTGGTGGATTCAGTTACGACGAAAAAAAGAAGGAGTTTTAAAAAAGCCGTTACATTCCATTATAAATAATATACTCTCATTACTTTTACAAAACATACACATTAAATAAAGAAACATAATAATAAGGCAAAAAAAAAAAAAAAAAAAAAAAAAAAAAAATTCGCTGAACTAAACCTATTTATTAAGTCTTCTCAACAAGGAGGGTTTTATGAGTAAAAAAATATAGGTCTAAGCTCAGCCAATAGCTGACAGTCATGTATAAATAAAGTTGCATTTATGAAACATTATGGATGATTACACTTTTTTTCCCTTTTTCTTTTACTTCAACATACTCCTCTCTTTTATTTAAAATTAAGGTTAAAAGGTTAGTATATAATGACTTCTGTTTTTTCAAGAAACACTAAATTGCTCGTTCTTATTTTAATATCAAAGATACGTGGCTATTTTTACGATATTACGGCTACGGCTAGTCTTTGCTATAAGATGGCGACCTTCTTGTAGGTTGATTTCTTAGGTTTTGAAATTCACTGGATGGACAGACTGTAAATGGGTGTGATTGTACTGGCTTGCTGGTCTTTGCCAGGAGGTTTAGACATTTCCGTCAAACTCCTTAAGACTAGTAATGGACTGGTTTAGATATTGCTTAATTGCGGAAATCCCTGCCCTAAAAACCATTGACACGACTGTATCTGTAGAGGTTTTTACGCGATGTGTACAACCTTTTTTTACAACTGTAGCATCATTATTTGTGACAGACATTGGAATATCAAAGTACAGTCAAGCTTGCAAAGGCTTTTTTTCTGATAACAGAAACAAAATCGATCTTCAAACTTTATATATTGCAAAGCTACAAAAAAAGGAAATGGAAGTTTTAGATGAAGAGACCGATAACTAAGAACGCTTACTTAGAAGCCGTACCAATACACAAAAAAATAGCAGCTGCTGCAAAAGAGTACCAATCAGCAAAGTTTGAAGCGGACTCTCTCATAAAATCATTAGAGTTAGAAAGTACAAGCTCCAGCCAAAGCACTAGCAGTGAAGATTTAGTAGAACCGAATCAAACAAATATAATCGATCTTGACCATGTATTTAACAAATAAACCCAGGCTAATAGTATTGGCAAAAGAATCAATCATGCATCAGTTATTCTCCACGATTGGGTATATGATATAGTGTCATTGTTGGGATAAAGATGAAAGGGTCACTTTCTTTCTTTTTACAATCGCTACGGTCTCCTTTATATTTAATACTTTATCTTGCCACCGTAAACAAACATAATTCGTAATGCAAGTAGTTCGATGATGCTTGCTGGTGATGTAATACTCAGTGCACCCTTTGGTTGTTCAGGAAGGGGTGATCCACTTTCCCTAATTCTCTTAATGCTGCCTTGCACTGTTGCCTTCAGAGTACCATCCTCTTTGGAAATGCAACTCATTGAGAGAACTTCCGACATGTGTAAGTGATACGATGTTTAGCTATAAGTTAGATTATTCACAGTTTTATAGCCTTTTTATCTTGGGTGAAGAGAAACACTTGGTTAGTGCTATTGCGACCAACAAAAGAACAATTTCCGAGAAAGATGTGTATGGAATTTGGTTCCCCATTGTCAAGAAACTTGTTTGTATCGAGAAGGTTATTAGAATGAAACAGGGTGAAAATGTAAGCCTATACACAACTAAAAGAAAACAAGCTGCATATCCCAACTTTGAGAAAGTGAGAAGATTCGAAACTGATATACGATTGCTTTTGGATTACGACAAGTATGAGTTTGATTTATGCGTGGGTAAAGTGGCAATAAATTCAAATGATACAGACAAGCTGATACATAACAGGAACAAGTGTCTGCGCGAAGCGAAAGAAATTGTCGATCATCATTTGGAAACAGGCATGAAAGAGAACGTTGTTGGTTGGACCCTTCAAATAGCCGGTCTTGAAGCTTGTTTGATGTCAATACAACTATACCGAGAAGGCTATTACACACAAAAAGCCCGCATTTCTTTAAACGGTGGATGAGCTGTTGAGCCTTTTTAATACAGTGGTGCACACTTAATATACTGTTTATAACGTTGTATAAACATCTAGAATAGTACACCAAATTCAATCTGAACAAAACTAAAAGATTAGTCAAATAGAATTAACAGTAGTATACCAGGAATATCTGTACCATATCTCCACACTTAATCCAAATTTGGATCGTTACTTCTCGTTAAGCCATTTTAATTTTTTAAAAAAGTATACACAATTTTAGAAGAATTGAAGCACTTCGGTTCTGTTCAGCGTACTTCATTTGACTTAAGTACAGGTCATTTTTTTTTTGCTTGGCTATTGTCGTGTAACAGTGTAAACTTGAGCCGTCATATTCTGGGATTTAATTTTATGCCCCCCCAAAAAACAAACAATGCTATTTAAAGAGGCACAGGAAACCTTGTGTACCTTTTCTTTTTTTTTTCTTATTCATAAATAACAAAATGAGTCTTTCACCTTCTTCATTTCAAACGGCAAAAGCTCGAGTAGACATCTCATATAAAGTCATTGGCGAAAAGAAAGTTATTCGTCTCAAGAACGAATTGCTTTCGCCTGGCCAACCTTTTGCTAACCATACTATTCAAGTCACCTCCGAGGTGGTACGTCATACCGATGGCAAAGGTGGGTATATGCTTTCTATAGGTGTCAGAGCATTCAAGCCTATCGAAATGATTCATTTTGAAGCCACTTATTTGGCTGACCTGAAAGACCAAAGCATGATGGCTAACGGCTTTCAAAGTTGGAGTCAAGCACGTGAATTTACAAAGAATGACAAGATTCCCGCTATTCGCTCTTCAATCGCTTGGTACACCCAGCTGAACCTTCAAGGGTAAAAAAAAAAAAAAGTATAAACTCTTTTTTAAATGCTTATTGACATTTTTTTCTTAGTGACTATGATATCTTTGAACATAGCGGTAAAGAAGGGTTGATTCACTCGAGCAGCTACACACATTTCCGTGACGTTAATAATGTGCTTTCCTTTTTCGGATCTGTTTCCGAGAATCTTGGCTATACCTATTTCAAGGGTGACTTTAATAACAATAGTCTGGGTATTTACAAGGATGTGCTTGGAAAGTATATTAGCGAAAACGAGGAGGTCGTATTTGTGCGTGTGTTCATAGCACAAGGTTTAGACGCTGAAGCAGCCATTTGGGATACTTATGCGGACTTTTATGAAGACAAAAGAGCTATCAAAGGAAATAATGCTGCCAACCGCCATGTCAATGGTTGGACATCTTGGTACAACTATTATGGCGATGTTAGTGAAGAAATTATCAATGAAAATGTCGAGGCTTTACAAAAACACAAGTATCCCATCAATATTTTCCAAATCGATGATGGTTTCCAAACAGCCATCGGTGATTGGCTTTCGATCAACGATAAATTTCCCAGTGGTATGAAGGCTGTGGCTGATAAAATTAAAGGTGCTGGATTTAAGGCTGGTCTTTGGTTAGCTCCTTATGCCGTCGCATTTACTAGTCGCATTGTGAAAGAAAATCCAGAGTGGCTGATTACGGATCCTGAAACCAAAAAGCCCGTCGTTGCTGGTCCCAACTGGGGTGGATTCTACGCTTTGGATATGTATAACCCCGGCGCCCGTGGATACTTGAAGCACGTATTCGATGTAGTCTTACAAGATTGGAACTACGATATGTTGAAGTTAGACTTCTGTTTCGCTGCAGCAATGATCCCCCGCATGGGCAAATCCCGTGGTGAAATCATGTGGGATGCTATGGAGTTAATCCGTGAACTTGTAGGTCCCGAAAAATTAGTTCTTGGATGTGGTGTACCTTTGGCTTCTGCATTTAGAAAAGTAGATTACTGTCGTATTGGCTCTGATGTTGCCCCTTGGTGGGAAGGTATGTGTCTTTTTTGGGATTGTAAAGAAGTTGGCTTAACAAATATATCAATGTAGATAGCAAATTAAAGCTCTTACATGTTCGTGAGCGTGTGTCTACAGCAAACTCACTTGTATCTACTTTGACCCGCTGGACCATGTCGGATCGTATGTTTGGCAATGACCCTGATGTTATGATCTTACGTAATCTCAATAACAAGTTAACACCCGATGAACGGTATACACTCTGTGTTTTGAATAATATTCTTGGTGCATTGGTGTTTAGTTCTGACAATGTTTCCCTTTACGGAGAAGACGAACATCTTTTGTACGCTGCTACTTTCCCCAAGGTGATTTCCCATGTGCAGAGTGTCTTAGAATTCAGACATAACTGTTTCCTTGTCAAGTTCGTCGTGAAAGACAATAACGGAACTGTTCGCCGCTACACTACATACTCTAACTTGACTGAAGAAGAACAGACCATTTATCTACCTGAATCATCTCCTGATACACACATTCTTTTTGCCACTGACAATGATATGCATATGAGCCAATGTGATAGAGATGAGCCCTTATTCTATCATCCATCCTCTGCTACCAGGTTGAAGCAACACGAAACCAAAACATTTTTGCATGTCCCTAAACCCAGCAGTGATAAGGACGAGGTTTTACTTTTAGGTACTGTCAGTCATATTGTACCTGGTGCTGAGTTAGATCAATTCAAGAAGGATGCAACTACAGGTGAAATCAATATCACCTATAGAGATGAAAATACAAGACATAAAAAAGTGTTTGCAAGTTACGGTGTCTATCTTCATGAACATCGTTCATTTGTGCCTCCTGTGTTTAAGGTGAATGGTGTTCAGGCCGATTACGAATATATCCCTGTCGCTGGCCATGGAGAAGGCCGTCCCAAGAGCGAAGTTTTGGCTTTCGTTGTAGAGAAGTTTTAAATTTTATCCTAGAATATTTTTTTTATAAAACCGTGTCATCTATAATAAATAAATGTATTCATACTATGCGTATCAGCTACAAAATTAAATGAAGCCAAAGGCTCTTGGTCCAAATCACTTTAAGAATCCTGTCATATTTATACCATATCGAATTCCAGTAGCTTTTTATCTAGTTGATTTAAATAGGCTACTCGTTTAAGATTAAATGTAACTCCAAGGATGTTCGGGATTATCACCTTAGGGTATTTGCTTATCTACATTCTAACCAGTATGTTCCTATCAGTGAATTCGTGCCACATTTCAAACGAGTTTGCTAAGAGGAGTTACACAAAAAATTCGTGTGCACTCTTGTCTAATAGAAATTCAATGAATTGAGGAGTACCTCGGTGGTGAGGCTTTCTACATATACAAGATCACAGGGGGTGGTTAAGAAATAGCTGGCGCTGCGGCTTCATCAGACCCTACTTCTCTAATTTAAACACATCAAACCCTCTTTCTTTACATAGTTTCGCTCTAGCTCACTTCTACTTTACCAAACCACTTTTGTACAAACATATAGTTTTCTATGCCGTTTTTTTAACAGAAAAAACAGCCTCACTGTAATTGGCTACATACTAAACAGTTTTTCCTTCCTATCCAAGCAGTCACCGTTTCTATTTTTTTTATTTTTTTTTATTCTTCCAACATGTCAGCAATGAGAAAGATAGCAGCGGTTGTTGGCAGTTCCGGTATTGGAAAGTCTAAATTAGCCGTTGAACTATGTAAAGCATTATCAGGCCAAGTCATTAACGCGGATGCCTTGCAGGTAATGAATCTACGAGAAAAGGCATTAGTGTATTGACTCTTTTTATTGACAGGTATATAAAGGTTTAGATATTATCACAAACAAAATGCCTTTGAATGAGAGAGAAGGTGTCAAACATCACTTGATGGATTTTTTGGAAACCGAGCAAGAATATAAAGTTACAAGCTTTTTAAAGGACGCTTCACAAAAAGTAAACATAAATCGATTTGCACAATAAGTTGGGCACAAACTTACCTAGCTGATATTGTAGATTGAATCCATATCCGAAGAGAAACAATTACCGGTTGTAGTCGGTGGAACAAATTACTACATACAGTCACTCCTTTGGAATAACACAACTATTGGAAGTAATGACAGTGAAAATCCTTTACCTGACTCAATCGATGATGAATTCCCTGAATTTGATGCATTAGAAACTAGTGAAATATATGACCGATTATTAAAAGTGGATCCAGTTATGGCCAATAAATGGCACCCGTCAGACAGAAGAAAGATTTTACGTAGTCTGAGAATATTTCATCAAACCGGTAAACCTCAAAGCGAGATTATCAAATCCCAACTCGACCATTTTGAAACGCATGGATTAGAACCAAGATATAAAGCATTGGTGTTCTGGATTTACTCGGATCCAGAGAAGTTAAATCCACGCTTGGATGACCGTGTAGATCAAATGATTGATACTGGATTATTTGATGAGATTAAAGATTTGCGGAATCACGTCGTACAGGGAAGCGTTAAAATGCCTAAAGGTTTTGAATTAGAAAAATATCAAAGAGGGTTATGGCAAGCAATTGGGTATAAAGAGTTTGATCCATATTTTGTGGCGTTAGAAGAAGGTAATACAGACCCGGCTGAACTGGAAAAAATAAAGGTAGAGTGTACAGAACGGATGAAGGCGGCCACCAGAAGATACGCAAAATCACAGATAAAGTGGATTAAAAACAAGCTCGTGCCTACTGCATTAAATTCCAAGAATAATCAGGTTATTGTGTACTGTTTAGACGCAGGAGGTATAATCATTTTTAGTATTTATCTAGCTCGTACTGACGAAATTTTAGATCTAGATACATGGGATCAAAATGTGAGGGAAAAGGCAGTTGAGATAGCAAAATGTAAATTACTTGGAAGGATATTTTGACATATACTGATTTGTTATACTAGTATTTCAGATGGATTTACCGTTGCCAGAGCCTACTAGCTTGAGCGAAACGGCATCTACTATGTTGAAACAAACAAAACCAGCATTAGAGTAGGTGTTTAAATTGAAAAATGGGAATATTTAACTGACTTTTTTTATAGTACACAAACCAAAATTCTGACATGGAATAAACATACGTGTGAGACTTGTAAAACTGACAAGGGTGAACCGTTGGTTTTAAATGGAGACCAAGAATGGGAACAACATAAAAAGGGTCGTCATCATCGAAAGTATTTGAAGCATTTACGTGTTGAAGAAATGCGTAAGGCTTATTTTGAATCAAAAAAGAAAACTCAAGCTATTTCTGAATAATAATTTTAAAATAAAGATGGGTATGACGCATATAACATAACTCCTTATAGAAATTTACCATGTTTGTTAAGCATACTCTGATCATTTGTATGCACTTTTTAAACATTAGATCAGTCCATTATGCTTTATGGGCTGAAGAATTTATGCGTGTGGAATATCATACGGACGTACACTCATATTTGATCTCCTCCGAGAATTTCTCCCTGCCTCTGACCTACCCTGTTCATAGTAATATTAAAAAGCGCGGCACCCAGTTCGATCGACTAAAATATTCGATCGGGTAATCATTTGACCAATTATTATTATTATCCATGTTACTACTATTGTTATTTGAAGAGTATTTGAGTCTTATGTAAATCTATTAATTCTCTAATGAAGATATTGTAGTTTCTATGTAATGGTGGTACTGTATCTCGATAGGGCAACTCACCAATTCTGTATTTTGAGACAAAATGGATTAATTGGGATTTGAAAATTGAAATTCCGTTAGCGATCTGAAGCACCGCACAATGAAGAAATGACGTATTTTGTTGGAGGAAATCACAATTATTTGACGACAAAACAGAAAGTAAAATGTATTTTATATGTTGGGATTGAATTTATAAATGAGGATGCGGTTTAAAAGTAAAAAAAAAACAGGTATAGACTGATATAGAACATGGGTGGTATTAAATGAGGTTGTCAACATCGAGAATATACTACTTCAATTACGATCAGTTTGTCCGACTATTACGCTGCAAGTTGTACAAGCACAGGACACCCCTCTTTTTTTTTTTTTTTTTTTTTTTTTTTGTAAATAAAAGCCGCTTGTGAGTTGACAAAACGTTATAACTCTTTCTTCCATTTTTCTTAATTAGATAAAATCGTATATTTATTTTTTAAAATCGATATTTTTTCTGAAGAAGCAAAATCTGGAAATTCATACTTGCATTTTATCTTTTCTCTTTCAACTTTTTTTTTTTTTCTTTTGGTAAATATTTTTGAACTGGGGAACATTTTTAATATTCTCTCTCTCTCTCTCTTTTTTTTCATCATTGTATGTCTTTTTTAAAGTAGCGAAATCATCCAAAGGAACATGTCTGTTAGCAAAAACTGTTCAGTTAGTCGAAAAAGAGCAATTTCTTCATCCACGACCTTATTCGACACTGTCCTCACTACTACAAATTCAATTGATTACTCTGCTTGTTTTGAAGATACTGAACAGCTTCCTGAAAGAAAGAAGACTACTAAAGACAAGGTGCAATTTATTTCCAACACGGCAACCCATCATCACCAGCAAATAGTGACAGATACAACCACCACAGCCACAACCATACCTCGCAGAGTGTCCTCTCAGCGTAGTGTGCCGGCATTTTTGCATAAATTATTTAGGTAAGTAATTTTTATAAGGGAAGGGAAAAGAGAGGATACGTAACAAAGTGTTGAGAATGAAAAGGGGGGGGGTGTATCGAAAACAATAGAAAACCACAGAACAGGGTAGAACATTTATGTTTTTTGGGGGAGATGATGTGAGAGCTGAATTGATTTTAAACTAATCGCATCTATTATTAGTATGGTAAACGATGGATCCAATACTCATCTTATTAGGTGGGCAAAAGACGGCAACTCGTTTTTAGGTAATCTTACATTTAATTATAGTAGTTGCCATGTATATTGATATGTTGAAAATTATAGTACAGGGTCATGAAGAATTCGCCCAGTCTATTCTACCTAGATTTTACAAGCACAATACATTCGCTTCTTTTGTACGCCAGTTAAACATGTATGACTTTCATAAGGTCCCTCATTTACACCAGGGTGTGCTTATAGCAGCGGATAACACTGAAAATGAGGTTTGGGAGTTTAGTCACCCACAGTTCAAGCGGGACAGACCTGACCTCCTCACTTCAGTTACACGAAAGCGCAATCGAGATCGCGAAAATGCCCCTGACACCAAACATGTTGATCTTGGGTCTGTTGTTCAGGAAATCACAGCCATAAAAAATCACCAAATCAACATCACCACAGACTTACGTAACCTGCATAAAGACAATGAAATGATTTGGAAAGAAACATTAGCTGCAAGAGAAAATCACCAAAAGCATCAAAAAATCATTTCAAAAATTCTTCAATTTTTAACCGTTGTGTTCTCCAATGATCAACACCAGCTAAATCTCGATAACGAGCAAGATCCATTGTTTTGTCCCGCGAATAATAAAGCGGATACTAACAGTAAAGACGGTAAAATGCGTAGTTTAGACGATATTACGACAATAGATGGTAAATACATATGTGTATATATACATTTTACAAACGGCCACATTGTTTTTTTTTATTGTTAACATTTGTACCACTAGTACCAACGGTTAAAACAAATAGACATGCGAAAATAGGTAAGACGTCATTAAAAAAGTTGTAAAGGAATTAAACTAACACGAATCAAATAGACACAAATTTGCAGCAAAAAAATCAAAGCGAACTTAACGTAGACTTAGACAAATGTAAAACAAGCACTTGTAGATCAGCACAAGCTATTACCAATGATATCAATATACTTCAGGATAATGTGGAAACACTTGCAGCTCAGCTGGGCATTAACTCAGGAGACATTGGGCTATACTCAAGCAGTCACAGTTCTATGATATCATCGGCAACCCAAAACGACAGGTTACGACTATTTAAGCTGGCAGATGACGATAACAATATCGCGGTGTCACCACCTCAAATGCCTTCGGCCCATTTTACTCGGTCAAATGATACCGACGTAACATTTCAACAAAATACCCATCAAGAACATAAGAGCACCAACACAAAGACTACTGGAAGTAGCTCGACTTCAACTGAGGACAGCAACCCACTTTCATTTTTCCTTTGTCAATTTTTAAAGTCAGTCGATTCGTATCACACAGATCCGCCCTTTTCTTGTGTTCGTGGGACAGCATCTACGCATGTGAACGATGCAAAAAATGCAATCTGCCAATCAGATTTTATTCCGTGTGATACAAGCAGTAGTGATTTAACTTTGGGAGCTCCTTCCATTTCAAATGAGTTGTTCTTTAAAGAAGTTCAAAGAAAACGTACCGTTATAAGACCTACATTTCATAATACCAACTCAGATTCAGAACGCTACAAAACTTCATCACCGAGCCAACATCCCCACCACTTTACGATGAGTACTGATAACGCTTACAACACAATTATTGATACAAACTTAAATCAGCAAGCGGATTATATTCGCAGTGAATATCAAGCAAGACCATCCCATCCCTTTTACCACATTATGCCTAATCATCAACAATTGTATCATCCACAACCAGTAAACAGTAACAATAATAATAATACCTGTTCTCAACAAGTTAGTGACAATAACACCCGCCCACAACAGAAAATGGATTCAGCGATGTTTATGAATTAAGTCATTTTTTAAAAAAAAATATGTAAGAAACACACACACACATACACACAAACGCCCACACGAACACGAATACACACACATATATATATGATTAATAAATGAAATAATTATGCTCTTTTATACCAAAGGTTCAAAGGATATTCGATTAAGCGCGGAATTCTGAGAAAATTAAAGTTTCTTATCGCAGAATAATGAACGTTAATCAACAAAATCTAGTGATGGCGTAGATTGTTTACAAAACTGAGTTGAATACTTTACAACAATAAAACTTACGTAACCACAATGTTGAAAGGGTTTTTTTTATTTACTTATTTTTTAGAAGACCAAAGATAATGTTTGGTATAAAGACGTGGAAAAATAGAAAAATGATATAAAGATTGTCACGTAAATTGACATGGTATAAAAAAAGTAAAAAACGGGGAAAAGAAGCATATGTATGGTGCGTATCACAAGCAGCACTGTAAATCAGTATATAGAAATAAATTAAATAAATCTGAACCTATGGTGTCTTGAGTAAAATAAACTTTTCTACTGCCAAAAGAAAATATCTTGATTCCATCATCCAATCAAAGACAGCCAATTGATTATGACACAAAATCCGAGGATAGGATTATTCGGTGCACCAATCTGTACAAAATCCTTTACACCATTAATTGAAAGGGTACATTTAATAAAAGGGACCTGGTAACGCTTGTTTGTGTACAAAAAAAAAATAAAGTAAAAAGATAAGATTTATTTATTTGTATAATGTAACAAACTCATGACCTCTTTCCCTTCAACAAATTTCCCGACAAATTAGACGGAAAAGGTTTAAGCATTAAAATTGATTCCCGACCTTATCCGAATAGCTGAAAGGACAAGCTTGATGATGAGATAAGCTAAATAAGGTACAACATTCAAAAAAATTGATAGAGATTGAACTAACAAATTTGATTGGCCAATTCCATCTTGTGTCTTACTCAAAAAGGCAGGTGTTACATAAATCAACATTAAGGGCGTGATAAATAAAGATGAAGGAATCTAATACCATCTCATCTATCCCAGCCTATGCAATACTCTCTGTGATAAACCCTCCATCCAGATAATACTATCTTTACATATGATGAGAAAATAGCGGATATTAAAAAATAGAAGAAATAAAGGGTTCTATTTTATTGTGTTTACCACCCGTTATCTTATCACACGCATTGTAAAACCGGGTTGAATTTCTAACTGAAAAAAAAAGTGAGATCTTGTGTCCCAAAAAAATTACCTGTTTGTCAGTCAATAGCTTGTTAATACTTGGATTTATGTATTTCAGTATTATCTGATAGTTATCGAGAAGTGCATTTGATGTATGCAGAAGCATTATTTAGACCATGTCAAATGTTGTATCAGTGTGTAATTTCTATTTCATCATTAGCATATCAATATATGCTACAGGCATGTGGGCATCAAAGTTCGAATTCAGTATGTCATGGTTACACTACACGATAATCATTGGTCCTCCGTGCACAAAGATAAGAAATTTGATATGAAACCTATATTTCTACCAAAAGAAGATCTATTTTTTTAGCTGTATCAAAAGATATAAAATCACTCTATAAATTTCGAATAACTAGTCCTGCTTTTTTTTTCTTTTTTTTTCTTACCTTTCTTATATTTTTCTTCTCTTGTTATATATCCCCCAGTATATAAGAAAAGAAAAAATCCCACACTTTTTATACATATTCAAGTAGGCAAATACCCCCCAACTCTCTTATACATACAACACATCAACAATCGTAAATAAATATAATGTCTCCTGTTGAAAACACTTCCTGGGCCGGAGCTATCCCTCCCGCTCAAGGTTTATATAACCCCGAACTCGAAAAGGACGCATGTGGTGTCGGTTTTATGGTACACGTCAAAGGTGTCCGCTCCCACAAGATCTTGTCCGAAGCCAGTAGCATTCTTTGTAACATGACCCATCGTGGTGCCTCTGGCGCTGATATCAGAGATGGTGACGGTGCTGGTAAGTCATTTTTTTCCGGAATGTGCTACATTTGATCAATTTTTCTCATATGTGTTATATTAGGTGTCATGTCAGGTATCCCTCATCAATTTTTCGTCAATGAAACCTCTCGTGAGTTAGGAATTACTTTACCTGAGGAAGGACAATATGCCGTTGGTAATTTATTCATGAAAGGTGATATTGATTCAGTAGCCGAGAGTAAAAAGGTATTTGAGCAATTGGCTGAAGCCCTTCATTTAAATGTGCTTGGTTGGCGTACTGTTCCCGTCGATTCTACCATTATTGGTCCTGCTGCCAGATCCAAGGAACCCGCAATTGTACAACCTTTTGTTGTATTGGCTGATAACAAGGAATTTGATGAGGCTTATTTTGAACGCCAGCTTTACGTTCTTCGTAAGCATGCTACCCACACTTTGACCATGAAAAAGTGGTTTTATGTTTGTTCTCTTTCAAACAAGAATATTGTTTACAAGGGTCAATTAACTCCTAAGCAAGTCTATCTTTATTTCCATGATTTAAATAACGTTCAGTATACCACCCATTTTGCTCTTGTTCATTCTCGTTTCTCTACCAATACTTTCCCCTCTTGGGATCGTGCTCAACCTATGCGTTGGTGTGCACACAATGGTATGTCACACCTGATTATTTGTTTAAACCTCCGTTTTAATTTCTTAAATTTTTTCACATGTTTCTAGGTGAAATTAACACTGTTCGTGGTAATAAGAATTGGATGCGTTCTCGTGAAGGTGTCATGGCATCAGATAAGTTTGGCGAGGATCTTGATTTGCTTTACCCTATTATCGAAGAAGGTGGTTCTGATTCCGCTGCCTTTGATAACGTTCTTGAGTTGTTAGTTATTAACGGCGTCTTGACTTTACCCGAAGCCGTCATGATGATGATTCCTGAAGCTTGGCAAAACAATGATGCTATGAGCCCTGAAATGAAGTCATTCTATCAATGGGCCTCCTCTTTGATGGAACCTTGGGATGGCCCCGCTCTTTTCACCTTCTCTGATGGTCGTTACTGTGGTGCTTCTCTTGATCGTAATGGTCTTCGTCCTTGTCGTTACTATTTGACTACCGATGATATCATGATTTGTGCTTCCGAAGTAGGTACCGTCTTCATTGACCCCGAGACCATTGTTGAAAAGGGTCGTCTTAAGCCTGGTCGTATGCTTTTGGTTGATACCGTTGAAGGTATTATCGTTGATGATAAGCAGCTCAAGTTACAAACTGCTTCCAAGCGCGATTTCACTCAATGGATTAAGGACCAAAATATCGTCTTAAAGGATATTGTTGATAAGACCAATGCTGTTGAGCCTTATGTTGCCGATTTAGATGAGGCCAAGGTTCAGGCTGATCCTCGTCTCAAGGCTTTTGGTTACACTCTTGAACAACTTAACTTGATCATGCTTCCTATGGCTTCTACTGGTAAGGAACCTCTTGGTTCTATGGGTAATGATACCGCCCTTGCCTGTCTTGCCGAACAACCTCGTGTTATCTACGAGTACTTCCGTGAATTGTTTGCTCAAGTCACTAACCCTCCTATCGATCCTATTCGTGAAGAAATTGTCATGTCTCTTCAATGTAACGTTGGTCCCGAAGGTAACATCCTCGAAATTGATGAGAGCCAATGTCATCAAATTGCTCTCTCTTCTCCCATCTTGTCTATGGAAGAACTTTCTGCCATCAAGAACATGAGCCAATTCTATCCCTCTTGGAAGGTTGCTACTATTGATATCACTTTCGCAAAGACCGATGGTGTTCAAGGTTATGTTGATACTTTGGAACGTGTCTGTAACGAGGTCTCTGAAGCTATTAAGGATGGTTACAAGGTTGTCGTTCTTTCCGATCGTGCCGTTAATGCCGATCGCGTTGCTATCTCTGCCCTTATTGCCTCAGGTGGTGTTCATCATTACTTGGTTCGTAACAAGGAGCGTAGTCGTATTGCCTTGATGGTTGAAACTGCCGAAGCCAGAGAAGTTCATCACTTCTGTGTTCTTTTGGGTTATGGTGTCGATGCCGTCTGTCCTTATTTATCTTTGGAAACTATGATGAAGCTTCATCGTGAACGTGCCGTTCTCGAAGGTTTAACTCCTGAAAAGTTGATTTATAACTTCAAGAAGGGTATTGATAATGGTATTCATAAGGTTATGTCCAAGATGGGTATTTCCACTTTGGCCTCCTATAAGGGTGCTCAAATCTTTGAAGCTCTTGGTGTCGATGATAGCGTCATCTCTCGCTGTTTCTCTGGTACCGCTTCTCGTATCAAGGGTGTCACTTTCGATATCTTTGCTTTAGATGCATTGACTCTTCATGAAACTGGTTACCCTACCCGTAACGTTGTTCAACCTGCCGGTCTTCCTGAGTCTGGTGAATACCATTGGCGTGATGGCGGTGCTCCCCATATCGCTGAGCCTAACGGTATTGCCAATCTCCAGGATGCTGTCCGTGAAAAGAACCAATCTTCTTATGATGCTTACTCTCGTAACGCTTATGAGGCTATCAAGAAGTGTACTCTTCGTGGTATGCTTGATTTTGATTATGATAACTCCAAGGCTATTCCTATCGAACAAGTTGAATCTTGGGATGTCATTGTTAAGCGTTTCGTTACTGGTGCCATGTCATACGGTTCTATTTCTATGGAAGCACATTCTTCTTTAGCTATTGCCATGAACCAACTTGGTGGTAAGTCTAACACTGGTGAAGGTGGTGAAAAGCCTGAACGTTCTCAAGTTTTGGAGAACGGTGATTCTATGCGTTCTGCTATCAAGCAAGTTGCTTCTGGTCGTTTCGGTGTCACCAGTTTCTATCTTTCCGATGCTGAAGAGTTACAAATTAAGATGGCTCAAGGTGCCAAGCCCGGTGAGGGTGGTGAATTAGATGGTACCAAGGTTTCTGAGGAAATTGCCTCTACCCGTAAGACTACTCCTGGTATTGGTTTGATCTCTCCTCCTCCTCATCACGATATCTACTCTATCGAAGATTTGAAGCAATTGATTTACGATCTCAAGTGTGCTAACCCCCGCTCTCGTGTTTCAGTTAAGCTTGTTTCTGAAGTCGGTGTTGGTATTGTCGCTGCTGGTGTTGCCAAGGCTAGAGCTGATCATATTTTGATCTCTGGTCACGATGGTGGAACTGGTGCTTCTCGTTGGACTGGTATTAAGTATGCCGGTCTTCCTTGGGAATTAGGTCTTGCTGAAACTCATCAAACCTTGGTTCTCAATGATTTGCGTGGTCGTGTCGTTGTCCAAACTGATGGTCAAATCAAGACTGGTCGTGACATTGCCATTGCTTGTTTGCTCGGTGCTGAAGAATGGGGTTTTGCTACCACTCCTCTTATTGCTCTTGGTTGTACCATGATGAGAAAGTGTCACTTAAATACTTGTCCTGTCGGTATTGCCACTCAAGATCCTGAGTTGCGTAAGAAGTTTGAAGGTTCTCCTGAACACGTTGTCAACTTCTTCTTCTACCTTGCTGAAGAATTACGTGGTTACATGGCCAAGCTTGGTTTCCGTACCATCAATGAGATGGTGGGTAGAGCCGAAAAGCTCAAGGTCAACGATTCTCTTCGTACTTTCAAGACTGCCAATTTGGATTTATCTCCCATCTTGACTCCTGCTTCTTCTCTCCGTCCTAACGTTTCTAACGTTTGCGTTACCAAGCAAAAGCATAACCTTCATGTTCGTCTCGATAACTATCTTATCGAAGAAGCTGAAGTCGCTCTTTCCAACAAGGAGAAGGTCTACATCGAAGCTGATGTTGTTAACACCGATCGTGCTATTGGTACCACTCTTTCTTACCACGTTTCTAAGCGTCACGGTGAAGCTGGTCTTCCTGCTGACACAATTCATGTCAAGTTGAAGGGTTCTGCCGGTCAATCTCTTGGTGCTTTCTTAGCCCCTGGTGTCTTTGTTGAACTCGAAGGTGATTCCAACGATTATGTCGGTAAGGGTCTTTCTGGTGGTCAAATTGCCATTTACCCTTTCAAGAACTCCATCTTCAAGTCTGAGGAAAACGTGATTGTGGGTAACGTTTGTTTGTATGGTGCTACTAGCGGTAAGGCCTTCTTCCGTGGTATTGCTGCTGAACGTTTCTGTGTTCGTAACTCAGGTGCCTATGCTGTCTGTGAAGGTGTCGGAGATCACGGTTGTGAGTACATGACTGGTGGTCGTGTTGTCATTTTGGGTACTACTGGTCGTAACTTTGCTGCTGGTATGTCCGGTGGTATCACATACGTCCTTGATCTTGAGGGTGACTTCAAGCAAAATGTTAACATGGAGATGGTTCAACTCGAAACCGTCAACGATGATGAACGTATTGCTGAATTACGCGATTTAATTGAAGACCATCGTCATTACACTGGTTCTGAAATTGCTGACCGTGTCCTCAAGAACTTCAATGAGTACTTGCCCAAGTTTGTCATGGTTATGCCTGTTGAATACAGCGCTCTTTTGCAAAGACAACGTGCCGAAAAGCTTGCTGCCATTACTCCTGTTAAGAAGGCTTGTGAAAAGGTCCACAAGAAGGTTGAACCTCAACTTGAAGATCTTGAAGATAGTGTTCTTGATGAAGAGGCTATCTTGGCTCGTCGTGCCAAGTTAGATAAGGTCCGTGGTTTCATGAAGTATAAGAGAAAGACTGATAGCTACCGTAACTCCAAAAAGCGTGTCGGTGATTGGGATGAGATCAACAACCGTTTGACTCGTACTGAGCTCCATGAGCAAGCTGCTCGTTGTATGGATTGTGGTGTGCCTTTCTGTCAATCTGACACTGGCTGTCCTATTGGTAACATTATTCCCAAGTGGAACGAACTTGTCTACAAGGATAACTGGAAGGAGGCTCTTGATCGTCTTATGATGACCAACAACTTCCCTGAATTCACTGGTCGTGTTTGTCCCGCTCCTTGTGAAGGTGCTTGTGTTCTCGGTATTTCCGAACCTCCTGTTGCCATCAAGAGTATTGAGTGTGCTGTCATTGATCGTGGTTTTGATGAAGGATGGATCGTACCTACTCCTCCTGCTACCCGTACCGGTAAGAAGGTTGCTGTTATTGGTTCTGGTCCCGCTGGTTTAGCTGCTGCTGATCAATTGAACAAGGCTGGTCATTTGGTTACTGTCTATGATCGTAATGATCGTGTTGGTGGTCTTTTGATGTATGGTATTCCCAACATGAAGCTTGACAAGAAGATTGTTCAACGTCGTGTCGACCTCTTAGCCGCTGAAGGTATTACCTTTGTCCCCAACTCTAATGTTGGTGTGGATATTGATGCCAACACTATTCGTGATGAAAATGATGCCTTGATTGTCGCTACTGGTGCTACTTGGCCCAGAGATCTCAAGATTCCCGGTCGTGAATCTGATGGTATTCATTTTGCTATGGAGTTCCTCCAAGCCAACACCAAGAGTTTACTCGATTCCGAACTCAAGGATGGTCAATATCTTTCTGCTAAGGACAAGCATGTTGTTGTCATTGGTGGTGGTGATACCGGTAACGATTGTATCGGTACCTCTCTCCGTCATGGTTGTAAGTCTGTTGTTAACTTTGAGTTGCTTCCTCAACCTCCTGCTAGCCGTGATAAGCATTCCAACGCATGGCCCAAGTTCCCCATGGTCTTTAAGGTTGATTACGGTCACTCCGAAGTCCAAGCTCAATTCGGTAAGGATCCTCGTGAGTATTGTGTTCTTTCCAAGGAGTTCATCATTGAAGATGGTGCTGTCAAGGGTATCAAGACTGTTCGTGTTGAATGGACAAAGGATGACGCTGGTCGTTGGGCTATGAAGGAAGTTGAAGGTTCTGAGCAAACTTTCGAAGCCGATCTTGTCTTATTAAGTATGGGTTTCTTGGGTCCTCAAACCGAGATTATCAAGCAATTGTCTATTAAGCAAGATGGTCGTTCCAACATCGAAACTCCCAAGGGCAAGTATGCTACATCTGTTCCTGGTGTTTATGCTGCCGGTGATTGTCGTCGTGGTCAATCTTTGATTGTCTGGGGTATCAATGAAGGTCGTATGTGTGCTCGTGAAGTTGATCACAAGTTGATGGGTAATACTTACTTGCCTGTCACTGGTGGTATCCAACAACGTATCCTTCCTGACATCTCCCTCTAAATCCAAAAAAAAAACTACTACTGTGTATGCCAAACAACAACAACAACAAAAAAAAACTGTACAAAATTTACAACTTGGTGTATGTGATTTGATTCAATTTGTTTTCTTCAATTCTTTTTTCTATCTTTCTTTACTGCTTTCATTACGTATGGGGGTACATGGTGAATATTACCAGCAGTAATGTCATTTAAAATACCGATTTTCAAGTTTACCATTTTTCATCATATTATCACACACTTAATAATTAGACTCTTCACTCGATGTAATATATATATAATATTCAATAAAAATTTCATCAAGTAATCAACATAATTCATTCCAACTTTTCAAGTGTTGTAACAAATATATAGGATTGCTCCCTATGCATGATTAGAATAAATCGCATCACTAGTTATGTAACTCGTGTATAATCGTAGCTCATACCAACCATGTATTTTTCGAATCGACATCGTAAGTCTGACATACATACCGCTTAGTGGATTTTGAATAGCTACAAAACGGTTGCGTTTGTGGCCAACATTTGTACACTTCGTGCATTAGTTTAAACAGGATTCAATCAGCATTTATAGTTGGATATAATAATAGTCATAGTTTAAAAAATAAAGAAGCAAGGTATATTTTAAAATAGAGGTCCGTTTATTTTGGGAATGAGGTAAATGTAAGGAACGCATGGGTCCTTTGAAACAAGTAAACGGGTGCAGTTCTATGTAGTGATAAAGATCCTGACTTGAGCAGCATTTGAGTAACGACGTTGGTCTACAAACGCGTGTCTGTCATGGCCTCCCCCTCCCAACCGACCTTTAGTTATTAAGTTGGAAAGTGGAGGCCTTCCCTAGTAGTAATTAAGCAACAACGCAGGTCCCCATGGTCCTATTATGCTTTTGTTTAGACGAAAGTGGCATTTATATGTATCGAAAAACCAAATTTTACCTAATTCGTCTGTTCAAAAGTTCGCCGAATTGAACTCCCAGTCTATTCTAGTATGACAGGACATCATTATTAGAGAAATAAATTGTTTTTATTGAAGGAAGAAAGGGTGAATGAGGTGGCAAGTAAATGGCTACTCTTTTAATCAAAAAGAAAAGCAAACAAAAAGTCACAGTTGGCTATGATTCTTGCGTGTTACAAGTTTTTTTGCTACCACCGTATCAATGACACGTATAAGCATTAAAACTTGTTTGTCAAGTCTAAAATAACCACCCGGGGAATGCCTAATATGATTGTATTTTTGTTCCTTTTTTTCACTCAGCTGAAGTAGCGTACACGCAAGTGTGCCACAACCGAGTAGCATGCTTTCTCTATGTTCATGTACTTAATTCACGGTACATGATATATGGTAATAGCTGACTTGTCCAAATTCTTGAATTTTTTTAAAAAAAAGTTATATAGCAATGTAAGACCATTACATGGCTTGCAACGAACTGTATCCTGTGCAACATCATGCTCGAGTACAACGCAGGTTGATCAATGCAAAAAAAATGACACCTGGCCCAATGGGGTTTATCGGATCATCGACGAGGCAAAAGCATAGAGAAGCGCAAAAGCTACGAGTGAGGAAAGCACGAAGAACAAGATTAAGCACAGAAGAAAATAATTACCCTCACCTTACAATATATAGGGCCTTGTAGTTTTGTTCTGAACCTAAATGTATTAACAAACACAGTCTTTCTGCCTTTAAGAAAAAAGAATCATCGTAAATAACGTTACATGACACACTTTATTCATGCATTGGGTGGCCACAGTGGTTCAGACTAGCCCCACCTTTCGAGCAACTTACTTTATATAATTACCTGGAGCTTTATATTAAACTTTCTACTGCACAGTGTCACTTAAGTCGGAAAATGACAGGCTTAGACTGTAAGTTGTTAATGAGATTTTTTTTTTTTTTTTTTTTTTTTTTGCGACAAGCGGTTGAATAAAATGACAGGTTATCGCGTGTGGCCTCTTTCCCTAATCTATCTACCCCACCCCCCTCCCCAATCTCTCTGTCAAATTTAACTTTTAGTTAAAACCATCCCATCATCGTTTATAAAACACACACGCCCAACCATTCGTTATTTATTCTTTCATCAAAATATATACCCGATTATTGTGAGTGTTTGGTCAACAATAGATTAATTAACACTCTTCCGCGTGTTCCTGGTGTTGTGCGTATCAAGAATGGTAATCCCCCAATCTAGGGAACTAATTTACGGCGGCCTGATCGTTAAGGAATTTTCAGAATAGAATGTCTCAAACAAATCAGTATGCTCCCTGTTTCAAACTGGATATGCAGTGTTGAACCGGGCTTACGTTAAAAGTACGGTCGCACCTCACAGCACAAAACAATCGGTCTTCCGATTTTCACATCCTATTAATTATGTCCCCATTAAGCAAGTTGCTATCCGTGATTTTCATAATTGTTTATAGTTAAACCAATATTTATGAGTTGCATTAGTATTATTATTGAACCTGCAGATGTCTAGTTTTACGGACCGTGTGAAATGGCAGCATTTAACGAGGGAAAGTAAAATAATAATTTGTTCCAGTATCCTACATTTTTTATGTCAAAATAACCATTTTATTATTGTACATGGGGCGTGGTATAATGACGGGCTGCAAAGCTTTTTTGTGGTGAATATGTTGAAGCGTATGGATATGTGAAATAAAAAAAAATCGACCAGCGATATAGATAGAAAAAAAGATATGTGTAGAAAAGAGATATGTATAAGGAGATGTAGGGGTATTTTTCTTTTAATCTTCATCAATGACCCAACTTTCGTGGGCGTTTGCTTTTTTCGCGTTGCTTTCAATATCCATTTTCGTTTTTAAGCTTCCTCTTTGGGTGAATGGTTTTAATCCCTTGCCAAAGTTGATGGTACAGACGATACCTAAACCGGCTGTGATTAGAGTGAAAGCGACACCAATCCAGACTATTTTTTACAACATGTTAATCGTTTTGACATAGGATAATCATTTAGAAAATATTCACTTACTCAATACAATCCAGGTATACCAGCTGTTGTTAGGCTGGAGAGTCTGCGTGAAGATCAAGACAAAATGGAATAAGACAAGGCATAAGAAAGTAAGGAAAATGATCATCTTGGTTTTACTCTCTGCACTTCCCTGATAGAGATAAAAAGCAAAAAATGAATAAAGTGGAATTTTAAAAAATCACGATGGGATGATAACAATAACTTACAGCTGATCTTCCAAAGAAAAGCATGGGGATCATGCAAACGGTAACAATGACTTGAACAATGGTCTCCCACATAATACCCTTCTTCATTGCGAATTGGATTAAATAAAAGATGGATACCATGAACCCTGTGAAGAAGTCGATTTTCAAAGCCAAGACAAAGAATTGAAACATGCGGTACATTTCTATAAAAGATAAATAAAATTAGGGATTTGGGATGCTGCGGTTGTTTAAATGCGCTTACTTTGTATTTGAACATCAGCGCCAATTTTCTTGTAGATATTCCAACCAAATTGTTTTGACATTTGATAACTAAGGTAGGACATGATGATTGCAAACGTCAAAAGAACGACGGATAACGAAATTTCGATTTTCTCTGCCATGGCTAATGGTTCGGTCGGATAACTGGTGCCTGTAAGACGGTCTAACCATTTTACACCATCTACAACTTGAAGGGCTCCTAAAACTGCACAGGCGACATTTAAAATACCCAGCGCCAAAATCTCCGCCGTATTTTGATATACAGTCTAAAAAAAAAAATAACAGTTAATATTAAAAAAAAAGGGGGAAGGACGAAGTCATGTAATCTACTTTACTGCATCAAAGGCCATGCCCAAAAACCAAAGTTGAAATCCCATAAATGCAATGTTTTCCCACTTGATTCTTCCAAGTCGGTCGGCAGCTCTAACCGGTGCCCAATCGTTTTGTGTTGAACTAGCTGTCATGGCACTGTCGGTCGACGGTTCTGGTAATAGTTGGGCTTGCTTTGTATTTAAATAACAAATAGAACCTTGTAACGCAATAACAATTAGACATTGACATATAGCCATTGATATGTATAATTTTGACCATTTGGTCTCTGTGACTCGATCAGACTAAACAGAAAAAAAATAAAACGGTGAATACGACTGTATGAGTGAAGAATAGAGTTAAATATTTACAATTTTGGCAACTGTAACCATTGAAAAAGTGTTTATAAAATGAAAATGAAGGGAGAAAAGAGGAGAAAGAGTTAGGATGGGGAACAAGCTTTAAAAATGTAAAATAAATAAAAAAAGAAACCCCGATTTCGTGTGTCACGAATCAAATATTGTTATGGTTGCACTAGCTGCTCATTAATGGAATATATCAATTATCGTGATAATTGACCTAGGCCCGCTTATTGTGCCAATCTTTTGAATAGTAAAATTGTCTCCTAAGATTAACAACTCAACCAATCTTTTTTACGCATTCAATACAATTAAATGAGAGTATTCATTGTTACTGCAGATTTCTTAAAAAAAAAAAAAAAAAAAAAAAAAAAAACTGCAAAAGAAGTGGCACCTTTATTATTGAAAATGGGTACTTTCACGGCCGCCCCTCGGGTACAGGCATCGACCTGCTTAAACCATAAAAAAAAGGCGGAAAAAAGGTCAATTCATTTTTGATCGGGGGCTATAAACTATATCAACTCCTCCTTAAAAATAACGATAATGCCTAGAACCTTTTATATTTTTTAAAGCTTAAATTTAGTTAATCTTTTTACTACTTTTCTGTTTCTTCTACACTGGGGGAGTTGTATTTTACAGAATGTAAGATTGTGTTACCTGCTGGGTGGGCATTTATGAACTGGAGTTTGTTTCAAGCTTCAAACTCAGGGCTGCATAGTCCTTAAAATTAGTTTTTAATTAACCACGTTGTTGTAAAAGATGTTCCCTTAAACAACAAGATTCTCAATATTCCTCTTTTTCTTCTATGTCTCTTTTTCTTCGCTTACTGAGAACAACCCGCAAAACAGGGTTTCGTGGCCTTATTTGGCTACTTTTTTTTTATTTTTTATTTTTTTGCACGGGTCTATTCTTGCTTTATCGCTACTAATATTTCTGGCGTGGTATTTGCTGGCGGCAGCATTTTTTCTAGGCTGTGACTTGTTCGCATCAATGTCGCAAAATAAGAACATAACGAGTATTTTATTAATGTATTGGACAAGTGCGGGTGGGATTGTACTAGTCTTAGTGACTGCAAATCCAGAATAAGAGATATCTGATCGAGTGGCACCAGCAAGATAAAATTTGAGTTGAACAAGGCGACAAATGATTAGCTTTTCCCTGCCTTTGATAACTTTGAGGAGAGCTCGCTACTACACGTGTCATGCGCTTCCAGCAGTAGATTGTAACCCCAGCAACGCTGCAAACTTTCTACTGCCCCATTTAGGTAACATATAACCCCAGCAACACTGCATATAGAATCCTTTGACTTTGAAGTAAAACCAGAGTAATTATTATGTAAATATGTAGAGCCAGCAAGAATAAAATACGAATTCCGAAATGAGTTGGCCAAGATGACAACGGGCGAACATTGAAAAGTTGTTGTTTCGACGAAATAAGTTTCTTAACTATTTCTAAGAAGACGTCGGTGATAATAGTCATTCAATTGTCAGAACCAATTATATTTGCGTTCAGCAATGTTTAACATATATATCGACTTTATCGATAGAGCCGCGAACAAGCCCGGGACATACACTTGTAAATATCTTTATGAAAACAACAGCAATAACTTAAGCTTTATCGGCTAATTTTATTCTATAACTCTTTTTATTTTTTATTTTACAGCGCCTTTTATGATGTAGACTCTTTTTGGCGATCCTTTTCTTCAAGGCGATTTTTTTCTTCTCGAGCTTGACGCGCTTTCTCCTCTTGTTCAGCTTCATCTTTGATCAGTTCTTCTTGCTTTTCAATCATCTCCAATTTTTTCTGATACGTGCTTTCGCCTTCCCCAAGCTCCTCTTCTTTCTCGTCCTCTTCAATGTTCTTTTTCTCACTTTCGGAGACCTTTAATTCGGCATCATTGACTAGATTGTCAGGCAAGCTGTGGAAGGTAGCACGAAGGGCGTCTTCTTGTGACATATTTTGGTCAGTGACACTAAAAGCGCGTGATAAAAGTAAAAGGGTTGAGGGAACATGATGCTGTAAATGAAGTTCGATCCATTGACTCAACTCATCGCGCAATCGAGAAGCGGAGCAATTAAGTGTGAGAATACCGCGAGCGACGCAGGCATGATTTAGTTCGGCCGGGGTCAAATTATCGATACCTTCGGACTGTATCACACGATCGTCCATCTTGATCTGTCTCATGCGGTTCCGGAGTTGAAAGCGAAGAAAGGAATCTGTGCCAAAGGCATTCATGTTCATGTAGCGACACATGCTGACGAGCTGAGGTCTTGTGAGGTTGCCCAAGGTAAGTTCGTTTTCGAATTGACGCGCGATTTTCAGCAAATCTTGAGTGGAGGGTTGTTTGCCGGTGGTTCGGATGGTGTGAAAAAAATTGGCAAATTCATGTGCTGCTGTAGGAGATATATTATCGGAGCTGTCAGAAGAAATCGTGCCGGATTCAACAATCGTCTCTTGTAGGAAGCGAGCCATTTCCAGTCTAACCTTTAAGAGTTTTCGCTTCTTTTCCTCTTTTACCTTTTTGTTTTCAAAGGTGCTAGGCAGCATATTTGGAAACACTTTTAACGCAACCGGTAGTAAAAATTCCATGAACGGGACAATTAGAAATACAGCAAATGGGACCATACGAGCAATATCCGACGTAGTGCGTCGAAGCTAAAAAGGAAAAAATTTAAGTTCTTGGGAATGAAATCAAAGATTTTCTAATTTTTGTTTTGTTTTTTACTTGTCTGCTTTCACGTCTTGAGAGTGGCTCACCTTGTAACAATTTATACACAAGCCTTGAAGAAATACGGGTTTCGAGGCCCAACAATTTGAAGCCATGCCAATAATGTACCGCTTCCCCTTTAACCTTTTGCCACATGGTCTTTTTGACAGCAGCAGCATTTGATTTGGTGTCGGTTGGTTTGACGGTTTTATTGAAATTATTCTTGTCCGTAGCCTCTTTTTTTCCACAAAGTGATTGGCGTATATCCTCTTTTTCGGTTCGATGCAAGAAGGGTTGTCGCACAGATACAAAGGACCTTCCGATCGTGATTTGTTGAACAGGTCTTGTGTGAGTTTGCATTAAACGATAACATGATCGGCTATTGTATCGAATTGTTTGGAGCATAAAAGAATATGTATAGAAAATAAATAAAAAATGATGGGTGATGATCCATTGTTTTTTTTTTTGGCATTTAAACAAAGGAAAAAATACACACTAAACTGGGATTAGCAAATACGTCATTTTTCAAATTTATTAATTTTTTTATTATAGAAAAGAAAAAACCCCGATGTGCGCCTGTCTGTTCTTTATGCTCTATCAGCGAAGCCGATACGTCTATGTTCATTATCATATACAGAGACGTATTGTTGAAGGAATCCGTATCCAAGAATAGCATCAACGAAGGGTGGACTTTCTTGAAGGTAGGTATAACAAGATTCGGCTGAATAGGAAAGCTAATAATAAAAAAGGGTTGGTACACTCTTTCTTAGTAACAAAAAAAAAAAAACTTACAGCACCGGCGGTAATGACATAATGCTCTGGTGAGATTGTAAAAGTATTGTTGTGCATGGTAAGTACAATATCGGGTAAGTTTTCTGATTTACAAGGTACGACGTATTGGCCCGTGAAATCTCTACGTAATCCCTTGACACCTCGGAAAACGTGATTGATGATATCTCGGGGTAAGAATACAAGTGTGGATCCTGTATCAATCATGGCTGAGATGCCTCTTTCATATTCACGGGTATAACCTCCAACAGAGATAGATTGGATATCAACAGCCCAATAATCCTGGTCGATAGTGTGTCAGTCGTACTCATTTTTGCTATATGCATTAAAATCCTCTTTACCTCGAAATCGGCCTTTCTTGTTGTTGGGACATAACTGACATTACTTGTAATATGTCGGTCCTCGACTGAAATGGGCTACAGTATCAGTTGCCTTTCTCAAATGAATAATAAAAAAAGATGAATATGGGGTTACCTCCGCCAAAAACGATTTCTCCATTAACACGCTTTTGTTCTCTTAAGCCGTTGACATTTTGGGATACGGGTTGAAAGTACACGGAAAATACATTATGGTCGATAATGCCTTGTTCGTACATAGTAGTCACCAATGTAGGAATCACTTTACTGTCTGGGTTATTATAAACACTCAGCTTATCGGGTCCAATGCCTAGAATACCATCTGCTCCGTCAATAGTCAATTCACCGTCATTATAATCAGACACAGCAAAGTTCTTTTACAGCATACATTGTTAATAAAATACATGTGTATCCAATGAAATATTCGAGTACATACCACTTGAGGCACAGAGACGCCGTTTACAGTCATGGTATCTTTGGCATAATATCCTCTGGAAAACCCTTCTCCATATCGAATACTGAACAGCATATTGTCCGTTTTGAAAGTAGATGAATTGGCTGGTATTAAAGAGTTGATAGGGTATCCGCAATAGCGACCACAACCGTGGATAGGAACCCAGGTACTTGATGATCCTGTATCTAATAATAGCGTAAAAGGCTGGGGAGGGGAACCTACAATGACAAGGTGTGGATTTAAGTTAACAGCTATAGAGGAGGGAGGGGGGGGGCGACACAATTTTTTTCTTTTTCTTTTTCATTACCTATTTCAACGTCGATTAAATAGGCCAAGTCAATGTTTTTAAGAGGAACATCCACAAGACCACCCAGTTTTTTATTTCCTACAGCGGAAGCACTGATGCCAGTTCGTTCTACTGCTGTAAATGGAATGGTTACTAATTTTGCGGATACTACGGTATAAGCAATGGCTGTTGATATCAAGAATAAGGTGCCTTTCATTTTTTTTTGTGATTGGGTATAAAGAAAAAGGTCAAAGCTACAGAATCGTCATCTATTTAAGCATAAAAAAAAAGGTGGGGAATGTTATCAGGGTTCAATTTAAAAATACACTGACTTTATTATTGTAAAACGATGGAAAGGGTTTTTTGATGGAATCGAATCTTGTATTTGTATTCAGGCTGATGGTAACAGCTCGAGAAATGTTTCTCATTATCCCAGTAAAGGAGCTAGAGATTGTATTACTACACAAACTATAATCAAACCATAACTTTAAAAAGCGGGTGGCAAAAAAAAAAATTAGACTTAAAAAAAAGTAATCATGGTATTGCATTATAGTGATCTGAAAAACTGTATCTTCAATTTGGACAAACCCATTCTGATGGGTTTTTATCATTATTGACAAATAGATACATTCTCCACAGTCTTTTTTGTTGTTGTTATTGTTCATCCATGACGTCGGTGGTCCAATTAATTCAAACGTATTTTTTTATATTTTATTTTTTCGTATACAGGTTGCTAATATTTCAATGGCTTCTGTGAAACGAAAGTATTCCTACGATCTAATAGATCCTCAACAAGAAAACGAGAAAAAATTTGCGCCAGACACCCAGCAAGTAGCAGATCTTGAAAATGAAGAGGATAATGACGAAATTAAGCAGTTTTCCTCGGATCAACGACTGGCTTTAGACGATGAACCCATTTGCACAGTCTGTGGAAAATATGGAGAGTACATTAACGACGAGACAGACCAAGACGTATGCAGGTATGCATTCCCCTTTCCCAAAACGAGAAATAGTTAACCCCCCAGTTACTGATTAGTCTATATTGCTAGTCTCCAATGTAAAGCAATCAATGCAGATCTATGCGGACGTGCACGTTCCAAAAAGAAAAAGACGATGACAGTTATCGGCCATGTTCACGATTATGTAGCAGAAAACATACACGCTAAACTAACCAATTACCAAGAACCCGACTCGATTGCTACTCAATCACCACAACAAGTAACGCAAATGTTGCAAGCACATGAAGTTGAAGTGACAGGAAGCCATGTTCCTAAACCGTTCAGCACGTATGACCAACTGCGTCAAACACTAGGCGAGACTATATTAAAAAATATCGAGTCATTAGGATGGAGCATGGCTACAGGTATTCAAAGACAGGCCGTGACAATTGGTCTTGCGGGCCGTGATATGTTGGCCATTGCGCCTACGCACTCTGGCAAGACGGGGTCTTTTCTGATCCCACTGTTGGTGCATTGTGTTTCTCTCTCGGTACAAGATGATTATAAAAGACGTGCGGGGCCCTATGCGCTCATCATGGCACCCACACGAGAACTTTGTTGTCAGATCGAACTGGTGTGTAAAAGATTAGCTACGGGGTTAAGAAATATGCGAACATGTTTATTGATTGGAGGAGAGCCACTACCAAATCAACTTTTTCGACTTCGTAAAGGATCACAAATCATTATTGGTACACCGGGACGATTATTGGATATAGCTACACACCACCCAAAGTTATTAAGGTTATGGAGCGTCCGAATGCTGGTATTGGATGAAGTGGATGCAATGTTTAGTTTGGGATTCGGCACTCAAGTCAAACAAATCATGGGTAAATTTCCTGACACGACGAAGCGACAAACACTTTATTTTTCAGCCACGATGAGTGATGACAAAATGATGGCAGGTATTTACAAGAGACTAAGGACCCCGATAGAATTAAAAGTGAGCCAGCGAAACAAGAAGGATACGATACCGGAAGCAAGTGACCAGGTACGACAAACAATCATCTGGGTTGATAACAAGAGTAAAGCGAAAAGACTGTTTTCGATTCTGGGAGATTCAAAGTATTTTGTGGTTCCCATCTTGATCTTTGTGGCTAGTCGACTAGGATCTGAATTCTTGACAAGAGCCATCAAGAAAAAATGTCCTCATCTAAAAGTCATGTCAATGCACGGAGATAAAACACAAGAGGAAAGATCCGTGATTATTGAGGGCATCAATCAGGCTGAACCGTTGTGGGATGTGATTGTGTCGACGGATGTGTTGGCAAGAGGTATTGATCTGCCGTCCGTTCGGCTGGTGATAAATTATGATATGACGACAACATTGGATGACTACGTGCATCGTATTGGACGTGCTGTATTACACAAACCCATTCAACATAATGTCAAACAGCAGCTTGGATGGTCTATTACATTTATAAACGAGGTAAAAAAAAAAATACATTTTGTTGTTATCGTTACTTTATATTAAAACAATAACAAATCTTTTTTGTATAGGAGCATCAATATTTGTTTGAATCTTTTGTAAAGATGCTTTCAACTAAATCATTAGCACAAGTCACCCCATTACCCTCTCAACTAAAACGATACTTGTAAATCGTTCATGTTTCAATCCCCCATATTTATATATACCATTTTGAAACTTATAAATGATAAAAAAAAAAAACCTTTATAGTTTCAAAAAAAGAAAACAAACAAATGCAAGCCTTCTTAATCAGATAACGCATACATGTATAAATAGGGAGAGCAAATGTTGGACAACCCTTTTTTCTCTTTTGACTGTAGATAATCAAAAAACGTCACATTATAATAATAATAATAAAAAAAAAAATGTTGAAAAAAATTTCAGGCACGAAAAAAAAGATATTTGCAGGTTCTTCTCTTTCATTATTTTGTTATACGATGCCGCAGATATTGAAAAGAGTGGACACGCAGAGCTTGGTGATGTTTGTAAAACAACAGGGCGGACTAGCGTTGGTGTCTGCAGTGGCTGCTACTTCCTTACTTTACTACTTGTTTCACTCCACCACTCATGCTGCTCATGTCGTTGAAAGCGTTCGAAAAAGGGGAATCTCTAAACGAAAATTGTTAACAAGACCAGAAGAAAAATATGCCAGTTTAAAGGTAAAGAAGAAGAATGAAAATCAGGGCCGGGCTCTCAAAAAAAAAAATTAATCGCAAGTGTAGGTTGAAAAGCGATTTGTCAATCCTTTTGAAGAGTGGACAGAAATACCTTTTTATAAGACTGCGTTATTTTGGATGGGTCGATGGAAAGGAAATGGTATTCCTTCATGTGAAAAAGTAAGCATCACTTTTTTTTTCAATTTTTGTTTATTTATTGACATGGATATACTTTTTTTTTTAGGAGTTGGATAAAACTTTACCTGTGATGAAACCAGACTTAAATCGTATTAAAACGTCTAATGCAGTAACATTTACTTGGTTCGGGTAAAATATAGGCTCCCTTTTTTTTTTTTTTTGTGAGTGTGGCGTTCCCAACTAACCCTTTGTATCACCAAGGCAATCCACTTGTCTCATGACACTTGACGGGTTGACTATTTTGTCTGATCCGGTGTTTAGTAAATGCTCGATTAACGATTATCTTGGTCCCAAAAGATTAAGACCTATACCATGCCAACTAGAAGACTTTATTGACACTGTGGATATTGTTGTTGTCTCACACGATCATTTTGACCACTTGGGTAACTAGGCAACCCTTATATATAAAATTTAATTGTTATTTATTAATCAATATCATGGTTTATATATTTTTAGACGAAGCAGCTGTACATAAATTGGGAAATTCCGTCGTTTGGTACATCCCGCTTGGCTTGAAGAATTGGTTTTTAAAGCGAGGCATTCAAAATGTGATAGAATTAGATTGGTGGCAAGAAGTAACGCATGAAAATAGACCGGATGTAGTGATCTCTTGTGTGCCTGCCATGGTAAAAATATAAACATTGATGCAAACCTACTTTTTTTTTTTTTTTTTTTTTTTTTTTTACTTAATCAATTATTTAGCATTGGAGTGGATCTAGAACTCCGTTTGAAAAAAATAATACCTTGTGGTGTAGCTATGTCATCAAGTCAAAGAGTGATAAAATCTTTTTCTGGTAGGAAAAAAGAATAATAATAGATGTGCCCCTTTTAAATAACTATCTTACTTATATATCATTTATAGTGGTGATACGGGCTACAGTCCAGAATTGTTCAAGGCGATCGGTGATAGATATGCACCAATCACATTGGCGGCTATTCCCATTGGCAGCTTCATGCCTACAAAATTAATGCAGCATCTCCATATGGGACCTGAGGATGCCATCAAGGCCCATTATGATTTAGGCTGTCCCAGGCTATCTGTAGGTATTCATTGGGGCACATTTATGATGTCAGATGAACATTATTTAGCACCACGACAGGTACTGGAACGGGTTTGGGAAACCTATCAAGCGGAAAAACAAGACAATGACATGCAATCCATGAATTATGTAAAAGACACTAAATTCACCACTACTGCATTTGGTCAAACTGTTATTTTAGACTAAAAATAAAAAAAATAAAAAAGAGAGAAAAAGAGAGTTTTTTTTTTTTTTTTTTTTTTTTTTGTTTGGTTTGCTTTGTGTGTGGAGCTGCAGAATCCACAAATTTTTAATGTGTACAAGTAATTTAAAATGCTTGGTTGTTCTATACTTGTTTAAGTAAAGATCACAATATATTCTGTATTTCAATTGAAGGTGGTACTAAATATAATTGCAATAAATTTTGGGGGGGAGAGAATATTATATTAAAGGAAGAGGAGAAACAATTACTCAATGGAAAATTGGGAAAGACCTCTTTTTTTGGTTGTTAAACCTCGATGTAGAGTTTCTAAATAAGTAAAATAGGTAAAGACTCCAAAAAGATTACAAATGTAGCATATTTATTTTTTATTTATTTATTTATTATATATATATATAAAAAAAGAAAAAAGAAAGAGAAACTACATGTAGTTGAGGAGCTTACAAGAACCACCTTGGTAAATGTCAACACTGGTAGTACGGTGAGCTTTGTCCAATTTCTCGTAGTTATCCATGGAGTAAACATAGAAATCAATGTGCTTTCCATTGAAACTCCAAGATTGATCATCAACTAATAAACAACCATTGTGGGTCTTGCTGGAACCAGGAACCTTCCAGCCGACGAGAGCAGGGACGTAAATCTTGGTGTTCTTCTTGATATCATTGGAGGCAATTGTGATGTAAGGCTTAAGAGCAGTACCGAAAGAGGTCAAACCATAAGGATCACTCTTCTTGTCAACCAATTCGAAACACTTGTATCCAGTACAGGTACAGCCACCGAGGTTAACAATCTTGGAGCCAACAACACCAGTACCTTCCATAACGAGGGCATCGGCATAGTTTTCAGGAACGGAACCAATAGAGGCACCGTTACAGGTTCTGACAGTAACAGCCTTACCACCCTTATAGTCACTGGGTTGAGCAATCCAGTAGTAAGTAAAAGCAGACTTGGACTGTAACTTCTTACGGGTTTCCTTGGTAGAGGTAGATTTTTTGGTAGTCTTCTTGGTGGTCTTTTTGGTGGTCTTCTTCTTGGTAGTGGTCTTCTTCTTGGCAGCCAACTTTTTAACGCTGGAAGAGCTCTTCTTGACACAGTACTTCTTACCGTTGTTGAGGTTAGGACAGCCATTCTTGATTTGAGGATTCCAGTCATAAACGTTGTTTAAGGTGATACCGTACTTCTTTGCGATCTTGACACAGGTATCGCTACCAGAGACAGTATGGTACTTTGAGCAGTCAGTAGCACGCTTAGTCAAAATGTGGGATTCGACATCGATTTCTTCAGACAAGTCGAAATCAACTTCTTCAGCGTCATCTGCATCAAAGGCAGCAAGATAGGATGCTGAATATTCCTCGCCACCGTGAACAACAGCAATGTCATTGACGGTGTTAAGGGCAGCACTGACAAATTGTCCAGTGCTGAGGAAAAGGAGGCCAAGTGTGGCTAAAGAGAGAGATTGAAGGTGCATTGATAGTTTTTAGTTGTTTGTGATGTGCGTGCTGATAAGTTTTGGAGGTTGAATTATTTTTTTATGAAACAGCGTCCCTAAGAAGAAAAAGGTTATGTAGGGATTGAGTAAGGAAAGGAAAGGGCGGTTAAAAAAGAGAAATAAGCGGAACGCTGAAGAGAAGGGTTTTTTTTAAGAATAATTAAAGAGAAAAAAGAAAAAAAGAGTTTTTAAAAATAATGATTTGGTATTTGTAGTAAAAAAAAAAGAGCAAGGGAAAGCGGGAAAGAATGTAGTACAAGTATAGATTGCATTACTTTATTGTGTTGCCTTATAACTTCCGCCAATTCTATCGTGTGTTCAAATATTTAATAACTGGGGGGTGCGTGAGTTGTGCTGTGAATATGGGTTTTTTGGTAAGCCAAGATTAAACAGACGAACATAAAATTGAATATGAATTACTCTACTCGTACCATCTTTTTTTTTTTGTAGTAGATCAGATATAGAGTCAAGAGATATTTCTCTACAGCAGTAAAAACTCGTGTCTGTTATAAAATATTCGCATCCTACAGTCACCAATTATGGCTCAACATAGTGTCTATTTACCTTTTCTGGTATTTTGGTGTTACTATCAAACAGAAACAAGAATAGGTACACTGTTTCCTAATGAAGCGATTGGCCGTCTTATATATGATACCTTGGCTTTTTCATTTTATATTACTTTTTTTGGTTCAACCAACCAGGATCACATGAATAAGGTCAGTAAACAATAGCCCACTGACCACCTTTCTCTTTTGTTCAAGTAATGGACTTATTTGACAAACAACAACAAAAAAATTTTTTTTTAAACAAGCGATTACTAAAAAACACACGGCCCAAGACGCGTTTTTTTTTTTTTAAGGGTGCCTTTTTTTAGTGCCAAAAAAAAATAAAATATTTATTTTTACACTTGATTCCCTTTTTTATTAAAATAAAACACAGAAATATATTATGCTTGGAGTTGAGCCAAATCAGTTAATTAATATCACTGAGGAAAATTTACATTGCCACCATTTATTGTTTAATCAAGATGTCACCACGGCGACCTACGATCCACAAAAAGACTGTTTTAGTACCAAAACAACACAATTATCGTTTCGAAGAGCAAAGTAAATTTCTATTAGAATATTGGGTAATATAAATATTCTTTATTAAAAAAAAAATTACAACCTTAGGTTGAATGGAATCATTGTTGTACAAAAAACGGTATTGTCAAACTATTGCATTTGGTTAGGCAAGTTGGTATAAAATTAACAAATAAAAAAAACAGGGTGTTAACACATATTTTGCGCAGACGATGGCACAAGTGTAATCAGGGTCATATTACCAAAATCAGTCCTCAAAAGAGAAGACGCCGACTTATTGGTTGTTCCAAACAACGTCACTGTATTTGGTAAAGTAGAGCTGGTGGACAAGGAACATGTGCTTACCTCTGATGGCTTCCGAATTGAAACGAATGAAATTATTGAAATATACCACTGGCTTCGAGTCTTACAAGAAAGACCAAAGACAACACTAGCAAAAGGGGATAAAAACATGTTTTGTACCTTGTCTTCACTACCTTCACCCACACGACTCTTAAAGGATAATTTTCTTGGGTCACCCATTCGAGGTTCGCAGAATACAGGTTACTTGTGGTCACCGGATCATTCATTTGCTACATCCACACCTATTCGCGCAGTACAAGAATCACAAGCAGCATCTCCTTTACGACAACGTTCCATTAAACTCGTACCCGTACAAGAAGATGACGATGATGAGTTTGATGATTTTGGCTCAATTGACCTGATCGCCCTGGAAAATAATGCTCTCATGATGGCTTCTAATAATAAACGAAAATTTGACTTTGCTAATATGGATTAATAAAATACCTCGTTGTCACACCTAACAACCATAAAATTATTCATGTCTCTGGCGGAGAGAGAATAAAATTTAGGGGGACTTTTATCACCCAAGCCCAAAAGCTTACTGATGTATTACGACAATTTAAAAGTAATAATGGATTACAAAACGCGCGCTTTCTTTTTCTGTTCATAGGATTTTCTGCAAAGCACGGATGACTGGTGCATCACACATGTAACTATTTTAAATGTTAAAGAAATATCATCTCTTTTTTTAACTAAAAAAAAAAAAAAAAATGCTTCAGCGCCCCCATCACAAGGTCAAATCATATGCAAATCGCACACATAGCATTTGGACCAATAGCTAAACCCTTTTATACTTGATATGCATATCTTAAATTGTCATCGACTTGACGTAATCTCGTACAATCAATAAAATGTGCATACATATTGTTATAGATTGTAATAATTAACACATGTATAAACTGTCTTGTTTGAAATGGAGAATGTCTACACCTACGTCTTTTTTTTTCTTTCTTTCTACATACATTTTATTCAATCACGTGTTTTTTAAAAAAATTATTACGTGACCTTAGTCTACATATATGTCATGCTTCACTATTGATACATGCTGTTACTGAAATGCTGATAGACAATTGACAAGTTTCGGATTGCTTGTGTTTAAGCTTGAGTGGAATATACAACCTCATCTCTATTATATATGAGGGCTGAAACATATGCATGATTATCAGTTTATAAATAAGACTCGTTCACATGATCCTCTGATTAAATAAACAATTGAATAATCTTGACATAAGCCAGCTCTTGTTTATTAGTCTACAAATAAAACTCATTCGAATATTTTTTTACAACCCTTCTTCTCTTCATCCTCTTCTGCAGGTCATGGTCTTAATGACCCATCTTCATTATCTGCTCCAAGTACAACTGAAGCAAAAATTGAATATACTATTTTTCACATAATTACTAACGTATACCGTGTATGACCAGCTTTATGATGCTGACGTCAAAGCATAACATGACGTGTAGTATAGCTTATCGGTGGCGTGTGTTGTTTAATCAAGTGTATGGTTAAACTGTTTCTCTGGTAAGAATGGGAGCAAAACGACACAAGAGCAAGGTGTCAAAGAACTCGTTGGACGTTTTAGATGGTGTTGTGTCTCTTTAGAGTAGCAGAAGACGCTTTTACAAGACGAGGTTCCGGTATGTCGGAATGTCAAGAAATACATTGAAATTTGCAAAGACAAAGCAAATAACAATGAATTTACCTTGCAAACTGAAATATAACAAGTACTAGCAAGTAAGGGTATTATCCTCCTGAAGGAAGGCCAATTCTGTTCAGAACTTGTCAACAGAGACATTAATAAGTTGATACCGAAGTTTATTTGGAATTAGCCACATTACTTCGTGATATAAATGACAAAACTGACAGACGAGCTCTTAAGATCTTGTAGACAACAAGATCCTTACCCACCGGTCTTACCAGTTCTTGTGATCTGATAGGTCTGTACATGTTCAGCATGTACTCTCCTGGACCGCAACGCGTTAAAGTTCACCTCCGTAAATAGCGCCGCCGGGGCAAATTACATAAAATATGTCTACGAAAAGCAATCAAAGAGGATGGCTTGCTTGTCGAGATGTTCGTCAATTTGGTGACCAAGTTACCCAACATTCAACGGCTTTCTCTTTTGGGAGAAATGGGACTAAAGGTTAATTTCTTGGATCCTATCTTCACCTATGTATTCCGTATTGCTCCGATTCCAACAAAAATCTTGTATGGATAAACCGTAGAGATGACAACACAACAGTATGCAGGCCAGATGCAACGATGGGGGTGTTAACACAAAAAGCAGAAAATGTTACGTTAGGCTATTCAAGAAGTTAAGCCATTATATGTCAAATCCGATGCTGAATTGGCTTAAACCAAACCGAAAGGTACTTGCTATACGGTGGGTTTTCACTTGGTATCCGAGCATTCTGAAGGCCTCGCACAAATTACCTGGTCTTAGGTCAATCAATATTTTATCATATTGATTGGCCCGAATTATTAACTGAAAAATTCTCATTAGCTGATACTTCAATAACAGATTAATGAGAGTCAAAAACGACCAATAATAATATGATTCCCAATATATAATCTGTAACAAGATTATACTGGTAATATGAGAGTACCGCTCTAATATTATAATTTTAACCTTACTGAAAGTCATTCTATACGATGGTTATTAGAGGAAATACGACTGGCACATCTTTTGCAATGGATACCATAAACCCCAAACGTCGCAAGAGAAGAATCCCTTCTTTCTCTTTGGTTTGAGGTTTCCCCCCTTCCCGTTTATAATATATCCCCTCATTCATTCATATATCCTATACCTATCATTAAATCATATTTTCATGTCTAAATATCACTAATTCACGGGAAAACTAAGATCAATTGTACAATTCTCTACTATACTTTTTACGTACTTTTATTATAAACAGTGCTTATGTTGGCTGTTCATTCAGACAATCTTCAAGAATATAAGTGTTTTCTGGAAAATTGACCGCATGCCTCAATAATTCTTGTTTTTAGATCATCAGTATTCCCAAATTGGCTACGTCTTACCTCCTCATTTTACAGCTGCTCATAATTGTTCAACAGGATTCAGTCCAAGTGAATACGGGAGAAGGCAGACACGTTTATATCCTCTGCTTTCAATCGACAGGCCGAGCTCACCGTTTTTACTATGAATAGACGAGTTATCCATGGTCATATAAATATCTTTAAATTCTAAATTCTTATCCACATCATCCATAGTTTTACTGATAAAGTCGATATAGTGACTAGCATTGGTTCCACTTGGTATTTTTTTCTTCCTTTTCCGAGCCCCTACAACTTTAATTATTTGGGGGGGGGGGGGAGGGAGTGTTAAAGGAATACGACTTTTTCATGTTAACTACTTCCAATCACAGAGATTGTGCCGAGAGTTATATGACTAACTGCTCGTGCTGAAGGTGTGTGGTAACTAAATGGCAGGAGTGCCTCTAATTGATCTCGCCATAAGTGGTTTTATGTTGATATCAAAAGGCGCTCTCGTCGATGAAGATACGGTTTTAAGTGTAGTCCATAGCAGTGTTCTATCAAGCTTCTTCCCATTTACGTCTTTCTTTAATTTTAGCACTTTGACTTCTAGTAACTGGATGATGAAGATGATGATGGTGATGATGATAGACAGACCATATTAGATATCCATCAACGATCATCCTTTATGAAGATAATACTACATGCAGCAGATACAAGTAACACAGTGTGCTCATGGCCTAATTTTGCAAGCAGTGGTCAGATCCCATTATACAAGAATTCTTTTTCGGCAAGGAGATGAGGATAAACTAAACAATTTTTTACGGTTTCTCCTGGAATGGATCGAGATTTGGCGACATAATCCAGTATCAGTCTGAAATTTGGGGACTATGTCATCAAACCTTAATTTTGAAGCATTGACAGGACCTCTTACCGGGCACACATGTATTTGTTACCAAACTGGAGGAAAACCGAAATAAAACGGTCCAAACTAAAGTCAAAGTCCGTTTGCCACATCCATCACCAGCTATGTTACCATTGATTTTTTACAGCAACGGTTTAGTCGTTGTTCTCCCTTTAGGAAAGTAAGTGTATTTGCTGGGATGATTGCTCTCCCTTCAACATCACCATCAACATCATCATCTCGTATAATTAAACCAAATGTCGATCCTGCGTACGACCCGTTATTCTGAATTCATGGTGTCTCCTCCGATATCTTCGAAATCTTCTGAATTAAGAAGAAATAGTGCTGATCATCGTCTCATGACTTTGATCTCTACATCAAATTAGAAGAAGGGAAGAAGAAGAAAAAACTGTATTATAGAGAAACAAGTATCTTGTTTATTGTTGTATTATTATATATATTTTTAGAAAAAAAATAAAAAAAAAAAATAGGTTATTATAGGGAGTTGTTGATCAATAAAGCCACGTTGTGTTGTACTACCAACCCAAGTACACAAATTGAATCATGCGACCGCGCGCTTTTTCAAAAAAAAAAAAAAACTATTTAAAAGGCCCAATGTGGTCCCCCATTCTTTGACCTTTTTTTTTTCTTCTTTGCAAATATTATATAATGATAAATGTCAGTACCTTTTAATATCACTTTAGAATCCATACTCGAATCCAGACATGAGCACCTATTATACCATGATTTTATTTTCTACCTTCGACAAACGTACTGTTTAGAAAATCTGCTGTTTTATCAAGACGTACAGGACTACCGACGTAAACCTAATGCAGATTGTTACCAGTACATCATCACACAATACATCCTCGTGGATGCTGCACAGGAAATCAATATTCCGTGCGATATGCGTCAAGAGCTCATTCTAAATCGAGATTATGGCAAGTCTACATTTGATGAGGCGGCTGAATCTATTTTGGAACTCATCCGTGTCAATTCTTTCTTACCTTGGTGGCATCAACGTAACGTCAATAGAAGAAATACCTTATCGCCTTCCAACTCCGTGCCAGAACATCGATGGCCATCCTCCAATTTCTTTACAAATAGGCCTAGTTTTAATTCCCTAAGAGACGTAGACGTTTCTTCAAAGCAAAAAAGATCACTGGGTAATTTATTTCAACAAAAGACACTGGCGATGATGGTGCGTGTTAAAAAATCCTTTGTAAAATAGTTATATAATAAAAAGTGCATGTATTTTGAAGCTCTGTACACATTTATTAAATGCTTATGGTATCATTTCCCTTTTTTTTCTTTCTTCACGCTTGATCAATATCATTCGTATTATTGTCCTTAATAGCACTCTCAACTTTTTCCGTATAGTCGAAAAGGATGTCTCGTTCGTCACGTTGCAAGTATTTCGTAATATCGTCCGTCAGGTTTGCAGTATAAAAAACCGTTCCTGGCATCGAGAGTGATATCGTAATGTTCTGTTCAACAAGTTCTGCTAAACGATATACGGCACGTTCGAAACACTTTAAAGAACTCGTATCAGTACCTGCTGTCTGAATTTGCACTATACGTTCAGTAGATCTCATTAATTGGTTATACTTGACATAGATTCTTGTCTTTGAACTCATGGCCATGTCTTCCAAATGTCCTTCCAAAAGTAAGAGTTCGACTAGTTCGGTGGGGAATAGAAAGTTGGCATACATGCCCTAATATATATAGATGGTGCGTGTCAGCTATTTTATCACACTTTGTGATATAAGAGAGAAAGAAAGACCTACATTCGCTTCGTAATACTGTTGATAGCCTGCCACTAAAAGTTGTACACAATCGTACCATGCTTGACTTAATTGTGTTGGTGAGCCTTTGATGTTGATAATTCTACCCCAACTAGAGCCTTCTACCTGACAAAGTTGAATGAAAACATTATGCGAATCTTGAATTTGTCTGACAGATTGTCCCTTGGGCCCAATAATTGCTCCTGCATGGTTTCTCGGTAGAAGAACTCGAAGGTTGGGTACTGAAAGCGAATAGCCTTTAGATATTTGCTCCAAAGTTGCTAAATTCATAATGCATAATACTCGAAAAAAAAAAAAAAAATTATGAACAAGTCAGTTTGGATAAATGATGAGTCACAAATGGCCAATAAAAAAACGAGTTGATTTTTTTAAAAAAAAGATAAATATCTAAATGGGAGGAGCTGTGGAATTATTGAAACTTTCCTTTTCATTCTATTAGAATAATCTTTTTTTTTTTTTTTTTTTAATAAATAATAATGGCTCCTACAAAGAAAGTCGGTATTCTCGGTGCTACTGGTACTGTAGGTCAACGTTTTATCCTCTTGTTGGCAGAACATCCCATCTTTAGTATCCATGCTCTTGGTGCTTCTTCTCGTTCAGCCGGCAAGGCTTACAAAGACGCTGTCCGTTGGAAACAAGCTCGTCCTATTCCTGAAAATGTTGCACAATTGACTGTTAAGGCCTGTGATGCCGATCTTTTCAAGGACTGTGATGTTGTCTTTTCCGGTCTTGATGCTGATATTGCTGGTGATATTGGTAAAGTGTTATATTAAATGACAGGGTCAAAAAAAAAAAGATTAGATTAGATCAAGTAGTTAATGTGTTGATATAGAAATGGCCATGTTGAGAAATGACATTCCTGTGTTTTCTAATGCAAAGAACTATCGTCGTGATCCCAGTGTTCCATTGATTGTACCTACTGTCAACTCAGATCATTTTGATTTGATCGCTCATCAACGTACCCTCAACAACCTTTCAAAGGGTTTCATCATCACCAACGCCAATTGTTCAACCACCGGTTTGGTTGTGCCTTTGAAGGCATTGCAAGACGCTTTTGGCCCCATGAGTCATATTCTTGTCAACACGCAACAAGCCATCTCCGGTGCCGGTTATCCCGGTGTCCCTAGTTTGGATATTCTCGATAATGTTGTTCCTCATATTGGAGGAGAGGAAGAAAAGATGGAATGGGAGGTAGCAAAGATCCTTGGTGGTATTGCATCTGATAAAAAGAGTTTAGAGCATCTCCAAGAGACAGTTGTGTCTGCTACCTGTACTCGTGTGCCTGTTCTTGATGGTCATCTCGAAACCGTTTCTGTCAAATTTGCTAATGGTAGCCCTAGTGTTGAAGAAGTCTATAAAGTACTTGAAGAATATACCTCCGATGCAGAGAAATTGGGTTGCTACTTGGCTCCTCAAAAGCCTATTGTTGTAACCTACGATGCTGATAGACCTCAACCTCGTCTTGATCGTGAAAACTTGAAGGGCCAAGCAGTGACTGTAGGTCGTGTCAGAAAATGTCCTGTCTTACACATCAAGTTTGTTCTTTTGGTTCATAACACAGTGCTCGGTGCTGCCGGTTCTTCTGTTCTTAACGCTGAAATCGCTGTTGCCAAGGGTTTAATCTAGATATATATATATATATATAAAATGCATGTATAAAATAAATAAATGAAAAAATAGTGTCTCTGTACTACAGTGTAACCCTTAAACAGAAAAAAGTTTTTGTCGGCATTTCTAATTCATGTGGCCCGGACTAAAAATGTCCGGCTAATTCTATAAGGGGAAGATGGGAGATGCGTGGAGTTGATGGGGGGAGGGGGGGGGGTGGATGGATATTAATTTTAAAGGTGCATAACCAAAGCAAGCCTTCTTTCGAAATAAATCAAAATGGTACGGTAGAAAATCAACATGCATCCATTTAATTTGAAATAGAAAGAATGCATTGTGAAGAATCATCAATCAATCCATGTATCTCATCAATCACCCATGATCATCCTTTTTTTTTCTTTCTTTCAATTCCAACAATGCTGAATTCACAATGATTCTTTCTGGGTCAAATTGAATGGGAAGAGTTATAACATTGACAGACCACTAACATTATTTCATTCGTTATTTTTTTTTTTACCAATTATTTTTAGGCCGACGCTGCTGTCACTATCAGAACTCGCAAGTTCCTTACCAACCGTTTGCTCCAACGTAAGCAAATGGTCGTCGATGTCATTCACCCTGGACTCGCTAACGTCTCCAAGGAAGAACTCCGTTCCAAGATTGGCAAGATGTACAAGTCCGAGAAGGAAGTTGTCTCTGTCTTTGGTTTCAAGACCCATTTCGGTGGTGGAAAGACCACTGGTTTCGCCTTGATCTACGATAACGTTGAAGCCCTCAAGAAGTTCGAACCCAAGCATCGTCTTGTCCGTATCGGTCTTGCTGAAGCCCCCAAGGGTGGTCGTAAGCAACGTAAGGAAAAGAAGAACCGTGAGAAGAAGTTCCGTGGTGTCAAGAAGGCAAAGAAGCCCAAGAAGGAGTAAATTTCTTGATGTTTTTTCTTTCTTATACTTGTATAAAACACATAGAAAATATATTATTATTTCATTTTTTCTAATATCCACTATCACGTCTATCTAAAAAAACACTGTCTATGAAAAAAAAAAAAATTAAGGGGGATTGGAGATTATCATTGCCGCATGAATATTGGTCGAGATAAGCACGCGTCTTATCAATCTTTAGGATGATCAACAGCTGTGATTACACGTGGTTAATGGTTGTGATAATGGGGCATGAGGATTTATTATAAGTGGTAGCTCCTTACAGAGTATTTTGACATTTGGGCCGTGATAATCTCTACAAGTTAAGGGCAGACAAAGACCATCCTCTCAGAAAAGTTTAGAGCCAATAAAACCATCTAATACCTCTTCACACGAGATACATTAAGAAAAGACATAACAGATTGAGAAAAAAAAAAGAAGACATTGTGGTTTTTACTATTTATAAAAAAAGTGGAGACTCGCTAGCCAGTTTCAGTGAAGAAAACTGCCCAAGTGCAACTGCGAGGAAGTCAGTCTCCGTGTGCACTCACCCTCAATTTTTTTGTTTTTGATGGCTATAAAACGGGGCTCTAGTAAATCACTACCACGAGGTCGAAACACTATGTTCTCAGCGTTGCAACGTGCATTCACTACTGAAATTACGCCATATACAAGCCGATTACCAACTAATCAGACGAGGGACCCATTTCTTTCAACTCATGAAGCACGACCGGCAAGTAGAATGTTGCTTTGAATCAGCTAACAACTCCCGCTCTTAAGCTAGGGCTTCGTGAAATATGCTCCTCAAGGTAAAAGTGTTGTTGAAAACGCTTTAGTAGCTTGTTAAAGAACCACAAAGGGCTGCCACATATACCAAGTGGGAAAGGTGATGTTACCCAGGACAGACCGTCAAAATTCAGTACTCCAGCAAAAAGCCTAGGAAACCTGGCATCTTCGGGGACCACCCCAAATGGCACTTGATAACAAAGTACTCGAATAAAGCGACCAACCTGGAGTCCAAGATGTGTCGTGTGCTTTCGTGTACGCTCATCAGGAATCACCCTAATAGGACCCTTGGCACGAAGAAAAAAGAAAAGAAAAAAGAAAAGAAAAAAGGCTTAAAAAAAATTTCTTGACTATAAACAAACGAACTGACGTCACCTGCTTATCAGTCTAGAAAGCACATTGTAGTCATGTACTATAGAAGGCTGTAGGAATTTTTTTAAGTTTTTAAAGACTGTAAAGCTATATCATGTAACACGCAAAATGCTTGCCACTTGAAAATAGCAGAGAAGAATTATGCCTAAAACTCATTTATCCCAAGAATAGGGTGGCTATTTTGATGAAGAAAAAAACTAAAGCAAATTATAAATGATTGGGATTGTGAGTTCTATAAATGATGAGATGGTTTTAACTAAACTTGAGAGTTAAAAAAGAGGAAGAGAGAGGGAGGGATCGATTAGGGAAAAAGACCATACGCGACAAGCTGTCATCTTTTCAACAACCGCTTGTTGCAAAAAAAAAAATCTCTCTTTAACACCTTACAATCAGAGGCTGTCATTTTCCGACCAAAGTAACACCGTGCAGTAGTAGAAGGTTTAATATAAAGCTCCAGGCGGCTATAAAGAGTTAGTTGCTTGAAAGGCGGGACTAGTCTGAACCGCTGTGGCCACTCGATGCATGAATAATGTGGGTTGTGTAACGTTCTTGATGATTCTTTTTCCTTAACGGCAGAATGACTGTGCTTGTTAATACATTTGCAAAAAACCTTCTTATTGCTAGCAAACAATAAGCAGGGCTAGATAAAAAAAAATAAACTCATACATGATTGCAGACTGATTGATCAAAGTCGGGGCATAGTATATTTTATTGCGGACGGTGGCAGTTCATTTATCGGTCACACCAGTGTAAGATATCTCATTAACATCATTATTGGGGAACCAATGTCTTGATGGCGTAAAACCCTGAAGGGCATTCTGCTCCTAATAATTTGGGACCCCTTTATTTGAACTTGCTACCTTTCTGGCTACTTGGCGTAGGTTCAGGACAAAATTCCGGGGTCTTATAGATTGTATGGTAAGACTAACTATCTTTCTTCAATGTTTAACCTTGTATTTCGTGCTTGCCTCACTTGCAGCTTTTGCGCTTTTTTTAAGCTTTTTTTTTTACTCCCTCCCCCTCCCCCCTCCAACTTATGGCGGATATTTGAAAATGGTGATTGATGGTGTCCTTGGTGATCTTTGGTATCCTTGGTAATCTTTGGTGTCCTTGGTGATCTTTGGCGATCTTTGGTAATCTTTGGTGTCCTTGGTGATCTTTGGCAATCTTTGGTGATCTATGGTGTCCTTGGTGCTGGAATTCGTGTTTGTCTGTAACAAAATTAAGTTTTTGCCTGTAGTGACTGAAGACGTTTTATTTGTGATCTACTTAAACACCTCTCTTTTCATTTAATAGTATTATTCTTTAGCCATAAAAAGATGCTTCTAGTAATTGTCCTTATAAATACGCAAACGTATAATTAGATGCTTTAAGTAAAGAAAGCCTGAAGTTTAAGGTATGACAAATGCTTAGCTGCTTCTTTCTTTACACCAATTGTTTATTATGTCTGTTCAATAATCCTGTTAACCTCCATTTGGTACAACTTGACAATGTACTTGTGCTTATACGCCCAACTCTACTCAACCATACCACATGCGTCCGCTAAAATTGTTTCTACAGCTCTTACTAGTACATTTATTACTTTTATTAGTATTACATCTTTCACAACATCTTTTCGGCCAAATTTAATCATAGCTCCTGTGCATAGTCAAATTGTTCTAATTGCTAACTCAATAGATGTCGATTTACTAACCCAGACAATTCCAACTACATAACGATGGGAATTTTTAATTACCTGCCAAGAAATCCTTCAGATCACTGATAACGGGCTGTAGTACATTTATGATATGCATCATAATCGTGTATACGAATATCCAAAAAGCTTGGAAAACACGAACCGATAGTCGTGGTCTTCATGTGGTCAACTGGGTTTATAATAATAACGTGCCTCGTAATTTTAAACTGAGGTGGTGTTTGTACAGATGATCCACAGGCACATTATGTTCTACAACTACAGCGTAAGAGAAGTGCGCATGAGAAGTAGACGCCCCTCAAAGTGCATGATATTTACAGACTTATTTATTTATATAAAGACATCTATGATAAGGCTGCGAGTGTCTTTTTCGACTCTTCAATTTTATCGTTCGAACTATAACTTTGGCCTATAATTTTGCATGAGATTCGCTGTTTTTTTTTCTATAGCCCTTTCTCGTTTTATTTTTTTACCTCGTTTGTCTGCCTCCTGTTGTTCTTTGATATAAAATTTTCTATCCCATTCAATGGCCTTTTGTTGAATAAAAATCACTGTACCGGAAACGTGTAATATATGTAAACTGCACGGTGTTGTTTCGATTTGTTTAATGTAGAACATGGAAGCTAAAAAAATGTCTGTGTAATCTCTTGGAATTCGAAGTATACCGATTCTTGTTGTTGAGTTATACCATTTCACTAAAGGTCAACGTTTTTTTTTCTTTCTCTTAATATCGTTGTTTTGTAATCACTTCATAGATCTAACCTGTCACACTGCCTTGTCCTTTTCCAAATGCACCATGATTTAACTCCACAGCTTTAAATATGCTTTTACTGATCATGTAGTCATTAACTTCGAATTGGGTTTTGTTGTAGACGACTACACCATTTTCAATAACAGGATCTTCTGCAATTTGAAATAATACCCAACGGTTCTTGAATCTAACCATGTCAATGTGTTGAAAAGTGAAAAAAAAAAGTATTTTATTCTTTTCGTTCTCCGTTGTATATGTTTTTTTTTTCACAAGGCGTGTCGTGTTTGGCTGTCAAAAATAATAACGTGAATGTTGACTCTTGTTTGTTATACAACATTTTGATTACGTTTCATGACGATGTCCCTAACATCCGCGAGCTTTGAATATGGATGGCATCATTAGTATGGATATTTGTATAGCGTAGTGAACCATCCCGTCATACCGCGGTTTGCAAGTCGCATTATATGCTGCTAAACTAATACAGTTTAAAAGTGCACTAACATCACTGTACAGATATATTGAATCATACCATTGATCTAGTTTCATATGAAGTCTTTCATCCTAAAGACTAGGACGTGGGTATAAACATCGTCTTATTAGTTATTGTCGACCATGAAAAGAAATTTAGGAAAAGATAAATCTTTTTATTACTAAAACATGTGTACTTTCAAAAAGTTAAAAAAGAGATTCTTCGCCTAGATTGCATAAGCTTCTTCGAGACATTTGAGCTTCAACTTCAGGTTGGTAATTTTTTTGTCGTACATTTGGATTTCTTCCTTCAGATCCTTTATAATCGACAAGATACTCTCATTAATTGTAATAGGAGTAGAACGTTTAAAGACATAAGTTACTTCATCCATAACATTTGTATTATCTTGAAGTGCTCTAGTATTTGTTCTCCAATTACCTAATTATTAAGATCACAGACAATGTTAATATAAGAAGGCCCACATGCAGAGGGGAAAAAAGCAAATATCTATTATGTACCTCCTCTCGTCATTGATGCACGTAAAAGAAAAGAAAAGCGAGAGTTGATTTCTCCAGTTACAGTTGATAGAAGAAAGAAATAGTTCAATTCCAGATATATCTAATAACGTGAGTTTGATAAATTGGATAACTTTGATAAGTTCGATACTTCTACAAAAAATATGGGAAAGATGACGATATGAGTCACTTGTTCTTGTTAGTAGTAAGCACGCAGATAACAGGATTGTTAAAGATATGCGAATTGGTGATGATGTACAGGTATGTGTAAGTACACAAGCTTTTTATTATTAAAGAAACAGCAAAACACTAAAAAAAAAAAAAAAATCTATGTACATAAATAGGTGGTGATAGAGTGCGCTCACTTGTTTTTTAATTCCTTATATAGGGCTAGCATTTTCTCTTCTTTCCAATCAGCCCATACTTCGTAGATAGAAAGGATTTCTTGACTAATTTCGATAATACTCTTGATATCTACATTCAGATCAGCAAACCATTGCTTCATATCGCGTTGGTCACCAGCGGATCCAGGTGCGAAATCAGCATGATTGAGAACGACGGTAAGATAGATGGCAGCCAAAGCAATGAGGTGAGGCGGGTATAAAAGGCTCACATCTGTTCTATAAGAATCGTTCACGATAAACCATGCATATTGTAATCCTGATTCTCTCATGCCCAGTTCGTTACACACTTGCGTCAATGATCGATATGGATGCCAAACAATCAAGTAAAATTCCAGCTCTTCCAGCAAGTAAAATTCAAACTCGGCTACCTTGAAACTGTCATAAGGAAATCCACCAAACTCGGCTGTTTATAATACATACACATATAGTCATATATTATACACTGGGGGAGTACATATTATCTAATTTTTCTTAAAAAGGGCTTACCTTGGAAAACTACCTTTGCTTCCTGTGTTACCATCTTGATATGAATTGGACATTCTTCAATTTTTGTAGCTAGATATACACAGGTAACCAGGACAAGTATCGGATCCGTACATCGTAGACTATTACTGTATTTATGTGTGAATATAGTGATGATATCTCTGATCCATATGTATCTTACTTTATGTAAAATCGTTTAAAATATACAAATGCTGTAGCTACGACTTGTTGCCTTAATTGTAATCGTTTTGCTAATTTCTGGATTACTGAGAGACAGACTTTGTTAATGTAGTTTAAGCAATGCTCAAGGAAAACGGATCTTACAATGACAAAACCAGATTCTAATCTTCACATAATCCGCTTCGGACACGTATTTTAAATCTTCTTCTTTACTTTTCGCTAAGCTCCATCGGTCGAGCATCCAATGCATTCTGTTTATTGTCAATGGTGTTTTTCAGTTTTAAAAGCAAAAGACAGCTCTTACCTTTGCGACGATGCCCAATAATTAGCTGCCATGATTATAGTGTAAGAGAAAAAGGGTAAAGAGAAAAAAAAAATTAATTTTATTTCTGATTAAAAAAAAAAAAAAAAAAAAAGAGGTAAGGATGAACAATTAATCCGATGTGCTACAAATGTTATTATGGCTTCATGATTCTTTTTCTTTGGCTTTGAACTACTTGAGTGACCTGCTCCATACTTTGACCAGCTTTTTGAATCATTTTCTCAAGTTCCATCATTTGTCGGTCAAGTTTGTTTTTGGCCATTTGAGAGTATTGGAGATGTTCATCAAAGGCTTCATCTTGGTTGTTATGGTTTTGATACTTGACCGAGTCAGTCAAAGGCTCCCTGTTCTGTTGAACAAACTTCAAGTCTTCTTTTCTGGCGTCTGGATCAAGTTTACTCAGGAGCTTCCAAAGTGAATTATTCTCTTGTTCGTCATAATGATATACGGTCTTTTGGTGGTGGTGACCCAATTGTGATAATTGCTTATCTACGCCAGACATTTTTGTAGCGATGTAGATATTGGTTACTAACATGAGTCCCATACAGATTGCGGTCAATTGCGAGTTACTAGGCATACTGGCATTATCAATGAACCAGTTTAATACACTACATAATGCTTCAATAATAAAATGATTTTTGGGTGGCTCAGGTATGACCTCCAAAATTTCTTTTTCGCTACGTTTGTGATGTCTACGCTTGCCTCCTTTCTTTCGTGGTTTAGCTTCTCCCGTATGCTGGTCAAGATACTTGCGCACTGCTGCATCTAGACTTTTGTAGAAATTTTGTTGTCCATCTATTGTAGCCTTTTCGATAGTAGCTATATGTAAATATAAATGATTAGGAAAGAGAGACGTATATGAGAATGAGGGCAAGTTACATTTTAACCAGGATGATTTTGTAAAGTCAACAAGAACAGTGACCAGCACTCGAACTTGACCTTGACCACACCATGAAATACAAGTCTTGGTTTTAACACTAAAGGAGCCGCCGGAAGGCACATCCGGTGTTTGAGTCACCGTCAATTGACAGACGTAATCTTTTGGATCCAAGTGAAGTACATCTTCCTTTAAGTAACATTTTGTAGATTTAGGACCGATAGAACCACCTAGATATTTAATATAGGACGATTCACGAGAATGCACACAATCGTTATTTTTACTCCATTGGCCAATGCACACCTCTATTTATAGTTAAATCTGGGTTCTTATTTAAACAAAAAAAAAAAATCTTTCTTTACCTGTGCTCTTTTCGACCTCACAAAGAAATTTATTCATGAATGAACTGTTATATAACAAATTATACATGGTTTCGATTGTGGTATCGTATTTTTTGTCCATTACGGTAGTTGGAAAATGCTGAGCATTTTTACTGCATTCACAGTCCGTCTTATCTTTGATTTGTGCCACGTCTCGATTTTCAGGATTGGGGGTGGTGGTCGAATCTGTGGCAGGTGGTTCCTTGTTCTTGATGAATTCCTGCATATTTGGACGAGGACCTGCTTCTGAAACCGCCCGGCGTCTGGCCGCTTCATCTGCCATATGCTTTGGGAGTGGTAATGAAGCAAGTGAACTTTGTCGATCTTGAAAGGATGGTTTATCTATATGGAATTTTGACATTTAGTATTTATTGGGAGAATTCCTATATTCGTTGAAGGTTTTACCATCAAGTTGATTTTGCTTGGCAAAGTCCTTAGTTTCTTCTTCTTCAGAGTATGAATAACCTGAAGAGGAAGTAACACTCTCGTCATCTTCTGAATAAGCAACGTCATCATTGTATTTATCACTGACTTGCACGACACTTGCACGAGAAGCTTTCCAAAGTTCTACCATTTGATCATATGCTTGATCACGGGAAAGAAATGAAGCTAGGAAATGCTATTTTGTTTGTTTAGATTTAAACTTTTTTTTTTGTTTCTGTGATGTATATTTACTTTTGAAGAGCATGTAGTTAATAAGATTGCATTTGGAATAAAAATAGCAGTTGTTCTCTTTTCAATATCCTCAATGTCTGCAAATGCGATGACCAACTTTTGGATTTGGTTAAATCACCTTATTTTATCGATCGTGTAACGTTTTCTTTACTTACATTTGTGATCCATCCAAAGATATTTGCATTGAAACAAAGGTGATGCTCGGAAATATAGACTCTGCCTTGTAATAAGATTTCTTTCTGTAGTGCACAACCATAATCTATTGTTTAAGTGTTTAAGAGAAAGAAAGTTTATTTAATACCAAGAAATTCTTACCATCAATTAATCTTTCTCCGTCCGGAACACTTCTAAATAATGTATGAAAATCGTTATTTCTTTTATCATTGGCTAACAATCGAGGAGTAGCTAATGCAATTGAATCTGCAGCGGCAAAGCTCCCTTCTGAACCATCGGTAGCATCAGATCCTCTTCTGGACAACTTTTGTTTGCGATTCTTTTTTCCAAGGTGTGGATACGATCTTTGGGTGGTTAAGGGTTTATCTTCATATTCGGCTTCGGTTGAGAAACTGGAACGACGTGGTTGGGGTAATCTTGGAGATGACCCATTCATGCTTTCATTGTAAACTGCTGAAGGAACTGGTGAAGGAGCGCGTGAGGTAGGTTGAGGTTTAGGACTAAGCGCATTCTCTAGACTAATCGTACTCATTTAGAAGAATATTATGTGTATATAAGAAAAAAGAGTAAGAAAAGGAAAGAGTAAGAAAAATAGGGACGGCTCCAGGGAGTTTTTATTTCATAAGAAAAAAAAAAAGGTGTGTGGACTAAGTGAGTGGAGAGGGGGTTTTATTTATTCCTCAATCTGGTTTCCCATAAATAGACCGGAATAATTAGTATTATCAAAATAGACATTTGTTTCGCGTGGCACATCATTATTTGCAGCTTATGTTTCTTTTTCTTTATTTACCATTTCTTCTTACACGCTCTTTGTCCAGACATGAAAGAATATATAAACCTTTTCCCTGAAACTGTACCGTGAATTTAAGTTTCAACTCGTTCTACTGCTATTTCTGTTCAACTCCCAACTCCCCCAATTACACATACCGGAGTTTACTCTTTCCCGCATATGATGACTTGATCCAATAGAATCTCCACGTTAAGGTTTCGCCGTAACTTTTTTATTACGAGACACATTTCATTGACATAATCTTTTTTACAAGAATTTCTTATTTTCCCTCTGAGTGTATATAATCAGCATTTTTTTTATTTTATCATAGAGACTCTACTGCTCTCTAGTTTTACGATGTGGGGAAGATTTACACTTGCATCAGGCATCACAGCGTCCTGATATACTACTACTTGATCTTAAATGCACCGAAAAGCATTGTTTGTTCTTATCGACAAAATATCTCGAGGTAAAACCTCCCATCACTGTCGATCACAAATCTTGATAAAATATGCGCTGATCCCATACACAATGAACTTGTTCAGGTACACACGCTGCTTTTTAAAAATAGACAAGCCAAATTAAATTCCCATAAATGTAAATTTCATGGCAGCCAATTTCGGTAATAATTCCCCGTTCTTTCGTTGGATATTAAAGTCCTGTTTTCTATTATATGAAAGCTGTATAATCCCTTTAAAATGATTAATAGACCCCATAATTGGAACTTGGATTTGTTGAAACATTCTATATACAACGTGAATGTACATTTAATATAAGCACGCATCATATTTATCCAATTTATCAATAAAAAAAATGATCCCTGTATCTATCAATCATATCTCTTATACCTCCCACTCCCTTTTGCCTCCCAAAAATAGCTTTTAAAAGCATAGGATCATGTAAAATGATTGCTGTTCCTTGTTAATCTTTATTGCGTACTGTCCAACTTTATATTTAGCAGTTAATGATCATTCACAATAACAAAGTAGGCCAGAAATAAGCATCTCTGTAATACTAGTGCATCAACATCCACCTAGCAACATCTAGTAAATTAAGTACTCCAGAACAAAAAAGAAACTCCATTTGGGTGAAAAAATTACTTGTCACCAGGGAAAACTAATACTAGTAAATAATCACTTAAAAGTTGGTCTTCATGGGTTAACCTGAATTTACCAATGCCTTTATCATCAAAAGCCCGCCAAAATTGACATGTATAAGAATATAGACTGCTTTTTTTTTTCTTTGTTTATTATCCATTGTATTCTTTTTCTCTCTCTGTACAAGTACCACCACATCTTTTTTTTTTATAGATACGCTTTAGAGTATAAAAATGAAGTTTGGATTCTTTTCGGCAGATTTTGGTGATCAAGGGCTAATCGACGACGGTAACATTCAATTGACATGAACAAAAAAAGAAGCCGAATTAACCCATGACGAAAAAGGCGCTTGGAAGTTCTGTGGTCTCAGTAAATCCCAAAGAATGTTTGCCTTTGGAGCGTGGTAAGTTTCAGATTAGAAGTATCAATTGACCAGGCATATTCAATTTACTGTAGTTTTGTGTCCGGTGCCCTTTTATCCATTTTGGTAAGTCTGTGTGTATCGGGAATAAGTGCAAAAACAATTTGGTTGACTTTTTATTATTTTAGTCTACACTTGTTTTGTTGGTCGGTAATATAGTAGCGTTTGCTATTCTTTATAGCTGTGGAAATGTGATTTCTTTGTTTAGGTAAGTTTAGAAAGGTCGGGAGCAGATGTCACAATATTTATCGTCTATTTTTTTGGGCAGCTTAACATTTATCATTGGTATTCCGAAACAACTGAAAACAATGTTTGCACCAGGTAAGTTTTAAGAATATTTGGATTGAGTTTATATCGTTGTTAACAAGCCAAACAGTACGTTTTTGGGCCACAGTTGCTTATATCGTCCTGCTTGCATTGACATTGGCCATGTCCATCTGGGTATGAAATTCACGTTTTGGTGTTTGTGAAATGTCGTACTAACTTTTTTCAAATACAGTTGAGGAATTTTGCATTATCCATTGTTTTAGTGATCATCCAGTTCTCCGCTCTTGTCTGGTATTCGTAAGTCTTTATTGTATATATATAAAAAAAAAAGAACATCAGGCTAATAATTAGAGCTTCTAGTGCAAGTTATATTCCTTATGGTCGTGAAATTATTCGCCGCTTTTTCGGAAGTTGCATCACATCAATTTAATATCTAAACGGTCGTTAAGCTCACAGCTCGGCCACTGTAAATATTGGGTCTTTAATAAACGAATACATGACGACAATGTCGAAATTTTTTCAAATCAAAACCTATAAAACTCTGTTAAAAAGTCGTGCCTGAAAATACTTGAGAAGGCATGTGATGATTACGTTAAAACCTAAGCCAATGAAGCATTGACAGACACGACTGTCCGAGGCAACAATGCGTGAAAAATGGTCTACATATAAAAAAAAAGCGAGTCACTCACTGCTTTTCTTTTTTTACCGTCGGCGGAATCTCACGCTAAACATCGAAACACTTTTTTATTTTGTTTCTTATCGTTTTAAATGAAGCTAAATTTATTTTTCACATTTGCTGCTGTCATTGCCGTTGCTCAGGCAGCCACAAGTACTCAAAAAGTATTAAATACAAACGATTCAAAGGCCAAAAATGGACTCAATGTCAAAACTATTATTCACAACCACGATAAACCCAACGTGTTAGAAGCCCATGTTAAAAAATTTGGAGGCGAGACTCTAGCATATGTCACGCCATGGAATAATCGCGGTAAGTCCCTTTTCTGTAGATTTACCAGAAATAAACATGATTTTTTGATTTCTTTTTTTTTTAAACAGGATATGATGTAGTTAAAGAGTTTAAAGGAAAATTTGACTAGTAAGATAAATACTTATACTGCAATTGCATATTTCATTAACAAACAGATAGCGTCTCACCTGTTTGGTACTATATTCAAAGAAGGTAAAAATTCGCCTTAAAAATATACATTGCAATTGACACTCCGTCTCTTTTATTAGATCTCCTATGCAATTTGATTTTGATGGAGAGCATGATGTAGATCAAGGGGTAAGTTATTTTTGTCTTCCTTTTTATGGACGAAGAGAGAGATCGTCTTACATTTTTTGTGTTTAGTGGATGAAAGAAGTGAAAGATATTAAAACAAATATGGGAAAAATTCTACCAAGATTTCAATTTCGTGGATGGACAAGTGAAGATTTAAGAGTCTTTGTAGGAAGTTCTGAAGAATCGGCTGCGTTGGCAAATGAAATCAACCAACAAGTCCAGTAAGATAGAACCCCCCAATCTTTAAAAATAACGCATCAAAATCTCATTTATATATAACAGGAAATATGGATTTGATGGTGTTGTTGTTGAATGTGGATACCCTGCCTTTTTTCAAAAGTTTTTATCCGATCTATCATCTTTATTGCATTCCGAAAAGAAACAGTTAATTGTGGTTTTACCTTCGGTTATCACAGAAGAACATAAACAATTCATGAAGCCAGAAATATTTGATGCCATGGCCAAATACATTGATAGATTTAGTATCATGACTTATGATTATTCAAGCCATGATCCGTAAGTGTATATTTGGATCAGAGTATTTAAACAGTAATCTAAATTTATACTTAGCAACGGAGGCCCCAACTCGCCTATTGAATGGATTATGGATAACATTGATTATTTGACTAATGAAGAAAATCGACATCAATTACTTATCGGCCTCAACATGTATGCCATGTCATATCTACATACACGTGCACCCGAGCCATTAGTTATGAAAACAGTAGTGGAAAAGCTAACCTATCAGCCAAGAGAATATGACGAACTTTTAGAACCTGAAGAGCAGGAGACGGGTGATGATCAAGAATTAAATTGGGATAAAGAAACACAAGAAGCCTGGTTTATTGATATCGATGAGGATGGTATCAGACAAGGCACAGTGTGGATGCCAACATATAGGGTAAGTCAGATCAGTTTTTTTTTTCTTAATGCAGTTAAAAAAATGATTTAATTGACATTATTTGGTGTTATAGTCCATTAGAAATCGTGTTCGTCTTGCAGAAGACTATGGTGGTAAGCATCTACTATAGACTGAAAATTTTATATTGTAGTTTGACAGCCTTCTCCTCTTTTTTTTTACAGTTGGAATTGCACTATGGGAGGTTGGACAAGGCCTTGACTATTATGTGAGTTTTAGACTTATTAATCTCAAATTATATGTATACTGACTTTTCTACAGTATGACCTTTTTTAAACTAGTGTATTATACATTGCTGTATATCACATTACATTGCTGCATAGATTTTATAACAAATCGTTTTACATTTCGATGATTTTTAGGCTTAAATGCCACACACAATAAACAAGTTCATAAAAAGGAAACTTGCTGTCTCTTTGGTCCAATGAACCTTATAAGATTTAGTACTACATAAAGAGTTTTCTAATTTATTTGCAAAAGAGGTTCAAGACAACCAGATAATAGAAATACAACTAATTCAGAAAACCAGCTGCGGCTACCAAATGGAACACTTTTTTTCTGGATTCATCGGAGACCCAACAGGGCAATTGAATGCTTTGGCAAAATTGGCATCGTTCTGCAAACCACCGATAACTCTGTAATAAAAGGGAGAATGGACCTCTTCCTACATATTTAAGACGTTAGCAACACTGATCTAATATTCTTCAATTTCACTACTTACAGCAGACTCTTTAGCGTCACTTAATGCCGTGATTTCACAAGAGATAAGACCATGATTCACAAAAAACATTTGCTCGGGAGTCAAATGCTCCAGACCTGGTAAGAGCTGATCAGGTCCTTGCTTAAGCACATGGTTCTGGTATGCACGAAAAGCAATATTTAATCCACCGCTGTCTGCAATATTTTCTCCCAATTGGGCCTATTGATGGAGGGTTGATTAATACATAATGATGATGGGATCGGGGGTTGCACTTACATCTCCATCCAGCGGATATTCAGTATTATTAAGCCCAGTCATTGTGAAATTTTCGTATTGTTCGACAAAGCACTGTGCCTTCTCATCGTACGCTTTGGCTGAAGACTCTGTAAACCAGTCTTCCAGATATCCTGTCGCATTGTAATTTTTTCCACTATTATCTAAGGCATGCTGTAATGATAGTTATTAATATGAAGCCCCGGTTATTTTGGATCTGTCAAAATACTTACTACTAATTCATGCCCAATAACGCCACCAATAGCGCCATAATTTAAGTATTCCGGGTAGTCTACGCTATAGAAAGGCTGTTGGATCATACCGATCAGAATTTCGAGCTATCATCAAGCAGAGCAGATTAGGATTAGAGAAATTCAGTTTTTTTTTTTTTTTTTTTTTTTTTTTTTTTTTTGTAATTTTTACTTACTGAATTAAAAAAGGGATCGTAGAAAGCATTTACTACATAGGGTCCCATATCTTCTTTATTGTAGTCACTCCTGTTCTTTTTCTGCAACAAAGATTTAAAATTCTTGGTATTCTCCTGGATGGCCATAACAACAGAATTATAAAAATAACCATCGCTGTCATCAAGAGTTACATTGTCATATAGTAACTCGAGAGAGGAAGGATCCCTCCAATCCGGTTTCTTGTTTCTAACACCAATCTTTAGGATTAAATTTTCGATCTGTAGAGGTTATATCAAAACAATATTAGTTTCTTTAAGTTATCTACAATTATTGTCACAGGAAATTTACCTTTTCAATAATTCCTGCTTTGGTTTCCTCGTCGGCCCAGGATGTTTCGGGTAACATGTCATGTAGCCAGGTTGCATGTAAGAAACTGACCATGTCTTCAACTCTCTTCACTTCGTCAGTAGCACCTAATGAGCTCAAAGAAAAGAAGCGCCCAAAAATGTCATAGAATTTTAAACTTGTTTCCTTCGCGCATTTTGATCTTTGTGATGGAGACTCAGGCTCCTTTCCAGTTGGTGCTTTAAATGTATCAGTTTGTGGGATATATTCTGAGAAACTTGCTACCGTAGATGATTGAACACTTTCAGGAATACTAAGTTTGCTGCTAGTAGCTTGAATGCTTCTTATAATAAAATATTCTTGCAATACTTTTACTGATGTTGTTGTTAGCAATTCCTCAAGACTTTCGGTATACTCTTTTACATATTTAATTGGTAAATCAGGAGTGGGATATTCCGGTGAGACCAAAGTTGAGACCAACATATTCCAATCAATAGTAGGATTGATTGATTCAATCTCCTTCAAGGTAGATGGGTGGTCAGTGAAAACGTGTGATATAGCCTCACTTTATAAATTTAATCAATGTTAATATCTAGACGGTCAAGCAGTAAATATAAGTTCACTTACACATTTACTAGCTTCGCTAGTTTCATTTCAAAATTGACAAAGTTACTGGCGGCAATTTCGATTTTAGAAGCAGACCAAAGGGTAAAATTGTTTTTTTGGCTTTCTTGCAAAACAAATTCTCCGTAATCTTGATCCAATTCGGACACGTCTCCTACTGTATGGGTTAAAAGATCAATAACTTTATATCTATAAGACCCTAATTGATCTATATGCTCATATATAGTCAAATTATCGGTCAATCCTGGCAAAATGTTTAGGAGAAAGTAATCATGGTCGTATATGTTGATATCAGCCCCGATATCTACAATACTGGGTACTCCCCGAAGCGTCAATGCGGCAATTGTTTCGGACAATCTTTCTGATACTAGATTCTCCGTGATAGGAAACAAATTATTTTCGATCTGAGCAAGAAAAGGGAATAAAGGAGTGGATCCCAATTGAAGGTTACGTTCCGTGTCCAAACACGCATCATAGTATGTTTTAATTAGTTGGAAGTTCTTTCTGTCGCTATCCATCATGCTTTGTGTATTATAGAGTGGATCTACCGATTTAATTGTATCATAAAGATCTTCAAATGTTCCTTCTAAAAATCCAAGGATCATATCTAGGTTTTTTATTGTCATTGTTCGAGCTGTGGAAGATCCTATTTTTTTTTTTTTTTTTAGTTTATGATGTCCATTTCCTTATAATGCAATAGTACCTTGAACTGTGTCCTTTATTTCATCAGAAAGCAGCCAGTTTCCACCTAATAGCTTAATTAGTGGCATGTCTTGTACAGAACAAACTTTGCTCGTATGTACTTACATGTATACTGAAAGAAGTCAGAACACGGATCCACATTCAAATTGACAGATGACAAAATAGATTCAGCGATCTCTACACATTTGGGAGTAAGGCATACATCGGGTAAAGCACGTTGAGACAACGAAGAAATTAAGGGAGGCATATTTGTAAATGATTGAAATTGATTTTGGATCTAAAAGGTTAGAATTTATATGAATTGACAGAAGCTCATTGTTTATAAATAACGACGTAATTCTCAGCCAGGGACTTGTTTTGTTTTTGAAGCCTCTGGTTAAGCCTATCGTTAAGCCCTAATGGTTTGAAAGACTCTGAGCCAAACTTAGTCTATGTGGGCTGTGTAGCTCTAAGACTTTTCGCTTTATATATTTTCACAATTATATTCATATAATTCTATTGGAACAATGTAATTATTACCATCAGTTTTAATGTAGAAGTTAGCAAATAAATGGCAAAGTTCGTGTTACCAAAACAAAAAAAGAGTGAAACGCAAAGTAATAAGGTCATATGCTGAGTAAGTATAGCTTTTAGAGGCCAAATATGGCAAAATACTATGGCGTAGATATTCTCAATAGCATAAGCCTTTTTATATCAAAGAATTAAATTAGCCCATTTAGACAAGTTTTATGAATAAAAATTTTACATTTACGGTTACGAGACATTTGCCAGTAACCAATATTGTTACAATATGTCTGCTCCTAAGCCATACACGTCTCGAATCTCTACCTCCTGCTATCAAACGATAGGTATAGTATTAAGGTCACTATAAATAGAACTTAAACGCCTACTGTGTGACCGGTCCCTTGACGTCAAAAATCTTTCCGTCTAGTTTTTCTAAACATCGTTATATGTTAGTCAGTAAAGCCCTAATTAGCCTTTTTAAAGGAACTGTCTGGTGTCCCAGTTCTTAAGCCCAAAAAGTAACAGTGATCGTTGGTGTCCTTGGTGATCGTTAGTATAGTTGGTGCTTGTAGGTGTTTTTGGTGTTGAAAGGTGTTCTTGGCGTTAGACTATGTTTTTAATGCTGGAATACATGTTAGTTCGCGACATTCGAATCCGGTCCTTGTCTTTAATATCTGAAGACGGTTTTTTCTGAGCTAGTTTAACACCTCTCTCTTACATTTCAATAAAGCTGCTCCCTTTAGCTAAAAAAAACGCCTTTGGTAATTATCCTTATAAATTACAGACGTATGCATATAAAGATCCTGCAAACAAAGAAGGCTTTATGTCTGATGCATGATACACAACTACTTCTTTACATGACTGAATTTTTTACATATCTTCAATGATCCTATTAACCTTCATTTGGTTTGTCAGCTAAATGTCAATTTTTTTTTCATTATAACTTGGAAACGGTCATAATTACTCTAACTTTTTGTCGGGGTAATTGTGCTTATATATCTAAAATCAATTCAATCGTATCAACCGTTTCTTTTGAAATTGTTTCTACAGCCCTCTCCTCTTTTCTTTTCTTTTTTTTTTTTTTTTTACAGTTGGAATTGCACTATGGAAGGTTAGACAAAGCTTTGATTATTATGTGAGCTTTAAACTTTTTGACCTCAAATTATATGTATATTGAATTACCTGTTTTAAACTAGTGTATTGTACATTGTTGAATAGATTTTATAACAAATGGTTTTACATTTCCATGATTTTTAATTTTAAATGTTACAAACAATAAACAAGTTGATAAAAAGGAAATTTGCTGTCTCTTTGGTCCCATGAACATTATAACATTTAGTAATACATAAAGATTTATTTAATTTATTTGCAAGAGTTTCAAGACAACAGTCAGGTTATAGAAATACAGCCAATTTAGAAAACCGGATACGGCTACCAAATGGAGCACTTTTTAGCTGGATTCATCGGAGACCCAACAGGACAATTGAATGTTTTGGCAAAATTGGGATCGTTTTGCAAACCACCGATAACTCTATAATACCAGGGAGAATGTACCTCCTCCTACATATTTAAAAAGTTAGCAACAATATTTAAACATTCGGTAATCCTGACGCTTACCGCAAACTCTTCGGCGTCACTTAATGCCGTGATTTCACAGTAAGAACGACCATGATTTATAAAAAACATTTGTTCGGGAGTCAAATGCTCTAGACCCGGTAATAGCTGATCAGCTCCTTGCTTAAGCACATGGTTCTGGTATGCACGAAACGCAATATCTAGTCCACCGCTGTCTGCAATATTTTCTCCCAATTGAACCTATTAATGAAGGGTCGATCAATACATAATGATGATGAAATCGGGGGTTGCACTTACATCTCCATCCAGTGGATATTCAGTATTATCAAGCCCAGTCAATGTAAAATTTTCGTATTGTTCGACAAAGCATTGTGCCTTCTCGTCGTACGCTTTAGCTGAAGACTCTGTAAACCAGTCTTCCAGATATCCTGTCGCGTTGAAATTTTTTCCATTATCATCTAAAGCATGCTGTAATAATTGTCATTAATATAAAATCGTGGCTTTCTTAGACCTGTCAAAATACTTACAACCAATTCATGACCAATGATACCACCAATAGCACCATAATTTAAGTATTCTGGATAGTCTATGCTATAGAAAGGCTTTTGGAGCATACCAATCAGAATTTCTAACTATTATGAAGGCAAGGGTGTAAGGATTAAAGAATGGTTTTTTTTTTGTTATTTGTACATACTGAGTTAGATAATGGGTGGTAGAAAGCGTTAGCTATAAATGGTGCGTAGTCTGTTTTTACGTAGTCGCCTCTGTATTGTTTCTTCAATAAAGATTTAAAATTCTTGGTATTCTCCTGGATAGCCATAAAAATAGAATTATAAAAATAACCATCGCTGTCATCAAGAGTTACATTGTCATATAGTAACTCGAGAGAGGAAGGATCCCTCCAATCTGGTGTCTTGCTTCTGATGGCCACCTTTAGGATTAACATCTCGATCTGTAAATATTATATACAAACCATATTAGTTTCTTCACGTTATCTGTAATTATTGCCACAAGAGATTTACCTTTTCAATAATTTTTGCTTTGGTTTCTTCGTCAGCCCAGGATGTTTCGGGTAGCATGTCATGTAGCCAGGTTGCATGTAAGAAACTAACCATGTCTTCAACTTTCTTCACTTCGTCAGTAGCACCTAATGAGCTCAAAGAAAAGAAGCGCCCAAAAATGTCATAGAACTTCATACTTGTATCGTATGCGCATGCTGTCCTCTTAGTTGCAGACTTGGGTTCCTTTCCAGTTGGTGCTCTAAAAATTTCAACTTGCGGGAACGATTCCGAAAAGCTTGTCATCGTAGATGATTGAACACTTTTAGGGATGCTAAGTTTGCTGGTAGTAGCTTGGATGCTTCTTACAATAAAATACTCTTGTAATATTTTTACTGATGTTGTTGTTAGCAATTCCTCAAGATCTTCCATATACTCTTTTAGATATTTGACTGGTAAATCAGGAGTGGGATATTCTGATGAGACTAAAGTTGAGACCAAGGCGTTCCAATCAATTGTAGGATTTATTGATTCAATCTTCTTTAATGTATATGGGTGGTCAGCAGTGACGTTCGATACAGCCTCACTTAATATATTAAATCAGTATTAATATCTAGACGTTTATGTAGTAAATATAAAGCTACTTACTCATTTACTATATTCGCTAGTTTGATTTCAAAATTGATAAAGTTACTAGCGGCAATTTCGATTTTAGAAGCAGACCAAAGGGTAAAATTGTTCTTTCGGCTTTCTTGCAAAACGAATTCTCCGTAATCTTGATCCAATTCGGACACGTCTCCTACTGTATGGGTTAAAAGGTCAATTATTTCCTGTCTATAAGACTCTAATTGGTCAATGTCCTCATAGACAGTTAAATTATCGGTCAATCCTGGCAAGATTTGTAGCACAAGATAATCATGATCGTATATGTTGATTTTAGCCTCAATACCTACAAGACTAGGTACTCCCCGAAGTGTCAATGCGGCAATTGTTTCGGCCAATCTTTCCGGTACGGGATTCTCTGTGATAGGAAACAAATCATTTTCGATCTGAGCAAGAAAAGGGAATAAAGGAGTGGATCCCAATTGAATATTACGTTCCGTGTCCAAACACGCATCATAGTATGTTTTAATTAGTTGGAAGTTCTTTCTGTCGCTATCCATCATGCTTTGTGTATGATAGAGTGGGTCTACCGATTTAATTGTATCATAAAGATCTTCAAATGTTCCTTCTAAAAATCCAAGAAGCACATCACGATTTTTTATTGTTGTCGTCGTAAACACGGAAGATCCTATTTAGGTTCTGTTTTCAGTTTATGATATATGCTTCCCTATAATGTAATAGTACCTTGAACTGTGTCCTTTATTTCATCAGAAAGCAGCCAGTTTCCACCTAATAGCTTTATTAGTGTCATGTCTTGGACAGTACAAACTTTGCTCGTATGTACTTACATGTATACTGAAAGAAGTCAGAACACGGATCCACATTCAAATTGACAGATGACAAAATAGATTCAGCGATCTCTACACATTTGGGAGTAAGGCATACATCGGGTAAAGCACGTTGAGACAACGAAGAAATCAAGGGAGGCATATTTGTAAATGATTAAAATTGATTTTGGATCTAAAAGGGCAGAATTTATATGAATTGACAGAAGCTCATTGTTTATAAATAGCGACTTAATTCTCAGCCAGGGACATTGTTTTGTTTTTGAAGCCTCTGGTTAAGCCTATCGTTGAACCCTGATGGTTTGAAAGACTCTGAGCCAAACATAGTTGATGTGAGCGGTGTAGTTCTAAAACTTTTCGCTTTATATATTTTCACAATTACATTCATATAATTCTATTGGAACAATGTAATTATTACCATCAGTTTTAATGTGGAAGTTAGCAAATAAATGGCGAAGTTCGTGTTACCAAAACAAAACAAAAAGTGAAACGCAAAGTAATAAGGTCATATGATGAGTGAGTATAGCTTTTTGATACCGAATATGACAAAATACTGTGGCGTGGATATCCTCCATAGGTTCATAAGCCTTTGTATATCAAAGCCTTAAATTCGCCCATTTAGACAAATTTTATGTATACAAATTTTACATTTACGTTTACGAGGCATTTGCCAGTAACCAATATTATTACTCCTAAGTCAGCCACGTCTCAAATCTCTACCTCCTGCCACCAAATGATAGGTATAATATTAGGTTCGCTATAAATATAACTTAAACGCCTGGTGTGTGACCGGTCCCCTGACGTCAAAAAACTTGATCGATGAAGCCCAAATTACCCTTTTTGAGGAGTTATCCAATGTCCCAGCCTTTGAGGCCATAATTAAATCGAATTTCGCTCCTAAACATTTTAAAGAAGCCTCATTTCCCCCACAACATTTTAGCTACACGCTACAAGTACACACACAAAATCCAACAAATTGTGCCAGGTTATAGTCAACCCACAGGTAGATAAAAAAGAGGTGTTGTAGGCGCGCACCGAAATCGGGTTTTATAACGCATTTCTTACGTAATATATTCATTTTTGGTGCGTGAAATGGGTGCGTCAAGAAAGGGACAACGTCTTTGTACTATATTTTATAAGCGACAGTACTTTGCTCAAAGAGTTACTTTTTTTTAAAAATTTTAGTCCTAAATTTACCTATTAAAAAAATGGACAATTCTGCAGTTACAGAATAAAGTAATCGCGAATGGTCGAAACCTTTGGAAACGTAAGTGCTTTTATTATTATAGTGCATTCGCGTTCCATTGCCGATGAGTATGAAAGAAAGCATAACATAGTATTCGTTACTGTCGGATCAAAACTAAAAAACAATGACATCTTCTTAGCTTAAAAGCAGTTTGGTGAAAACAAAGTAGCCGAACAGTAAAATGTGTATTGCTAATTGTTAATCTTTATCATAAGCATGCTATGAAGGAGTAGCCTGATTTATGTAAAACTAATTATACGTGTCAATCTTATAAAAATGCAAATGAATTTAAAGGTGGTACCTGTAATTTTTATTTAAGTAGGCCTTATTGTATTCAAGTAAGACATAAATACGATTTGCCATAGCGCCTGCTTCGCTTGACGCACCCATTCCGCGCACATAAAATAAAGATATTATGTAATAGCTCGGTGCACTGCTTTCGCGCACCCAAAATGAATATATTACGTAAGAATTATACTTTAAAGCCCGATTTGGGTGCGCCAGCAGGTGCGCCAAGAATACCCCATAACAAATGGTTTTACATTTCGATGAATTTTAAGTTTAAATTCCACACACAATAAACAAGTTGATAAAAAGGAAACTTGCTGTCTCTTTGGTCCCATGAACCTTATAAGATTTAGTAATACATAAAGATTTATTTAATTTATTTGCAAGAGGTTCAAGACAACAGTCAGGTTATAGAAATACAGCCAATTTAAAAAACCGGATACGGCTACCATAAGGAGCACTTTTTAGCTGGATTCATCGGAGACCCAACAGGACAATTGAATGTTTTGGCAAAATTGGGATTGTTCTGCAAACCACCGATAACTCTATAATACCAGGGAGAATGTACGTCCTCCTAAATATTTTAAAAGTTAGCAACAATATTTAAACATTTGTCAATCCTGACGCTTACCGCAGTCTCTTTGGCGTCACTTAATGCCGTGATTTCACAGAAAGAACGACCATGACCTATAAAAAACATTTGTTCTGGAGTCAAATGCTCTAGACCCGGTAAGAGCTGATCAGGTCCTTGCTTAAGCACATGGTTCTGGTATGCACGAAACGCAATATTTAATCCACCGCTGTCTGCAATATTTTCTCCCAATTGAACCTATTAATGAAGGGTTGATTAATACATAATGATGATGGAATCGGAGGTTGCACTTACATCTCCATCCAGCGGATATTCAGTGTTATTTAGCCCAGTCAATGTAAAATTTTTGTACTGTTCGACAAAGCATTGTGCCTTCTCATCGTACGCTTTGGTTGAAGACTCTGTAAACCAGTCTTCCAGATATCCTGTCGCGTTGAAATTTTTTCCAGTATTATCTAAGGCATGCTGTAATGATAGTTATTAATATGAAACCCCGGTTATTTTGGATCTGTCAAAATACTTACTACTAATTCATGACCAATGATATAACCAATAGCACCATAGTTTAAGTATTCCGGATAGTCTATGCTATAGAAAGGCTTTCGGAGTATACCAATCAGAATTTCTAACTATTATCAAAGGAAGGATGTAAGGATTAAAGAAATTCAGTTTTTTTTTTTTTTTTTTTTTTTGTGATTTGTACATACTGAATTAGAATAGTAGTGGTTGAAAGCGTTAGCTAAAGATGGTGCGTAGTCTGTTTTTACGTAGTCGCCTCTGTATTGTTTCTTCAATAAAGATTTGAAATTCTTGGTATTCTCCTGGATAGTCATAAAAATAGAATTATAAAAATAACCATCGCTGTCATCAAGAGTTACATTGTCATATAGTAACTCGAGAGAAGAAGGATCCCTCCAATCTGGTGTTTTGCTTCTGATGGCCACTTTTAGGATTAACTTTTCGATCTGGAGAGGTTATATGAAAACGATATTAGTTTCTTTACGTTATCTACAATTATTGCCATAGGAAATTTACCTTTTCAATAATTTTTGCTTTGGTTTCTTCGTCGGCCCAAGATGTTTCGGGTAGCATGTCATGGAGCCAGGTTGAATGTACGAAACGGGCCATGTCTTCAGCTTTCTTCACTTCGTCGGTAGCACCTAAAGAGCTCAAAGAAAAGAAGCGCCCAAAAATGTCATAAAACTTGATACTTGTATCGTATGCGCATGCTGTCCTCTTAGTTGCAGACCCAGGTTCCTTTCCAGTCGGTGCTCTAAACATTGCAACTTGCGGGAACGGTTCCAAAAAACTTGTTATTGTAGATGATTGAACACTTTTAGGGATGCTAAGTATGCTGGTAGTAGCTTGGATACTTCTTACAATAAAGTACTCTTGTAATATTTTTACTGATGTTGTTGTTAGCAATTCCTCAAGATCTTCCATATACTCTTTTAGATATTTAACTGGTAAATCAGGAGTGGGATATTCTGCTGAGACCAAAGTTGAGACCAATGTTTTCCAATCGATAGTAGGATTTATTGATTCAATCTCTTTCAATGTATATGGGTGGTCAATAGTAACGTTGAATACAGCCTCACTTAATATATTTAATCAGTATTAATATCTAGACGTTTATGTAGTAAATATAAAGCTACTTACTCATTTACTATATTTGCTAGTTTGATTTCAAAATTGATAAAGTTACTAGCGGCAATTTCGATTTTAGAAGCAGACCAAAGGGTAAAATTGTTCTTTTGGCTTTCTTGCAAAACGAATTCTCCGTAATCTTGATCCAATTCGGACACGTCTCCTACTGTATGAGTTAAAAGGTCAATTATTTCCTGTCTATAAGACTCTAATTGGTCAATGTTCTCATAGACAGTTAAGTTATCGGTCAATCCTGGCAAGATTTGTAGCACAAGATAATCATGATCGTATGTGTTGATCATAGCCTCAATACCTACAAGACTAGGTACTCCGCGAAGCGTCAATGCGGCAATTGTCTCGGCCAATCTTTCCGGTACGGGATTCTCTGTGATAGGAAACAAATCATTTTCGATTTTGGCAAGAAAAGGGAACAAAGGAGTGGATCCCAATTGAAGGTTTAGTTCCGTGTCGATACACGCATCATAATATGATTTAGTCAGTTGAAAGTTCTTTTTGTCACTGTTCATCATATCTTGTGTATGATAAAGTGGGTCTTCCGATTTAATTGTATCATAAAGATCTTCAAATGTTCCTTCCAAAAATCCAAGGAACATATCATTATTTTTTATCTTCGTCATCCGAATAAGGGAAGTTTCTATTTAGGTTTCATTTTCAGTTTCTGATATATGCTTCCATATAATGTAATAGTACCTTCAACTGTGTCCTTTATTTCATCAGAAAGCAGCCAGTTTCCGCCTAATAGCTTTATTAGTGTGATGTCTTGGACAGAACAAACTTTGCTCGTATATACTTACATGTATACTGAAAGAAGTCAGAACACGGATCCACATTCAAATTAACAGATGACAAAATAGATTCAGCGATCTCTACACATTTGGGAGTAAGGCATACATCGTGTAAAGCACGTTGAGACAACGAAGAAATCAAGGGAGGCATATTTGTAAATGATTAAAATTTATTTTGGATCTAAAAGGGCAGAATTTATATGAATTGACAGAATCTCATTGTTTATAAATAGCGACGTAATTCTCGGCAGACGTTTTTTGTTTGTTTGGAGATGATATTTTTAGTGTCTATTGTTAAGCCCTAATGATTTCAAAGACTCTAAGACAAATGTAGAAGCGTTTTTTTTTCTCCCTTTATTTTTTTTTAACAATTTGATGTGGGTGATGTAGTCCTAAATTTGCATGTCTTACAGATGTCTACAAATACTTTCATGTTGTTTTGTGGTAACGATGCAATTACTACCATTAGTTTTGATGTAGAGCTTAGAGCTGGTAGCATACATGTTTGTATTGAATTTTCGCAAATAAATGGCGAAGTTCGTCACCAAACCAAAAAAAGTTAGTCTCAAGGTAAAAAGGTCATATGCTGAGTAAATATAGCTTTTTTGATGCCAAATATAGCAGACGATTGTGGCTCAAAAATTCTCTGTAGCTTCATAATAATTTTTCTATTGAAGCATTAAATTCGCCTATTTAGACATGCTTAATAATGAATACACATTTTACATTTACAATCACAAGGCTTTTGCCGGCTACAATATACCTGCTCCCGATATCAGTTCCGGAGTATCTACATCACAAACCTTCGCCACCAAATTATAGGCATACTATGAAGGCCATTTAACAGGACATAAGCGCCGGGTGGGTGACCTGTCCCTTGACGTCACAAAAATTTCCCACCCTAGTTTATCTATACATCCTTAAATGTTAAGGAGTTATCCGATGTCCCAGCCCTTACGCTCAAAGTCACCAGTGTGTTAAAATAAGTTTGAGTAGTCGGTCTTTGAAGGTTGGATCAGAAAGCGAGAAATAGGATTTAGAGTACTTTAATCCTCAGATTATTATTTCAGTTTAAGATAATCGTTTATTGAAAAGAATTGGAAGAGTATTTATACTAATTTAATATTTATGAATTAGTAATCGAATAGTACTTTGCCAAGATACTTAGTATACATATAGTGAATATATGAACTAGTGTATAGTATAAGGCAAAGAGAGTGTGTTAACTAAAGATCTGTATTATTCTGGTTGGTCAACCATGAAAGTATTTTCAATGTCCAAGTCTGAACTCACGACAGTATGATGGCTGACGATACTATACAAAAGTTTTTCCGAATCTATCTAACAAACAGTAACTGAAATAGCTGCAAGCCTTTTAAAATATCTCTCTTTTTTTTTTTTTTTTTTATTTTTTTTTTTTTGGCCATCATAGTAACACTAATTATAAACTGGAGCAACACATTTTTATGTTTATAAGACTTGTACGTAGTCAAACACCGTACACTGCGAGATTTTTTAGCTCCATCATCATCTTGTTTATTTTCACTGGCCAATATTTATACTTCCTCCATTTAATTTCAGATCTCAAGGATCGAGTGGTTAATTTGATAAATAAACAAAGATAGAACGAATAATTAATAGTCGGGTGTGTGTCTTTTTTTAAAAAAAAAATTATGAGATAGTTTTAAGTATACATGGGATTTTGGAGAAAGTGAGAGGAGACAGAACCCATACGTGACAAACTGTCATCTTATTCAACAACCGCCTGCTAAAAAAAATCCCACTAACACCTTACAGTCAGGGGTTGTAAATTTACCGTTAAAATCACACTGTCTAGTATTAGAAAGATTGATATAAAACCATAGGTGAATATAAAGATTGAGTTACTTGAGTCGAAAGGTAAGACTAGCCTGAACCGATGTGGCACTCGATGCATGAATAAAGTGTGTTGTGTAACGTTCTTTATGATGATTTTTTTTTCTTAATGGCAGAAAGACTGTGCTTGTTAACACATTTACCATGTCTAATTGAATAAAAGCTTCTTATTGCCAGCAATCAATAAGCAGACTTGTATATAAAAAAAAACTCATACGTGCTTGCAGACTGATCGATCAAAGCCGGAGCATAGTACATCTTATACACGGGCGGTGGCAGTCCATTCGTCGGTCACACCAATGTAAGATCTCTCGTTAACATCATAATTGGGGAACCAACGTCTTGATGGCGTAAAACCCTGATGGGAATTCTGCTTCTAATAATTTGGGACCCCTCTATTTGTACTTGCTAACTTTCTGGCAACTTGGCGTAGGTTCAGGACGAACTTCCGGGGTCTTATAGATTGCATGGTGAGGCTAACTATCTTCTGTGTTTAACTTTGTTTTTCTTGCTTGCCTCACTTGTAGCTTTTGCGCTATTTCTATGCTTTTTCTTCTTCTTCCTCTTCTTTTTTTTATATCCCCTTCCCCTCCCTCCCTTCAAATTATGGCGGATATTTGGAAATGGTGATTGTTGGTGTCCTTGGTGACTGTTGGTGCCCTTGGTGATTGTTGGTGCCCTTGGTGCTGGAATTCGTATTTGTCTGTAAGAGGATTAGGTTTTTGCCTGTGATACCTGAAGACGGTTTATTTTTGAGCTACTTAAACATCTCTCTTTTTATTTCAATAAGACAACTCCTTTAGCCGTAAAAACATGCTCCTAGTAACTGTCCTTAGATATATGCAGACGTATGCTTAGTTCCTTTAAACAAAGAAAGCTTTATGTTTGAGGTGTGACAAATGTTTAGCTACACAACCCAATTGCTTACGTAATTTCAATTATTCCATTAACCTCCATGTGTCATTTTTTTTTTTTTACTGCATAACTTGAAAGGGTTTTAATTACTTTATCCCCTTGACAATTTACTTGTGCGTATACGCCCAGTTCAAGTCAATTGTGTTAACCACATACATTAAGATTGTGCGAAGGTGATCTTAATTCGATTCCCAATCAAGACAAAATGATAATAAGCAAGACATCATCAAACTCTGATACGATTAAAATGGGTACACGGTGCATTATTCCATCTAGAAAGCTTAAACTTAGCGACCCAATATCTATAGACAATGCCCTTTACAAAGCGTTTGATCACTTCATACCCAAACAAGTTTTTCAGCACTGTCTAGTGTATACACTTACCGTACCTCTTAAATATTTCTTCGCCTATATACCTTGTTACCATTGGGCTTGGAAGACAATATGCTGCTTTTCCTGTATCGAGTCTCTTTGTAATAGATAGTGCAATGTATATCTCGAAAATCCGCCAATCTGGCTAATTCACTGTCTACCCAGCATTATGTTATTTATTTTGTAAACAATTTTTTGCTAATATTGGTACCAACTATGGGTTTTTCTAAACACTTGAAAACTATAGCAGCCCTATTATCTGACATTCAACATGGTAGTACCATCAAATAACTTTGTCATACTTCAAACATCTAATTATCTGATAAATCATGAAGTAAATTTTAGTTGAAGAAAGAAATTCCTAAATAACGGGGGGGGATGATATATATTGACGTTAACGTATATATGATGTATACGGAGTTAGACGTAGTTTTGGCAGTAGGAGCTGTCAAGAGAATTTGATAAGCATATGCCAAATAATAAGCCAATGCTTGCATGATTGTTGGGCTTAGAATAAAACAAACATTTCGCAATCCAATGACTGGTAGGAATAGAGCCGAATGAAAAAAAAAAAAAAAAAAAAATAGTAATCAAACATGGATCAGCAATAAGCTTGTATGTGTATATGTGTTTTAGGAAAAGGGTGCATCCCATGCATTATGACACGTAAATTTTGTTAGCTTTTGAAAAGGTTTTTTATAATGATAATAAAAGTATAGTAATAATAATTATGGGTGATAGCTCATCGGGCTTTAACAACATCCACCCCCAGCCTTCTCCTTTTTGCGATATTCTCTGTTTTCATCCAAACTGTTACCGCGAGACATGCTACGGACACTTGGTGGTCTTAACTGAACACGCTCACCATTTGTAGGACCGGCACCCATTTTATTATCATCAGTTGTTTGTGCAGGTTTAGGAAGATTCTCGAAAATAGTAGTAAAGACCTTTTCGAATGCACTGTCAACATTGGTAGAGTCAAGTGCTGAAGTTTCCATAAAGAGAAATCCATCCTTCTCGGCCAAAGCCGCACCTTCTTCGGTTGTAACAGCACGGCTGGTTTCGCTTAAATCGACCTTGTTGCCTACCAACATAATAACAATCTTGGATTCCGCATGATCTCTAAGCTCCTTCAACCAATGTGAAACGTTTTGGAATGAGTTTCTACGGGTAATATCTGTAGATCAGATTAAAAATAATTAGTTAAGAATTTCTTATGCTTGAAAACTTTTAATTTTAGTACCATATACAACAAGAGCACCGACAGCACCGCGATAATAACTACAAAGAAAACCCAAATAAGCTTATTCGAATAGTGTGCACGCATTTTTCTAGTCACTTACGCTCCGGTAATAGCTCTGTAACGTTCTTGTCCACTAGTATCCCAGATTTGTGCTTTAATGGAACGCTTTTCTATGAGGGTAAGACGATGGATTAGTAACAGTAAAGAAGTGTGAAATGGGTTCTTACCAATTTCGATATTCTTGGTAGCAAACTCAACGCCAATGGTACTTTTTGATTCAAGGTTGAATTCGTTTGTCTATGTTATTCATGTTGGTTCATCATCTTTATATGAAAATTGTCCAGGTTTATACTCACTGTAAATCTGGAAAGCAAATTAGACTTTCCTACGCCAGAGTCACCAATGAGCACGAGCTTAAAGAGGAAATCATACTCGTCGTCTGATAACATTTTTTTTTTTTTTAGAAGTTATTAAGGAAAAAAGAAGAACGAAGAAATATTTGAAAAAATAAAAAAAAATAAAAAGTGTAGTTAATTAATCTCCCCCACACACTCTACAAGATCCATAGGATTGTATAATCAAAGCCTAAATTGGTTTTAGTGGCTTTGTTGTGTTCAGTGGATTCAGTTTGCCCACCCTAAAAAAAAAACTGAGCCCGATTTTTTTTTTTTTTTGAAGAGTCGCTGATTGTAATGACTGTAGACGACGTCAACTGTTACATTTCTGCAAAAAAAAAAAAAACTCTATCCGCTTCCGTTCTTGATAACAACCTTGAGCCGCTTGAAAAATATATAGAGTGTGTCCCATAGTCAAGGGTTTAATCTCAGTTTGAAACACGAGTCTGAAAAACACACAATGAATTAAAGGAACGGGAAAACAAGCACATTTTATATGCACATTTTCCTGTCATATTTTATTTTATTTTTTTTTAAAAAAAAAGATATAACAAAGCGGTACATAATCCTATTGGTATTTGACGGAAGGTTTGTGACACCAAAACAAAGAAAAATACCGCTGTGATATAAAATGGGGTCTATACAAGATTTTATCTGCATTTAATGCCAAAAAAGAAAGATACGTACTAAACTTCCGGAAAAAGAAAGGTGAAAATATAAAAAAAGTTGTCAATTTTGACACGCGAATCAGGAGTGCAACATTGATAGCACACAACCTTATAAACCCCTTTGTTTTTTTTTTTCTCATTTACCCTTGTATATTCGAACTACACGATAAGTGGTATAAGCTTCAAGATACAACACTCATGCATTGTTGATGTAATTGAATGCATAGTTAAAACATGATATTTATATATATATACACACACACACATACGTAAGTAAATACAATTTACATGGAAGTAGAAGACTTTTTTTCTTCGTAGCATGGATCATTAGATTTCAAATTAAATGTTCTTTATCACACAATTAAAAATAAAAAAGATCAGGAAGAGAAAGAAAAACCAAGTAGGGAAATTAAGGAGTCTATTTACTTCACACACATTCACAAGACTCTTTCTTTTTACAGAATTAAGTTTAATTTGATTTTTTTAAAGTTTAACGTCATTGTATAATTGTAACAGCTTCAGTTATAGAATTATAAAAGTGTTAACATATGAAGCAGGAAGTAGTAGCAGAGTGCATTTGAAAATTTAATAATGCTACTTGATCTTTCTTTTTTATTGCTTAAAGATTTGCAAATCATCCTTTGTTTGGCTCAGAATAATTTATACATATTTGATCGTCTCCAAAGCAACTGTTTTTCTTTTATTCCTTTGTTGTGACGTACAAAATAGGTCTGCTGACGATGTCTGAAACCAATGTTAAAATATCTGCAGCACAAAGACGAAGGAAAACATTATCATCATGTAATGAATGATGAGACAATATGCTTCACTAAAATTACTAGCTTATATAACACATCTAATATTGACAATTGAATAAATGCAATATTAAATTTATAAAAAGAATATAAAAAGAATGAAAATCCACCCCTTCTTTTTCTTTCCATTAATGTATACATATATAATAATTTGTATAAAATAAGATAGCGCACGTGGACACATGTCTGTTTGAGTGGGGTTGTATTATGCAGCGCCACCCTTCTTGCTTGATGCTATATTTCTTGGCCTAGATCATGTTAACCTGTACATGTATATATAACAAAAGAAATGGATATTAGTTTAAACTCTCTTTTTTCTTCCGCAATTTTTTTTTTTTTTTTTTTTTGTAATTCTTATTTCTGCCCTGTACTTTACAAAAAAAAATCATGTTGAGACGTAAATCCTCCTCAATTAGCACACACTCTAATAAAAGCAATAATGGAACAAACGAAAATGTACATTTAAGAAACAATAATACGTTCGCGTCCTCTTTTAATAAAGTCAATGGAAGAGCAATGATTGATGCGATGAAAGAAACGAGAATAGTATGATTTTATAGCATTTTATTTATAGACATAAACAGTGGTTTAATAATACATGCTTCTAACAATAGCGTGCCTTTGGAGGCTTACTAGGAAATAAACGAGCCTCGCTGGGTAATCTTCGAAAGTCAAAATCATCGACCACAGCAGACAACCATCGATCAAGCACAAGACAGGCTGAAATGTTGAATACAATGGATTTATCAATGAAAAGACGCTCAACCGGATGCTTACGTAGAGCTTCCGTTTATTCCAACAAGAGTTCTAAATCAACAGAAACATCAAACACAAAAGTAAATATTGTTTGTCCGTTTGTTATTTTTTTTTTGCTAATCTTTTAATAGGTCTGGAGATCACCCGGCTTTTATGAAATTCCAAATGTATTCGGAAGCGATTGCTTTCTTAAACCGGAACCAATCAGCGAGAAAACATATAAATTACGCTCACCGAATCTACAGAAACACATATCCAAACATCCTTGGCGTCCCGCTGGAAACTGCACAGAAATCCCCCAATTGCCGCCACTCATCCGAGCAGGAAACGCATTTGAAAAGAGAGTCCGAAAAGCATTACCGAAATTACCTGTTTCTTCATTAGACCCAAGTAATAAATACGATGGATTCAAAGAAATTGGCACAGGGTGAGAAAGAAAAAAAATAACAAATATAGAATTTCCTTAATCGATATTGATACTTTTCTCTTTTATAATCTAGTGTCAATGGTTCTGTCGTCAAGGCCCAACATCGTTATAAGAAGAATGTATTTTTTGCAATCAAGCGATGTCACCTGGATCCTGATCGCGAAGATAAAGCAGCCATCATTCGTGAGCTGCGTATCATGGCTACGGGTCATACAAATCTTATTCGACTTCGAGAAGTTTCACTATGGAAACAAGAAGTATGGATGGCCATGGATCTTGAAAGATGTTCTGTATTTGCCGTTTTATGCCAGCGAGGCATTCCAGAACAATATACCGTATACATTACATGCGAAGCTTTGAAGGGCCTCGCTTATTTACATTCAAAATCGTTTATCCATCGTGATATCAAATGCGAAAATATCTTGTTAGGCTGGAATGGTGAAGTTAAATTAGGTAATTATTAAAGAATATATATATGCAAAACACTCAACATACTCAAAACTTTCTTCCTCTTGTAATAGCTGATTTTGGTCTTGCAACAAGAACAAACAGACGCAATCGGGAAAGACTTGGCACTAGTAAATGGATGGCACCTGAAGTCATTCGTGAGCAACTTTATGACGAAAAAATTGATATGTGGTCCTTGGGCATCACCTTGGTCGAAATGATGGATCGTGTGCCACCCCATTATCTCATCAAAGATGAAACTGAGCTTTTTACTGCTATTTTGAGTGAACCAAGCCCAACATTCACATACAGTTATCCTTCCATGTACATGAGAGGACTTGTTGCGTGGTTATTGGATGAAACACCATCTACCAGACCACATGCCGTTGATGTGTTGCAGGTAATATAATTAGACTATGGAGTATGGGTTATCCTATTACTAATACAATCATGTTTGTGTAGGAAATTGATGATCACATTCATAGCAAGCTCTTAAAATCTGCCGGTCCTAATGACTTGGCTCGGTTTGTAAACCATGTATTATCAGCATCCGCCTAACCTTGTTAAATCCCCCATCATCGAAACAAATTATGTCTTACTGTTACACATAATAGCGCAGTGGTGGGTTTTAACATGTAAAACGGCTTATTTGTTTTGTTCACGTTCATCATAAAACGTTTGTGCTCCAAAAAAATAATAATAATAACAATAAACTAACATAGTTTAGAAATAAAAACTACATAAATATCTGAAAGGTATCAGAAATGTTGTATTTCTGCGTCAAATTGAAACACACACACACACACACACATACACAAATATACCTAACGTTGGTATAAACTTCAAGAAATGAGGCCTGCTTTTATCAACATTCATTGTTTTAAACTGAGTTATTTATTTTATTCTTTGTGAAGCACTTGCACTTGTCTCGATTAGGTCTATTATGAATCCATCGTAACGTTAGAATAATAATCGAATAATCAAAAGTACTTCATTATATATTTATAGTATGGTTATTATCGACCAATCGGGTAAAGTATTTTGGTAACCATAAGCAAATTTATCTTTATGTCACGGGTTAAAATTGTTTACACTTAAGAATTACAATGACTGAAAGCGACAGATGCTGTCTACTCATACATGGAGATTGCATTTTTTTTTTTCCTCGATTAGGACTACATAGCTAATATTGATTGAGGGGGGGGGGGAGACAAATATTTTGAGGCATTGCTACATTATTAGTACCGTGCTACGAGCATTTATGCACTATACGGTAACTTTACATATTCAAAAATACAACGATTGCTTGTTTACTTAATTTAATCCACATAATTTAATATCGGTTTTTAAATACATACAAAGCTTTATGCAGGTTCTATGGCTACCAACTCTTTTGACGCTAAGATACCTGTAATACTGTATCTTTCCTTACTACTGTCTCGGTCCTTTTTTTCTTCTGCTAATGTTGGATGTTAAAGACAACGGAGCGCAACTGCATGCATTGTATGTCTATATATTTTTAAAAGCTTTCTATTAGCACTGTTTAAAGCAGGCCATGTAAAGTTTAATGCGCTGAAAAGGACACTTTAGCTACTTTTAGACTTTGTAATTTTCTATTTGCCACGGGAATGAATGATCAAATTGGCCCTCTTTATGAACTATGAGAAGCTAAAAGCCGGTTATAATCGGCTAATTCCAACTCCCAAAACATGCGGCATTTAGTTTTTTTTTTTTTTCTTATGACATCAAACTATCAAATGAAACAGCTTTAAAAACTCCGTCAGGACATGGTAGAGAAACGTTAATGCGACCGATAACTTGATGAGAATTTCTAAAGCGATTTGACTAGGAGGAGGCCTGAAGTTTTCACAATAAAGAAAAAAAAAAGGGGGGTGCCGCCGTCATTAGAAATTAAAAATTGACAGGTACCTTATATTTGGTCTCCTCCAAAAATATAAGGGAGATTTCACACATCATCAATGGAAATTTGCTTTGCCGACACATTGAGGTTTTTCAGTTACGGCATTTGATAATTTGCTCCGCTGTGTGTTCTCCTCCCTTTTTTTATTTCCACCCACTGTATAGATTTGAATAATGACAGAAACAGAAGCATCTGAATTCGAGAGAGAGAGACTTATCAAGTATTTCAAGTCCAACCTTTCAATGCTGCCAACGCATTATACTCAAACTGAGACTAACAGGTAGAATCTGACTCAAAAAAAAAAAAGGGGGGCGTGACAATGTCAAAACTAAAAAGCTTAGATTAGAATGACACTCGCATTCTTTTGCTTAGGTGCTTTAAGTCTGTTGGGCGAACTTGAAACCAACGTAACAGAACACAACAAGAAGGATTGGATTGACTGGATCTATGCTCAACAGGTTCTACCCACAGGTGAGACCCCAGATGCCAACGAAGCCTATTGTGGATTCAGAGGCTCCTCATGGTCTGGTAGACCTTTTGATCCCGATGCGGTATGAACAGTTTTTTTATATATATAAAGAAACATCCTATTAATAACTGCTTTTGACTAGACTACTTGTGAATTTCAACATTACGATACCAGCCATGTTGCAAATACTTATACCGCCTTACTCAACTTAATCATCCTCGGTGACGATCTTTCTCGTGTCAATAGAAAGGCCATCACAAAAGCCCTGAGTTTACTTCAGCAAGACGATGGAAGGTAATGAAAAATTAGCAGGATAAATGGTAGTATAGCGGCTGAGTAGTAGAAATTAGTGTTGCACCCACTTTTGGAAGCTTAGAAAGAGATGTTCGATTCGTCTATTGTGCTTGCGCTATATCCTACATCTTGAACGATTGGTCCGGTATCAACATTGAAAATACCGTTCAGCATATCAAACAGTTACAGGTACAACAATAACAAAAAAAAAGGGTGGCCCGCCTTGATTAAGAAAGAGAGGAGGGTGTACTGTTTTTTAATCTATTGACACGGATTCTTTTAGTCTTACGAGTACGGTATTGCTCAATGTCCAGGACAAGAGGCCCATGGAGGATCTACCTATTGCGGTATAGCAGCATTGGCTTTAATGGACAAATTAGAAGAGGGTATCATGAACAAGGATGAGTTTGTCAAATGGTGCCTTCTTCGTCAAATTGATGGGTTTCAAGGAAGACCCAATAAGTTACCTGATGTTTGTTACGGCTTTTGGATCGGTGCTTCTTTAGAAATCGTGGGGTGTTTTAACCTTGTGAATCATGAGAAATTAAGAGCATTTATGGCAAATTGTCAACCTAAAATGGGTGGTTTTGGAAAGGCACCAGATGCATACCCTGGTAAGTCATGGCATTGTTTGAATATCCTATTTGCTTATTAGTTTCTGTTTATAAAGACGTGTTACATTCGTATATGGGCGTTGCTGTCTTATCCATGATGAAAGAGCCAGGAATCCAAGAAATCGAACCCGCATTAAATGTACCTATATCCGCTTATAAACACTTGAAAGAAAATACCGTATTTTGGAAGGATCCACAATAGAAATAAAGTACGGGTTTTTATTTTTGCATTTACTTATTTGAGAATAGAAAAGGAACCATTCAATGCCAATGGTTTATCACGACGAGCAGGCTTAAATTGGTCCATATGAAGTAGATGACGCATAGTAGGCCGTCCATGAGGGCAATTCCAAGGTTGGTCAATCTCTCCCATATGTTGTACAATCTATTGTTTTTTATAAGTTATTTGTCCCTTTTTTCCTATGCACAACATTTACCTGTGTCATTTTTTTCGGATGTAAGCTTTGACCGATTCTTACTGCCTTGTGACATGCTCGCATAGCAAACATATTTCTAACACGACTACATCGAACCATTTCTCCAGGACGTTCATTAATCAAGTAGATAAGTTCACAGAAATCTGTCGTAAATTAAGCTCTTAATTTCTTTGACGATTTACACAGGGAGAGACATTGTTTTACCTTTCTTATCAAACATAGTATTTTTGCTGACAGGTTGAGATATAACACGAATTCGCTTTGTCGGTTCGTTATCCGGAAATACTTGGACGCCAAACCCATTTGCCTTGAAAATTTCCAGATTGTCCATCACCACATGTTCTTCGCTTGCTGTCAAATCCAATTCTTGCGGACTATAGAGTGATTGTGTCTCCATCTTCGTTATTTGTTGCAAGGTCTCGAAATTATACTTTTCGTCGGATGCATGTTGATCAATGATATAGATATCTTTGTCGTTTAAATTAGTGATGATGAAACCCAAATTAAATTGTCCTAGTACTTTCATTTCCGCAAAATCAGGTTTACTGATCACCCGGTTCAAGGCTCTAGCGGCCTTTTCATGATCCTGTGTATTTGTTATACCAGCATCTACTAACTCCGGAGCTTGTACTGTGTCGGAATCTTCAGTTTCATTCGAAGTGGTAGCCTTTAGTTTGATATCATCAGTATTAACTGATGCTTGTACTTTTCGACAAAACGTATTCCATGAACCTCGTGTTGATGTAATACCCGTATACATCTTGGTGTCCACATGAGAGATCCTCTCATTTTCTTGAAAGTCTACATCACTTTCTTCTGTACTTGGTTCTATTTCCATTATATTACTTTCTGTCTCGCCATTTTCCTGTTGCATGATTTCATCTACCTCCTCCTCCTCTTCATTGTCGGCAGTTTTAGGTCGTTTCGACAGATAATTTAATAATGAACTTGTTAAAGGAGCAGGCCTTTTAAATGTTGATCCAGTAGCTTTTAAACCATTACCAGAAGATCTAGATAGACCAAGGCTTTTAATCGGGTTGGACATTCGAGATGCAGTCTTACTGATATTTGTAGTCGGTACTCTCTTATTTGAAAAATCTGTATACATATTGCTGGATGAACTGCTTGGGACCACACTTTCAACAACCATTGGTGTATCTGCTATCTCATTGCCTTCTGTCATAGTCGTGTTTTGAAAATCCATATCTGTGACAGGCACTGCACGTGGAGTGGATTTCATAAGTGGGTTGACATTGTATGTTGATCTGCTTGGTTCAAGTTGTTGTTTTAATTGTTCCATGATAGCCTCTGCAATTTTAGCTTCATCATGCACAAAAATAGTTCTTTTGTCAGGACTAACATTGACATCGTATGTATTTGTAGGCATCTGAAGATCGGCGATGAGTACGGGATACTGATTGGATATAAATGTGCGGTAAGTTTCGTTCAATGCCTTTGATAGCTATGAATAAAAATGGATTAGCGCGATAGGAAAAGAAAGCAATGTGTCAAAGGTCTCCTTACTTTAGGCAGTGAACATGGTCTTCCGTTGACATAAAAATACTGTCTATCTGCACTACTTCTGCCCAATCCCCATTCAGGTTTCGATATAAATCCTTGTACGGTTCCTTTCTCGAGAATGGAACTAAGATCCACTTTAAAGGGTATAATTTGAGATGCAAGTTTCGAGCCAAAAACATTAGAAACATTGGCGATAAGGTCTTTATTCCCACTAGTTGACATGACCCGGATATTCTGTCTGCAATAAAGTTAGGAATATTTAACAACAAAAAAACAAGTTGGAAATGGATCTTACTTTTGTGCAATTTGATTGGAGACAGATATACGAATCGAAGTTGATATAATTGAGTAAGCTTGGATGATAGTTAACGCCTTTGAAAACTCTCTTTTTATGTTTCGTTTAAACTCCTGTTGTCGCACCGGTAAAGAGTAAAAGATGTTTGTTAGTTGTATAGTTGTTCCTGCCTACATAATTAGTATGAGCATATGTGTCAATTGATATGATAAGCCAAGCTTACTGAGCGAGCGATGGGTGTCTTTGAAGAGAGAACGCCGTTCATGTCAAACTCCAACTTGTATCCCATGGGTGTTTGTTCCTTCGTGGCTGTAGTAACTGTCATGTTGCAAAGAGCACATAACGAACTCAATGCTTCTCCCCGAAACCCAAACGTCATTACATTCTCCAAATCTTCAAAGCTATTTAGCTTGGAAGTATAGTGTTTAAGTGCTACCAGGTTCATTAAAATCCACTTTTTCCACGTCCTTTTCGTTTTCTTTTCTTTTTCTTACCAAGAGATTCATAGTTCGAAGGATCAATGCCAGATCCATCGTCAATAACTTCGATTCCACCGAGTCCATTATCTTTGAAATGCACGTCTACAAGTGGCACTTTTAGAAAAGAAAAAAAAAGGGGCCAATTTGCTTCTGTGTCTTACCAACTGACTTTGCACCTGCATCAATACTGTTTTCAACTAATTCTTTAATGGCTGTAGCCAAGTCCAGTACGACTTGTCCAGAACATATTTTATGAATCGATTGTTTGTCAATGGCGTTTATTTGAGAAGCCATTTTTATATGCGTGTATACAAAAGAGGAAAAAGGAAGGCGCGGTTAAAAAAAAAAAAGATGAACCAGCTTTATTAGGATTTGACAGACCAAAATCCAAGCACGTAATTAAGTCTGATGAGGAATAGATCAATAGCCATATTGATAGAATCCATCATTAAATTCACTTTTGAGCCATCGATTTCATGCCAAGTGACTTGAACTTCAGCCAAGGGTATTTTCTGGATTTGGGCAATCATGAGACATTCAATGTCAAAAATCCATCTTTCAACGTGCATGTTTGGGAATATAATTCGAGCTGATTTACGTGTAAATAATTTAAATCCACATTGTGTATCTTCGACTCCACGAATACCAAGTATATATACAAGTAAATGAAATCCACGCATCAAAAAATTTCGAACAAAAGATCTCTGTTTATCTGTTAATACTTGCATCTTGGCCCTTTTATATATATATATATATGTTATAGTGTCATACCTTTACAACTGCTTCAGTGGTAACTAAGTGAGATCGAGATCCAATAGCGACACCTTGTCCGTCCTTTTCAATCATTTTAATTTCACTCACAAGTTTACCAAGGTCAGAGAATTGTGTTGCACCATCCGCATCTACCATGAGACATAACTCGCCACGTGCAGCCAATACACCCTTTATATACATACACATGAATTCTTTAGCGAAACCAATATCTCGTGGAGCTCATCACTTTTAATTTTACCTGAGTAACAGCACCACCCTTTCCTCTATTCTTGTCTAAAGCAAGTACTCGGATATCCGCTTCGGGTGAAGTTTTTGCAAATTCCAGGGCAACATCAATTGTATTGTCTCTACTTCCATCATCAACCACAATGATTTCGTATGTATAATTCTCGTCTACTTTCTTTTGGGCTTCTAAATATTCCACGGTTTCCTTCAACATGACCGGTAATCGCTTACTTTCATCAAATGCTGGAACAATGACCGACAACTTTAGACTGGCATCGTCAAATATACTAGGTAGCAGCTTCTTCTCTTTAGACTTTGCATCTCGATAATATTTCTCGTTTTCAGTTCTTTCTCTAGGTTTAGGTGAGCAGAGTAATAGGAAACCGACCAACTAATCGAATGGTCAATCCAGCAATCCAGACCTTTCCCTTTTTTTTTCATTTAACAACTTACTGCGGCTACTCCAGTCATCGAAACTGCCGAAAGAAAATATAGAACTGACATGCCCCGAAAATAGAGAGATAAATAGAAACAAAAGTGTGGTTAAAAATAAATCAAAGCCAAGATTAATTAAACAAATTCGGACTTGAAAGTGTTTATTGTATACATTTTGGGGGGCCACAAGGAACAACTTTAGCCAATGATTGCCTTACACCGCAAACGCATATTTTTTTACCTGAAAATGGGAGGGCAGCCACATATTTGGGCGATATGTGGATTGTATGACATTCTTTTGCTACAGTGCATAATATTTATATAAAAAACATCGATTTCATTTGGAGAGGCTTTTTTGTTACTTTCGTAACTTGAAATTGTCAACAACTCACGCTTAAATATTTTAGAATGCACATGTTACCTTCATCTTTTTTTTTATCTCAGTTTATCGCTTTTAATTCATTATACAAATTAAATGTATAGGCAGATGAAAACTTCTTTCCCGAACAGTCATGCTAAATTAGTTCAGATCACGAATCCCATACAAGACAATCAATTATATGGGAGTGACAGATAAAGACACTGTACGCATCTGCCGCTTTCTTTATCGAGATAGTTTTTATGGCGCGGAAACACCTCAGATCGCTAAATATCTAACCATTTCAAGGAAATTTTAGAAGCAACCGTCTAGGCGGCTTTCATTATCAGTTTATTGACAAACAAAAACATTCAGCTCGGCTGTTTTTCTTCTTCCTTTCAAACTACCTTTATTTTTTATTACAGCTTCAAAAGTTTCAACTGGCGACAGGTCTCTTGATAGAGCTCCTGTCATTTATAAAAACACGTTTAGTAAATCCTTGGTACCGACTTCTAATTTTAAGGCAATTGATAGCATTTTTACAAGCAGAGGAGAATCAAGAGAATGTAATGTTGCGGTGCGTAATTCCTTTGGTAGAACCCAAGTTGGCTAATATTGAATATACCAACCGTAGCGCTTACGAAGCCCTTGCCCAACAAATCGCATCTGGTTTGGAAAGATATCCGATATTCCAACCGGAAGACCCCCTCTTCAAATCAACATTGAGTAACCACAAAGAGAAGGCAATTGTCAGCCATTGGTTCGTGTCTAAAGATCAATAGATGATTCTCGCTACACAATCTCTTCCAACTTCAATGGCTCGTTCAAAGGTGCACTTTCGGAAGACATTCGGTCTGTGTTTCTCGCAACTTTCATACTTCTTGTTTATCTGGAGTCTACATTTTTCATGTAACAATTAACTAAATTTCATACTTCACATTTGACTCGAATCTCTCTATTATTGAACCACACTTTAGATATCGTTTGGAATTTAACTTGATTAATTTTCGTTTTAACCTTGACGTTTACTTTATATTCATATTCTGTGTATATGCAAGAAGATGTAGTAATTGTATGATTATTGAAGACAACAAACAGCAACGAAAAAAAAAACGGAAGAAATACTACTTAGTATCAATTGCCTCAAATTTAGATGAAAAGAAGTGAGGTTGAAAATCGTCGTGTAACGTCTCGCACCGAAAAATGCAGAGTCGCCGTAGTTACATACAATCTTAGCTTTCGCCTGCTAATGATTCATTTAGTTAAACGCATTAAGAATTATGAAAGAGAGGTATCATGCACTTGTTTTATACACCAAATAAAACCTATTTTCATTTTTATGGTAGAGCCAGCTGCGATTGACGGGTGGCATGGATATGGAGCTTTGTTCCTGACATAAATCGCTCTTAAAAAGCGCTGTTTCAATATCTTGGGTTCCAACGTTTACTTTTTAATGCAAAGCCGTATCCTGTAGAAGACTTGAGACAACATGACAATCTTTTCAAAGTTAAGCTCTTAAAGAGATCTTTGACCTTAATTATTACTGCTTGCCTTTGCCTTTTAGAAGTAATTCCTGGGCTTTTTCCATGTTTTGGGTTTGAAAATTTTCAGGCTGGGTTTTGAACAAGTAACACAAAGTAGGTAGTCAAACTAAACTTTGACTCAAGAGCATTATAATGATAAACATGCTGTTTGAACATTTCAAAGCGTCAGCCTTTTTTTTTTGTGGCAGCATCTGGTGTAGGAATTTTGGGCGGAAGTATCATCCAATGAATGCCCCAGATCTATTGCGCCAATTGATGACGTCAAAATGATTTTTAAAAACTTGTTTATCTCCCCATCTACGCCCTTTCCTTTCTTTTCCTTATGCACAATGTCGAGTAAACGCTGCTGTTAGGTGATTCTAGCATGTACGTCTTACTTACCTGTGTACCTGCTTCACCTCTTCTCACCTTCTATCTCTAAGCAAGCATGGTTATTTTCTCACAAGGTAAGCTCTTTTTTTTTATGTTTCATCTAGCTTGTACGAGGTAGTCGAGTTATTGTGGGTCTACGGACTGTCGAATGCTTGGAGAAGGTGTTTTCAACAAACGCCTTCCCAGGAGCTAGGCGCAACGGAGTTGACATGGCTCGTGGGAGATCGAAAGGACACCGTGAAACCGCTCGTACGGACCTTCTTGTGAATCCTAGTTTATCCTTCCTAGTTGGGCGGCCTTAATTCTATGAAAGGTGGGGCATGCTTTTTTGACCACTTTCCAACGATTGTGTCCCTTTTTAGATTGTCTTGTAAAGCATAAAAAACGGGTGAGTGCAGACAGAGACTGACTTCCACGCAGTTGCACTTGGGCAATTTTCTTTTTACAGGAAATTGGCGAACAGGTCTCTAAATTTATGTTTTTAAATAAATCTTTCTTTTTTTTCTTTTTTTTTTTTTTGTCTTCAAACTTGCCACATCTTTATAAGACATACAATATGTATAAACATTAACTCGTTTTGTAAGATATATATTTAATTACGAAGGTATATGTGTGAGCAACTCATTGCTTATTCTGATCGAGCTGAATTTGCTGGACCAAGAGATTAATTAGCAGGTGGTAGTGTTTGATCCGTATTTATAAAGGCCTGTTAATCTTAAAATAAACAATGAGTACAATTTAAATCTTGAAATGTTAGGATCACTGATAAAGACCAAGGTTAAATTAGAAGCTACTTGTGAATAAAGTTAATTTGGCTTTCAATCACTAATTAGAAACAAGTCATTTAAGTCAAAATCTACTAGCAGTGAACGTATTATATGTAGACGTGTATTGAGGACTTTTTCTTACCCTGAAACGGATGTATCTCCTTTACGGAGGACACATGTAAAAGATTTAAACTTAAACAAAGTTATAGTACTCTTAATGAGAATGTCGAACTAACATGACAATCACCAAGAATTTTATATTTAATGCTATCCTCAACATGTAGATATGTTCCTTAATTTGTATTACTTGAAGTACATTATATCAGAGTGCTAGAGAAGGTTATACAGTTACTCCTTTTTTTCAAGGATTGTCAGTAAAGATCACTGGAAACAATTTAAGGTCTATCGCCTTCTATGACAGAGCGTTTACATCATTTCAAAATTTTATTTTAAAATGCTTGAAAGTTAGAGCTGAAAGTGTCAATGTGCTATTCAAATAATGAAGCTAGTGATGGATGGGAGCTCGTTGTTTTAGATTCCGTCTTCCTATGGAAACAAATTTTTTTTAGAGCTCATACAAAAATCTATTGTGTGTGTGTGTGTCACAGAATAACTGATCAATAAATTCATATATCAATTAAGCTAAAACATTTGCATGCTGTGTAGTTACAGCGAAAGCGAACACCATTTTACCAATAGTAAAACCTAAGAACACCAGTTGAGTTTACAGTTCAGTAATAATGATGTTGGATTATTTATACTTCTTCATCTGTAACCAAGGGCGGGAAGCTGAGTTTTCATTTGCTTGCATGGCTGGTTTCGATGACGAAATTGTCAATACGTGTAACATAATTTTTCATGTAACATAAAGCTCTTTGTTCTAAATATGTAATTTGATTTAATTATAGTCTACATATTGGATTTCGTTTATTATCAAGGCTCTGAGAAAAACATCTTAAGAGTCGAGATTAAAATGTATGGTTGTAACCACACATGGTGGTACATGTTGTTTCTCCATCAAATCTTCCTCTTGTACTGCTGCAAAAGATAACATTAATTTTGACTTGCCTTCTTATCACGCCATCCTTCTCTTCTTTTTTTTTTTATCTTACTTTTTATAGTCTCTCTTAATTTTCGTGTTTTTTTTCTTCTCTCTTTCTTTTATAATAAAAACATGTCTTTTATTCAAAAAAATATCAAACGTGTGGCTATTATAGGTGGAGGCCCTGGAGGTTTAGCAGCCGCAAGAGCCTTACGCAGCGAAGGTCATTTCGACACCATTACTATTTTCGAGCGTAATAACCATACGGGCGGTACTTGGTAAGTGTTTTTGTTTAACAGGGTTCATTGTACGAGTGTATGCGCATAAGACTTACGGACAAACGATAGGAAGTACACGCCTGAAACCAACCCACCACCACCTATTCCTTCCACGAATGCCTTATTGGTGGACAGAACGTTAAGAACAAAAGAGCTTTACTCTCCCATTTATGCCGATTTGCATACGAATCTACCTAAATCCGTCATGTGTTTTCAGGATGCACCGTTTCCCGAAGACGCACCTCTATTTCTCCATCATGAGCAGGTCATGAAGTACTTGAACGAACTTGCAATAAAGGAAGACTTGATGCCACTGATAAGATTTTCCACGTTGGTGGAAAGAGTACGGTATTATGAGAATAAGGTCTGGAAGGTGACTACGTCAGAAGGAACCACGGAGGACTTTGATGCAGTGGTAGTGGCTACGGGGCATTATGCGGTGCCTTACATTCCGGATATTCCCGGTTTGGATGAGTTGAATGACAATAGGCGTATACAATTATTGCATTCCAGAGACTATCGTACACCGGAACCATTTAAGAACAAGGTATATTTATGATAAAAAAGTGTAGGTTGAATGGAAGAAAAACTTATGAAAAAAAAAAAAAAAAAGACGGTTTTGGTAGTAGGTGGAGGATCATCTGCAAATGATATTGTACGAGAAACAGCGAGTGTGGCCACGAAAGTGTACCAGAGTATTCGTACACATACGGAGCTATCAAGACAAGCAGTTGAACGTAACCCACCTAATGTACAGCAAATTAGTCTTATTTCGCACATTGATAATGACGAAGATATATCGAGTGTGCAGCTGCAAGATGATGTATTGGATGATGTAGATGTGATTATTTTTGGCACAGGGTATTTGTATAGTTTCCCTTTCTTGCCGTTCCAAAGGGACGATTTAATTATGACTGGACAAAAGGTACATCATTTAAACCATTACATGTTCTATAAAAAGAACCCGACGTTGTGTTTCTTGGGTTTACCTATTCGAGTGGTGCCTATGCCATTGATGCAACGTCAAAGTATAGTGATGGCCAGGTATTGGGCGGGTAAGATTCCGATGGTGCCACATGTGGAGATGGACAGTATGGACGATGCTCGGTTGGATTTTGTGATGGGAGTTGCACGTGAAATTCAATACAGTGAACAATTGGGTGCTTGGGCCCAAGGGTATACAGACAAGAAGAGCATGGAACAATGGCAATCCGATGATCCTGTGACCGGAAGATTATCCGAGAACTGGATCGAGCTTCGAAAAAATGCACTGTTACTTCGTTACGACTATTTAGGCTATTAATTTAAAATTATTTTATTTAATTTATCGAATAATATCATCATATAATTCTTCTTGTACACATTTGGTACATGCACATGTAAAGTGATAGTGTTCAAATAGCCGTTGTCGTCGTACAAAGAGAGAGTCGTCTACGGACCCGTAAGAGATGCAGGCTTCTTCATCTTGGTCGATCATACGTCTAGCAATAAACTTCATACGGTTCCCGTCTCGTATTTTAATAACGTTGGCATCACAACTATGATTGAAATACACAGCAGAGGGATAGATGCCAAATCCTAAGAGTTCTAAATCGTCCGACACACCGCCTGTTCCTTTGGCAATTTCTTCATCACCCATCTCCCAAAGACCAAAACTATTTGCTCTTTCCCGGAAAAAGATGGCACGAAACACTTGATGATTGACATGAGTCAGTTGAGGAACATGATGGAGTGGTTGACTCACGGCCCGCTTGAAAAATGAGTACAAGGCCATGACGTCCAGCATTTCCTGGGGTAAATTGGAAGCGGCGGGATTTTTCGGTAATTTGGTGATGGGGGACTTGTACAGGCTTTTGAATAGAGAGAGTTCATTATTTTGTATCACGAGTAAGTTCTTGTATTGAGGTGTATGTGCTGATGTGGTAAAAGTGGTATCTATATCAGCATCTATCTCATTGTTTTTGCGTAATATACAAGAGGCAATTAATCGACACATGGCACGATCTGAATCCTCAATGGGTTGGTGAAGGTCTAAATTATCAGTAAGCGAATCCCAAGCATGATCTAACCAAGCTTCCAGTGCATCATCACTCTCTATATCGATGAATTCTTCAGCGGATGATTTTAGGATAGTACTGGTACTTAAATCAGTTTCAGTTGAGCGAGCAAACTCTAAATCTAATCTGTAATTGATGGCAAGTGACAGCTCCCAGTCAAGTTTTGCAATTACGTCTTGTTTGCATTGCAAAGAGCAGAATAAAACGTCTTTGAAGAGGACCGAATTCTTTTTGAGGGGTAATTGCCAGCGAGTGGCCAAAATAGATTGTTCTTGTGGAGTGACAGCCCTGACTTTATGCTTTTTGGGGTATATGAAGTGAAAGCAAGCTTGACAGGTTTCGGGTAACCATTCTTGTGATACGGTGGTGGCCAATGGATGAGAGATATGAAGTGTTGTACCTGCAGGAATATAATCTTTGGCTTTAAAACCTCTTCCTTTTCCGGGTAAAAAGGCTATTTCCAGTAAATCGTTCATATTATATGTGTAGAGTTAATAAAGAGAAAGTTTTTTTTTTTTTTTTTTTTTTACATAATTTTTTTCATTTGCAGAAAATTAACAAAAAGCCCCTAAACAGTCCGTTTTTTTTTTTCTGTGAGCGGGAGATGTATTATCCCTTTCTCCATTGACTTATTCACCGTTCATCCCGGTTTGGATGAAACAAAGAAACTCGGCGAGTAAAAAAAAAAAAAAAAAAAAAAAAAAGAAAAAAAATCGTAAAACGTTAAGGTGATCGATTTGGTGTAGTATATGGGTAAGGTCTTTAACATCTGAAAAACGAAAGATGACGGTTTTTTGTATAGGCCGAGGGGTTTCTATCGCAACTACCGAAACACGTTATGGTTTTTTGGATACAAAGTTGATGAAGAAAGCAAATCAATTAGTACATGTGGTGCAGATCACTGATTTAACTGTGTGTGATACATAAAAACAAGAAAAAAGTGACTTAATAAACTCATGATCTCATAAACACAAACACAACAACACAAAAAAAAAATCGACATCGAGATTAAGTTAGAGAAGAGGAAGGGGAGAAACATGAAATTAGGAAGATTTTCTCCGAACAAACAAAAAAGAAATATAAAGTGGTTTTTAATTTTTTTTCCTCCTTTGGCCATTTTTACACCTGGTTTTGAACAATAAAGAATAGAAAAAAAGAAAAAAAAACAGGGTCCACTATTTACCTATATTTTTTTTTTTTATTTTTATTATTATTAATTTATTGAGATAGAACACTTAGAAAAATAACATATAATAGACAAAAAGAAAGAGAAATAGAAAAAATGCTTCTTATTACAGGCGCTGATCAATTTATGGGATACGCAATCACATCGCACATGGCTCAATACAAAGAACTACGACCCAAATTACGTGTACTATGTCAAAACAAGGCTCGTTGCTATGGATTCATCAATGCTGGAATCGATGTTCGACAAGTAGATTATCATCACCCAAACCAAATCTCACTAGGACTACGAGGTATTGATCACATCATTTTAGCTATCGGTAGCGAACCCGATCGAGTCGAAAATGCAAAGCGGATCTGTCGAGTAGCTGCTCATTCTGGTGTCTCCAATATTGTCTGTGTTTCTCACATCGGTGCAGTGTCACGGATGCACCCTTCTTTACAAGACTATCACATAATTGAAGAACAAGTTATGCACAGTCATTGTCAATACACAATTCTCAGGTACACTTGTCATTTTACTTTTGTTATCACTCGCACTAAACAAACAATGCTTGCCCATTTTGATAGGTTGGATTTTGTGCAACAATATTTGCATTTATGGGCCAATTATGCCGAAAAGAACCGTAAAATGATTTTACCGCTTAGGGAAGATACAGAGATCTGTCCGGTAGATATTTCAGATGTATGCAGAGTGATTGAGGAACTCGTATTAGACAAGACATCAGAAGCACTGAAGCCACTGGACGATAGACATGATGGTCAGGTCTATTCTTTAACGGGTCCCGAATCTATAAGTGGTAAACGTATGGTCGAACTCTTATGTCAAGCTACAGGTTACCAATCCTTTAAATACTGTCATGGACGACCTATGGATCTTGTGTACTATATGAGTGGGCTTGCCAAAGATGTATGGTTTGATGCTAGATTGAAGCGGGAAATGTCACAAATATATCACGATACATTTGAAACAGCAGCATATAGAGAAAAAGCATACTGCACACCCACAGGTATTAGATGACACTTTCTCTCTTGTTTGTACATTTAACTAATCCCACTTAAAAAAGACAAACAGGTGCAGACCTATCTCGATTACTTTGACTGGGTTCAGCAAACAAGTGGTAGTGTATGTGTATCTCATACATCCATGTTGACCCATTTACCTAGTGTATCACTCTCTTCATTTTTTGAGCAAAATGCAAACAGTTTTAAACCGCGCGTATAAAGAAAAAAAAAATCCCAATTGATATATCACAACCCCACGAAAAAGAAAAAAAAATCCTTGTTTAATTATTATAATAATAAAAAAAAAAAGAACAAAAAGCTGTTATCTTACACTATTTCCCAAGAGTATTATGAGTAGAAGTAAAAATACACAAGTTCATTTTTACTTACTAGCATATTTTTGAGTCCAGTCAGCAGCTGTAGCTTCATAACGAGGTCGATCGGTTTTGTAAATGTACGCGAGTTCGGGTACAAGTGGATCTATGGTTTCACATCAGTCTATGATCCAACACCAAAATTTGTAAATGACTTACCATCAGGGTTAGGGTCAGTCAGTAATGAACAGACAGACAATAGTACTGCAGACAAGAATGAATAAATAATATAGACCCGCGTTCAATATAATTTTTTTTTTTTTTACCTTTAGAAATCGTGAGAGCAGGAGACCATTGATCTTTCAAGATATCGAGACAAATAGAACCATTACTGTTTATATTGGGGTGATATATTTTTGTTGTAAAACTAATCTGATATGTATTTTTTTTACAATAAGTCACACCACTTTTTCATTATTACCAATTGTTGTTACCTTTGGAGGCTTAAAAGGATAGTCTGTAGGAAAAGTAATAGACAAGTTAAAGATGCCACCTTGATAAGGGCTATCATCCTATCATACAAAAGTGGTCAATCATTTGTTTTTTAACAAGATACGGTACCTACGGGTCCTATCATGGTTGCTTGCCACTGAAAGAAATCAGACCCGACAGGGCCTGCGGAGCAGGACGTAGGTGGGTCGCGTTCTAAATCTCGAAGTTCCTAAGGAAAAAACCAGTTGCTTTAATATCCTTTTGTTTCTGTGCTTTCTTTTTTTTTTTCCCTTTTACCTTGCTAATACGTTTTAATGCCATTTGTGTGATAAAAAGAGAGAAAGAGGTTTAGAAAGGGCGCAGAAAAATAGTGGAACCTATCAATGGGAATTTTTACGGTCACATTCCATATCAGCCATAAATATTAAGAAAAAAAGGTTTTTGTTGCTGACATACACAACTTTCTTTATTATTATTGTTATTATTATTGTAGAAATGTCAATGAAGAGAGTTGAATTAACTCGTGAATTACTAGTAACGAATTCCCTATCCAAAGTATTTCCTAAACACGAAACACCCTTGTCTTCGATATCATTTAATGATACAGGTGAATATTGTGCCGTTGCAGGTGAAGACGATAGTTTAAACGTATACAATTGCAGAGAAGGAACGTAAGTGAAAGCCCCGCTGCACCATCTTTTACTATTTATTTAATAAGATGTCCAATCTTTTTAGTGTTCATTCAACACTCTTTTCAAAAAAATATGGAGTTACTCTTGCTCGTTTTACTCATCACAAAAACAATGTCATTTATGCGTCCACCAAAGAAGACGGTAAGAAAACTCTTAGGGGGGCAGCAAGCATAGACTTATGACTGTTTCATAGATACGTTAAGATATCTTTCAATCCACGACAACAAATACATTAGATACTTTCGTGGTCATAAAAAGAGGTAAGCTACAAACATGTAATGAAATGGGACCTAGCTAAATGTATAAATTGAAGAGTTACGTCTGTAGAAATGTCACCTATCGACGATACATTATTGACAGCTTCGATGGATGAAACCGTGCGTTTATGGGATTTAAGAACATCAACGTGTCAGGGGATGGTAGGAGGTGAAGGACGTACACTTGTAGCAATTGATCCACAGGGTCTTGTGTTTGCCGTCGGTATTAATGGCAATACGATCCAAGTCTATGATTTTAGAGAGTTTACACAAGGTCCCTTTGCGACCTGGACTATAGAGGATCGCTTACCAGAGTGGACCAGTCTTAAGTTCTCTTCTGACGGTAAACGATTGATTGTGACAACCATTTCAGATACAATTTATGTGTTGGATGCATATGAAGGTCGCTTATTACAGCGTTTGGTCGGTCATGCAGGTCCTAATAAAACTTCCTGTGGTGAAGAAGTTTGTATCACCCCAGATGCAAGATACGTGTTGGCTGGTGGCCGCGATAACTGTTTAAGAGTCTGGGACTTGAATCAATCCAAAGACATAGATCTTCAACCTTTTTCTACTCTTCCTTCTCCTCATAAAGCAGGCATTAAGATCGTCGGCTATAATCCTTTAAATGCCATTGCCGTCACAGGCTCAGAAGAGTTGGCCTTCTGGCTTCCTAGTAGTTTAAAGAAATCCGGATAAATGTATGAGTGCGGGCATTTAAAAAAACAAGATATCTTTCCCCAGTACGCTGATTTTTTTCTTTTTTTTATATCTCTTTCTCCTTCTTTTAATAAACAAAGAGGGCAAAAAAAAGCACAGATAATGACGCTTAATTCAAATGAAAAACTGACGATATGTATTGATCGTGGAGGAACATTTACCGATTGTATTGGGTTTATAGGAAAACCAGGGGATAGTAACTATCGCGAATTTGTTGTAAAGCTGTTGTCAGAAGATCCCTCCAATTATGGAGATGCACCTACAGAAGGTATCCGTCGTATTGTTGAGCTAGCAACGGGTAACTCACATCCTCGTTCTCAACCTGTGCCTACCACATCCATCGGTAAACAATCCCCATATCTTTATTGTGTGCATCCATGTACTTATATCTATGATTAGAAAGTGTGCGCATGGGTACCACAGTAGCTACAAACGCTTTGCTAGAGCGAAAGGGTGAATCTAGTGCATTACTAATCACTAAAGGATTCAAAGATCTTCTGACTATTGGTAAAAACAAAAACAAAAATTAGTGTTATTCACACGCGGTTTATTGTTTAACCAGCGTATTTTGACAGGTAATCAATCCAGACCCAAGATCTTTGATCTTTCTATTAAAAAACCAGATGTGCTTTACCAGAAAGTGATTGAAATCGATGAACGGTAAAAATAAAAAATATAGAAGAACAACCCACCTCTTTGTATGTGGTACTGATTGAGATGTTTTGTTAAATTATAGTGTTGTATTGTTAAATTCAGCTGCTTCTACTGAACAAATTGATGATGCTGCCGCTTTATCAAACATCAATGTTCGTAAAGGCATCTCTGGAGAATATATCAAAATTCTTCAAGCACCAGGTAAAAATCCATTTCGTCCCTTGTTTTTTTTTTTTTTTTTACTCATGCACTTGAATAGACCTCAACATCATTAAAAGTCAACTCCAATCCGTATACGATGAAGGTTATCGTAGTATTGCTGTTTGCCTTTTACATTCATACACGTTTCCCGATCATGAAACGCAGGTAGGCGAATTAGCTCAAAGTATTGGATTTACACATGTTTCACTTTCCAGTCAAGTCATGCCGATGGTCAAGATTGTACCTCGAGGAACCTCTGCCACAGCCGACGCTTACTTGACACCTTGTATCAAGGAATATATCAAGGGATTTACGCGTGGATTCGATGACGGATTCCAAAAAGGGACGACACAATTACAATTTATGCAGAGTGATGGTGGACTTGTACCCGTCAGCCACTTTTCGGGCTTTAAAGCCATTTTATCAGGTCCCGCTGGTGGTGTTGTGGGGTATGCATTGACTACTTTTGATCAAAAGAGTCGCGTACCAGTGATTGGATTCGATATGGGTGGCACTAGTACAGATGTCTCGCGATTTGATGGACATTATGAACATGTGTTTGAAACAACTACAGCCGGTGTCACGATTCAAGCACCTCAATTGGATATTCACACCGTGGCTGCAGGTGGTGGGTCCATGTTGTTCTTTAAAAACGGAATGTTTGTTGTTGGTCCAGAGGTAGGAACATACGTAAAATTAGAGTTTTAGCTCTCTCTTAATAATGCTTTGGAATTGTAGAGTGCGGGAGCTCATCCAGGTCCGGCTTGTTATAGAAAGGATGGTCCTTTAGCCGTATCCGATGCAAACTTGTATTTAGGTCGTCTTTTACCAGACTATTTCCCAAAGATCTTTGGTCCCAATGAAGATTTACCGTTAGACCGCGATATTGTCCAACAAAAGTTTCAAGCTTTAGCAGATCACATCAATGAAACCACACAACAACAAAAATCATTGGACGAGATTGTATATGGATTTATCAAGGTGGCCAATGAAACCATGTGTAGACCTATTCGAGCTTTAACAGAAGCAAAAGGCCATGATACCAGCAACCATACGTTAGCGGTGTTTGGTGGTGCAGGTGGTCAACATGCATGTGGTATTGCGCGTAATTTGGGTATCAATAAGATTGTATTGTATCGTCATAGTTCTATCTTGTCTGCCTTTGGTTTGGCGTTAGCAGACGTTGTACATGAAGTACAAGAACCTTGTGCTGAAAGGCTTCATCTCTCTTTGGATCGTATTCAAGAACGCGTTGCAGCTTTAGAAAAGGACTGTATCACCGAGTTAACAAAGCAAGGGTTTAAAGAGATTGAGACAGAAGTATACTTGAATTTACGTTACGATGGTACGGATTGTGCTTTAATGACACTTCAACCAGAGGCTGGTAACTGGGAGTTCGAAAAGGCCTTCTTTGAATTGTATACACAAGAATTTGGCTTTTTATTAAACGGTCGAGATATTATTGTGGATGATATTCGTGTACGAGGTATTGGAAAGACGGTACAGAATAATGATTTGACACCAGATCATGATATTGCCGAATTGAAGGCCAATAACAAGATTGCAGAGGTGTCCATTGCAGCGGATAAATACGTGTCGGTGTATTTTGAAGAGACAGGACGTAATGATCGCGTACCTGTGTATCGTTTGGGAGACCTTCAGCCCGGTTCACTTTTAACGGGTCCCGCCGTCATTATTGATGTGACAGCCACGGTCATTGTTGAACCTTCCTGTACGGCCTTGATCACATCGGGTCATATCACGATCACGGTGGGTCGAGGCGAAAAGAAGGTGGTAACCACCAAGATGGAGCCTATCCAATTATCCATCTTTTCGCATCGGTTCATGAGTATTGCGGAACAAATGGGTCGTACATTACAAAAGACCGCGATTTCAACCAATATTAAGGAACGATTGGATTTTTCATGTGCACTATTTGGCGCGGATGGTGGATTAGTAGCCAACGCACCCCATATTCCTGTGCATTTGGGGTCGCTTTCACATGCGGTAATTTATCAATTGAATTATTATAAGGGGAATCTTGTAGAAGGAGATGTTATCATGACCAACCATCCACAAGCGGGCGGTTCTCATTTGCCTGGTAATTTTTTTTTTTTTCGTGACACTACACAGTATGCAATACTGACCTTTTTTTTATTTATTTTTGTCCACTAGATATCACGATTATTACACCCGTATTTGAACAGGGAGAAATTGTGTTTTTCGTAGCATCGCGAGGTCATCATGCGGATATCGGTGGTATCTCTCCTGGCTCTATGCCTCCTCATTCTAAGGAACTGTACCAAGAAGGAGCGGCTATTAAATCTTTCAAGATTGTATCGAAAGGCCACTTTGATGCGGATGGATTAACCAACCACTTGTGTACAATTCCTTCTTCCTATCCTGGATGTTCCGGCTCGCGTGCGTTCCGTGATAATATCTCGGATCTCAAGGCACAAATTGCAGCCAACCAAAAGGGTATTAGTTTGGTCAAGGCCTTGATTGCCGAGTACTCTTTACCGGTGGTTCAAGCCTACATGATGCACATCCGTCGTAACGCTTCTGAGGCGGTTAAAAGCTTGCTGCGAAGAGTGGCACATGATTATGCTCCAGAGCTTATTGCTGTAGATTATATGGATGATGGCACACCGATTCATTTAAAGATTACGATTGATGCGGATAAGGGTACGGCCTTATTTGACTTTGAAGGGTCAGGACCTGAAGTGTATGGCAATACCAACGCACCCGAAAGTGTATGTCATTCTGCCATTATTTACTCGATTCGTTGTTTGGTGAATGAGGATATCCCGTTAAATTCAGGTTGCTTGGAACCTATTGATATCAAGATCCCTGCTAATTCGATCCTGAGTCCTTCAGAGCGTTGCGCAGTGGTAGGTGGTAATGTATTGACTAGTCAACGTCTTGTGGATGTGGTCTTAAAAGCGTTTAATGCATGTGCGGCCAGTCAAGGTTGCTGCAACAATTTGACGTTTGGTAAAGGTGGTAAAAATGAAGAGACGGGTGAGACAACCGTGGGTTGGGGTTATTATGAGACAATTGCAGGAGGAAGTGGAGCAGGACCTACCTGGCATGGACAAAGTGGTGTCCATACGCATATGACAAATACACGTATCACGGATCCTGAAATCCTTGAGAGGAGATATCCTGTGATTTTGCATACGTTTGCGATTCGACCTCATTCGGGTGGCGAAGGGCTTTATCGTGGCGGTGATGGTGTGATTCGAGAAATCGAGTTCTTGGAAGACGGTATCCAAGTCTCGATTCTTTCGGAAAGACGTGTATTTAGACCTTATGGATTGGAAGGAGGTCAAGATGCCGAACGCGGTTTAAATGTGTGGGTGCGTCATGAGACGTCAAGTGCAGGAAAACAAGTGATGCGAACATTGAATTTGACAGGCAAGAATTCTGCTCTATTTGGAAAGGGAGATCGTATTATTATCAATTCTCCTGGTGGCGGAGGATTTGGTAAAAAGTAATCTTATATTTTAATGTATAAAAATAAATATGTATATTTTTCTTTTTTTTTAACACAGAACTTCTAATTGTGCTGCTCTCACTTCTAAAGAGGATGGGTTTCTAACAAGTACCATCTTTTTCATTGTGCGTTTTTGTCTATTTTATCAAGTTAGAAGGAATCCCTTTTTTTTTTTTTCTTTCTGTGAACTTACAATGCGTCTATAGCATCCATCTTTTTTAAGCCGTTGACAGTACAAGCACCAACACCGAAACCATAACCAAGTGTTAACGAGAAATTACCATTGGTAATGTAGCCAATATGTTGTGGTTTCTCAGGAATAGCGATTGATTTCTATCCTTTCATGTTAGCTTCCCTTACTTGATTTTCCTTTTTGTTGCTTTTACCTTTGATATATCTGTTTGCACTTCCAGTAATTCTTTTAACTTTCGCTTACTTTTCTTTAATGGTGATTGATGTCGAATATGAAATGTGCACTGATCATATTCTTCATAATCCTCCAACAAATACACCATGGCATATGGCGCAGGTTTACCACGGTCTATGTACTTGACACGAATCTTTATCAACGCATCGTCTAACTGAGGTGTTTGTTTCTCTCCTTCCAGTCCGCGTTGACGCGTCAATGTCTCTAATGTTGTCTCAAAAGCATCCGTCAAAATGTCACGAACCAACCTCTCACCTTGGATTAAAGTGCATGTAGGTCGAGGGGGTAAATTATGTGCATTGTCAATTTCCATATGTTCGACGGTGGCCAAACTTTCAAAGGCACACTCAAATGGATGTTCGATACCTCTCTTTCCAAAATTCACACGTTTGGCAGGAGGTCTCTTCTCCCATACCTTTTCTGCCTCTTTTTTCATGAGTTGACGATGCACTTCAAATGCACGTGTGCCAGGATAATCTTGAGGAAAACAAGGGAACCCACTTTCAAAGTGCATGGCACGTACGTCCTCAAATCCGGCTACGCGAGCACCTGCAAATACCAATGATTTCCAGAAGGGCAAACCCCAGCCACGCGGTAAGATCAGAGTCCAACCTTCTACTAATTCATGCGATGAAAGTGGTTTCTGGGTGATTCCGGCTTTGTTGTAGGCAGGCCCACCGCGTTGGATTAATAAAATAGGGATCTGAGCATCGGTTGGGTTGGGTTGTAATTTGGTGCCAGGGACGAGATTTTCTTGTCGACGCAAGTTGAGGGCGTATTCGGAAGCCTTTTTCTCACAAAGTGTATCGCGTTCTGATTTATCCCAGATTGAAGTCTCTGCTACATTGCTAGGCCAGTGCTCTAATATTTTTTGGATCGTTTGTTGCTCCTCGATGGAGATTTGGTTATTACGAGGTGGTACTTTTTGAGGGAATCTATGTTGATACATTTGTCAATTTGAACTGTTCCATCCACCAAGTGTCCTCTTTCCTTACCTTAATCGAGGATCGTTGACTACAAGACCAAGGACAGATCCAGGGGATAATGAACACGATGAACGAAGCTGGTGTAAATCCTTCCATGTCTGATTTCCCTTGGAATCTTTGTTTGCAACAGGATCCAAAATGGATTGTAATAGAGATGTGGATCGAGGCCCTGTCAATTCAAATCTTAAGAGTTCCTCTCGTAAATCGTTTAATTGAACTTCCATTTTTGTTTCCTCGATTGCCTTTTTGATAAAACACAGGGCTTCATTAATCGCAGCAGGATGGATCCATAACCAGAGGGTGTCTTTTGTTTGTGGTTTCCATAGGAACGAGATGGGGCATATGAGACGTGTGGGGTATGCCATGTATTCGTACAAGTGAGTGGTGCCCATACGGTTGCCCTTGATGTAACGCTCGCTGGTGACGGAAGGTAAGCCTGCATCAGTCAGGGTATTCAAGACAGTGGCGATACTGTCTACATGGCCTGCAAGTTCGATACAAGCCATATAAGACGCATCATGTACAATCGACAATCGAGTAAAAGATCGGTAAGTGACACGTACGGATTTGGTGTTGGGTCGTGCAGCGATACGGTGACCCCAAATATCTGTCATTTTCATTCGTTTTGTATGCCACATGTGAGTTTCCAACCATTTTTTCGATTCTAATAATTTAGCATTAGTCTTTTTTATATATCCAGTGATGCTTTTCTCATGCTACATTTTATTGTGTGTGCGTATGTATGTTTACTTTGACGACGAAGGAATTCTTGGACAATGTTTCCAGGTGGTTTGATCTTCTTGACTTTTTTACGAATAAGTGGGGTACCTGGTGCAGAACTATGTGCTTCGCGTGCAGCTTTTGCTCTTAAACGCGCAGGAAGCCTGTTTAAATTGTGGCTGGCAGCACGACGACGAAGACCGCGAGGAAGTGACTGAAATGCAAGTTCGTTCAATGCAAAACTGTCATTTTGTGTGTTTTTTTCAATTTAGTGGTGACAACAAGGAAGATCGCTGTTTAAGTGTTTATTACCTAGACTTCTTGATATTGGACTGCATGGCATTGATTTCCATAATGCGTGCAAGAGCATGTCTATCAGCATAAATAGGTCCACTGATTTTAGGTATATTGTCAGCTAAACAAAAGTTCGTGTGTCAGTAAAAAATTCGAAAGATAAGTTGAGTGCTTTGTCGTTACTTAGTGAGTTATCTGTCTTGTTATGAGTACCGATTTGACGAGCAAGCTTGTTTCGTTCTTCATTGTTAAAGAAATGTCAGACACAATGTCAAATGGACACTCTTTTTTTTGTATTCATATTTATAGATTGATCTACCTCTTCTTTTTTGTTTGCCTGTTAAACTTTCATCGAGTTTAGGTTTAGTAGGTTTGCCTGCCTCTTTAGAAGACATGCTATAATTTTATTTTTTTCTCTTTGAAAGGTTGTAAAAGGTAAAAGTTTTTTTTTTTTGTGTGTGTAGAGAATATAGGAAAATTAGGCTGGGTCCCAATCACATTGGCCACTGGGCTGGTATTGAATGTATCAGCCAATCCATTGTGGATGTTAAGGCTGCCCTACAGTTTCACTTCAATCGACTTTCCTGGAATTTTCTCACGCAAAAGATTTGCTGGAGGAGTTCTCTTTATAAGCTAGATCTCAATATAACTATTTGAAAGTAAAACAGTTATCATTCGTAATTTTTCCCGATCGGGTATCAGGAAATAACGTCAAGTTTAACCGAGAACACCTTATTCTAAAATAATTCTTTATTTATTATCTGAAAAAAGGGTTTGTGTGTGTATGTATCTGTGTACACTTCCCTCTAATATCGATCAGTAATACGCTTCGTTCTTTTTGATTGATTACTAGGTGATGTTACTGGCAAGTGTCAGTAAAAGTAATAGAAGAAAAGAAAAATAGAGTTTAAGATAAAAGTTCTTAAAAAGTGAGCACCAGACTACATAGTTGTCAACTGAAAAAGATAAAATATATTTATATAAGGGGGTAATTTATTCGACGAAATCAGATAAGAGTGGTATTCGAAGGAGTATAGTTAAATACAAAATGGAATAGCTAACGATGCTGATTTTACAGAAGGAATTCAAAAGCAATTATATAAATACAAAATCACAAAGACCTAAAGTATTATGGCTTATTCAGATTTAAGTAAAGAACAAACTAAAGATTTTATTAATTATTTTTGAGGTCCTTTTATAAGAAGAGGACAGAAAAGTAGTCAGAAAAATATAAGGATCTGAAGTCAAAAGGACCAACAGTAGAAGAAAAAGGTGGTGTAACATCGATAAACTGACAATGACTGGATCTACCTTTCTATTTGGTGATCTAGCGAGACTATTTGAGGCATAATCGCTGACTTCGACAAGATCATACTTGTAAGATTGGTCAACATAAGATAATGCAATTGTGTTGCTGAGATCCACCTCCAACTCTTTCCAGGCATACAGGCTTTTAACACTCTTTCTAAGTTGCTTCAACTCTACTAGAGAGCCTATCAAACTGAAGCTCCCAATCTTGTGTCCTACAAGGCAGTTTTCATGTCTGTAAAATTGAACCATGTAAGCAAATTTCTACATCATCATTGCCTGTCTCAAAATCGCACGCAACGAGGATGTCAATTCGTCTTCCGTAAGTAGTATCGCCGTAAGAGAATTCAAAATATGCCATCCAAGGTGAAATTCACAAATTAAAACCTTTGGTTGTGCTGTATTATCTTAAAAAATATGCGCCTGATATGATTGTAGGTTCCCCTCACTGAAAATTGAGTGGATACTCGAATTGAATTTTTTGCATAATAAAATGTCGTCGTCGAACATTCTTTCAAGCCAAAAAGAATGCTCAGAATTATCAAAATTGTCATTAATAATTTGCATTCTTTGTGTCGAGACCGACACCGTTTCACCAGCTATTAATATCACACGATTATCATCTAAAATAGCCTGTAAAGCATTGCTAAATGCCTGGAGATAGGTAGATTCTGAAAGCTTTGGCTCTCTCTTGTACTGTTTCATGTTACTGACACTAAAAAAAATCTTAAATACTGTACACAATCAATAAATAATATATGAAAAACCTTACATGATATTTATCATTGATAAGAGTTTATAGGTTTCAGAACTTTTGTCAATGAAATTAATAATTCCGCTCGTGTTGTTGCTACAAATGTTCAGGATGCTTTAGTTCTTTGTCACTACACATATACGACGGTAATGGAAAACTTACTCGAAAATAAATGGAGTCATTTATCATCAAATAAAGTATCTATTATCTCTTCAAGATTATGAGATAAACTGTTTTCAAATTCTCTTCTTTTTCTCGGCATTTGGTCATGAGATTTTTTATGATATTAGCGGGTAATATTTGCTAAATTAATACACGAAGAATCCAATAGCTTTTTTAAAGACTCATCATTGCTGATCAGCGCGTCAAAGTCAGTCATTGTTCCTGTGTTTGGGGAAAGAGGTATGGAGGTTTTTTTTAGGAAATGTCTAGACCTCCGTATTTTTTTCAAACGTATTTTTTTTTTTCTATACCACTTACAGGAATTCTGGTCAATACCAGCAGGCCAGTATGAGCACAACCATTTACAGTGCAACCACTGTTACTCACAGTCTGTGAGTTCCAAAAACTCAAGAACCCTGCTTAGGAGGTCGCCCTCCTATAGCAAAGACTAGCCGTAGCCGCAATAACGTAGTAATCTTTTTTAAATTAGCGTCTTTTCAAAGAAACAAGAGTCATCACTAACTAACCTTTTTACGTTATCTGTTACTTTCATACGATAGAAAAAGTATGTTAAGGGAAAAGAAAAGTGGAAGAATAAAGTGTGGGAAACAGCTTTATTTGTAGGCTGATAAACAAGTTTATGTCAGGATGATTTCACTTTTTTTATTTTATCATCTATAAACAAGCTTATGTCAGAATGATTTAATTGCTTGTTTCATCATCCATAATGTTCGAGCCTTTACATAAAATAGAAACACTTGCAAAAACCTGCCAGGCAAGTCAGAGCTTGGTAATTGTTTATCTGCGTTCCAGTAGTAGCTTGTAATGACATGTCTATACGCACTACATGAAATAAAAAATATAAAAAAGAGGTCTCACCGAGAATCGAACTCGGATCACCGGATTCAAAGACCGATATGATAACCATTACACTATGAAACCATGTTATATTTATATTATTTGTATTAAATAAATATTAGTATAGTATTAGTTATTTCGCATCACGTGATAACCACGTGGAAGATATATTATTGGTTGGCGTAACTGGCTTTCTATAATTTTTAGTTTGATTTTGCAAATTTATTTCATGTGAATTATACTTCGGTTGATCAGTGTTGTCTATTTTCGACAGCTATATTATTTCATTTAATAAATTCGTACCTTATCTGGTGTTGCAACAAACTCCCAGAGTTTTTGTATCAAGGCTAGATTTATTCGCTCACCCGCGGATTTTTAGTAAATGGTTACACGTTTACCTGTTTGAACGATTGAGCGACTGGTTGCCCCCCCCTTTTTTTTTTGTGGGCAGATGAGCCACTGTTTACTCAATTACTTTGTTGAACGGATGGTCAGCTGACTATTTCTTTACTTGTATGAGCGGATATGTAACTGGTAACTCAGTTATCTGTTTCCACGTATCAAATAGTCTAACTGTTTAACCTGATAAAAGGCTTTTCATACAAAGACATTTATATTATTGATCATTCATTGTATTGGAATTAAAGACTACTAGTATATTTGGAATAAATAACATAGATATGTGTTCTTCTTTACTTTGTGTACATTTTCCGGGGATTATGTGAGGGTATATTCATCATCTTGACAGACTTCAGGTTTCTTTTGGAAAGGTTGAAATACTTAAATTTTGAAGTCGACATTAGTCTGCGTTGCTTTTTCTTCAGCACTTGCGACCAACTAGCTCTCCTAGATGGTTGAAATACTAATTTTTTAACAAATAAAGATTCAGTCTTGTTAGGTTCTGAATCTTCACTTTCTTCAGCCATTGGGCATTTAAGCTGTAATGCTTCTTTAAGTTGTGGCAAAGTATATCTGGTAGTATGCTGTTGTTGTACTTATATCATTTATTGTTGAAGCTTTTCCCGTTGAGGATCTTTTTTTCTTTTTGGCATTTAAGGACTCCATGATACTCAATTTGTCTTGCAATTGTTCGACATGTAGTGTCATTTTGCCAATCTTGTTTTTATGAGTGCCAATTTGAGCAGCAAAGACTTCTTCACAACGAGCTGCAGCATCACCCATAATATATTCTTTTATCATATCATCAGGAAGATATGCTTCCAGCTAATATACAATAGATGACAAGGTACTGACAAAAAATTACATTTAAATTCATGCGTCTATGTAACACAATCATGCCAGTAGGGTTGATTGTAGAAATGACACAGATAAGTGCATTACCAGACAGAGTTGACTGCAAGATGTGTGTCAATTTAGGGTTGCGATAAAAGGGATATGAGATGAGCTAATTTATAGCGTTAAGTTGATTTATAAATATTGATAGATTATGAAAATTACGGCTCGTCGCTTGTGAGTTTAAAAAGAACGCTTCCTAAAGTTAGAAGACTGCAGTATCGGTAGAACCGGGTAAAAATGATGCGTTATTTATACACGTGGAATTTTAAGATTTCTTTTTACCAGTTAAGAACATCTGACACTTTTTTTGTGGTGTTTGTTTGTATTTTCTTGAGCCTACTTTCAATGATAAATTGAAAAAAATGGTGTGGGAGTTCGATCTTCAAAAAAGAAAAGCATTCGAGCGAACCTCGACTAGAATACGATGGAAGATCGTTCGCAACGCATCATGACTTGTAAGCTCTCACGAATGAATGTACTTTTTCTTGAATAGTATGCTTATAAACTCGTCTTTTTGTTGTAATATTTTTCTGTGCAGAATATTAAACTAAGTTAAAAGGGAAAACAGCTTCATAATTTGTTAAGGCCTCGTTTTAGTATCTACATATATCTTTAAAGTAAAACCTTTAATTGTTCTGTGATAGGAACCGTCCTCTTAAATGACACTCTTCCTTTTCTTTTGTAAGTTTATTATGGCGTTGGATGAATATGTGTTTTTTGGGCGTAGAAGAAAAAAGTCTGCGAACGAGCTTTATTTATAAACTAGCGAACAAGAGCCGGTTTTTGTCAGGATGATTGAGCCTTTACATATAATGGGAGCATCTGCAAATAACCCTAGGCTTATATTCTAGTTTTCTTCCCATGTTTTCCTTCAGATTTTTTTCAACCTTGAGTTTATCTTGAGAATTCGACTTGTGATCCATGATTTGATGGAATTTTGGTAGATAAGAGCTAAGAATATGCAATCGAAAACTGCAGAACAGACTCTTGTCTCTGTTAAGCGTGTTAGCATTTTAGATACAAGTTAATCGAAATTGTTTATTTGTGGTACAAATGGATATATATTATATATACACATATATATATAAATCTGTTTTTTTTATACACCACTTTTTTAAAGCAATGTTTTAATAAATAATAAATTCATTTACAGATTGGGGTTGATGGAGGAAGAAGATGAAGAACTGGATGAAGAAGAAGCTATCCTGAAATTAGAAAACATGGTTTGAATATAGGGTGTCAATGCTGGCCTTTTGCTTGTCATCATGACCAGCTCTTGTTCATATGGCATGAAACACACATGACTATTAGGGTTCCTTGACAAGGTCTTCAATAACTGTGCTGCCACTAACGCCACACCTTGCACCTCGCTTGTATCAATATATCCAGGTAAATGCGAATCCCTCACATGCACTGTCAACTCGCCCGGATCCCGAAACGCATTATCCTCATCACAATCCATCCACATGCAATTACTGTCCACTTCATGCGTTGGTATATGGTCATGTAATACATGTGTTTGGAGTAATTGTTCATCATTGAAGCTTTCTGAGCAGTTGGTCCACTGACACATCAATTCAGAGCCTATTAAGATATGTAGGTTTTTAGTGATTTTTTCCCCCCAGCTGGGTATAAGTTTTAACGTACCGTCTTGGAGAATACACATTTTAACCTGCAATCCATGGATGGTGGTGCCTTCCAATATGGCCCCCTTTTGCTGTTGTTGCTGCTGCACAGGGGATCCTACTGCGTCGACAAAGGATCCGTTATTAGCAATGGGAAAGGCGATTCGAAGCACGGTGTAAAACTCCTTCATCCTTAAAGCCTTTTCATGTCCAAACCTCATTTCATAGAGTAAATACATGTCATCCAACGATAATTCACTACATGCATTTGATAGCTCGAATTTATCCTTCAACCATCCAAGACAACGATATGGTTCATCCAATTGCTGATAGGAAGAGAGATTCGGCACACACGGAACACTTCCATGATTATGCGGATGCTGTTGTTGATGTTGCTGTTGATGAGGAAAGAAGATGGAATCACCGGAGTTGGACCTTTGAGGAGGTGAATCGTGTAGAGAAGTATGCACCAACGTGGGTCTAAAATATTTACAAGGAGCCATTAATAAGGAAACCATGACAGCAATATCCGCACCGCCGTGTAAAGAAAGTAAATGTTGGCCAAAGGAAACGGATTGTCGACTGTATTGGTAAAGATATTCCAAACTGACACCAATTAACTCTTCATCGTTGGCAATGAGGAATTGAGTGATTCGGTTGGCTACGGCGGTGGAAGTGGGTAATAGATAATGCAGGTTTGAAGCGGAAGAGGAAGAGAGCATGGTTAAGACACGCACGGAGCCCAATATGACGGATCGTTCAGTTGCATTTGTCAAGAGACTATTGAGACAGCCGATGATGGAATCAAAGGGACCTAATTCTACAAATGGGGTCATATTCTCTAGAATATCGATACAATGGCTGTAGTGGGATGAATTTGTCATGACTAAACATTTGATCAACATCTGTTTAAATCCAGCACTGGCTGCAAAGACACGTGTATTGGATTCGATAAACGAGAAATTACGAAAGGTATGCAGAATCTTGAGAATAATCGTATGTGCATTCTTTTTGTCAGGTGTGTCTGTGTTGAATAAGGTGTTTTGTAAACAAGTATCTGCCTTGGTCAATAAGGCTTCTAGAAGTACTGGATTCTCGTTTAATAATAACTTTTGAGGACATTCATAGGATATCGTGACAATGTTATTTAAAGCCCATTCAACATCAGATGCATTCGGTGATTGAAGTGCAGGTATCATTCTCCTCTTTGTACTCTCATCAAATTCATTGCCTTATTTTCGTCAGTTTTTCTGTATTCTTTTCTTTTCTAACCACGTACCTGTTACACAATCTCGGCTAGCATCGGATTCGATCGAATGGACATGTTCAAAGGGTTGTGTACGATGATGAAGCTCAGAAATCTCACATTGATGCACTTCGTCCGTTGTAATTAGATTAAATGGTGATTGGTTTGGCAATATAGGTGTTTCATGAATCGCTGCTATATATAAAGAGAGGTTACACGACGCTGGAACCATCATACATATATATAAAAAAAAACCTTTTGAGTATATTTACAGGTGATGCTTTGGTATTGTGGATGATGCTGATGATTTCGGTGTTTACATTTCTTGTAAGTCTTTCCAGCTAGTGTAGAAGCTTTATGAGCTTCAGGACCCTTTAATTCTTCAGGGGGGACCCATTCTTTGCACCAAATCTGTTCCTCTTCCCAACCCAACTTTTTTGAATGTGGATTAGGTTTTACTCGTGTTCTTTTTTAAAAATAGACTATAAACTTACCAAATTACGAATGTAGAGTCCTTTTAATATATAGGCTGAGTTGGTGCAAGTTGCAGGGAATTCGAAAACAGCTCCAATTTGCTTCCAACTTCGTTTTTTGGTGACCTATGAATATGAATATAGAAAATTTTTTAGATTTTATTATCAAATGGATAAGCCCTCCTAGCACTTACCTGGTCGAAACCGCCTGCAGCAACGACTTCTCCATAGAGTTTGTGAAGATCGATTTTTTTCCCACCTAAAACAGGTTCAGACAGTAAAGTCGTACTATGGAGGGTTTTTTTGTATCAGAAAAAACTGTGTCTCTCAAAAACTATTATTTTGTTTACCCTTTGCGAATGTGAAATGCTTTTAATTCTTCTATAAAACAAACGTAATCGTCTGTTCTTTCAATAACATCAGTCACTATTTTTGACATTACAGCATTCAAAAAAAAAGAATTATAGGCCTTTTTTTTTTAATAAATAAAAAAGAAGGGGAAAAAGAGGGCAAATGCGATTTGTGGCAAATATAATTCTCACAATAAAAAAAAATATAAGCCAATCAAGGAGAGTATCACACAATAGGGAAATGGTTGGCTGAAAATGAGTGTGTGCCTGTTTAAGCTACATGAACTACTTTTGACGTTGCCGCGGAAACACGCTTTTTTTTTTTCACTCACGGGGACAAATTTTTTTTATGACAAGGGTTTTTACAACAGAAAGAAAGACAACATTTTTTTTTTTTTTTTTTTATAAAAGCATTTTTTATTGAAATAAATATAAAGTTAAAACCAAAAGGAAGAAACATCTGTGATAGAAAAAAAGAGATTAATAAAAAAGATCTTTTGTTATTGATAAAGAGAAAAGAAAAGAATTCAAGTGAATAAATAAAAAGAGTCATTCAGGGTGTCATTCGAATCATGTTTGGTAGTTCATTTGAAGAAATTCAACAAAATTAATTTGCTAAAAACATCACTATGACTCCTTCTTTTATCCTACTTGACATCTTTCTTTCCCTCTCGTGATGAACTTACCATAAATATGTTGCAATTATATGTATAAATAAATAAAAAAATAATTATAAAAAGATGAAAGAAACAAAAAAGATTCATTATTCTTTTGCGAGCAAAATTTATATCTTTTCCGAAAAAAAATTTATTAAGGGGAGGTCACGAATAAGCAGTCTTGCAGATCTCGTTCCTTTTTCCTCATTATTCACCTAACTTTTGGGTACACAAAAGCACCAACCCTGCGGAGATATATTTATAAACTGATGAACATTAGACGAAACCTTTCCCTTTTCCTTATTTTTTATTATTTAGCAGAAAAAAAAAACATTCTTCTAAAAAGCAACACACAATATATAAAAAGACAGTCCATCTCCATAATAATAAAAATGTCAGAGGTTGAGCCCACTGAAACCACTTTAACCTTCATGTCGTCACCGCCCGACCTGAATATTCAACGTTCTTTTGCCATGGCGGCCAATCAGTCTAATGAAGAAAGTTTTGAACATTTCAACTTTCCCATTACTTTGAACCCTATTACTCCTTCCTCTGTTGTTATATCACAGCCTGTACCAGAAGAAGAAACTGAAGTTACTGCGAAAACCATAAAACTGAAACGTCAAACACATACCCGCAATTATAAATTGTATGCAGGAAATACTTATTTTTTTTGTGGCGGTAGATTCCTCACCAGTAAAGCATTGGGTGCCTTCTGTCTATCACTTCTCATCCTGTGGGGTCCTTGTATCTTGTTTCTCATTTTCACGTACTAATAATCTAAACAAAACAAAAAAAGCTCATTTAATAACAACTTGCCTTTATTAGGTGTCCATGGTTATGGTACCACATTTCTCCCGCTGTACCCATTGTTTACGCATACATGTTTTCAATTACATTTGCTTCCATGCTAAAGACTTCTTGGACTGATCCTGGAGTATGTATTTTATTTTTCTTTTGGATTCTCCCGACTAACCATATACCTCAGATACTTCCTAGAAATTTAGACGGTGTAAGTCCACCTTTAAACACAGCAAGTCAAGATGAATTTGGGTTTCGCTATTCCAACATGTCAGATTATAACATGCCTTTACCCAAAGAAGTTCTCATTAATGGTGAACTCATTCGTTTAAAATATTGCGAAACATGCTGTATCTATAGACCACCCAGAGCTAGCCATTGTAAACAATGTGATAATTGTGTAGGCAGGTAGACAATTACACCGCCTTTATAGATTAAATCACATAATTAACACTGAATTATAGAAAATGAAGATCACCATTGTATTTGGCTCAATAATTGTGTTGGAAAAAGAAACTATACCACCTTCTTCACCTTTGTTGTAGGTGGCACATTATCTTGCTCTTACATCATTGCTTTCTCTTTGGCGCATGTCATTATTCTCTGTCTGGAAACAACTGACAAATCCTTTGAAAAGGCTCTCGCTGAAGCACCTGTCAGTTTTGTTGTCGCATTGATTTGTTTGATCTTGCTGTTTCCTATTTGTGGTTTGACTTTTTATCATTGTATCTTAATCATGAGAGGCATCACAACCCATGAACAGGTATATATCTTTTTCTTTTAAGGAGTATTCGTTTTTTACTTATAAACTTTATAATTTTTATTAATAGATTCGGTCGGGGTCAAACCCCTTTGATCATCATCCGTTCGATTTGGGCAATCCATTCAAGAATATGTTGTATGTTCTCTGTAGACCACATAATAAAAGGTAACACCCTCAATTCTATTATTATTCCGCAATGGCATAAATACTAACACATAAACGTAGTTACATTGCAAGACGTAAATACGCTGAAGAAGTATACGAGATTAAAGAACAACCAGTGCTAAATTCTAAAGGAGTCGTAACGCATTCTAATGTATCCACCACAGTGCAAAATGAATCCTCTGCTCAAAACTCAAATTTGGAACCAGTCATTGCATCTGGTGTTCCTTTACAACAACGAACCAACCAATAGAAACCCTTTGTATATCACTTTTTTTTTTTCCTTACTATTTAGCTTTCTCTAGACTAACTTACTACTTTATAAAACACTAATATTTAATACTACATGCTCTTACAATAAACACACTTTTTATTTGTTTATTGTGAACTAATCATTACGAGCAAATCAATCCTTTCTGTCTAATCAAATGCATTGGATATTACATTGTAATCAGGAGCTACGTGTAACCTCATTCTATTTATTGCATAAAATGAGTGGCACTCGTTCCATATATGTGGTTTCTAATGTAAACAATGAACCCGTTTTTATTCAGAATGACGATTGTTGTCGATATACCTTTTGAAGATGACTACTTGTGATGGTTAAAGCACACATATTTCTATTGTTTTACAGGGAGCATTACATAAATTAAAATGTCTTGCACATGGAAATCCAAGTTAAATTTTATTCAGATGTGTAGAATGTAAAGCACTTTTTTAGTCCCAGATGAAAGAGAGCCCCTCCAGAAGTTTTTAAACTCAAACGGTCTTTTTTTTTTCTGGTCTTGCAAAATGCCTCCTCGATTTCAACCAACACAAACTGTCATTCAAAGACCTCTTCAGAATGAAATACTCACGTTAAACAAGTTGCTGGGAAATGTACGTTTTTTTTATTTCTGCGCGCAGAAAGTAGACTAAAGTGAAATTAGGACATTCTGGAACAAGCAGCACGCATCCTTGATCATTTTGCTGCTACCAGAGAAAAGTAAATCAGACAATTCAACTTGCCCCTTCATTTATTAAGTTTTGTCTTTAAATAGTAAACTTGAGGCAACATCGTTTCAGACACCTCCTCAATTAAACGATAAGCTTTTAGAAAAATGTGAAGATTTCGAAACCGTGTGCGATCAAATCTATTTCATCTTGGTAAGAAAAAACGTGCCTTGAATTGCCACCTCCGTCTCCTTCCATTCTAAACTCCCATATTCCTAGGAACAATCCAAGCGTGTTTTACAGTTAGAGTGGCAACAAAAGATGATTCAGGTCAAAGCGGATAATCTAGCCAAAGAAAAACAATTGGCTGAAAAATCAGAGGAAGATCAACAACACCCTGAAGCCATGGATACCGATATGGATTTCGATTCTTCTCATATGGATGTGTCCCTTTCTTTAGATGATACAACCATGGTAGAGGCAAATAATTCCCAACAGCAACAGAAGCAGGGATTAAATACAGAGAATATTGATGAAGAGGATATGGAGGAGTTGTTGCAAATTCAAAGAGATCGTCTAGATAGATTGAAAAAGGTCATTGTGTTGGGAATGGATGCTGATACCGTAAAAGCAAATGGAAGAAATGGCGGCAAAGAGGATTTACTCTTTTAAAATAAACTATAGTTAAGCCTATCTCAACAACCTGTCAGAAAAATAGAGGGGTGGGGGAGGGTTTGATACCGACTATATCTATGGTCTTCAAAAGGTAACGCTGGCAGCTACCCGGTGTCAACAAAGAGGATCTCCATGTTCGTTATAAGAAATTGTACTTCAAAATAAGACATCGATTTAAATGAAAATATTGATGATATTCAATTGAGTAACAGTAAGGAGTGCATAGCTTTTGTTTATGTATAACTTTGAAATACCTGCTAGAGAATAAAAAGTTATTGGTTTCGTGAATTACGAGGGTTTCATAAGATTAGCCTTCAAGACGCCATTAAATACTGTTTCTTGACATTGATTAAATAAAGCATACACGGTGTTGCATTAGATTACTGCAGAGCTTTTAAATGCCTCTGTCATTGCTTGACCCCCCAAAAAAAACTCATTGCGACCTGTTCCAAGTTTGGATTTCTTCTTTCTAAAATCATGGACTTCCAGTTTTGAAGCGGGAATCATAATCGATAATATCCTTTTCTTGCCTTATCTAACCATTTTTCAGAATGAACAGGCTCTGTTTTCTGCCTGTAGCAAGATTATTGACGTTTCAGTTAACAAATAAAAATGATCTTCAAGAGAAATAAATTACTATTCAACTTAAAATTCTATAGCGAAATACTTATTTGTGCTTATATAGCATTTTAAGCACTTTTTCTTATATTCGAAGGCAAAAGTGGTCTCGCATAAATTGTCATCTGTGCTCAGAGATTTATTTCTTTTGGTTTTCTGTAGTACCCGTTAAAAATTTGAAAAGGTTTGACTATTGTTTAATTGTTATTAGCGTCATCAATATTTCTGAAGTTGACATGCTCCATTTTTGCATCAGTCTTTTACACAAAATTGATATCGAAGTCCGGAGTTACGATGTTGCGTACGTAGAAAGACATGACATCTTGCAATTTTAGCAACAGTGGCAGTTCCTTGATTATCAATATACTTTCATCATTTTTTTTTTTTTGAAGAAAAAAAGAAAAGAAACCAATCAATGTTCACCTAAGCTCATATAATTTTAACATTTTATTGCATATTTAGCTTTTTTCAAATACATCAATAGCCCTTGTAATAATTATACTAGCTGTATCAAAGAACTCAGACATATCTTGAGTAAGGACATCATTGGTGATATCCCCATCGTTTCCATCGATGTTATAACCATTGCACTTGTAATAATGATACCAACCAAAGTCCTCCGGTTTATACAACTTCCATAGATCTTGACACATAGTTTTCATAATTAATAAATCATTTAGGTTGAAATGTACTCTTCTATCTATTATTTTCCATCCTTCGGCAAAGATAACAGGCATCATGAGTCTTGGAATACAATCATATGACAGTAATGCTTTAAAGGTATCAGCCGCTTCTTGGTACTTCTCGAGTGAGAATAATGCGTTGATATGCCAAATATCTCTATATAAGATAATGGATTCCTTTATAATCATTCGTGTGGACAAATGACCGGATATCATATAATTGACCGGTGTGAATAAAGTCTTCCAGGACAGAATTGAATACATGATCCAGATATTGATATTTCCCTGCTTGACTATAGTATTCTAATGCTTGCTTGTATTGTTTCGACTCTAGACAGCGTGACGCTTTTTCCTATGATAACCACCTTTTTTTTTTAGACAAGACTAAACTTTTATTTTTAATTATAATCTTTCAGAAGCACATACCTCAAACAACACAAGTCCATCGTTCTTCATTGAGTATTCGATACAGAAATTGACGACATCATTTAATTTTTTATCATCGTTTTGGAAATCCATATTCCTTAAATGCTATTTATGAAGGTGTCAAATTTTTTGTTCTAAATGTCAAGTAATTGATCAATATTTACCTCTATAACCGCAGCCTTTCCGATCTCTCCGCATGTCATAAGATAGGTGAACGATTCTTCCCATAACCCAAACTGGTTGTTCAAGTTAGACGCATATGTCAATATGAAATATTCCCTTGCCCCCATTGTCAACGTAGCACCGTCCTCAAGCGTGTAATATAGAGACCGATTCATCATATCTTTCATGTTTAACAAATCAACTAAATGAGCAATGAGCCACCAATCATACTCTGCACAAGCTTCGGTGGCCTCATAGATCCGTCCCTCAAGAAACAGCCTGATACTCGCATCACCATTACCATGTTTCTTGAAAAAAAAATTGGCATCATCATGAATTGATTTGGTTTTTTTCGTCTTTTTGGTAAAATCTGGATGAGATAAAAGCTTGAATATCGTCCTTTGCATATTGTAGAGTAACTTTTTCGTCGCCCATTAGAAGTGATACCACGTCCTTCAAATTTTCGGCATGTGATGAATTTTGAATGTGACATAATCTCGATAAGAGTTGCTGCAACTCTGTGTGTTGCGATTTTAAATGTTGAATACCATGACATGTCAATTCTTTTAAACACTGCATAAATTCTAATAAATCCCAATGAAGCTGAAATTCAGTGTCCTTCAACACGTGTGAAAACAATATTGAAAGTTGCTCCAACCGACCAAAAAGTATCAATCGTATCGCATAGGGCCAGAAATCGGGGTGGTCGAATGTTGATTTACAAAAAAATATACTCTGTCTGTCAAATTCGAACAAATATGCTATGAGCAAGAGAAAAAAAGGGTTAGTTTGTAGGAGAAAATATAGGTGCGTATCCTTAAAATTTACGTTTATAAGCATTGTTGTACCAATCCATCAATAGTGTTTCGGTGTCAACTTGGGCGGGTTCTGGGAAATACAGAATTTGGCATAAATCCCATATTCTCTCTAGTTGTTGATACATGTGTCTTTCTTTTGTTGCTTCAGTTCCATAGTACTTTTAATATCGTTAACGCGCTGCCAAACAGGCTACAATTTCAAACTTCAAACACAGAATTACCTTTTCGACTGATTGGATTTGATCTTTTAGAACATTGGAATACTTTTTGGCGTAATCATAAAGTGTGTCTACTGATGGTCTATTCAAAATAGTTAATGAAAGAAATTTGATAAACAGAATCGCGACTCGTTTTACTTTTCATGTAATTCTTGAAATGTCTTTAAAGATTTCACGTAAAGCTGGAAAGAAATAGGTTAAATGGGTTTGGTTTAAAAGCACCGGGGAATCTGAAACTCACTGTCGATCTTATCTTCGGTATATGCACTTGATGGTCTAAGTGCGAACTACAGAATTTTTTAATGATTTCTTGTTGACAACTCATTATTTTATGGCCGTTGTTTTAAAAAAAGAGGAAAAGAGGAACAACAAATGGACTTTAAATAATTTATTTTTTTACAGAAAGCTTTTTTGCTTCACCTACGATCAGCATGTGTCTGGTGTTGAGCAATATAATATTGCTCCTGAGAACCCATATAAAAATAATACAATTGAAAATATAGGAACAGAGGCTGTTTTTTGAAAACTGATGTTGGCTCTGTAGTTTTAGGTCTGTATCACAGTGTAAACACTGCACAAAAAATAAAACTGATATCCATGTCGGGATTCTTTCTATGAATTTAGTCTTTTACCCCTCATGCGTATCTGAAGTCTGTTTAATTATGAAAGTAATTCGGCAAATATATTTTGGTTCATGTTGATAATATGGCAATAAGTCACAGGTTCCGAATAATTGTGTTTATAACTATTGGTATGAAATGCAAAATACGCAGAGACGGTAATGGATTACTTTGTTTTTTTTAAATATTTAAATGCATGGGATCACATTTATAATTATAATACTTTGATCGTTACAGTATTTAAAAAAATGATGGGAAATAACGTCATTTATTTTATTTCTACGGTGATGGAATTATTAATAATAGAGGAATGATAGTGTAAGAATTATATAGTAATGTAAGTGTAATAAAAAAGGGGGTAATATGTTTAAGCTGCAATTTTTCCACTTGCGGCATAAACAAAGAATAAAACCCAAGCGACCAGGAGGCAAATGATAAAAAGACCGACATAGACATAATTTAAAGGCCTAATCTTGGTGTCATTATATGAATCTAATCCTTGCTTATTCAATGCGATTTCGCGGGAGTTTCTTTCTTCCATGCGGACAATTCGGGTTTTACGGCCTGTTTCTAATAGGTTATCGTAAAAGTAATACTGAGACCCCCATAACATAGCAATTAAAACAAAACCAATACACGCAAGAGTGAGAAACAAAATCATAACACCTGTATAGGCCTGACCAGCTGTATGATCCTGAACAACACCCACTATGATGTCCAGAATAGTGGTACCGATATTATTGGACGCCTTGTATAAGCCCAGACCAGTTCCAATATAATCAGAGGGTAGTATCATACCAATGGACGTAATCATACCAATAGGACCAAAAGCAAGGGAGATACTATAAAACACCATACCCACAGTAGCATTGACAAATGTCCATCCAAGCAAAGCAGTACTTATAATTAAGAAAACAGCTGATAACAATAGAATTGCTATTCTTAAACCAAACATATCCATGATTACACCGAGAACGGGAGTAGCAACAATAGGGATACTTTGAGAGGCACTGGCTGTATAGCCTGCTAGTACTTTATTAGCCACACCAAAATGAAGCGTAACGAATTCGGTACTAATGGTCTGGAAAGATGACCAAACAGCAGCGAAAATAAATTCAATAAGAAGGATATGCCAGTAGATGGTCGGGAATTTCAGCAAACTCTTCCAATGGAATGCTTTTCTAGATTTTATCTTTGAAAGATCCTCCTTTGTTAGAGCAGCAGCGGCTTTTCCAGTGATTGGATCAACGGGTCTACGCAAGTGTCTTACAATAAGAGCATAGACTAAATTCATAAGGATAGAGAAGCAACATATAATAAAGGAAAGCCATAACGACCAAACCCAATCACCTGTTCTAACAGCAATAGGGTTAGCTACAAGTGTGCCCAAAAAAGTCGCTAATCTGCTGACAGAAAGCTGTAAACCAATTGCAATAGACAAATTCTGTGTACGAAACCATTTTGATAAAATTGACTCTTGCATAGTAACAATTAAACCAGACCCAATACCAAATATAACACGTCCAGCAACCATTAATCCATACGAGTTATATTTAGCTGCAATGGCGGTTAAAAGACTTCCTATGATAACAACAAGATTGATAGCAAGCGTTCCCCATACGGAACCAAACATATCAATAAATACACCACCAGCAATGGGAAAAATGGTGTTAATGATGGAAACAGACGACGATAGCACACCATATTGGGTATTATTAATATTGAGGTTCTATTTGACAAACAAAAAAAAAAAAGGCGGATAAGTACTTTTTACGTCATAGTATTTTCTATACTAAGCAAGTATATCTGCTCACCGATTTTATAGATCCTTTCATCGCACTAATGGCACTAGTAGAAAAATGAGATCCAACTAAAGTACGAGTTAATTTAACCTAATCATAGTAACTTTGCATCTAATTTACGTGGAAACAACAAGGCTGTGACTAATGCGATCAGTTTGTATTGCCAAGGGGCATTGGCCAAAGCCGCATCTCCGGCTTCTTGCGCTGTAAGTTGATCTTCTACTGTACTAGAGCTGTCTACTTTCTCGTTTTCAATTTGTGGATAATTCTTCGAAATGTAGCTCGAGTCATCTTTTATATAAGGCTCTTCATCAACTACAATTTTTTTGCTAGATATGGACATCGTTCAAAAACAAAAATAATAGATGAAAAAAAGAGAGAAAGATCTGATTTCGAACTACATCAAATATAAATGACCTAAAAGAGAAATTAAATTATCTGATGCGAGAGTCCGGGTATTTATTTACCATAAATGACTAATTTTGCTGTATTTATAACTAAAATATAGTCATACAACGGCTTTTACTGTATTACCTTACACAGCTTTATAATATTTTAGTACATCAGACGAAAAGATATAAGGGGTTGATTTCATGTTGTGTGTTCCTTTTATTGGCGTAATTCCATTATATTTAGTTACAGAGCATTCGGACAGCAAGTATTCTTATTGTAAGCCTAAAACTATATGAAAACTCTCAAAAAATGCTACTGCTAGCTTCAGAATATTATTCTAGGATTAGTATAATTTTTAATTTAAAAAATCCTTGTAACATCAGTTATTTTTTTTAAGAAATTGAAGTCCGCTTATTTTGAGCACAGGCTCTTTTTGCTGAACAGTAAAAAAATTATAGACTTGATAAGACCGCATGAAACGTGATAAAAACAATCAGAGGGCTATAATCTCGGAGTTAATGTCCTGCATCGTACTTAAACGAAATAAATAGACCGTAAAAAAAGGAACTTTATTTGAAATATCAATTCAATGGGGGGTACACTTCTTTTACTACAGCACCTTCGTCGGCACTCATAATCAAAATACTCAATTTGTCGATTTCATTATACATTAAATCCTTAAGATTTGCCTCGCTTCCTCCCATTAAAGCATTGCCTTCTGTCACACTGATGTAATCAAATACACCATTGAGTCCAGTGTAGCCGTCTTTCCAGAAGTGTACCTTTTGATTTTGTTTCAATCTTGCATACGTTTTAACATAGACACCAGCTAAAGGACGCTTTGTTTCTCCACTTAAAACACGGACAATACCAAAAGACTCAGCGATATGCACATAAAGTTTGTGTGAAAAATAAGCTTGGCATCTCTTTATAACGCTTTGTGTACCCACGCTTGAGATTTCCACAAATACATTTTTGTTGCCGCCTGGAATTGGAACATTTAATGTTTGGACAGAGTTGACTTGACCAACACCAATCATATTATAATCATTATCTTCGTTGTTTTCGGTTGCAGCTGCAGATTTTTCAGGTAAATCAACTTGCGATGTTAAGCTGGGCTTGACCCAGGTAAAGTTGGCACTGGTCAGCGAAGATGTCATACGATCATTCATAAATGGGTTAGTAGAGAACATGGCCTCAATATTCATTTCGTAATAATTGATTTCAATACGTTTTAAATTGGCAAATTGCAATACTAGCTCCTGCTGACGCTGATCAATTTCGAATTCAAGTACAGGTTTTGATTGAATTCTTCTTGTACTTTGAGACGAACCTACAACAATATCGGAATCTCCTTGCTCTACTTCACATACAAACTCGTGTAACTCAGCAAATAACTTTCTCCATTTCAGGCTACCAAAAGTTTTGTACTTGCTGGCAATTTCCTTCACTGAATTAAGATCTTGAATCTGGAGCTCCATTTGATCAGTTACAGGGATTCGGGTCTTCAAATAAGCATTGATATAGTCAAATTGAACCTGACAATCTATGCTATTACCATCAAATTTAATACGGCTAAATGTAGATTGTGCATCACCAATACGATCTTGCAATATAAAGTAAGTTGTTAATATGATAAGATCGGTATTAGAGGGCTGATTTGTTTGCTGACTCAGATATGTGAGAAAAGTATCATACTGCTTGTAGAATTGCTTGTTCAATATTTCATGTGAGGAGGGGTTTAATGGATGAGCACGGGCATTAAGTAGTGGATAATAATCAAAAACTTGAGTATGGTCCTCTCGTTTTCTGCATATTAAGGGAGATTCAAAAGTCTGTCCTACATTGCTCAACAAGCTACTACTGTTGAAGTGCAATAAGTCTCGAATTATATCATCGAATTGGTGATATACACCATACTTCCAAAGCTGCGCAGAAAAGAAATGACGCTGTTGAGACAAAACATTAAATACTTGACGAGCAAAGGACTTTTCTTTCATTCTCCATTCAATCAAGCCAAAGTCAATTCGATCCAACTTTTTATAAACTTCGAGAAATGATACTACACTTGCGTTTGATCCAGCGCTGGCAAGTACTGACCATGACGATAAAGACTGTGGCTGATTAGTATAGTCGTGATTATCAACATTGTCGGAATTTTTTGCTGTGACGGTTACATCAATTGCTTCAATTTTCCCGAGAAGCCTGTCTCCGGATAGTGAGGACACAGTAACAGGAACAATGGTGAATTCTCCTGCAGATGGGAAATAAAAAGTACCTGTAACTTCATGCCAAGTTGAATAAGCATCGATAGAGATTGTTTTGGATTTACAATAAGGGGTTGTTTTGCAAGGTACAGCGCCGGTGGGTATTTGAACTGTGACTTGGCAGGTTAAAGTCTTACTTGAAGCGTTGCTGATAATAACATGGCTTCCATACTCGATTAACGAGTTCAGCGAAGTTGTCAGAGGATTAACTTTGATACATTCTTCAGAATAAATGGGTGTGCTTTCATCGAATACGAATAATTCTTGTCCTAGCATCAAGTTGTTATCGCTATTTCCACTTGTAGATGAAAATGACATTTTACTTTCGATTAGAGTTCGATAAAAGACCATTAACGCGTGATCGGGCGATGCCTCAATAGAAATCTGAATTTCGTTGTTGCTGCTTTTATCTTCATTACTTGTTGTATTTTTTTTTGTCCAATTTACTTCGGATCGGAAGGGAAGGTCCATTAAACTTAGAACATAGAATATTTCAGTCATATTGCTGATACAATACACAAAATTCTGGGTCAAAAACAATTTTTCTTGCTCTTCTCTACAATGTAAATGGTGTTCAAGGTAGTCGATCCAGAATTGTTTGATTGTAATACTATCTTGCCGATTGTAATAGTCAGTTTCAATCCATTCACTTGTTTGTTCAGTAAATTCATAAACAACTTTGCTTTGAAGTTGTTTTGCTTTCTCTCGTAATTCTTTGGCAGCTGCTTGGAACTCTTCGTCATTATCATCAAGAGGGCCTTCATTTTGTCCGGCTGATAAAACACGTTCAGACATCTGGCCAGACAAAGCTGTATTACCTCTAGCTCTAAGATTTGAGGGGGATCCAAAAGAATTGAGTGAATATTCCGGTGATGAGGGTGAATACGCTGGTGATGAGGGTGAATATGATGCTAATGTCGGTGAATATGACGGTGGTATGGGTGACGAACCACATGCAAAAGACATTGGCATGACAGAATATGTACTACTTGAAGTTTCATCGATTGCATCGGCCGAAATGTTGAGTAAACTACCAGAAATAATTGAGTCGAAGATTGTATCAGACCGAGTATCCACCATTTTTTCATCAAAGCTTTCTTTAAACGATCTTAAAATAGTTTTCAAAACCTCTGTAGACTGAGTTGTGGCAAGTATAGCCTTTTCAGCAACGCTTAATTCTTCAAACTTGCAAATGTCACTACTATATTCCGAGAGATCCCCGTCTATAAGATAAAGATCCACAAAAGATTTTTGAACTTTGCACTAATAACACATTAATACATTGCTAAAATTTACGGATTTATCTTAAATGGTTACCTTGATCGCGGGTTTTACATAATCTTTGAAGAAAATAGGGTCTTTATGTTTCAGCCATATATTCAGCTCGTGGCATACCCTTTCTTCATATGATTTAAGTTTTTGCTCTCCATCAAATTTAGTCCAGCTTTGAAGGAATTCGTATTCTTTGCTGAATTCACTCACAAAAGAGATATTCTTAATTGTGTCACACAGTTTTTCAAAACTATCAATAGTCTCAAATTCGTCTGTACTGATAGATAGCTTTTCGTCCGGTTGAAGGGTTTTAACAACTTTAGAACGGATCAGAGCTTTGTTGCTGCTTATCTTTTGACGAAGATCATTGTACTGAAATAGTGGAGAGTCGGGCATACGGGAAAGAACTACAGTTCTTGAAACTACCTGGTCTCCTGATATAGCAATAGCTTGCAAAAAGTCACCGCCAAAACCAAGAGCATCACGAGCGATAGTTATTTTTCCATCGTTTGGTATGGGGAGAACAAGCACAGGCGAACTGTGATTTAAAAATGATAAACTTGATTCATTAGAATTAAACATTGTCTGATTTCCACCGCACCGTAAGCCATCAAAATGAACACCTTGTTTCCTCTTGCTGAAGCTAAACTTGGCAAGATTATCACTTTTTGTTATTACAGATTCCAGAATTCTTGATGTAGATACTGTTGATGCGTTTTTCTGTTTTGATTTTAATTAAAATTATGATACAAATAATCAGCATGTCAACTTACTTTTGGATGCATTAATAAACTTGGTTTAGTCAAATTACTACCGGCCCATTTCTCAGATCTTGCACGATTTAAGACATATTGATACTCTTCGCCAAGTTGCTTATCATTCAGAAATAATGATCTAGAAGTAACGTTGTTATCGTGAACAAATGGTCTTTCTAAAGAGCGGTTGTTCATAAGAACTGTTAAGCATTCTGAGCTAGTAGGAACAAAAGTGCTAGTGGTCACCACAACAAATGCTTTTGATGACCAATTTTGCAACTGGATTATAACGGTCTTGTTGTCATCATCTGCATGTATATCTGATATTTTCAAAGCTTTTTGTAACACGATACCGTTTTGTTTGGCATAGGTATTTTTACCGATAATCCAATTGCGCCAAACATAATCATTGATGTTGTTTTCGTTCGAAGCAGTATTGTTGGCGTTGAAATCAATTTGGCTGAAAATTACAGAGCATTTGATTTGCTTCCGGCCTTCCACATTTGAACCAAGATAAAGCATATATTCACCTTCGGGTAATTTAGAGATTGAAATGTGATTGTCGTTTCTTTTAATAAAAGCTGACATGTTCTCAACCAACGTTCTAAAATATTTAATTAATCGACCTGTAAACGCTTAATTTGTATAAAAATCAACTTACTCTCTAACACCAATTTTATACAAGGAGTAAAGCGAGTCAGAAGTTGAAGCGGTAAGGAAAGCAACATTGAAGGGTGTATCTGCTGATACACAAATCGCCGGAGGTAAAAGACCTTGTTTGTCATTATTTATAGTCCATTGCTTATAGGCTCCTTGAGTGTTAGAATACTCGATCCATTGAATGTTTGCTAATTTTCCTAAGTTAACGTATCCTTCTGCATTAGATTTCAGAGTAACTTCGACTTGTCGGTATTGTATAAATGCATGCTTTAATTTGATGGAGATTTCATAGTCGTTCTTAGGTTCGCCATTAGTTCCAAAGGCATAGATAAAATAGTTGTCGTCAATTTCTTTCTTTAAATGAACGCTTGCAGGTACTCCGCTTTTGTTTAAAGGCGTGCTATAAGTAATATTGTGTTGGACATTCATTGATTGTGCTTGATTGTTTAACGATTTAATCTTCGTACTCAAGATAAAATTAAGTGTTGTTACTGCATACAAAAAAAAAAAAAAAAAAAAAAAAGGGTCAGTCAATTAGTTTTTAAATTAAGTCAAAATAACTTACATCGTTCGGGAACCATAAAAGTAAAGTAAATTGAATCACTTGTTTGGTTAAACATTTGATAAGAGGTGCTGTTTTTTACACCATCTACATTGGTGCACTCAACACATAAAGACGTATCTTCCAATAATGAGAGTGGAGCTGAGACACCATTTACTGTCAATCTTGGATTAACAACAACCTAAAAATGTTCAAAACTTGTTAATATCCTAAGCAATTATTTCGGATTGATAGACTTACAGTGGCTTTCTTGTTAAATGAGATCATTTCTGGATTAACATAGAAATCAGCATTTAGTTGATACTTTTCTGCTAAATGATAAAAACTAACAGGCTCGCAGAATTCATCCGATTCTGATATCAAAAGTATTTTTTTCGCCTTTATGTCATCTTCAGATGCCAGATACGGAATTACGATATTATTAAACTGGTCCGCCTATTAAATTTGCAAGTATTAACAACATGTAAACTTATAAACCGTAAAAATATACCTGATAGTATTGATTACCACACCAAATTTTAGGGTTCACGATTGATCCACCGCGCTCATCTAAAATTTTAACAACGTGGCCAGCAGTAGACTCCTGGATTACATGTCTTAAGTAGCCCTATGTGTAACAATTCAGTATATATATATATATAACATACATACTATGCCAACTTACCTTTTGAATAATAGCTCTACATTGATTTTTATTTCCGACGAACTCAATGACCCAGAGACCACGACCCTTGAAAACGTTGGGACCAAAACCCTCCTCACCGAATACGAAATTGCTTGTCTTCACTCTAATAGCTGGCCCTGAATTAAGATATATATCCTTTTCCCAAGTAGGGCATAGACCATCTAAGTCAATGTTGTTATTTTTATCAGCAATCGTCTTTTCTGTACCATCCATGTGTAGACGAGAATAGTTTTCCATGTTAATTTGAAATACACGTATCGAGATGTGCTGCACATTTTTTGTTCTGACAACAAGATTGATAGTATCTTCAGGCTTTCTTTTAATCGATGCATTTAATGTTGAAGGCGCAAAACTGACAAATGACTCGGTCACCAAATTTTCATATTTTTCGGCACCCAAAGCAATACTCCAGGAATCTTGTGTTTTGGGGGAAAGTTTTAACATAAGCTCCAAATAAAGTGGCTTTAAAACGTTGTGATAATCCATATAGGCTCCAAGAGACTCGATTGACACCGTAAGCTTTTCTTGGGTGATCAATCCCATGAGATACTCTTTAATGACCAAGAGTTTGTCTTCTTCGGTGATATCATGATACGATAAAAGAGGGATATCAAGTTGAACATTGGGGGCCTCGTTATTGCTACTAGAATCTCCATATGTCTTGTTGGAAATAAAGGAATTCTGAAGTCTTGAAGGAATGGGTGATGCTACAATAGCTTTGGTAGATGCTCCTGTCAGAAATCTAAAATGACAGTTAATATATTTACATAAAAGCCGTACCGAATCTTGATACTTACTGGATTAAGCTGGTTTCTTTAAAATCATTTCTTATAATATCAACACGCAGTAGGTAAAACTTAACGGCAGTTTTAAAATAAAAATAAATATCAGATAGCTTTTGACTGAATTCTTCCAGGTGGCATAAATATTGGTGCAAAATATTTTCATCGTCATCCCAATATGTAATGGATTCTCCGCAAGAGTATTTACTGTAATATTGTACAGGTATCAACTTTTCAATATATGCCTGTACGAAATTTGGTACCAAGAGAACAATATCTGATGCGCATTCGATCAGAAAATTTAACTGAGACAAGGTAAAGTTGTTAAATGGTAAGTTTTCCAATTCCCATTCATTAGCTTTTTGATAATTCTCGGTGTTTTGCAGCTTCCAAAGTCGGACCAATCTGTCTAGAATATCATTTCCAAAAATATCCTCTGTCGGGTGCATAAACAAATTCTTTAAAAGGGCAATTTCTGTATCAGCAGCCATTGGATCTTGCTCCGCCATGATATCCTTAATAACCGGAAAAGCTAATACGTCAATATCGATATCACCATTACATTTGAAGTTTTCAATGCTTTCTCTTAATAAATTTTTGCCATCAATTAAGTTGTTGTCAAGAACAGATTTGGTGGCCTTCACCGGTAAATCTTCCTTTTTGGCTTGCTGTTGCTCCTGCTTCTGTGTCACCAAGTCCAAGCGCAGCCCATTTTTAATAAATTCAATTGTCTTGGTAGCCTCAAAAGGATAAATTAAAAGGTGAAATCGAGTATTAAGTTCTCTAAATCTTTTATCTCTGATTGTGATTGTGTTTAGATGGCTTTGCATCTCGTTTAAAAGAGCAATTTCGGTGTCGGTTCCCTCTCTGACTTTTGATGGTTCTTCTTGTATCATGACTTCATCATATAATTTTTGAAGTATAATGAGACCCTTGTAGTACTTCGCATCTTCTGTATTAGCAGATGCCAAATTCGAAACGACAGATTCTCGATCTTGTATCGGTGCAGTTGCAAACTTTTCTTTAAGTAAAGAAATTAATGGCATTTTTTAGTTAAAGAAACGAATGTTAGGCGAAAGCAGTGAAAAACGCGTAAGGAGATTCAAACTATTTATAACAATATGTGGCTGAAAATGAATGTGATCCGGTTAAAAGGTTGAGAATGGAAACTGGTGTTACATACAATGAGGTTTCAGACTTCCATACAACCATACCTATAAAGTAAGAAAACCGGGTACGAATTCCACCAGCTATCATAATGTCTTCTTCTACAGAAAAAAAATGACTAAAATTTGCCATTGCAACAAGTGTGGTAGTTGCTCAATCACAATCAATACTGCTACACGACATGCCAAAAAACAACAGTGCGAGGAGTCATAGCAAAAGGCGGCAGCTTCCAAAAGGGGTTTGCATGAACTAGAAACAAGTGTGTAACCCTCATCAGATATTTACCTGTAACAAATTATAATATACTAACAGGAATTATAATAGATGAAACCGTAGTAGGAACCCGCTAATATTTTTCACGTTTGAGCGCATCTATTATTGAGGTAGAGTTTGCACTTGTTTATATCAGTTCTACTCAAATCTATAACCATTTTCAAGATGATTACTCTTCAGGTACATGCATAAAAGTATTGATAACATGATGCTGAATAATGTTTCAAGATGATGAGTGCGATTATGAAGAAGGCTTTATCATTGACCAATATTACAGCATTAACTCAAATGATCATCTTAATGAAAGTCAGGTTAATGTCGAAAGCAGCAATGAGACATGTTGAACCGATGAAATTCTTAGGATGCTAGATGATTTGAATGGTAATAGTGAAAAATTCATCATAAAAAAAGGTAGGCTTAAATTTTGCAATAAACATTTGTTACTTTATTAAAACAATCGTAGCCCATCAAAACAATCACCCAAGATTACATACAAAAAAAAAAAAAAAAAAAAAAAACAATCACCCAAGAAAACCACAAGTGCCCACTTACTTATTTATTTGTTGTTTTGTACTCACTCCAAATACAGTTTTTGACTGTCAGCGTTACATACAAACTACTTCATCTATTCCGAATGCTATTCAGCAATTTTAAATTTCCAAAATCGTTACCCACAATTAAACTTCTAACTGGATTTATCGATCTTACCAAAGATATGACTGTCTACGCAACTTGTTCTAAATCATATCCGGTATATATTTATGCTACAAGCAATGGGTTATACATTCGATCCAAAAGTTGTTTTGGAGAGAAGGATTCAAGTAGAAATGGGAAGAATAGCGTAGT